AAGCCAGGTTTTCGTCCTGGGGGAGATTGAGCCACCTTGTGTGGGGACTAAGAGCTTGACAACCNCTTTGGTATCCTTTTTATATGTATAGAAAAATAAAGTAGATAGTAATAGTAGCAATAAGTTAATAAGTTAATAAATCAATTTTTTTTTCAAATAAAAACTATTTAAAACCATGTCTCCAAAAAACATCTGTCTTTTATTGTGCATTTAAGTTGATGAAAAATGAAAAATGAGTAATGAATAAGTTTGACACGGTAATTACAAGAAGTCAAATGTAGAAAGAACTTGATTATAAGTACCGCCTAAAAACACCCGTTCTTTGAATATTTGTGCCATTACACAAAGTAGACTGATTTTAGAACTGAATGGCCCTCTTTTAATCTTACACATTGCAATATAATTACGCGTAATAGTTGTCTAATCTAATTCACATTTAAAAGACTTTGTATGAAGATTGAAAATAAGAAACTCAATCTACCTACATTAGTCACTCAACTGATAATAATATTGAATATGTAATGCTGTTGCATCTGATTATATAAGATTAACACGTCCTTAATGTAGTTGACGTACTTTCTGAAGCATACAAGGAGATGGCTGTTTCAAAAATTGAAACAAATTCAGCAAACTCAATTATTTTCTTTTTAAGAAAAATAACGCTTGGTACTAGCTAATCAACATATAAAAACAAAAGCCCAATCACTGTGTAGTGGATGACCTACAAACAGGAATAGCAAGAATAATTAAATGTCACAATTGATCACACTCAAGATTAACAATACTTAATACAGCCTACTCTAGCCCACTACCAAAGTATTGAAGGGCAGATAATCTCCAAGGTTGATGACCTTAATTACTCCAGAACAGAGGTATATAATTTTCCTTGTTAGTCAACAAAAAAAATCAACAGAGTTTTTTTTTTTTTTTGCTTGTATGTAGCAAAGCTCTGGTTGGTTGGTAGGTGGGACTCTTGCTCAAAAGATTTAAAAGATGTCAAAACTTGCTTTTTTGGTTTTTATGTTTTTGGAAAGTATAAAATATTAAATCTCTAGATATCTAGACTGGGAATGAGTGTTGATTGAGTTTTTCTTTGGCGTGTAAACAGTGAAGCAGAAAACTATATCTAATGATGACATTCGTGGCAACAAAAAGGAGTTCGATCAGATACGAAATCTCAGTGGTGTTTCCATGAAGTAAAAAAAAAAAACCTAGCCAAGTATAAAAGCAGACTCTAGAGTGGGTTCAAGGCGAGGTGGGGAGGTAAATTTGTACAGTATATTAAATCCATCAGAGGTTGGAGAGAAAAATCCAAAATTCGTGTGCTAGAATGTCTGCCAGTGGGGAAGCTCGAAGATATATACAAAGAGAAATAGTTTTATATAAAAAAAGTCTTCATTTTCAAAGAAAGACCAAGTAGGAGGTGGGAATGGAGTAGAAACACAGCATAGAAAACTGAGCATCAAGAAACCTTGCGATGAATTTACCTTAGCCAGATATTGTAAGGTGCATAAGGGAGGACAAAAGTGCAGAAAGATAAACTTCAGAGCCACTGCGTATCATCAGGTCAGCAAATTGTGCAGTCAAGATCCTTTGAGGTAGCCAAACACGAGCTATGAAGGTTTGAAAGAAGAGTGAATAGTCATATATACTCTGAAACATTCTGCAAAGAAGGTGTGGTGAACGGGAGGAGGAAGAAGATAAGTGTCTAGAAATAGTATCCAAGTTTTGGACAATTTTGTAGACATCCCGAATCCGGGGGGTCACGCAAAAAGGAAGTAAAACCAAGGGAAACCATATGGAGTAAAAGATACAAAACCCAGAAGATTATCCATAAAAGTCATCAGATTTACCACAATAAAGTCAAAACTAGAAGGATGGAGGTTATTCGCGGCAAAGATGCTAAAGAAAAGATTGATGTATGAACGAAATCGACTGTTTCAAAAATTGGGAAAATGAAATGAAGAAGAGGGTTGATATCAGACAGATAATGATGAAAAAGGTGTATCTTACAAAGCATCACCAGATCAGAAGAAGCTGCCTTGAGTGATAAAGGAAATGACTAAGAAGGCAAGGTAGCAAAGGGATCCAGAAGAGCGACTATCTTGCTCGTCAACAATCTACAAGCTGTAAGTTGTGTTCATTCAGAGACTGCGAGGGCAACCCGACAGATAAAATACGGCTCTTGTGAAGATTGATACGTGCATTTGAAGCAGAGGCGTAAGTGGCGAGGTGGTGCTGTAATCAGGACATGTCTTGGGTCTGCGAGCGAGAAACCAAAAGATCATCACCATATGCGAGTAGCTTTATGGGAAGAGAAGAGTATTGGCCGAAAGTATCTTGTATGCCAAATCCAGGAAATTATGGATCGTGAATATGTTGGCGCAAAAATGGAGCGAAGACCAAGTTAAGCAGAGCAAGATACATGAGGTCATCCTCTCCGAATCTACACATTTGACAAAGAGGAAAAGAGGAAGCTATTGACACTAATCTTAAGGGTGGAAGATGACATGGTGGATTTTATCCACCAGTGTTTCTTGTATCGTTCATCGCAGTAAACTTAGAAGTATTAACGTAGGTGCAGAAATAGCCCGAAGTAGTTAGATAAATCTTTCTATTTGTTCCTTAATAAAGTTGTCTTTCTACCCGTATTCATTTTCTTGTCACCGAGTTGGACATTTACACTACATAACCAACCCACCATGTGTCACCACCATAACCCCCTTTTTTGTTTTTCTCAAACACAACGACAAGTGCACTTGGTTTTCTCTCTAAAAGCTGTTTCAATGGAAGATATTAATAACACGGAATCCAGTACACGCGGCGATTCCCTAGAGCCCATTATTGAAAAGAACGCAACTTTGAAAGAATACAGATGCACCCCTTATGAAATCTCCATTGAAAGCTCAGAAATTGCCCGTGTTCACTGAAGACGAGAACATGTTTGCGAGCTTCATTTTAAATACAATGGTGGTAAAGAATCACACTAAATGGTAATCCAATTTTAATTCATATTGTCACAGAAATTATTTCAGTTTTAAGACAAAATGGCAAATTTAGTTGTCCACTCGTAGGCTGTTTGAAAAAAAAATCCAATATAGATAGTTTTTCCATCCGGTTGAAAGAACGTCGCAAAAGCGAGTCTGTCACTGTAGTAAGGTCAGACGATAAACGTATTGCTTAAGGGAATGGTATTATCAAATCAGTGAAACGCAGAAAGCTGACAACAGATATTGATGTCTTCACTTCAGGTCAGGGCAGCCAAAAAAACCAATTCAAACTCAACACCGACCGACAAGCTTCTCATACGGCAAACGCATTGGATCGTGAACCCGTGGCAATACATATATCGCAAGATTTCATGGCCAATCTGCACACTATTTATGGTATATTCCATGTCAACGATGTCCATAAAACACAGATCAAAGTTCTTTGTGGGTCTGCTTCATTTTCTTTCCCATTAACCTGCGTTCTACAATTTCAGTCGGAGAAACACACTATCATGGTTGCTGACATTGCTTTTTTATTTGTTTGTAGGGAGCTTTGTGCTCAAGAAGGTTAATGAGCCTCTATTGCTGCGAAGCAAAGAAGGGCATCACAGATTTTGCTTTGGATTTTATTTGTTATATGATGTTTTTGAGAGTTTTGTATTTTCTAAAGGGAGAGACGGCGAGAACCTAAGAAAGCACATCCCGTAGCCATGTCATCGTAAAGAGATAGGTCATATCTGAAGACCTCTTGGTTCTACCCAAGGAGAAAGTGACTGAGAAGACAGGTTGAAAGAGTGACCAAGAAGATGGGTGGGAGCACATAGGGAAACCGTTACATATTGACTAACTCTTCACACTATCTTCCCCAACCAAAGTGAGATATGTGTGAAAGAGCCGTGGTAGCTGAAATTGCTGAAGCGGGAGCTGATGATATGACCAAATTCCTTAGACAAACCGTATACAATTCATTCATTCCAAAATTGTTGGAAAAAATGGCGATTATGCCGATTCAACTGAAGGCCTTTTGGACTTCCTAAACTTCTAATTTGGCACCCACCCATCCCTTCTTAATGCTGTGGCGAAACCCCACACTGGGGAATTCATCGTCGATAAAGAGGTTGTGTTTGTAGTTGCAGCTGAAACATACAGTCGATCGAAAGCAATTGACATTCATAGTGAATCTGATCAAAATTCTGTACCAGCAGTATCCGGTTTTCGTTATGAATTTCTGTATGTTTGCGTGTAAGATGAGTCGTATGGAGGGAGCACCAAGCGCAAATTAAAAATTGGAAGCAAAACAATGAACATCCTGGTGACCATATCTGTCCGTGTGAGTACCGAAAAATCTGTTGACATTGGTCCAGAAACATCAACGACCTCGTATTTTGTCCGTTCAAAAGCAGCCAGAATATTTTATCGTGTGGATGAGATAAATCAATTTACTGAAACAATGTGTGATCCATTTTCTTATGTAAAACAATTATCTGCGATGAGAATGACATCCCTGCGGCAACTCACCTCCAGTCTTAGTGATCCAAGCACCTTTAAATTATGACGGGTAGTACATACTGAATTTGACACTGAACTCACCATACCGGAGAGCGTTTTCCCACTTTGTAGCACCCCGCATATTCAGGGCTATGGCGCCTCTGCGCCATCTGTTGGTAAACTTGCATCACGCTTTCTGCGATCATTAGCCGTGTCAGTATTATTTGGCAAGCCTTTGGCAAGCCTTTGGCAGGCTTTGGAACATAATTAGGCTCATTCAAAACCACCAGAGCAGTAAAGGTGCTACAGGAGAAAGAAAACTCCCAATGCAAGTCGTGGGATACCTTGTCATCATTTGTGAGCTCTCTGAAAGCCGTTTTAGAAAAAACACAATGAGATTTTTTTGTATTGTTTTTTTTAAAGAGGTTTCAATCTAGCAAGCCAAAGCATAGTGTCGAGAAACCAACGAATTAAGCAGGATGTTCTATTGCGATCGAAACGCTTATATTGTGATTGATTGTGACACTTGAACCTTTCTATCTATAATTATCATCACATTTCCATATTTATCATACTGTATAAATCTATTGATTTCCCAATGGATTATTAATACAATCTCATAATATGATTTTACAAACATTAAAGACAATTTTATTTAGACATTGATCGTTTGGTTTTTACTGTGTAACAATGTCTCGAGGATGAACATAACATAATAGAATACTGAAACCCTCACCATATGTTTTTTTTAGTAAAGCTGAACAAGAGCTGGATTGGGAAAGGGGAACAGGGACTTTTGGAACCATTATTTTTTTCTTTTAATTAATCTATTTATGCTTTACTAGATCTCAAAAATGAATTAGTAAGCAGTGGAGTTAATCTCAAACAGCCGGTCGAATCATTTCTTAAGGTTTGTATCTTTTATGGAATAATTCAAGTTTATGAGATTGAAAGTTGTTTTGTAATAAAAGCATACACCTTAACTTTGGGTTCAAGATATGCTCATATACCTTACAAGCAACGCATTTGGTGACAAAGAATATACGTCTTGAGAATGTAAGAATATATATATATATGTATCAACTTCACACTAAAACAATATAAGCAAATAGCAAATTTAATCTTATTAGACCTTTAAGCACTCATATTTTCGATTTAACGAACAAACTCGGTGCCTTAAAAAGAGTAGCATAACACTAACATCTCTAGACTACAAATGTGATTAAGGGTTGCTAGTTTTTTTTGTCAAACCTAAATAAAGTTTGCGACCAATCATTTTACTTTATTTTCTCTTCTAAACTAATACTATTAAAATTGAGAAAATATAGACTATAAGTATAAACCTACAAAGGTATAAGCAAAGTCTCAGTATATATTTTTACTCGCATATTTCCAATGGAAATATCAAATATATAGATTAGGCGAGAACAAGAACTAAATATATAATCGCCAATAAGATTTATATATAAGATACGTCAATCTTATAGCCAAAAAAGTCAGCTATTTTTGTTTAATCAATTATATACAAAACGTTTTGTATGTTTAGTAAATCAATACCCAGAAAGTCACTTTGTACAATAAATAAACCCTTTATGGAAATGAGATGGAGCTTAGAATATTTCAAGTGAAAATCTTTATAGCTTCACAATATTATGTGCAACTTTGGGTATTTGAGAGTCCAAAAATCTCTCTGAGATTTTTTAGAAAAAAATAATATACATATAAATTCATATAAATACTCGGTCCACTAATAATCTTGGAATCGTATTCTACACTTCCTTTATTGTCTTAATACACCTATCAGACCAATGAATTCAATCAAGGTCTACGATATCTCACTCCTCAACTTTGAAGAAAAGTGTTGGTCTCCTAATACCTTCAAAACCCGTGTTTCCTTAAACAAAGGTAAATGCATAAACATATAAACATAAATATGTGTATGATTCAGAATCTACTAGTATAAACTATAATAAAGTATATATATATGTATATGTATATTAACTACGTGTATATGTGTACGTGCATATAAAAGGGTATTCCATTTGATTCCGTGTGGGTCTCATTCGAGGAGATCCCAATTGTAATTCCTAAATTGACGTAAGTGAAGTTGCGCCATAATGATTGCGTTATTAGTGTGTACCTTCGTCTTCAAAGCGGGACCGATGCCCAATACATGTTGTGTTCATTTCTTTTCCTTGTAGAAAGACCACAGAAACTCCGACTGTCCCTGTTATTGTGGATACCAGTAAAGATGTTGTTATACAAGATTCATGGAAAATTGCTCAGTACCTTGAAGCTAATTACCCTGACACCCCAAGTCTTTTCCATGGAAATGAAGAGTTACACGAGGCTGCCCAAGCAAGCTTTAGTTCATTCTCATTTGCTTTATTCCGTCTTGTTATCATGACGGTGGCAAATAACATTGGTAATGAAGATGTCAAGGCCGAGTTTAGAAAGAGTCGCGAAGCCAAGTTTGGAATGACTCTTGAGAAATTTGCCGGAAATCCAGAAGATCAAATCAGAATTGCCAATGAAGGACTGAAGGATATTAGAGCTAAATTAGCAAAATCTACTTACTTGTCTGGATCTGAAGGTATTTATTGCTGAGCCACGCAGTTGAATGTATATATTTGGCTGCCTATCCTTATTAATCAATTACTGTAAACCTTCTTTAGTGGGATGGGCCGACGGTGTATTGCTTGCATACTTTGTGATGGTAGACGTTCTTAAGCATGACATCTTTCAATCAAGAATATTGGATAGTGTTCAAGGCAAAAATCCTTTGAGAGAATGGTATGAGCGTATGGCAAAATACGTATAAATCAATATACCAGAATACAAACTGAAATATCTTTGTTCATCAAACTGTCCGTATTAAAATATATCATCCATAGCTGATATACTATTTATATAATTTGAAATTAAAAGAATAAGAAATACAGCATTATATAATCAATAGTCAGTTCTTAATTTAAAAACAAAAATTCAATCAATGAAATTGACATTGATATTGAACTTGAGCTATCCTTGGTATTCTAAGAAGTTAAGCCCATCTTTATTAAACTGTGTGCTTTGTTAAAATATTATATTAGTATTATTCTAGCTTAAATTATTTGTTTACAATTCAATTGGGGTATATTTTGTGTGCGTAAAAAAACACATATATATACGCAACACCACGAATTACCAATAAGCAACATTTTTCATAATTCTTTTTTCACAGAAACGGCACTAGCTATTCTCTGGTCCTTTCACCTTTAATTCTGCATCTAATAAACAATACATAAAAATGATTCTTTTTTCATAGAATTATTTGTCTCTTTCTTCTTCACCCCTTCCTCTCAAAACCAATTATCAGTTTTAGCAAGAGATAAGAGAACTAAAACGTCCTCTCCTAAACGTTAGCTGTTAGAACTTGATCATAGAGGCATTGTTTGGATCTCAGATGCCAATGATTTCTTAACTGATATTGCAAACCTCATCAGTACCCATGGGACAGCGGTTTGCGACACTATAAAGCATTAGGAGACCACCAAAACACCCGGAGAAAATATTCGATCCAAAAGATAAAAGAAAACTTGGAAAAAAAAAGACATTACCAGTCTGTGTAAATGTGAGACATTTTTTTTAGAGCTACACATACAATCAAGGGTTTGAGAGCTTCAACAATCTGATAACTGATCATTGCAAAGTCTAAATCTGAACCCAAGCGAGTAAGCGTGTCCTGTCCTAAAATCCAAGGTTCAAGAGAGAAAGGGTTCTATATTAACATTGTTCAAAATTGCATAGCCTCCATTCCAAAAAAATGGGAGCTATTTGCCCCAGGAGCCTTTCAAGTTTTTGAGGCAAGTATATCCAATAGAGTCAGAGCAGTAATCAAACATCGTGGTAAGTACACCGTATATTAAACTTTATTTTTTATTCTATAATATATATAAGAGCAAAGGTTATATATTTTTTGTCATCCTAAAAAAATAGCATAATTAAATTGATGTGTGTTTTATTCGGAGGTGGAAGTCAGAGATTTTATTACTGATTTTGTATATGTGTGTGTACGCCTTTAATCCTTGATAGAAAATGGAAACTTGATCGTTCAAGCTTGGTGTGAAAATACTAGACAAATTCAATCCGGGGGAACGAATTTTTTAAGGAAATTTGTATACTTGTGACCTCTTATTGAGAGAGAAACTATGATCGTTGACGTTCGCTTTAAACAAACTAGTTAAATAAAACTGTTAGTGAGAAAATATTCAAAGAACTCGATATACCAGTAATTCTTATGGGAAGTTAAACCTTGGTTTATGGAGAACAGAGCCTTGACCTATGTCCTTTGCTGTAGAAAGGTTGGACAAACACAATTGACAGTAAGTAAAGTCTCAAAAAGATTGGTATACCTTTAACACTGGACTGATACCATATGCTTGATAGTTCATCTGAACAGTAAAACACATTAAACCATTATAAGCCATAATAGGTAAAGGTTTAAGCAGAATTTCATAGCTGTTACTTTGGATGAGGATCACAGCCTTGATAGTCAGATTGGAAGGTAAATAAATTAGGAAAGAAAAACAAGAAATAATGAAAGCCCTAAAAGGATATTTTAACCTGTAACCTCGATTGAAGATAGAATTCTTGATCGTTGACCTGGAAGGCAAAGACACTAGTGAAATTTAATCGACAAAAAGTAACAGCCCAAAGACATGATTATACCTGTAACTTTGGTTGGAGATCGGATCCTTGAGCGCTGAATTTGACTGTAAAGACACTAGAGAAAATACAACCTGCAATAGGTAAAAACTCAAAGAGATGTGTCACCCTGTATCCCTATATAAAAACCAGGTCTTTGACCGTTTGTCTTGACCGTAAAGACACTAGAGAAGCGAAAACAGCTCTAAGCAACGGCCCAATGACATTTTTATACATGTAATACTGGACAGATATTGGATCCTTGATGGCTGGCTTTGACGGTAAAGAAAGTAGAAAAATAAAGCCAACAGTAAGTAAAGGCCCAACTAGATGTATATAACTGTTGCACTGGATGGGAACCAAATTCTTCATCGTGTACCCAGATGGTAAAAACACTAAGCCAATACGAAAGAGAGCAAGTAAAGACAGAGAGAAAAGTGTGTACCTGTAACCTTGATTTTAAATCGGATCCATGATATTTGAACTTTAAGGAAAAAACACTAGAAAGATATAAATGACAGTAAGTAAAAGCTCAACAAGACTTGTATACCTGTTGCCCTGATTAGAGTTTTGATCCTTGCTGTTTGGCCTGGGCAGTAAAAACAGTAGTCATATATACGTCTCAGTTAGTAATGGCCGAGAACGACTTGTATACCTTCCATAATGGATGTATATTTGATCATCGTTCTTTGCCATCAATAGTAAATATAAATAAAGAGTATAGTTTGTTTTAAGTAAAGGTTAAAAAGAAACTTGATTAGCTATAACAAGTAATGAAAATCGAATCCTAATAATTGCCGTAGACGACTAGACACTAGAAATATATAAAATCCAGTGAGTAATTGCTCATCGAGTTTTTGTATACCTATAGTCACGGACTGAAAGCAGATCCTTGAAGCATGACCTTGATGGATTCGACACTAGAAATATATAAACCTAAGTGAGTAATTGCTCATCGATTTTTGTTATACCTATAACCATGGACGGGAGATCGGGTCCTTGACGCTTGACCTGAATGGCTGGAGGCTAGAAAAAGATAAAAGCAAGTGAGTATATTGTCATCGAGTTTTATTATACCTATAACCATGGCCGAGAGATCGGAACCTTGATGCTTGACCTGGATGATATAGATGCTTTGAAAACATAAAAGACCGCGATTGAATATTCATCGAGTTTTTATATACCTGCAGCCCTGGATGGATATTGGCTCCTTGATGTTTGAGCTGGACGGAAGACATTAGAAGCATTCAAAAGACAATGAGTATATGCGTATCGAGTCTTTATATACCTGTAGGTCTGGATGGAGATCTTATTTTTTTTTTCGTTGACTTTGTTTGTCAAAAGACTAGACAAATATAATCTTCAGAATGTATGTCTTTGATGAATATCATATACTGTTTGAAATATAGTAAGTCCTGACAGTTTATCTCTTGTTTCTGAGCGTGGATAGGTTTTGGATGGATTGATGATCAAACCAGTGTTGGACCTCAGTATTTCATTTTTGATGTGTACTGGTTTTGACATGTTGTCTTATATCTTGCTATTAACGGTTTTACATATGATAAAAGCCTGAGATTTGACTAGCAAAATGGATTTGTATTGGTCATGTTTCGTCTTTAACGTGTGTGTTGATTAAAGCAGTTTGTGAGACAAACAGTAAAGAAGTGTATAAAGTATTGATGGTATGTAGAAGAGTGTTGCTTTGACGCGTTCTATTTGGATAGGTCTTTTTTTTCTCTTTTTTTCATAAAACTCATGACGTCTCAATCATGTGTTGCTGGTCTTTTTTTTATTTTATTATGATAGTTTGATAATATATTATAAAATTCGGTTTTTTATTATTCCTTTTTCGGTTTTCTTTTATCTTTTAGCCGTGACAACATGTATATATTATTACTATTTTACTTCTTTATTTAATATTTATGCTCAAAATATGGGTTTTGGGTGTTAAAGAAGTATCACTTACATTCTGAAGGGCGTGCTGTGCAGGCACTTGCTTTACTTTTTTTTTCTTTTGCCTCTTTTTTTTAGTTCTTTTTATGTCACATAAGGTCCGTGCTGTCCGTGCAGCATCACATGTGTTATGGGGCTTAGAGGAGCATAGTAGCAATAGTGGTCCAGACTTTACTTTAGCATGAAAACATTTAAATGATGTCTTCCGATTGGTTGACTATATGCATGTCAAATTATTCAGTTGCTATGGATCCCCATCCCCTTTTTTATTCTACTTTCTGTTGTGATTCTGTTAACAAGGCTTATGCTTTTGAACAGCCACTTGTCGAGACACTATATATGCTTCTGTGTTCATTTTAGTTGTACTACTGATATACAAAGTATTAATCGGCTAGTCGTTTAACTACAATAAAGAAGTGTAAAGTTGTGTTGATTATAAAGCTTTAATTAAAGTCTTGTGTATATTTATTTGTTTGTTTTCTTGTTTGTTTCACATGCTGTGACTTTATTAGTTTAAGAAGCACCCCCAAAAAATTCTGCTTATATCTTTTTTTCTTCTTTCGTGTGAAAGACTTCCATTTTTCTTCTAGCTTTTTCACCAGTGTCTTGAGTTAATAAACACAAAGTGTAGGAATACTTTCTTGAAATAAAAGTACTGTCAGTGCTTCATTATGAAGGCATTGACAGCCTGACTATTGAAAGTCGTTGGTACCTCAAGTTAAATCGTCGTTCTTAGAGTAAAATAAAAGTAAAAAGAAGAACAGGGTCTAGCCTAGTGTTTGTCAATCGACCTTGGTTTGTACTACTTTATACACCAATCATAACTCAACCCAGAAGTTAATACAGCATAACCTAACTGCCTGAAACACTTTACATTTATGTGTTCAAATATACACCATTCTATCGATAATTATAATTATTTATATAAGTTACATTATACACCATGAAAAAGTAGTGGTGCTTGCAATTGTGCTAGCCTAGTCACAGATAGATCAAGCTAGTAAAATGGCTATTACATATATATAAGTCACCTTTTAAAGGCTCTGCTTATTTACTATTTTTTTCTGTTATTGCTCAGACTGACTGACGGCAGAATATGAAAGCAAAGAGACAATCTACTGCTACTGAACGTATAGGTTTTGTTTGGTTGGGAGCAGGACGCTATCGATTACTAATTATCGATTTATAGGATCTAGTGCTTTTGATATTTTGCGCTTGTATACCAAACTCAACTGGATCCACAAATAACCTAGAAATAATACTCTGTTGGATTAAAGGCTTTGATTTATAACTTTTGTTTTGTAATACAATATAATGCGCTACAGTACTGTATAGTATGATTCCACTTATTACTTTGAGGTTCATAGTCTAGCTTTGGTTCGCTTGAGACTATTTTAGTTTGAAGCACGGAGCCTTTGTATAAATGAACCTTTTCTATGGTCGATTAAATATGAGTGTACTGGAAATGAAATTTTTTAAAATTTCTACAAGCATATGCAAATGCACACCAATGGTAATCATAACTTTTCAATTATAGAAAATTAAAAATCGAATCAAATAAGCAATGTTTTTTTTTGGGTTTAAGTAACCTGGTGAGACACATTGTGATCCACCTCTTCGAGGTTTATTATATTACAATTACTCGAATGTTGATCAAAATATCCGATTTTTTCACTCTCAAAAAGCATAGAACCCTGAAATTCGGGAAACTTGCACCACTTCAATAAGCTCTTTAAATGCTCAATAGCAAAAATACGAGTTGTTTCTAAAAGTACAATTTTTTTTAGTTGAATACATAAACCAGACACTCCAAAAGGCATCAATTTGGAGTGTTCAAAAGTTAGAGATATTTTTTTTAAAGAAAAGAGAATATTATTTAACACAAGAGACACTATAAAATAGCTAATATATTTATATATGCTCTACATAACAGAATGTCAGTTTGTATAAACGTTTATATGAAGAAAGCCGTCCTATATTCTGACATTATAAGTATATGCTAGAACCAGAAAGAAAAATACAAATAAAGTTATCACTATTGAAAAAGGGAACTCAAAAGACGATTTTGAAAAAATAGCATGGACATTTTTCAAGATCGTGCTTTTTTTCAACGCGCAATAAAGAGAGAGATGTTTTAATACCATATAACTTTTTATATTATAGAGAATATTATAATTAAATGGTATTTCTATTTGTAAAGTATAAATTTTACTGGAGAAACCTCTTCACCTATTCGTAGGCAGAATTCAAATACAACTTTAACTGTGTATCTCAACAAAGTAGCAAGTTCTTATTGTTATAGAATCAGTATTACATCTGCCAATCAATCAAATGTTTTTATAAATTGGTCAACGTTGGTATTAAGCTGAATATGTAAATAAACTATTTTTTTATCAAACCCCTGGCAGAGCATCTAGTATCTTATTTTTCTCTGTATTAAAGATATTAAACTTCTCTCTATATAAAAAATCTTTGCTTTTGCTCTTTTTAATCTGAAAATAAGGTTAATCGAGATATTGACAATTGGTTATGCTGCCTATTAATACTCAAAAGTGTTATACTTCTGATAATACTCGCAGTAATAATCCTGTTTTAATATTATTCAAAAGAAAAAAAGTTTAACTAAAAGCTTTGTATTTTACAAACATATTTTTTATATTTTGTTTTTCTATGAAATACTTAGCTTATACTACATGGTATGAAATAGCTGGTTTATTGGTGCCAATTACATTTTCTAATAAAAGGATAAAATTCGATCTCTTCAGTAATATTCATTTGTTTGTTGCTTTAATTTTTATTCTTATCTGATTACTATTATTATACAAAGCTCTTGCGAAACTCGGGTTGAGAATATTTGGTATGCTCTGGACTATTATCCCTAAATGTCTGATAGTAATCATTGATTCCCTTGGGAAATCTTGGGACTTTCAATTATGGTTATAACCTCATTTCAATAAAATTCGACCTGGAATTGAAACTTCCACCACCTATTGTATTGTGGATATCTAGATAAAATATACGTATATTGTGCTGTTTACTTATTGTTTAATATTACCTTGAAATATACTTTGGTTTATTTCCTAGTAATTACTAGGCCCCTTTTTTGTCTGCTTGTACTAGTAAAAGAAAAGTTAAATTTCTTTTGTGTCCTTGAACAAAAAGTGCACAGACCAGTTTAGAGTAACCTATGAATCGCTGCCATGGAAACTTGTACTCCAGCTTTAAAGTTATTGCTTCACCGATCAAGATCATACCCCCCATTACTTCATTACTTTTTTGATTATCTACTTCTTTGCTTTACTTCACAAATTCATTTTCTGTAGCGATTTGATTAAATATTATTATCTGTTCTTTCTGCCGTAGAGCAGTTACACAAAGCCAGTAAAAATAATATACAGCTATATCACGTTTGCTCTGACGTGGGTATCTAAGACTGACAAAAAGCGCAGTCCTAATCTTTAATCTCAGATGCAAAATTTTCTGTTACATATAGAACCCCTCCAACGCGCGTCGTTTGTTTTCTCCTTGAGCAACAACAGTCCCGGTTTCATAGTGAGGCGTCTCTTGCGACCGTTGCAGGGAGATTCTTCCATGCTACAAGCATCGGAAAGTGAAAGTTGTTACTCGCCAGCTCAGTTAATTCTGAGAAGTCGTGGGGCATGGTCTCTTTTCTTTTGGAAAGGCTACTGTGTACATCGCATCGCCAATGTGGAATCATGATGCTGGGGGGAGGGAGGTCTAACCTGTGGTGAGATGTGCTGGCTCTTCACTGCTAACCTGACTGAACTCTTTAACGGCTGACGGTGAAGCTACTGGTAGTCGAATGAGCTGGACCTTATCACCTAGTGGTAAGTTCTCTGGCGAGTTCGCACCCACATTACTCGGTGACGAGATGTGGGGCTGGATGAACGGGTGCTTTCCGTTGGTTTGCCACCATTCCAGCACCTCCTTCGCTACCAAGTCAGGTTTACGTCCTGAAGGAGATTGAGCCGCATAATGCGGGGACAAAGAACTTGGTGTCATGCTTTTTATTCTTTTACTCCTGTAAAAGAACATTAAGTGAAATTAAATCAAATAGAATAGTTTTTTTATGTATATCTTTAAATAAATAAATAAAGTCTTTTTAACTAGTATCGTCTCCAATAAAAAAAACACGCTTTTAAACTTTTTTTTTACTTGATTAAAGATGTCAATGCTGTAATTAGGAGGGCTCATTTATAAGAAGAAATTAATCTAATTGAAAAAAATTTGAAAAGAAATAAAATAATATTTTTATGTTTTGACGTGGTATCGAGAACCGTGGTTAACTTTAGAGGCTGTTACTGTCTATAGAGTATATAATGATTAGGTTGTAGTAGTCTTTAAGAAAGCCGATGTCGTGAATTGTATATTATTGAATTTGGCTAATCCCATGGAAATTGTAAAGAGAACGTATTGGAATGAGAGAAAGAGAGAAAATGCAAGAAAATGAAGAGAAATGAGAGATGAGGAATAAAGAAATGTGTGTTAGAAAGAGAGGCAGAAAAGGTGTGGTATGGGTTGAATACACAAGTAAGGTCCTCATTGTATTTACACAGACTGTACCTCAAAAAAAGCTCAATTTGGATGTATTTATGAAACAATCATCATTATCTACAAAACTTTTTGTATTAAAGTCTTTAAAGATAATTTGACAGACGTAAAGTATATTGAGTACCAAGGCGTAGATGTCATAAAAGAGGCACATTTGCATATTGAATCGTATGAAGTAACATTTCGATAGATTCTTACTATTACAGCTGATCCGTTGATAGAGTTGATTTGTATTTTAGCTTTTGTTTTTTTTTTAGGTGCAAATACTAAAAAAAACACTGTCAAGATATACACATTTTAAAGATTGTCGTTCATATAAATCACTATCAAAGATTCCATAGTAGTAGCTATTACGGAGCTTTCTTTCTATTTGATCACATTTTGGAATCCAATTCTCTTGCTTGATTTTAGGATTACAGTCTATAGCATTGAAATCAAACCCGACTTATAGGGATAACGAAAGCAAAGCTAAAATGGTGTTTTGATGGCGTGGACTGGGCAGTGATCCAGTATAAAACATATTGTTTGGTAAAATGTACCGAGAATTTTGTATGAATCTTATTGCATGAATGATATTGGCGTAATATTAACAATAATTGTAGATAAGTAAATATTTTGTGAAATTACACTAAAAATAAGCTTTCTACTGGAAAATATAGTCTACTTTTTTCTGCAGTGGAAAAAGAAATACTCAGTGGTAAGCACAAAAGTTTATAACCAGGGATTAGGATGTTAAGGTATTTCTGTTGTCAGCTACAGTAATCATAGTCAAGGGCTATATTAAGTATGTAAAGATAATCCAGGGACAAACTTGAAGTTAACGACAATTTCGACTGTAGATATTCAAGTTCATGGAAACGATATATATGCATTTTTATTTATTCTTTTATTTTCATGTATATCAAAGTTTTTTTTTTTTGGAGTCCTATCTCACAGATCAGTAAATATAAAAAACCGGAAAGCTGACAAAGTGGTGAGAGACAACATAACTAATTATACACTGGTATAAATAATAATGTGAATGTTGCAATAATCCAACAATAGCTTAAATTTTAAATCAAATGAAAGTTTATGCTGGAAAGCACAGTTTATAGCAAGAGGTAAATTCAACAGCTTCCGCAAATATCTAAATTTGGTAACTGTCTTTAGGAGTCACGATGAGTACTGTTCACCACAATCTCAGACGGAACGAGAAAATGCTGAAACTGGCAGAGAATGGAGAAAGTGATCTCTTGGTTTCATTTACTTTTTTTTGTTCTTTTTTTTTCCTAAAAAAGAAGTAATCAACATGTCGGATTCTACTACTGCTATTGCTCGCTCAGCACGTCTTGCTTCCGTTGCCATGCAATCGGTTACTAATGAGCAGAAGAATGAAGCTTTGTTGGCAATCAAGAAGTTCTTAATTGACAGACGTCAAGAGATCTTTGAAGCCAACGAAAAAGACAAGAAGGTAGACCGCAAAAGGAAGGATCATACAAACAATTACTCTGCAGATATTAATGCTAATAATGATATTAATCCGATTATTTTACTAATTCTTTATTTTCATTTTCATTTTTTTAAAAAAAAAGTTGGCCCAGGAGCAGGTTGCTCTTGGAAAGTTGTCTTCTTCGCTTTTTAAGCGTTTGGATATCTGTCAATCCGACAAGTTCGATACTATTGTCTCGGGTGTAAGTGACATTTGCCACTTGCCTGATCCTACAAAAAGGATCACCCTTGCTACCAAGCTTGACAATGATCTGTCACTTTACCGTGTGAGCGTACCTGTCGGTGTACTGCTGACAATTTTTGAGGCTCGCCCTGAGGTTGTTGTCAACATTTCTTGTCTGGCACTCAAATCTGGAAATGCTGTGATTCTCAAAGGCGGTAAGGAAGCCCTTCACACAAATGCTGTTTTGGCCAAGGTCATTCAGGATGCCCTTTCCCATTCCAGCGTTCCCCGCGAAGCAGTTCAGATTGTCGAGACACGTGAGGATATCGATGCCTTATTGGACCTTGACCGTTACATTGACCTGGTTGTTCCCAGAGGAAGCAACAGTCTGGTGAAATATATCCAGAACCACACCAGGTAAATATCTACGGGTTATTGTGCTACTTTGAACGAGAGAATTCATCCATGCTTGCGTTTGTATATGCGTGATAAATAGAATCCCTGTCTTGGGACATGCTGATGGTATCTGCTCTGTCTTTATCGATGAAGAGGCTGATATGAACAAGGCTACAAGAATTGTAGTAGATGCCAAGGTAAGATTATATATGTGTTAGTGTGCTGGGCCTAGATACTTTTGGATAAGTTATTGATAAATCAGTAAATATTGCACAGACCAATTACCCTGCTGCTTGTAATTCTGCTGAGACTCTTTTGGTTCACGCTTCTTGGTTGGCTTCTGGTAAATTCACTGTACTGGCTACTGCCTTGTTGAAGGCCGGTATCCAGTTGAGATGCAATCCTGACATCCTTGCTGCCCTTGATGGTCTTAAGGCTGAGTTCGGCGCCCAGATTCAGGCTGCCACACCTGAAGACTTTGACACCGAATTCTTAGATACCATTTTGGCTGTCAAGTCTGTCAAGGATGTCCATGAAGCCATTGCCCACATCAATGATCATGGCTCAAAGCACACTGACTGTATTGTAACCGAGAACAAACCTAGAGCTGAGTTGTTCATGACACAGGTTGACGCTGCTGGGTGTTACTGGAATGCAAGCACTCGCTTTGCTGATGGTTTCCGTTATGGTTTTGGAGCCGAAGTTGGTGTCTCTACCAACAAGACTCATGCCCGTGGCCCCGTAGGTCTGGAAGGTTTGGTGATATACAAGTACCGTGTCCATGGTAATGGTAATGTTGCTGGTGAATATGGTACTGGCCAGAAGCAGTATCTTCATACTCCCATTTCTCCTGAAAACTACGAAATCTAAAACAGTAAATCCTTAAGCGCTATATATTTTCTGATTCTCCTGTAACCTTATATATATTGGAAAATTAGTATTATGCTTGCTTTTATTTTATTTTTCAATTTCATTTGATATATATATATAAATATAAATTTGTAAAAAAAATGAATTGAATTGAATTGGAATGAATATACGTGATATTATATGTATTCATATTTGTGTGTATGGGAAGGTGGGTGGATGTGGTATGTTAGTATAAGAAATAATATTTGAGGAGATTTCGTGGGAGAATTAGGCGTAACGATGCAAGGGGGAAAGAGTGTTGGCTCGACTATGATATGTGTGGTGGCTGGATTCACTGTGGTCTGATAATGAAGCCTGAGAAGCTGTCTCGTTGGGCCAGTCTACAAACAGACCTTCTTCATACTTCTCCCACGAAAGAGTTGGAATACTTGATGGGTCAAAGGTACCTTCGTCTGCTGCAACTACTACCACAACACCTTTGTCACCGACTACTACGCGAGTATTTCCCCATGAAAAATCATCAAAATGCCAATAAGCATAAATAGGGATGTAGAACGAAAAGACCGGAATAGCAAAGATCGAGACAATCATCCAGATCATATGCTCCCATTTGCGATGTAGAATGAATATAACTGCTTGGAGTCCATAAACACCCGCGATAGTAATCATAGACATGACCGGTACACCATCAGTAGAGGTTACCAATGAGTAGATCAGGTAAATCAAGTATCCGACGATTGCTGGCTGAACAAGCGTGCTCACAAGATCTAGCATAACCACAAATCGCATAGAGAAGCAGCAGAAACCACACAGCTGGGGTAAGAATACAAGCTCTCCAAGGTTATGGATAGTAGAGTTGATCCACCGACGACGCTGGGACAGCAGTACCGACCATTGATCTGGTGCATTTGTAGCGCATTGGGCGTCTGGAATAAACTTGGTTTTGTAATTTGGAAAGTGCTTCAGAATGAGGGTTGTCAGGTACCGATCCTCGCCAAGGTGCAGTAGATTCTTCATATGTAAGGTATCAACCTTATTAATTTGATAATCCTCGATAACTTGGTTTGAAATCAGGAGTGGCTGGTTTTTTGAGGGTGAGCGCACCCGGTACATGCAGAAGCAACCTGGCAAGCATGTAACAGATCCAAAGAGGGACTCGAATGCCTTGATCATGTAATGCGAAATAAAGTACTCGTATACTTGAATCATAGTAACCCATGTATCCTTCTCATTGGATAACACCGTCTCTCCACACAAACCAATGATTTTGGAATCATGTACAAACGATGATACCATTCGGTTTAACCCATCCGGAAGAACCTCTGTGTCTGCGTCTACCATCAGTACGAATTCATAAAATGCTGGGTTTACACCAATTACGTTTTTTATCTGATGGAAAATCTCGAGCTCCATAGGTGTCATTGGTGCATTAAAATGAACCTTGTTCAGGAACCGCATCAATATCAACTGTGAGTCTCGTTTACCACGATTGCCTGGTTTTTGCCGCTCACTTGGTTTGCCAACTTTAGAAATCACAATGTAAGGCACTACATGACCGGAGCACTCGTACAGTCCGGAATACACCTTGGCCATATTGTGCTGCTTCTGGCCCTCACCAATTGATAAGAATGAAAGTGCCTCGGGGTCTATAGTAGAATCGACACCAAGAATGTCTAGAACAATACGAGGGGTGGGGCGGTCGTTACCGCCACCAATAATCATACCGTCGCAAATTATAAACAGTAATTTACGTTTATCGTCGTATTTTAGAGCCGCAATTGAATCAATCGTTTTCTTGAGGGACTCTTCGTCTTCAGTGTAACAAGGCACCTGGCACACAATAAATTTGTCATGGTTTTCGGGTTCTCGCATCGTACCAAATTGAAGAGCTGCAAGGAACTTAAATACGATAACCAGGCAAAGAAATATTGTTACAATCAAAAGCAAGTATTCCGAGAATATACATCTAATTGAGTTGCGTTGATCGACAGTTCCGACGTAAAACAAATTTCTAAGACAGACTTCTTGACGCTGGCGAACGTCCGGATCAAGTGGTAGGACATTCCAGTAGTTTGTGATATCGGTACCTGACTTTTGTCGGAAAAGATTAACGACAGTATCCGACATGAAATTCAGATCCACATTAGCCGGCATTGGTTGTCCATCTGGAACTTGAATTCTTCGACTTCCCATAATATAATACGTCAAGTCATACACATTGTTGTTCAGGATTGCCCAGTTCCGTGTTGCCCGCATTCCACCCAGACTAACCGGATTCGTAGCTTGTAGTACTACATCTTTACTTACAAATCCCATGGTACCAATTTTGTAATTCCTTCGCAGGTACACCATTTTCTCAAAATACCAATCTGGCCGAAAATCGCCGCTCCAGGCACGAAAGTCATGGTATTTTGCATTTGTGTCGGTCAAGTTGACGTGAAAGTCCATCGAGATCCAATCAGAAAGGGCACCATTTACGCCCTCGCACAAAGAAGAAACTTGGACCGGAAAGAGATCGCTTACGTCTGTTCCAGCATAGGCCAGTACAGATTGAGTAGATATAACGTCTGAAGCCCAGTGGTGAGGGGCAAATTTTGTCAGATCAAACACTTCGCCGTGGATAGCAACGTAGGCGCTCTTCTTGGTGTTGTGTGCCTGAAGTTCGGACTGTGAAAATACATCTTGATGTGGACAGACAAGTTTTCCAAAGAAAACCAAGAACCATATAATAAAACCCGACATCAAGAAGATAATCATACACAAGGTGAGTTTCTCGCGCCAAGCCAAGCGCACGTCGGCACGTTTCATACGGCCACACCACTGTAAGCATGGAGATGGCACCCACCAGGTCATGGCCCATACAAACCACACCCATCGTTTGCGAACTACAGAGACTTGTTCTGCCTCCTGAGGACTGCTGCCATTTCCAGTCTCACCGTTACCATTGCCGCCAGTGCCCGCAACTCCCAATCCGGCATTTGCTCCTCCTCCTCCACCACCACCACCAGTACCATTTCCTCCACCTCCTCCACCAATCATCCCATTTACGCCGTTTAATGCACCATCCATTCCACCCAAAGGCAACACATCATGAAGACCTGAAAGTACGTTTTTCTCGGCGTCGTCCTGAGGGTTAGAGTCGGTAGGAATAGCCGTTTCTTCGGATGCAAAAGATTGGTTGTCAGTACGATCGCTCAAAGGCTCAAGCTGTCTTGAAAGCTGTGGATGATTAGGTGGACTGCGTCGATCTACAGCAGAATCTTCAGAAAGTGAGGTTAATAGATCTCCGGAACTATATGAAACTCGTGAAAGGGCATCAGCGCTCATGTCCCGCCGAATAGCTGGGTATGATAAGCTAGATTTGTTTTGTCGCTGTTGGTCTTTTTCAAGCGTCCGCACACCATCTTCCAAATGGCGCCAAACGGATTCTGATAAGAATATCTATTAGCGAGAAACATATATAACAGAATAAAGAAAATAAAACATTAGACTTTTTTTTTTAAAAGAAAAAAGAAAGAAAGAAACGAAATGAAACGGAAAAATAAACTAAAGCAATGTTTGTTTTTTATATAAATATAGTGTACACATCTTCTTTACCTTGCTGTGGCCAATTGCTACTTGGCTGGTAGACCAACCAAGCATAACTGCAGCTGTTTCGCATTGGGTACGATAGGGACCTTTGATGCCAATGCATTGGAGAGCATCTGTGTACCGTTGACAAAACACCTCATGTTCGAATCCAATCGTATAATTTTGAACAAGACGTTCAGTAAGCGACGTTACTCCATGAGCACGCAACTGGTGCCGAACACGTGCTGTATCAAATACATTTGGAGTGTTTGAATCGTTGGGCTGAATGCAAAGAACAGACCACACACAGGTGCTTTCCATACTCCGTGTCAAGTCGTCAACAGTTGTTTGCAATTGGCCTAGAACAGTGCCTTCGTTCTCTTGCCTAGAAGCTTCGTTTGTAGTAGAGTGTTTGACTCTTGTGGATGAAGATCGCTGTGGGTACATGCCGGTGTTGAGAGTCTGATCTTCAAAAAGACGAGCAACAAACGCATTCTGAGAACCCGGGCTGTCCAAACTTGCGCGAAACAAACCGACAAAATCAGAATTCATGACCTCTCGGTTGTCTTCAAGGAACTGTTGAGGGTGGTATGCAACAGCACCATGGTAGTGCTGGATTACAAATGATCGGCTTGGTTCGTTAACAACTCGAAATAGGTCGGATTGTTGGTGTTGTTTGGCCAGGATCTCCCATAGACTGTCGGTGCGATTGGGAAATCGTCGGGTTGAGTGTGCCTGGATGATATCTACAAGACCCAGGCGTGGGCGGACCAGCAAGTCGAGACAAGCACTTTGGTTTACTGGTTCGGGACCATCAATGCCTTCACGGCTGTACTCAATCGGCTCTGTTTCGTAGATACGACGTAAAAATACCTGTTGAAGGCGCTCGGTTGCGTAATTGAGACAGAAACTGTGAAATGTGCCATCTGACTGATGGTGTGAAATAGGAAATACTCCAAGCGTGCTGTGTGCTGCAGAATCATTGTTGAGTTTTGTGTTCATGGCATCGACGAGCCAATCAAATAGCCGGCCATATATTGTCATTGCCAAGCAATCTCGCTGTTCTGCTGCCTGGTGGGCATTTAGTAGGATTGTTGTCAGGTCGTTCTTGACCCACTGAGTCTTGTAGGTCAATACATTCTCGAGTGCGCGTGCATCTACGCCAAGTAAATCTGCGCAGAGAGTAAGGATGTCGATGTTCTTGGCGTGTGCGGTTTCTTGTTGGACATCATCTACAAACTGAAGGTTTCCCAGGTGTAGGATGGCTGCTACTACTTGCATAATCTTAAGATACTGTCTTTTTCCCCAGCCCAGTGCACGGCAGGCTGCTTTGAAGTTTGTATAGTGCTGTTCTGCATCTGGAAAGACCAACATGGTCTGAGACATACGGTGTAGATATGCGAACTGGCTTGGGTCCAGTACACGCCAGAGATGTCTGTCCTGGGCTGAGCAATGAAAGACTGCCAAAAATACGTGGAATAAATGGTCTCCTGGAGAGGTACACCTCAAGAGGTTCTTATCGAGGAGGTAGGTCTTGAGACGACATCCGATCATTTTTCCGCGTGCATTGAATTGAATTTCGGTGTATTTCTCGACTCGGCTTGCATTTGGATTGGCAGTTGTACGACAATGACCAAAGAACTCTATGATCTGACGGGCTTCGAGGAGAGGCAGGGATCGTTTTTCTTTTTTGAAGCTGCTGAGATTTATCAGATGTTGTAAGATCAGATGCTCTTGTTCTGTTTTTCCACTATTTGGCTCGCCACTACAAAATTAGTAAATATATATAAATATAAGTATATGAGGTGAGGTTTGATAGAGTGAATAATTGAACCAGAAAGAGGGATTTTTTTGTGTTTTAATTATATAGTTTACCTGAGGAGTATGGATTGGTCGATCCCTGTACGTCGCATATGGAAGTAAGCCTGATTGGTGAGTTGGAAAACGTGTGGCGGGAGACTGTGTTCAGCAGTGTCTTTGTATTCTGTCACATAATCGGCCGTAAAGCTGGATTTGTACGAATTGATGGCCACGAGGGCAATGTCACTAATGCGTGTGTAGTAAATGTCATTGTCAAACCGGATCTTCAATGTGCTGATTAAGGTGTCCTGATTGATCGGATGGACCAATGTGAGATCCCAAACATTTTGTCCTTTTGTTCTTGATTTCATGACCAGACGAAATCACCAAGAAGCATTCAAAAATTGATATCCAAGAAAAAGATCAAATCAAATATCAAATACCAAAATAAAAAGTAAAAAGAACAACAACAATAATAATAGTATGAGAATGCAACGAGTCAAGACGGAATGAAAGAATAACCAAAGGGATTAATGACAAACTTGTGTTTATCTTTAAATGGGTTGGACCACTTCAAAAGGACATCTCTCTCTCTCTCTCTCTATCTATCTATCTATCTATCTACCTATCTTTATTAGAGAGAGAAAAAAGGGGGTGTGAAGGGGAGGTGAGGTGAGGTGAAGGAGGGAGCATACTAAACAAGGGTGAATTCTACCCAAGACAAGAATTTTTATTTGTTTTATTTGGATGTAGAATAAAGAAGAGTTCAGCACGTTTCTTAGTAGTTCTGGTACCTTGCAAGATCCCCTATTTTACTCTATATACTTCTTATATATAAAGATATATGTATATAAGAAAAGCCAACTATTGGATCAATTCAGACTTTGCAGCCTTGATTCCCTGTTTTTCTCTCTCTCTCTCTGTTGCTGTGGATATCTTTAAATTCTTTATGATTATTACCATTAGAATTAGAATTAGAATTGGAATTATATTTAGTAGTGATATTAGTGATATTCTTAATTAATAAAGGTATAAATAAATATGAGTATAAAAGAAAAAGAAAGAAAGAAAGAAAAGGCTGGATCACTTTGAATTTAGTCCAAGATGTCTAAAGATATTAAGGGCTGTAATGGAAGGGGAGGTTTTATAAAGAGATAGATGTATAAAAATAATAATAGACTGACAGGCTGACAGGCTGACAGTCGGGATAACTTGACTGGCCATTTGGCTGACTGGCTGACTCACTAACTAATTGACTGAGTAGCCGGCTGATTGACTGGTTGGTTGGTTGGCTAACTGAATGGCTAACTGACAGTCAGAGATAGGTAAAGATAAAGCTACATATACAGATAGAAATAAAATAAAGTAAAAGAAGGGGTAAAGGAGGAAAGAGGGGTTTGATATATAGCTTCTCTATTATTGTTTGTAGCATTCAAATGTTGGCTGTGACAATGGTGGCAATATTGATTAGAAAGAGGGCAGTGACTTACTCATATAGAACTGGCAAATATACAATTGAATTATTGGGTACCTTTTTGAAAATTCTTCTTTTTTTTTAAAAAAATTGAATTGAATCCAGACTCGCGTATTTAAATCCCAGGTGAATTTTTATCCAATAGGAGAATTGTGTTTGAACATTATCATGTTAGTGTTTTGGGGCGCATAAGCATGACAGTTGAGCAGCATTTATCAGTCGTTGTAGTCTACTTTGGCTGTAAAAGATGCCTTTCGTTTGGTTTGTACACACTTTTCTTATTTGGATTTTAACGGAAAATCATTTGTTTTCCGACAATCGTACATACAATAATATTTTTTTATCGGATCTGAGTTACATAAAATTTTTAATTCGATTGCCTAATCTGAGAGGCTTTAAGCGACATACATAAATTATGTAAATGAGCTCATGAAATAACAATTATATAAGTAAAAAAAAAAACGAAAAGAAAGTTAATTAAACGGTAAATGATAATAATATAAAAGAATATTAACATAAATAATTATTAGCAGCATTTACTATGTACTTCCAGTTTAAGTCTAGGGCCAATTACGAATTATGAATTAAAAATTATCCTTTATACTTATAAAGCATCGTCCAAATTTCTTCTTCTTCTTCTTCTTTTTCTTTTCTTTTACTTTCTTTGATGTCTATATAACAATAATGTATACAAACAAAAGTAGATATAAAGAGACACAGATAAAGAGCCGGATAATTATTCGATACACCCTGACATCGTGGCGCCATTCTATTACTTGACTTGTGTGGTTCTTGTAAACCACAGAAGATCACACAAAACTGTTTCTTACCAATGCCACAAGTACAAACACGAATAAGGACACCAAAAAGAATAATAATATATAATATTATATTATGAATCATCCTACAAATTTGCATTATGTGTGTAATTAAATAGCCTTGCCAACAAAAATTATAGGTAAATAAAAGCATCTGTAGTCTAATGGTTGTCTTAAATATCCATATAATCTTATTGTGTCGTAAAATGGATAAACTAAAGAACTAAAGAACTAAAGACAGACAGCGAAATAGGGAGAGCTGTTTAAAGAAAGAAAAAAGTATTGTAGTACAAGCAAAAATATTCATCAATTTTTTCCTGTTGTGGGTGGAATAGAGTAGTACATGTGATTGTAAAGAATAAAGAGTAGAAAAAGAATAAAGAATAAAACAAAAACAAAAGGGTTATCATAAAAGCAGTGTAGCCTTGAGCTACATGTTTTCTTACTATTTTTCCTTCTTAAATAAAATAGAATAAAAAGCTAATAGATAATTTTAGACCAAAAAAAAAATATAGCATGAAGCGGAATAGTTCAGATTGATTGAGAAGACCGAGGCTGGAACACACAGACGATGGATAGGCTACACATAACACACAACACACAATGTGTACACAAGCACACACACACATACACATACACACACTATACTATACTATACTATACTATACTATACTATACTATAAACATACACGCAATTCACAATCAAAGTCTAGCTGTACGTCTTTAACCAAAGACCAAAGTCTAGAGAATACCGGGAAAGGTAGGGTTACCGATACATGTGAAGTCAAGGTAATAAGCAACACAAGATGTCAAGTACAAAAAGCAAAAAAGTACAAAATATATACATTTATATTTTTATCTAATTTTATCAATTCTTTGTAATTAATAAAAATAATATATATAAATGAAGGGATTATCAACTAACAATTGATAATTGATAGGCATATGCTCCAGTCTAGAATTACATTTCTTCTTCTTCTTTTAGCTTGATTTTAGGGCATCATTATTACTTTTTATATATACTCTATATTCTGTTAGCTTTATTATGAGCCAGTAATAAATATACATATATTCTATACATAAACACACCGTAAAGTTTGTTCTTTTTTTGTCCTTTTTGTGTTGCTCCTGTCGAGAGGGCTTAATCGGACATCAAAGTGCCTTCAAGATGCGTGCAAGCACACGGTCCAAAAAGTCATCATGTCGTACCATCGAACGTGGTTGTGGCAAACTGACTCGTGGTGCGGGAACCGAGTGGCATCATGTAAACTCGTATATGTCAATCGATATTTAGCAAGTCCTAATTACGTTTCTTTTTTCGCTCTTTCTTTCTTCGCTTCCTTATTCTCATTATCATTATTTTTTTTGTCTCGTTTCGAGTTTTATCATACATTTTCGTTCCTTCACTTGATTCCTTTATTCATTGATTCATACACTGCTCTTTATTGTACTTTAATATAATAATATTATTATTTAAAGTATATTTATATATTAAGCAATCATAAAACAAAAAACCAAAAAAAAACCCAATCGCTTTTTTATCTTCAATATGGGCTTATTAAAACTCGGTAGCATCTACAAGTCACGACAAAAGACAAAGGAGAAGCAGGCTCCTCTCCAACCACTTAAGATTGAATTGGAGTCTCCACTACGAATCTCAACCTTGCCAACCAAATCACCAGTTTCAACAGTCGTCGCTGAACAGCAGGCACCCGCGGGATCGGGTAGTCTTTTGGACGACATCTTCTCAGAACTGAACAGCAAACCATTTGCTGTAGCACCAGTAAAAGGTACACAAAAAAAAGACTAACCTTGTAGTTTATCCATTATAAGAACAAGGCCGAAAAACCCGAAAATTCTATCCGAAACAAAAAAAAAAAACAAAAAAAAACCATGGCAACAAACAACAACCATAACCATAACAACAACAAACAAACAGCAGCAAATATTACAATTAGTCGATTTGATTTGATTTGATTTCTTAATTAATTAATTAATCAAATAATAACCTTTTTTTTCACCTATTATATATATATATATATATGGAATTATAGAGGATTATCAGGATGATGCTTCATTAGCAATGGCCTTGGCACAATCCTTATATCTCGAAGAGTCCCAGGATGATAAGCATACGCGTAACCACCACAAACCAACTGTCACCAGCCCACTCACGCCCCCAGCTTCAGGCTCCAACAACAGCAACAGCAACAGCAACAATAGCAATAACAACAACAAGAGCAGCAGTAATAATTATCAGCTGGGAAGTGATAGTATCTATAGTAGCTATATCAACTCTTTACGCTCGCTGGACGAGGATAACAACAACTACAGTAAAGACAACCGAGAAGATTCATCCCTGAGCACGTCTATATTTGCATCTTTGCTTTCACCCTCATTGTCAACCTACTCCTCTACCACCACTACCCCTGGCTCGGCCGCAGCTAGTCTTGGAAGATCGAACCAGTCAGTGTCGTCACCCACCCTGGCCACGTCCTCCAGATCCATCATGGAAACACACCAGCAGCAGGTGCCACAGATGCCACCGCCAAAACCCAGTCCGGCCGTCCTGGACTCGGACTTGTCCGACTCGGACGAAGTGTCAGACAGCGATGGACATCTGTCAGACGCAAGCGGTCCACGCAGAACAAAGGGCATGCAGCCCATCATGGCCAGGCGCACCCAGGATCACCGTCTGATGGTGCAACGTAAGATTGACCGCTGGACTGACCGTGTTGACGCCGACGCCACTCTGGTAGAAACCAATGAATCGATGATTGCACGCATGAAGGACAGACACCGACAGCAGTTCAAGATGGCAGCCATGCGTAGCCAGCAGCAGCAACAACAACAGCAGTTTCAACAGCCACCGATGATGGCTCCTCTTCCTCCTCCTATTGTTGGTGGTGTGAATATGATTCCGCCATTTGTGATGCCAATGGTTGTGCCACCTTATCAAGGCAGGGTATACAACAATGCGCCAGAATACGCTGATCCGATTAATGTGATGGCATACCCCTCGATGCCTACCCTGACATCTCCGATTGAGCCACCCCGACCACGCTATGCACGTTCTTCAGTTCCTGCTTCGCCTGTTCTGACTGCCGAAAGTGCGGGAAGTGTATCGTCGCCATCATCAACCCATTCTTCCCAACAGCCGGCATCAACGCCTTCGCTCACTCCAGCTTCAGAACCAGTGCAACAATCTCAGGTTGCACCAGAGGCAGATGCGGACGATGAAGAAGAAGACGATCGACCGGTGATCGAGAAGCGCAAGTCTAGACGATCGCTCAGAAAAGAGCCAAGAGAAAACCACGTGGACCGAAAAGATGAGGGCCCGGTGGAGATGGCGCCGAAGAAGGAAAAGGTGCACGATGGACAGGAAATCTCAGTGCGACACGCCCGGTCATCCCCAAGCTTGAAGAAGAAGAAATCAAAAAAGGGAAGCAACGAGAGTGGACCCAATAGTCGCCGCAACAGTCAGGATGAGATCATTCCTACGCCCCGCCGTAGCACTTCTACCGCCACTAACCAGGCTAATCTGCACCGCTTGAAGCACACAAAGAGTGAACCTGAAATTGCACATCGACACAAACAGCAGTACCCCAATTACAATCAACCCATGATGCCTCTTCCTCCTAATATCCAGACCATGCCTCCTATCAATCACCAATCATCAAACTACTACAGCCAACAACAGCAGCAGCAAGCCCAGCAGCAGGCCCAGCAGTATCAACAATTACAGTTACAACAACATCAACATCAATTACAGCAGCAGCAGCAGCAGCAGCAGCATCAATCAATGCAATCTCCTCATCCAATGCAGCAACAACATCATCAATTGTTGCAGCAACAAAAGCAACATCAACAACAGCAATATGAATGGGAACGTATGCAGGCATACCAGCGTGACCAGCACAAGAAGTATGGACAGCCGCAGATGCCACGTTCAATGACTTCTCCATTGTCCCCTTCAGACATGCATTACTACGATAGATCAATCCAGTCACAAACTCAAGCGCATTCTAATTATCCTTATCCCCCTTCCATGCGATAGTCATCGTATACTCCTTTCTTTTTTCACCTTCTTTCTTTTCATTTCTTTGCCTAGATTATTGACACCCTCTTTTTTAACTTTATTGACCTTATTTATTATACTATTCTACCTTAACTCACCCTTTATTACACTACACTACATTACACTTACTACACTTACTACACGCACAGACACGAATTTATACAGCATTCAGCTTTTTATATATATATATATTATTAAAAAGGAAAGAAAGAAATAAAGAGAAAAGAAACGAACAAAATATCATCACCACTTACTATACTTCTACACACAAACACACACACACACATATATATATATAATTACTCTCTCTGTTTTGGAATATATTTTTATATATAAAAAGAATTTGGCTTTTTGTTTAAAAAATAATAATAATAAAAATAATAAGAGTAAGAGTAATAGAAAGGAGAAGAACGTTAAAAGAAGTGTACAAAAGGAGTAAAAAAAAAAGGAGAAGACAGTTAGTGAGTATGCAAGCTGTTGTTGTAAACAGTTGCTGTTGTAAGTTATGAGCTGTAGGTTGTAAAATATTTTTCTTTTTTTTTAAAAAAAAAAACTTTAATGGGATGCACTCAATTTCTTTTTTGTTTTCCATCTGAGTATTAATATCCTTTCTTCTTATATAATATTTGATAAGCCGAATGAATTACATCCACAATCGTGGGTTTAGCGCAATTAATATCTAATACCAACTTATTTTGCTCTCTTTCTCTCTATCACACTTGTGCAGTGGTCCAAGTGCCATTTACGGTGCTTTAAAACGTTAAGTCTGGGATTAAATAAATTATATTGTTTGTATATATAAATTGCTATTTATTACATATCCGACAGCAGAAAATTTAATTTCAGATGACAAAATATTCTTCCTTTCTTTAAAGACGGTGTTCTGTTATCCATTGAATGAAGGGTTATTTGTTTGTTTTGTTTTTGTTTTGTATATAAAGAAATATGCTTAAAAAAGTTTCAGTAAGAGATGGGTGAATGAATAAAAAAAATTATATCTGTTGTTGTTATTTTTTCTTATTGAATTCTGTATAATATATGACTAACTAACTTGTGCTTGTTTGTTTGTTTGTTTCAATAATAAATATTGTCAAATTCATTAAATATGTCAAGTATAAAGGTCTTTCTCTCTCTCTCTTTTTGTTCGTTCACAGTATTACCATTATTATTATTATCAAATTATTAAATTATTAAAATATCTGAAAAATAAGATTTTTTTTATTCGCCTGAATTTTCTTTCTGTCTTTTTTTTTAAAAATAAAAAAGTGCAAGAAATAAATAAGTAAATTGTAAAACAAATAGGAGACACATTCTGTTTAATTTTTTATACATGACATTTGTCTGTATGGCTGGCTTGTTTGCTTGTTTGCTTGTCTGTATTGTCTTGTACGCGTTTGTGAGGGTTGTATAGGAGAGATGTATTTGTGTATATATTTGTGCGTGTGTCTGTAATGTTGTTCAAGTAGGTTTTTTTTTGTTCGTTCGTATTTGTAAGGGGAGATATATATATATATATAATGTAGGAGATTGGTAGTTAAAGAGAAAGAAGGTGTGTGCGTGTGTTTGTGTGCTTGAAGGGCGTATAAATCTGTAATGTATAGTGTATATATTTTAATGACGCGCACCGCACGTAACAATGGACAAGATTGAATGCCACAACCCTGTTTTTGGTTCTTCTTGTTCTTGCGGGAATTCATTTTTCTTATTATCTCCATGAGGTAGGGGAGAGTCGGGCATAACTGGTACAGCAGGTACGGCCGGTGTGGGAGGCGATGGCAGGGATGCAGCTGTAGTTGTCTGAAGGGTTTTTGGGTGGCGATGACTGGCCTGGCGTTGGATCGAAGCCTGCTGTTGAGGCGATCTACGGGCCTGTGATGCATTGAGCTTTTCATCACGACCACGGCGATTCTGACGATGCTACAGGCCAAAAAAAGAAATAAAGAATAGGAGGGACAGGTGAATAATAAGAATTATATATGAATATTTTTTGTTAGTTTTTGACGATGATAATTTTAAGATAATTATGATTATGGTTTTAATATCTTTTTATGGAAATTTTCATTATTGCTATTGCTATTGCTATTGCTATTGCTATTGCAGAAAAGTATTAGAATTAGTGTATTTATTTACCTCCCATCCCTTGCCATTGTTTAGGAGCATCCAGTCATATACTGCATCGTCTGTTTCTCCCAGACGACGAAGTACCTTGTTGAATAACTCACGAAGAAAATCATAATCCGGACTCTCCTCAAATCCAAGTTTGCGAACATAATGGAGGTAGATACCAAATTCCTCTAATAAATTGATAAATAAATAAATAGATAGATAGATAGATAATGATTTAGTAAAAGAAAAAAGCTTATCTGTGTATTTACCTGGAAAGTGGTCGCAAAGATCCTTTACAGCAGTCGTCTGCTTCTTTTCTCCAATTTTCTCATACTTTTGCTTATTGGTGGCTGCCTTGAGTCCTTGCCATGGAAGGGACCCTCTCAAGAAGTACATGAACACATGGCCGAGGGACTCGAGATCATCTCGCCTTGACTGCTCTCTGCCAAGATGGGTATTGATGCTCATGTAACGGGCAGTTCCCGAGAGACTCTTGCGTTCTCGGTAGGGAATGTGCTGTCTTGTTTTGGGGTCTCTGTACTGCTTTGCCATGCCATAATCAATCATAAACACAGTGTTTGCATATTTGGATCCCGGTCGACCAATCAAGAAATTGTCGGGTTTGATGTCCCGGTAGATCAGATGGCGCTCGTGGACACTCTCTACTCTGTACAACTAATATATATATATATTGTGTAAATAATATAAATAAATATATATATTTGACATTTTTATTTTATATTTTCCTTTTATTAGTATAATCCTCCTTAATTACACGCACACACAAATTGTAGAGAAGATAGTAATAAAGCAAAACAGGGAAAAAAGAATTACCATTTGTTTGGCAAGCATGGCCACTGTCTTTGTAGAAAATTTACGACCGCACATGTCAAATAAGTCTTCGAGACTAGGACCGAGAAGATCGATGACTAGAATATTGTGAAGACCTTCCTGGCCGAAGTAATATGCACTCGGAACACCGGCTAATAAAGGCAATTATATAATATACACATATAGTCAGTCAGTCAGTTTAATTCAGGCCACTGAAGAATAACTAAACATATGGTAATAATAATAATAATAATAATTTACGCCCACACAAAATAAAGGACAGATTACTTTACGTAAACCGGACAAGATCTTGTATGTTCTGTATTCATCTCTTAGCTGGGGTGCTTCTGATTTCCGAGGTTCGAATTTGATTGCCACCGATTGGTTATTGAGTAGATTGAGACCTATTTTGTTTTTATTCGGTTTGATTTGATTTTATTTGATTTGGTTTGATTTGATTTGGTTTGGTTTGATTTGATTTGGGATTTGATAATTCGATTCGATTCGATTCAATTCAGTTCAATTCAGTTCAATTCAATTTGATTCAATTCAATTTGGTTTAGATATTTAGATATTTAGATATTTAGATATTGGTTAATATATTTATGTTTCGATTGTAAAATATTAAATATAAGGATTTGAATATCGAAATACTTTTGTTGTTTTGTTCAATTCACCTTCATATAGAACACCAAAGCTGCCTTCGCCGACCTTTTTGCCAACTCGGTAGTGCACTCCGACAATGTTCGTAGATGATGTTGATGTCGACAATGAGCTTGTACTTTGTGCAGGAGGATGATTGTTCATTGCGATCAGCTGTGTATATTATCTTTTGTTGGTTTTTTAGACTTTTTTCTTTAAGAAAAAAGGAAAGACAAATGATATAAAAAAAAGAAGAAATCTAAAGAGGAACAAGAATATATATATATATATATATTATATATACATATATTTACTTGTGTACTTGTATACTTTTATAAAATATATATATAAAAGGTGTATATGTATATATTATATATAAATATATAAATATATATATAAAGGGTAAAAAAGAAGGAAAGAAAGAAAGAAAGAAAGAAAGAAAGAAAGAAAGAGAGAGAGAGAGAGGAAGTGAGTAGAGAATAAAGAGCGAGAATTTGGCAAGGGTTGAAAAGTGAAGTGTTGTAGGATGATCTGACTGGCGCACGTGTTTTCCGTATTTGTAACAAAACCTTGCTCCTTAGATATCTTCAGTTGAAGACCGCAGTGGTAACACAGCTGGACAAAAAAACCCGGAGTCCAATTCATGGTCTCCAGTTTTTGATACAAAATATATTCTGTTTTTATTAGAATATATAAATTTATAATTAAACATTTAAATAATAAATATTGCTATATTTTCTGGTGTGTGTGTGTTATGGGTACTAAGTATATGGCCTATATTTCAGCTATCTATTTGCCATATAATAGTATACCACTGATACCACTGATACCACTCTCACACAACGCACTGTAATTATTCTCATACTCTTATTTACTTTTATGGCAGTGTGAAAAATATATAAAAAAAAAGGACTGAAATATGTGTCCCAAAAGAATCTCTAATGTCCCAAATTCAGGGACACCAACCCTTTATACTTTGTGGTAGGTATCATTTTGGGTCCAAGTGTAGTCTTAGACAGCGTCTTTTAAAATTGTAGTCGGAGTATGATAAAATTGTAGAATATACCTCCTTTTTAGAAAGGAAAAGAATAGAAATTGAAAATCAGATCTTATTGTGTAACATAATTTACTAACTTTTTTGGAAAGAAAAATCGACCTGTGTCTTAGAAAAGCTTGAAACTGACAAGAGACAGAGTATTTTCTGCTAAAGTTTGTCAAGAAAATTGATATATATATATATGGACCAAGAAGATTTATATTTAACATATAGAATCCAATTATATTATCTTTAAAGTATAAACAAATATATATATGCATATTAGATTGGATTGAATTGTATTAATATTATATTATATATAAAGGATGGCCTTTCTTTCTTTCTTTCTTTTTTTACAAATCCAAGCTACTTCCAGCAATCTTTATAGAAAGTCTATTCAGCTATATTCTTGTACAAGGGTGTTTGCGATCCAGAATGATAGAATACCCACGCTGCATACCTATTACAGTAATGATTTGTCTAATTTTTTGCAGTAAGATCGATTCTCATTATTGTCGTTTGATCAATAAACTTGGGTAAGGTTAAGTGTAGTAGATGCAGCATACGTAGTATATTGAGAAGAGAAAGCAGGGGTCGGGGGTGAGGGTGGGGGGAAGTTTGTGTCTGTAGGATATTATTGAGGTATATTGGGACATGAGTTAAACCGTTGCATAAAAGAAGAAGAAAAAAGCTTGCAAAAAATGATCCGGCTAACGCGTTTCTTGTCTCTAGATACAGTCATGGAACCTGAAAGCTCGAATTTATTCCGGGCATGAATGGTGCTAAAGGTACTGGACAAGTCAAGGCAAGTCATCGAATCAAGTTATTATTGTAGCAGTTATTACTGCCTCAATAAACTTGAATACGGCCACTCATTTTGAGCTTTTTGGCTGATTGGAACAATGATACCAGAAAGATATAATCCAAACCGTTCTGTTAAAATTTATATATTGGCTTTTTTTTCCTGCTTATTATCCGAGATACCTTGAGGAGATCCCGTATTGTTGACACTCTTTCAAATAAGATGCACTATCTTGGATAATTTGAACTCAAATGCTCCAAACTTCAACTTTTATGCTTTTTATTGTTTATCGTAACCGATCGGCTTGGTAAGTATTAAGCAATAGCGATAAATTCATACTTACAAAAAAAAAGTATTGTATTCAACTCTTATTTACACTTGTTTGGTATTAAATTTAGACTCAATATAATATTTGAATATACCAATCAGCATAATAGTAATAGTAGTAATATTAGATCAGGAAATTAGCTGCCAAACAGTTAAAGTCCTTGCCAGTCCAACCACCGCTTGTTAGGACTGGTTCCTGAATGTTTTGCGCCACACTCCCAAGAAGAATGATACTAATACCGTATGTCTAAAAGACACAAGCACACCTTAGTTATCTTTAAACTCACTGTATCTTCTTTCCTTTTCCTGTATGTATACACATAAAAACGCTCCCACATACACACTTGTCACAGTACTATAGTGAGCTATCACTACTGGAAAGAAAAAGAAACAAAAAGAGCTGGCCCCGGGGTTGCCCAGGGGAGGAGGACTCTTGGCCACCCTCCTTTCCTACCTCTTGCCCGTTATGGAAAATATTGTATCTCCGCTAACTAGCGGATGCAATATTACATTTAAATACCGATATATATATATATATATATATCAATTCTACATGGTTTTTGAATGGATAAAGATCAAAAAACCAAGCCATTTTATATTGAGCACCTAATTTGTTTTTAAAATATTTATGCACGTATTTTATGATATCTTTTAAGACCTGTTGGTGATACTCTTTAAAATATATTGTATCTTATATATATATATATCTCCCAAAACAAAAAGGAGGAGATATTTGTGTTACAACTTCATATTCAATCAATATATATAAAAGAAATAAGGGTTCCCTCAGACTTATGTATGTGAGACTAAAAGTATTTTGAGCGGGGATTTCAATTAAGCAGCTTTTTTTTTTTTAAATGCAAATATCAAAGAATAAGAGACAGTCACGACCAGATCTACGTCATAGATTATAATTACCAATTTGGTCTATTTTCTTTCTTTTCTTCTTTTTTTTTTGAATTCTCTAGGAACCCAACCTCTTTTTTTTTTATATATTATATAATATAAATTATATATTCTATATTATATTATATATTTTATATATATATATATTTTTTAATAATAATAATAATATTTTTTTTTACAATTATTATACTTTAATACACTTCTTTCACTCCTTTCATGGAGTTTGATTCACTCGATTCCTTTTTGTACCTAATTCAACAATACCGCTAGTTCATCACCCACTGAACAGGACCTTTGTCTCTATAAACACAACGATAGTGACAACACCAAATATCTCTCTTACAACCTTTATCTTAATAGTAATAATCATAATAATTACAATTTTGTTAAAGAAAAGAATACAAACCAAAAAAAGAAAAAGAAAATCCAACTAGACCAACTACAAATAGACCAGCAGTAACAACAATTCACCAAAAAGAAAAGAAAAAAAAAGAAATATAAAGAATGCCTTCTCTTCCAAAAACAACCGAGTTTTACCTTTCCGAAACACCTCAAGAGCGAGAAAGACGAATCCGCGAATTATTTGATAGTCTGGATCGAAAAAACAAAGGTGTTTTGGATAGTGAAGCTATCCAAAAGGGCTTTACGACCATGACCCACCTTCCGGCACGAACAAAATACGTCAACGAGCTACTCGACAGGTGCGACACTAGTCACGACGGTCTGGTTGATTATGCTGAGTTCAAGACATATGTGACCGACAAGGAGCGAGAGTTGTGGAATCTGTTTGGAAAACTCGACCAGAGAGGAGACGGCCGACTACGACCGAGCGATGTGGAAACTGCCCTCCGAGGAGCAGGAATCGAGATTTCTAAAGAAGAGTTTGGTCATTTTATACAATTGATGGATTTAGGCAAGTTAATCTCCCAATTAAACAATTTAATGGTATTTTATATATAAAATCCTATTTCAAGAAAGCTGTGCTATTTACTGTTTAATATCAGTGCCAACAGTATTATTAACATGATCCTTTATTTGACTTTTGTAGATGGAAATGGTTCTATTGATTTCCATGAATTCAAAAACTTTTTGCTGGTAAATGAAATGGACATTTATTTGCATTTATTCGAATTTATTGACAATTTTATATATATTGTATTTAGCTGTTACCACAATCCAACATGAGTGACATGTATCAGTACTACCAAACATCGACACAATTAACCCAGGACGCAGAAGTGATCATTCCACCCACAGACGAGGCTGCTCATCATGCATGGAGATACCTGTTGGCTGGTGGTGTGGCTGGTGCGGTGTCTCGCACCTGTACTGCCCCATTTGATCGCCTCAAGGTATATCTGATTACTCACAGTCGACAGACACCCCCGGTCACACTGACAAGTGCAATGCGAGCCATTTATGAAAAAGGTGGCTGGAGAGGATTTTTTGTCGGCAACGGTCTAAATGTGGTCAAGATTGTGCCCGAATCAGCGATCAAATTCTATGCCTACGAAACCTGTAAAGGGTTGATGGCCAAGGCATTGGATTGCGAAGACAAGGATAGTATTCCGACCAGTGCACGGTTTATTGCCGGTGGTATGGCAGGTCTGTGTGCCCAGTTTATGATCTATCCTGCCGAAACTCTCAAGACTCGGATCATGTCTCAAGGAGAACGGACGCAGGTCTTTAAGACAGCCAAGACCATGTATGCGCGTGCTGGAATTCGCGCCTTTTGGCCAGGTTTGGTAAGAAGCGCAGATAATTTAAATTGAGGAATAAGTTTATATATTTATTTTTGGACTAATTGTATTAAACTTTATGTATTAGACATTGGGAATGGTTGGTGTTTTTCCCTATCAAGCCATGGATCTTGGTAAGTTTTTTTTTTAAAAATAAAATAAAATAAATAAATTAGATTTAGCTTTTGTTTATGAGATTCTTAAAATTTATACATATATATTAAATGTATCTTAATCCTTTTGATTCGATTATCGTTATTTTAATTTAGGTATCTATGAAACGCTCAAGATTTCATATCTTCAGTACGCTGACCGAGAGTATGGAGAATCGCGAGATAGACAACCAAGTGTGCTTGTACTGTGGGCATGCGGTATGGTGAGTGGGTCGATAGGTGCCACAAGTGTATATCCTCTTAATGTCATCCGAACAAGGTAATTTGTCATTTCTTATTTTCATTGTTTATTGTTTGTTATCTGCTTCTTTGTTTATGTGCGCGCGTGCGCGTGTGTGTATGTATATGCTTGTGTCTTGTTTCGATTCAATTCTAGCTTAGGTTTAATCTACACTCTACGCGCGCGCACACACACACGCATGAACGCACATGTGTGTATGTACTTATGTACTTGTGTACTTGTGTACTTGTGTATGCGCATACATACATATTCATTTATTAAAAAAAATACATGTTCTTTAATAATAATCACTATATAATATTACCCTTGTGTTTTCTTCTTCTTTTAATGATGATATTGGTATTGATATTGATAATGAATGTTGATGTTGATTTGTGTTATCTATCATTCAAAGGTTACAAGCTCAGGGTACACATGCACACCCTCATTATTATGATTCCGCTTGGCATGCTGCAAGAGTCACCTATCAAAAGGATGGCGTACGAGGATTTTACAAGGGACTGGGACCTACTCTTTTAAAGGTAAATACAAATTGTGTATACATATATAGATTACTTACATAAACACTTGGTCATTTATTTGTAACATTTATATATATATATATTAAATTATAGGTGGTTCCTGCTGTCAGTATAACTTATATAACTTATGAATGGAGCAAACGAGAACTCGGTATTTCATAGTATCACCATTGCCATTACCATTACCATTACCATTTCCGAAAATCCACACAAAATTCTTCCCTTCTTCCCTTCTTCCCTTCATTCCTTTCTTTCTTCTTTCCTTCCTTTATTAATCTTCTGTTGTTTTATTATTATACAAGTCTCTTGCTCTATATTTGTTCTCTTTATATATATATATATATATATTTATATTATATTGTTTCTTGTTTGTTTGTTTTTTCTTTCTTTCTTGTCTTGATGTATAGTTGTTATTTTTTATTTTATTTTATAGTTGTAAACGTCTCCCGTCGATGCTCCGCATTCGGTGGAAGAAGCTCCAGAGTAAGTAAAGTGAAGTGTATATATATATATATATATATATATATTGTTTTTCTTTAATAAGAAAGAGCAAAAAGAACAAATGAATCATTGAAGAAAGGAAAATTGAGGGAATGTAAGGTAGAGAATTGTACCAGATTAGATTGATAGATAAGTAAATTTGATCAATTGATCAATTGATTGATTGATTTATGGATGATCTTCACGTTCAGGCCAAATTCACACGGATTTATAATAATAATCCTTACAAAATAAATATATGTGTGTATCTTCAAGTTTTTATCTATCAATCAATATAAAGCAAAGCAAAACAAAATTTACGCTTTTTTCTTCGTTTTTTATTTTTATTTTTATTTTACACACAAAAGAAGATTTGGATTTTTTGCGTGTGTGAAAAGGACCAAATAAAATACACATACACAAATGAATGTTTTTGACCAGTTTTGGATGAGATTTCTATTTTACTTTCTTCAGTAGATATTATTTATAATACGTATAAATGTATACATACATGAAGAAGGCAGGACAGGGGCTTGGGCTTGGGATGGGGGGTAGGATAGTAGAATAGAGTATAGAATATATAAATAGTGTTATGTGGGTGGCATAAGAAAATTTCAGGTAGAACAAAGTAGAATATAACAATATAGTGTGTAGTGTGAGGTTTATTAAGCTCAAATAAAGGTTGGAAAATGTACAAATGCAAAAGAAAGGATAAGAAGAAAGTAATATAAGGGGAGAGAATGCGTGTGTATTGGGTGCGTGTTTTGCCTAATATTCTTAATTTATTTATTTATTTTTTGGGGTGGAGGGTGAGGGTAGGGAAAAATGGAAAAAAAGGAAATAAAAAGAAAAGAAAAAAAAGAGGATCATTACATGGACCTGGACAAGCGCTCTTCCAGCTCAGCCACCCGTGCCTGCCATTTCTCCTCTGCACGTCGATCAGCTTCTTCTTGAACACGGTCCACCATACGATCAAAACCGTGGCGATACTTGAGTTTCAGAGCCTCAAATGTGCGTTCCTGTTGTGTCAGCATGATCTGCTTCTGGACCTCAAATTCGTCCTGTAAGACCTGTTGGCGATAACGTGCCATGACTGCCGGGTGTCGATCCAACAGGTCTTCAGGACTCACTGGTTCTTCCAGGGACCGCTCTAAGCGTCGGATACGCACTGCCTGAGCATCGAGTCTATCTCGTATCAGGTCAGCCACATCCTGCTCTCTGCAATTGGGAGGAAGTATGTCACAGAATAGATCTTTTAGGTAATTCGGAGACGCAAAGGGTGAAGAGTTGATATTATTGGCATTATTATGATTATTATTTTTAGTGTTAGTGTTATTGCCGTTGCTGTTGCCGTTGGTATTAATATTGGTATTGATATTGGTATTTGTATTTGTATTTGTATTGATAATTTTGATATTCCTATTGTCATTCTTATTGATGTGGTTGTGGTCGTGGTCGTTCTGGTGGTGAGGATTGGACCAAATCGAATACGCGTTAGGAGGCGGTTCTTCCCACTGAGTGGCTAGCTGTAAATGGGGCCGTTGCTGTTTAAACTGGAGCGCAGATAAAGGTATCGCATGAACACTTCCTGTAGTCCCACTCCTCGGCCTCACCCAGGTTGAACATGGTGTCTCACTCTTTGAGGGTCTAGAAGGAATATGTTCTTGTTGTAAACAGGGATTTGCCGATCGAGTGCGTACCATTGGAGTATCAATGACCGATGGGGGTGAGCTGGAATTTGCGCTTGATGGTGAGATGCTGTATTGAAATGTGTCGCTCAGGGGAGAATGAGATTGGGATCGACCGTCCATACAATGAACACGATGGGCTTCTATTCGTGCCCTGACATCAGAAAGCATGAGGAGAGTGGCAAATAATAAATAAAAGAAGATAAATAAGTACAATATATATCTTTTAAAAAACAGCAAGAAGATAAAATGGAATATTAAATATATATATATAAAGGAAAAGGGAAAAAAAAGGTGATTTTTTGCTTACACAAGAATATATATATATATATATATATGTGTGTGTGTGTGTGTGTGTTTGTATGCGTGTGTTTACCTTTCTCTCTCTGTTTCTTTCTTTCTGCGTGTGTGCGTGGATGGGTGGGTGTGTAAAATGTAAATGATACAGCTTGTACTGTAATGTACAAGATAGTGAATATTTATACTTTTATATATAAATATGGAGATTTTTAGCAGCAGTAGCAGCAGCAACAGCAGTAATAGTAATAGTATCAGTATTAATATTAGTGGTAGCGATAATTATAATGATAGTAATAGTGATAGTACTATAGTTATTGGTATTGGTATTGGTATTGGAATAATAATGGTAATGATAAATGTAGTGATGATGATAGAGTGGTAACTATAGTGATGTTAATGGTTTTATTGATATTAATAGTGGTGGTGGTGGTGATGTTCGCATCTTTATTTATGTAGCACTATCGACACGTGCTTGGTATATATATACTTTTTTTTCATATATATATATATATTATTTTATATTTTATATTTTCTCATTTATCTTTTGGGTTTAAATGACAGGCTTTGGTTGACCAGGCAATGATTTCTCGAAAGGTCAGAGAGATGCGTTTGTCGCGAGGAACAGGATCACCTTCTGCAGTATAATCGACAAGCTCTTTAGAAATCCCATGTTTGTAGTCATAGCGGGCCGATTGTTGTAATACAACCATCGATCGACGGGCTAACGAACGGTGGTAATGATAATAAGGAGTAACATATATGAAACCAATAATGAAAAAACAAAGATATTCATATAAGGTGTCAGTGAGATATACAAAGGTAACATACTACTGTTCAGCTGTTGCTATTGCTATCAATGCTGTCACTCACGTAATAATATATTGTGAGAATCTTGTTTGCTTTCAAACTTCATTACACAGGGAGACAAAAGGGAGAGCGACAGAATAGAAGGACCAAATAGTGCAGGGGCATCTATCAGCAAGACACAAATAATAAAGATAATAAAGATAATACTAGAAAGGGTCAATTACATGCTCTTTAACTAATGAATATGTATATATGTTATTATTATTATTATTTGTGTGTATTTGTGCATGCATATGGGTATATAAAAGAAATAGAAAAAACTTGCCAACATGCGGCATGATGCCCTGTCCTGCATTATATTCATTGACCAGCAGATGGTTTGGTGCAACAGGCATGAGGCCAAACTCCATGATACGTGTAACCAACCGGCTCACAAATGGCGGTAAGGGTCCATATTCTTCAAGAACCTCTCTATTTTATGATATATTATAATGATAATTATACATTTAATACATTTTGCTTGTTAATTTACCTATATCGATAACTAAACAAGTGTCCATATTGCTGTGTTCTTCTCTTCAACTCTGGGTTAGGTCTATTATAGAAAAAAAAAGGTTGTAGGTTGTATTTTATATATATAAAAAGGTCAACCCTAGATCAATATTATATCCTTTTGCTTTTCTTCTTCCCACCCCTCTTTAACTCTCATATATCCCAGGCATTCATATAGAACTCTATTTACCCAATCCCTAGACCTGACCACTCTTCTCTGTTGACTGCTTCAACAAGATACTCTTCCTCTTCAGGGCTAACAAAATCATACAAAACAGATAAGCCAGGAATAGGAAAGTCTGTATTCAAATTCATTATCTTTTTTTTCGTCTTTTCTTTCTTTTGTTTTGAAATTTATAGTAAATAAATAAATATTTAAAAAAATAAAAAAAGAAATTCCAAACAAACAAAAAATATTTAATAATTATTCACAAAGTCAAAACTGAAACAAAAAAATAAAAATAAAATAGAGAAAATCTGGGTACTAAAAAGAAAGACACCACAAGTACAACCGTGTGACATCACTCACAGTCTTGCGAAACATGAACACAAAGCTGCCAATTTTTTTTTATTCTTCTTTTTTCTTGTAAAAAAATAAGAAAACGCATAAATAATAAAAAGGGCATAATAAAAAAAATGCAGCACTAAATGTCGCAAATTTACATACGACAAATATCGCAATTATATAATCGGCGATACATTTGTATTATCGCGGAGCTTTGAATTCAAATAAAAATAAATGTTCGCCATATTTCTTTTTTGGACCTATTAAAAAAAGAAAAGAAAAGAAAGGATTCAATCGTTTTACAAGTATCATCATCGTCATGTCACTTGCTCAGTGGAGACAATTCAACTTTTTCGACAAGCAACAAATCACAGATGCTGTAGACAAAACAAAGTCTCCTCAACTATTTCAAGTAAAGAGAAGGACCAAAAAAAAAAGAAGAACCGTTATACAATTCAATTGCTTAATTGTGATTCTTTTTTTTAAAAAAAAAAACAAGAAACAAAAAGGCATAATAATTGTATTAAAAATTTACACTGTTCTTCCTTCTACTTCTTCTTCTTCTTTATATTACTCAGTCTCCAGATATCACAGTATTTGCTGCTGGTAGAGGCCATGTCGCCTATGCAGATATCCTTTTATATATATATACATATGTTATGGTCGCTTGTCTTTTGTTCTTTAACATACATGAAAAAATAACTAAAAAAGAACAGACCTTTATTACATCCTTGACCTAAACTTACATTCCTCAGGCTCAGTCTTCATTACCGATCGTCATTTCAAAGCACAATCTTTTATGGCCTATGAAGGAGGTCGTGTTACTCACATTAAGCAACTCAAGCAAAAGAATGTTTTGGTTACTATAGGCGTAAGTATTTTTTTTTGCTTTGTTTTGAAAAATGTATTTAATTTATATATACATATATATATATTAGGATGAAGATATGGTCACGAATACTCCTGTAATCAAGTTTTGGGACCTTGATATTCTGGATAGATCCAAGGCAGAAGTTGTCACACCGACGTGTCTTCGGTCAATTAAGATTCAACATGGAGGAAAACCCTACCCGGTAAATACAAATACAAATACAAATACATATATATATATCTGTGTGTGTGAGAGAGAGAGAGAGGATCAAGATTCAGAAAACAAAAAATAATAATAATTTAGGGGATATAATGAATACTTGATGTCTAATATTTAATAATAATATATATAAAAGGTATCGACATTTGCTGTATTAGAAAACATGTCTCAAGTAGCAGTGGGTCTTGCAAATGGTGTTGTTATCCTGATCCGAGGTGATCTTTCCAAGGATCGGACCACAAAGCAGAAAGTAATTTATGAAGGCCAAGAACCCATCACAGGTTATTTATATTTAATATTTAATATTTATTATCTATTTTATTGTGTGGATTATTAATGGCTTTTATTTATTTATGTACTGCATGGATTTAAAATTCAATCACATCACATCATACAAACAAAAAAGGTCTTGGGTTTCGTGAACAGACAAAATCAACCTTACTGTTTATCGTAACTACCAACAGCATAATGTCCTACAATACTACAGCCAAAGTGCCTACAGTTGTAAGTATCAATAGAAAGGCGCACAAACAAGTATATTATGAATATTACTAAAAAGAAAAGAAAAAATCAATAATGATGATACATAGACAACATTGGATGAGCAAGGCTGTGGATTAGGATGTGCTGTTATGAGTGATGCTCAAGAAATGGTTGTTGGTCGTGATGAGGCAAGTAACACATTAAATAAAGGAATACACAATTATATATGTATATCAAGCTTACCAGTATTCCTTACATCATATTATCTTTTCCAATGTCTCTCTCTGTGTGTGTTTTTTGTGATTATTATTACTTTATTAAATAATAATAATAATAATAACAGGCAATTTACCTCTACGACCCAACAGGAAGAGGCCCTTGCTTTGCTTACGACACTCCAAAATCATCACTCAATTGGTTCAAATCAAACTACCTTGTCATTGTCTCTCCCCCCGTAACAACCTCTACTCATCTCTCCAGCGCCACCCGGGCATCATTTAACTTCAAAGCAAATTCGGGAGGAACGACCGAACTCACTAAGGTCACCATCTTTGACACAGCAAACAAGTTTGTAGCATATGTGGGAACCTTTATTGGTGGTGTCAGAGGCGTATTTTGTGAATGGAATGCGGTCTGGATTGTCGGAATGGATGGCAAGATTTATCAGCTCGATGAAAAAGACACACCAACAAAGCTGGAAATATTGTTCAAATTGAATCTTTATGTCCTGGCCATCAACCTGGCCCACATGCAAAAATATGATGATGCAAGTGTCTCTGAAATCTTTAAGAAGTATGGTGATCATCTTTACGCCAAAGGTGATTACGACGGGGCAATGGAACAGTACACCCGCACAATCGGTCAGTTGGAACCATCCTATGTTATCCGCAAGGTAAATTGAATATATATATATACATACATGTAAAGGGAATACAAAAGAAAGGAAGAAATTACAGTAAACTCAAAGTATATTTTGGACATATCTAGTTTTTGGATGCACAGAGAATATACAACTTGACAAGTTACTTGCAAGAACTTCATTCGCAAGGTCTTGCCAATGCAGACCACACCACTCTCTTGTTGAATTGTTACACCAAACTCAAGGATGTTTCACGTCTGGATCAATTTATCAAGACCGATGCTGAACTCAACTTTGATCTCGAAACTGCCATTCATGTGTGCCGTCAAGCTGGATATTACGAGCATGCTGTGTATCTGGCAGAGAAGTTCCAAGAGCACGATATGTAAGTCTTTCTTTTCCTTTAAAAAATAGAGCGTTGATCAATAGAATTCATAGTTAGGGCTGACAAAGAAGAATTATATTCAAACAGGTATCTTGATATTGTCATTGAAGACATGCATAATTATGAAGACGCTCTCCACTACATCCGTAAACTCGGTCCTTATGAGGTAATAATAGAAACGATATTAAAGTATATCTTCAACTTCATGATGATTAAATACCACTTTCCTTTTTTTTCTTAGGCAGACAAGAACCTTCAAAAATACAGCAAAACATTATTGGGCCATCTCCCTGAACTTACTACCCAACTTCTCACCGATCTCTGCACCGGTGCCCTGCCATTACCACCACCTGCCACTCTTGTCCACCCAAGCAACCAACTTGAATCACCTACACCATCTATCAACAACACCAATGCACTCTCCAATCTGCCTTTCTCCACATTATCTTCACCAACCATTTCTGACCCTCACCAAAATGCATTTTTGGCTCCACCTGGCGTACATCACAAGAGAACCAAGAGCGGTTCATTGTGCTACATCCTGCCTTCACCTTGCACATTTATGCCAGCGTTTGTGGACCGCCCAGATTGCCTGGTTATGTTTTTAGAGCGTGTGTTTGAGACCCGCTGGGGTCGCCTTCCGGATCGCAACCAGACTCGTGATGAAAAGCTAACTTTATCGGTCCAAGAACAAGAGGAACGCAAATCAATCTGGCACACTTTGTTGGAACTGTATCTGATGGATAACAAAGTTTTACAGCCTTTAGGGGATAATAAGCCTATCTCGAGTCGCGAGGAAAAAAAACGTGCCAAAGAGTTCAAAACAAAGGCACTTGGATTACTTAAAGATGAGACGGTGCAATACGACACCAACCAAGCGCTTGTGCTATGTCAACTCAAACAGTTTGATGAAGGCATTGTCTATCTCTACGAAAAGACGGGAATGTACACCGACATTCTCAACTTTTGGATGGAGCGTGAAGAAACTGACCGGGTTATTGAGGGTGTTCGCAAATACGGCCCTAAGGATCCTTCGTTGTACCCAATGGTCCTCACGTACTTTTCGTCCACGCCCGAGGTGCTTTCGAAATCGACACCCGAGCTGTTATCTGTCCTGAACCACATTGACACTCAGGACCTCTTGCCACCCATTCAGGTTGTCCAGGCACTCTCTCGTAGTAACGTGGCCACAATTGGGTTGCTCAAGGGATACATTGGAAAGAAGATTGAACAAGAAAGTAGAGAACTAAAACAGAATGATGAATTGATTGCAAGTTATCGTCAAGAGACCGAGAAGCGTCGCCAAGAAATCGAGGAACTTCAGACGAGGTAAGAAGACACTTGTTTCTTTTATCTTTTATCTTTTTTTTTCTGATGTTTCAAATGTGATTATCTAGTGCACGTATCTTCCAAGTACAAAAGTGTACTAGCTGTGACGGTATGCTAGATCTTCCAGCTGTTCATTTTCTTTGCCGACACTCTTATCATCAACGGTAAGAACAATCTTCTCCACCCTTTTTTTGTCTTTAGTATTATAAATTCTTAAAGAAGAAACTGAAAATTGTGCGTATGTGTCTATATGTGAGTAGTTGTCTGGGTGATAATGATCGCGAATGTCCTCAGTGTGCTATTCAACATCGTATGATCTCCGAGATTAGACGTACTCAGGAAGCTAATGCGGATCGTCATGATCTCTTCTTTGATCAGGTAAGGATCTATTCTTTCAATAATCTTATACTATTCATAAACTAATGAGTTATTTCTGTGTTTAGCTTGACGGCGAAGAAGATGGATTTTCTCTTGTGGCAGACTATTTTTCAAAGAATACCATGGCATTTGCTAAACTTATCGACTAGTATATATATATATATTAATCATATCAAAAAAGAAGAAGAAGATAATACCCTAAACACGCACAATATATAAATATATATAAAATAAAATAAAATAAAATAAAAAATAAAATTAATTTATTTATGTATTAATTAATTAATTAATTAATTAATTAATGTGATTCTTCGCAGTAAAGAGAATAAAGCAGTAAAGGGAACAAGTTCTCTCTACCTCCAAAAGTCTAATTTTATTTCTTCTTTAAGTTACTGCATGTAATTTATATGGCCCTATTTTATATATATATGTATTTATATAAAATATGGCTGAATTAAGCCACACTTTCAAGTAAGAGTCTTTATCAGCACAAGTACCAGCAACGACAAAAAGCATTAATAATAATAATAATAATATAGTACGATTGTAATAAAAACAGTGCACTAAGCTGGAGTTTCGTTCAACCCATTCATTTTTATTTATTTATTTTATTTTACTTGCTTGAAGATGAGATTTGTGGAGTTGACCTATATATTGATGACGTCGATATTGGCCCATGTTTGGGAAATTTTTTGTTCAGTGCCCTGAGCTCCAGGTCAACTTTTTTTTTTCCTTCCAACAAACCCTCTCCGCCGCCTCCTCCTAACCCCCCCTTTTCTCCCACCCCTTGTCCTTTATTATGCTCAATCGCTCCGTTGTCAATGTAGGTTTTGAATGCAGAGAATATTTCTGCCTAAACCTCTTCCTTGCTCGACTTTTTCCGTCAATAAAATACTCAAACAACCTCATGCCATTCTTCTTCTTTTAACAGGTGGGTCGTTGGTCAGCCCTCGCGTTTGGCCTCGTCTATGGCTACACCCATAACGCATCGCTGAAGTCCCAGCAAGTGCAGCTTGACAAGGAGGCTGATTACCACCGTAAGGAGCTCCTTATCGAGCAGGCAAGAGCTGCCTACGCCAAGAAGCAGTTGGCACTTACTACTCCCGTCAAGGCTGTCGAGAACGGTATGTTATTTTTCCTATTGTTATTTTAGAGATGCAATTTATTATAATTGTATACACCAATATTTTTCTTTATATTTCTTTGTGTTTGTGCGTGTATCCGAGTGAAATGAAGAAAACACCAAAGGAAAATGGAATACAACTTTATATATCTTTATATATGTACTGAATAAAATATATTTATATATAAATATACTTCTTTTTCTATAGTTGATATTGATAGCCCCGACTTTGACTTTGAGAAGTTCGTTGCTGATTTCGAGGCCAAGGAGAAGAACTAGATTACCTTTTTTTTATATATACATATACATTTTTCTTTGTTTTATGCTTTTATTGGATGGATCCTGCGTCCTCTCGACCGTAGAATCTATTACACGCAAAAAAACGTACACACTACACAAACACACTACACACACAAACACACAAACACACCAACAATACACCTATCAAAAAAAAAAGCGCCTCTATGAAAGTGGAAGAACAAAAAAAGAACAGAGAAATTGCAAAAAAAATAATGAAATTTGGGTCGAGTTCCAGAAAATATGACAAGCGTATTTATGTTATATTATATATTTATGCATGATTTATCTATCTGTTAATGTATTTATTTTCTTGTGCGTGCTGGTTTTATTTTATCTTCTCTCTTTGCTTTTCTTCTCTCGATTTCACTCTGGTTGGTTAGTCAACTTCTTTGCTGGTTTGGATAAGAAGTCTCAAGAAAAGCAGAAAAGAAAAAAGAAGAAGAAAAGACAAAATAATGAACAAACCTCTTGGCCTCAAGTTACTTTAGTAAGAGACGTATGTAGATAGATGTAAAGGATAATTATGGACAAGGTTAATTATATGCTTTGCTGACGACATCAGTGTGGAGTGCATTGAACTACCAGTTGTGATTGTTGTATATGATTCTTTTTGTGAATTGAGAGATATAAAAAGGCTCTTTTAGAACTTGTGTTGCCAGACTTCTTGCTTAAAGATTGTAACTACTATTTAACTGCAACTGCCACTGCCACTACTACTACTACTACCACTGCTGACATTATTATTATTATTATTATTATTATTACTATCTGTACAAAGTTTAATTAGTCTGTGATAAATATACATATCAATTTGTACTTTGTAATTTGTACTTTTTAATTTTTATTCTTTCTGGCTTGCTTTTGTTTTATCGGCACAATAATATGGCCTTTGGTCAGGAAGACACAGTATGGGATACAGATTTTGACTTTTCTCATCGTCTTGGGTTCCCTACAAAACATGCTCACCCAAAAGACCTCTATCCTCCTCGAACCGTCGCCAGTCCTTTCACTGACGATGACACAGATTCTAGCTACGCCAGCCATCACTCAGACAAGTTCTCAATCGAAGACCGTGAGGGCCTGCTGGCAGACATTGATGAATTTATGTATGAAACACCAGAGCCTCCGACACCACCCGCCGCTGCTGCATTGGCTGCCGCTTGTCTGGATCGATACAAAGGGCTAGGAACAATCACCCGTCTTGGGCGTCATCGATACGTTGAGGATGACGGCGACTGGAACGAAGATGTTGTATTTCAAAAACCAAATGGTACCACAAACTATGTACCAGCTACAGAAACAGCACTAGATGACATTGATGACTACAATCAACCACAACCCACACATATCCCCCCACAACCTGATCCCAAGCTGACAACCATCCAACCAACAAAGTATCCAAATTATGCAGAAATTAAGGCAGAGGAAGAAGAATGGGATATAAGCGAGTTCACAAACGCCACAAACACCAGAAACTACCAACCACTTGACATACAGCATCCTAAACCAGTTGCCAAAAAGATCTCGGCAGTTCTCAACAAAGCTAATGACGAAGACGATGATTTTTTTACCGGAATGGATTTCAAAGACTCCTTTCTAAAGCCAACCCCGGTTCAGAATACGACTCGCTTGACGCCCAGGACATTTGCATCTACCCCGTCTACAAGTCAAAAGTTGCCAAGCCCAAGTGTGTTGTCGGCTCGTAATCGCCCAATTCCAAGCGATAGTCTACCCACAAATAGTCCAAAGTCTACTAGCAGAGATCAGACAACTTCCAGAGAACCAAGCGTAAGTAAAAGTCAGGGATCAAGCAGAAACCAAAATTCCGGGCCCAGTGCAAATAGGAGTCAGAGCAGTAGAAGCTCTTTGATTAGTTCAGGACGAGAAGCCGCATCTTCTTCTCGAATTACCGAAAAACCAAAAGAAATACCTGTCTGGGATCGTCTTAGCAAGCCAGCCCGAGATCCATATCTACGTTCTTCTTCTTCTTCTACCACAACATCCGCCCGACGACAGTCTCCCTTAAGTACATTACCCAGACACAGTCCTGAAGCTACTAAAGTTGTTTCTCCAGATTGGCGAAGCAACGGTGGAGGATTATCACACAGTGTCGATTCACGATCCACAGATGCTCCACCGCAAAATAACTCCCCACTTCATCTTTCAACGAACCGTATCCCGCAGAATCGACGAGAGATAATCCGACCCAGGGTTTCTGTGGCACAATCTCTGCAAGGACAATCCAATAAAAAAAAGATAGTTCTGAGAACAAAGACAAGAGCTGGTCAAAGAGATGGCACGGAGTTGGATCGTTTCGACAATTTATCAGAATGGGGTGCGACTACTCCTCCTGGGCGAGTCACACCCAAAATAAAGCCAACATTGAGAGGTAAGGGCTAAAATATATGATAAATCGCTACAGTGAAAAGAAAAGAAAAAAGAAAGAGCAACATACGACAGAGTCATTGAACTTCTTTCTTTACTTTTAGTAAGACAATTGAATGAGTCATCAGCCGGTAAAGTTGTCGATACAAAGGATCAAGATCGGCCATGGCGTCAGAATATGGTAAAAATCTAATAAATTCTGAAAAATATCTAGCGAGGCTTATCTTACACACACGTACAAAAGATAATATATATATATATACAGCAAGTGTATAATTGATATTGATTAAAAGATAATTATTAATATCTTTTTTGCCTTTTAAAACATTAGAAAAGAAATAATGTTTCTTCAATCCTTCCAGGCGATAGACCGTTAGTTAATGGTAGGACAGCTGTGTAAATGCTATATAGACGAAACTATCATTAACACCTATAAATCTTAATAATAGAACAAAATGGAATGAAGTATGATCCAGTGAATAATAAATGGAATGGCAACGAAAATAGTCTACTTCCATTTGATCACCCTTCGGAAACTCGTCGCAGACCTGCTAGGATTCGAAACCGAAACAATGCCATCAAACACAATCATATTGTTGGAGATATGTATTTTGATCATCTCGGAACAACCTGGAGAAAACTGCCAAAATCAAAACCAAATAGCTTGGACAACAGTAGCTTAGGAAGCAGAGGACAGAAATCAAGATCAAAATCAAATTTTGAAGCAGAAGAAGAGGAAGAAAATGATGAGGATGACGATCCCTTGCGAGGATTCGAAGACCTTCAGGAATCACCTTTGAGAAATCTTCCCAAATCACCTACTCCCGGCTATTTTATTGCCTTGACACCTCAAGATATTCGAAATAACGCCAGTAAAACCAAACCTGAATTTGAGCTCTCGCTTGATACACAACGTCTAATGTTTGAAGAAGAAAAAGAGCACCGAGAGTTTATGGCTAACTGGATACTGCCAAAAGATTATATGATTAAAACTGCATATGGGAATTTGGCCCCACCTTATTGTTTCTTGATTCTTACACGAGACCATTAAAAAGAATGAAAGAAAGAAAAGAGAAAAAGAAACATTTATACGGAAACCATGGGAGCAAAAGCCTTTACGTATATATTGAGGTATTAAAGACTATCATTTTCACCATTATTCTTATCACTACTACCACTATTACTATCACTACTACTCCTACTCCTACTTTTATTATAGTTATTACAACTGTTATTATTTAAAATATATTTTATTATATATATAAATCTATAAATTTGGTTTTTTATTACTTTATAGCGTAATATTTAGTAAATATTACCAAAGGGAGATTGCTTTTAAACAGCTTGAAACACTTTCATAAAGCAAATTTTATGAAAAAGTTAGAATATCACAAGATTTACAGGAAGTTCTCTCAATCAATCCAGATTAATAGTTCGCCTTTTCTTGATAGAAAATGTTTTTTTTTCAATATCTTCAAGATTAGGTAGAAGAAGAAAAAAAGTAAATGAATTCTAGTAAAAGCTTAAAGACAACTGACAATATTGAAGTAGCAAAAACAGGGTATATTTGGAGTACTTGCACATAATTAAAGCTAAGACACTGACATACAAATCAACTCTATCAACGGATCAGCTGTAATAGTAGGAATCTATCGAAATTTTACTTCATACAATTCAATATGCAAATGTGCCTCTTTTATGACATCTACACCTTGATACTCAATATACTTCACGTCTGTCAAATTATCTTTAAAGACTTTAATACAAAAAGATTTGTAGATAATGATGATTGTTTCATAAATACATCCAAATCGAACTTTTTTTGGGGTACAGTCTGTGTAAATACAATGAGGATTTTATTTGTGTATTCAACCCATACCACACCTTTTCTGCCTCTCTTTCTAACACACATTTCTTTATTCCTCATCTCTCATTTTTCTTCATTCTCTTGTATTTTCTCTCTTTCTCTCATTCCAATACATTCTCTTTAAAATTTCCATGAGATTAGCCAAATTCAATAATATACAATTCACGACATCGGCTTTCTTAAAGACTACTACAACCTAATCATTATATACTCTATAGACAGTAACAGCCTCTAAAGTTAACCACGGTTCTCGATACCACGTCAAAACATAAAAATATTATTTTATTTCTTTTCAAATTTTCTTCAATTAGATTAATTTCTTCTTATAAATGAGCCCTCCTAATTACAACATTGACATCTTTAATCAAGTAAAAAAAGTTTAAAAGCGTGTTTTTTTTACTAGGGACGACACTAGTTAAAAAAGACTTTATTTATTTATTTATTTAAAGATATACATAAAGAGACTATTCTATTTGATTTAATTTCACTTAATGATCTTTTACAGGAGTAAAAGAATAAAAAGCATGACACCAAGTTCTTTGTCCCCGCATTACGCAGCTCAATCTCCTTCAGGACGTAAACCTGACTTGGTAGCGAAGGAGGTGCTGGAATGGTGGCAAACCAACGGAAAGCACCCGTTCATCCAGCCCCACATCTCGTTACCGAGTAATGTGGGTGCGAACTCGCCAGAGAACTTACCACTAGGTGATAAGGTCCAGCTCATTCGACTACCAGTAGCTTCACCGTCAGCCGTTAAAGAGTTCAGTCAGGTTAGCAGTGAAGAGCCAGCACATCTCACCACAGGTTAGACCTCCCTCCCCCCAGCATCATGATTCCACATTGGCGATGCGATGTACACAGTAGTCTTTCCAAAAGAAAAGAGACCATGCCCCACGACTTCTCAGAATTAACTGAGCTGGCGAGTAACAACTTTCACTTTCCGATGCTTGTAGCATGGAAGAATCTCCCTGCAACGGTCGCAAGAGACGCCTCACTATGAAACCGGGACTGTTGTTGCTCAAGGAGAAAACAAACGACGCGCGTTGGAGGGGTTCTATATGTAACAGAAAATTTTGCATCTGAGATTAAATATTAGGACTGCGCTTTTTGTCAGTCTTAGATACCCACGTCAGAGCAAACGTGATATAGCTGTATATTATTTTTACTGGCTTTGTGTAACTGTTCTACGGCAGAAAGAACAGCTAATAATATTTAATCAAATCGCTACAGAAAATGAATTTGTGAAGTAAAGCAAAGAAGTAGATAATCAAAAAAGTAATGAAGTAATGAAGGGTATAATCTTGATCGGTGTAGCAAAAACTCTAAAGGTGGAGTACAAGTTTCTATAACGGCGATTTGTAGGTTACTCTAAAGTGGTCTGTGCACTTTTTGTTCAAGGACACAAAAGTTAACTTTTCTTTTACTAGTACAAGCAGACACAAAAGGGGCCTAGCAATTACTAGGAAATAAACCAAAGTATATTTTAAGGTAATATTAAACAATAAGTAAACAGCACAATATATATATAGATTATCTGTATATCATCACAATACAATAGGTGGTGGAAGTTTCAATTCCAGGTTGAGTTTTATTGAAATGAGGTTATAACCATAATTGAAAGTGCCAAGATTTCCCAAGGGAATCAGTGATTACTATCAGATATTTAGGGATAATAGTCCAGAGCATACCAAATATTCTCAACCCGAGTTTCGCAAGAGCTTTGTATAATAATAGCAATCAGATAGGAATAAAAATTGAAGCAACAAACAAATGAATACTACTGAAGAGATCGAATTTTATCCTTTTATTAGAAAATGTAATTGGCACCAATAAACCAGCTATTCCATACCATGTAGTATAAGCTAAGTATCTCATAGAAGGATGAAATATAAAAAAGATGTTTGTAAAATACAAAGCTTTCAGTTAAACTTTTTCTTTTTTGAATAATATTAAAACAAGATTATTACTGTGAATATTGCTAGAAGTATAACACTTTTGAGTATTAATAGGCAGAATAACCAATTGCCAGTATCTCAATTAACCTTATTTTCAGATTAAAGAGAGCAAAATCGAAGATTTTTTATATAGAGAGAAATTTAATATCTTTAATACAGAGAAAAAAAACGAGATGCTGTAAAGTTCTGAAGAACATCCTGAGAGACACAATTTGCCATTGCGTTTTAAAGTCTAGAATTTGCGGAGCTAGTCGTAAGATTGTATTTTTCTTGCCAATTCAAGCATACTAATCAACGATAGACTTAAGGCACTGAAGTGGCGAAGCACAATCTACGTTTTTCCCAAAGAATGAAAAATAAAATAGTCAGACGGTTTCCAGTAGAGAAGTACAGAAGTAGCTATATTAGATAAGAAACACCTATTTCTACATTGTTCAATTATGGCTTGGGGTGGTTTATGGGCGGAAGTAATTACTCCATTAGACTGTCATAAATAACCTTGGGTAATAGCTGTAGACAAATGAAAACATTTTATTGTGGATCTTTCTAGGCCCTGTACGCAGCGGTAAGTGTGGTATACACGCCACAATTGAGTGAAGAACAAACTCTACAACCAAGCACTAGTTCCTTCTTGATAATCAACCTGGCAAGTTAACAATCTACGGAACTGTTACATACCCGGTACACTTACACTACACACTCATAGAGTGTAAACCAGCCATTAGACAGCAGGAATTTGAATTGTAACAAGTATAAACAATATTATTTTGTCTCTTTAATAAGTAACACCCTCACAGTATCCACTTTCGCATTATCGAAATATTATACTAATAACAATCCTGCATACCTCAGAAAGTACCATCTTCAGAAAAAAATAGCAGTGGGATTGTGTGAAAGCCACTGAATGCCAGTGCCAGATCGTATAGATTAGATAAAGAGCATGCGTAGTGAAGCAACGCATTATTAGGTATTTTAATAAATACTCTTTATTTTCTTGGAGACTATATACTTTTGCTACTATGTTTTTATAGATATTATTAAGTAAAAATAGACAAACTAGAATGAGAAAGTTAATACAGCTATTTTCTTGATTTAGAAGAAATTAAAAAAGAGACTATTTGGGGAAACCTGTAAATCCTAATATTAGTTTTACGCTAACTATCCATTCGAAGTTTTCGTTTTTCTCCCTCAATTTTTATCGAACCGTAAGCAATACAAGTATTATAATAGGCATAAACATACATACACACTATATATACATGAGTAAAAGAGCATTAGTACTATTAAAGATTATATCATATATGCTTCAGTTCAAAGTATATTATAAAAAGACATACTTTATAATATTATTGCAAGGATAAATGGTAGAAGTGGTACAAAAAATATATTAGATACTTTTAATAGAGAAAATCATATCCACATATTCGGATCAGCGATCTTGGGCAGGAAGAGGCTTATTTTACAACACTTTTGGAAAAATCGATCATGATACTGACTCAACACCTCTTAATATGTACATATATATATCTGACTGAACAGATTTCCTATATGTAATAATGAAATATTTATTTTACTATTAGAAAAGTCAAAAGAATTTTTAAATAGAAAAATCTAACTAAAAAAACTTGTTGAAAGTGTGCAAATACATATTGGATATTTGCCTTCGTTCATATATACTTTCAATATCCACACATTAGTATGGTATGGTTTGTAGCAGATATTGATCAGTACAGTTAATATTTTAAATTAGGGGTGTTGGGTTTTACAGTTGTCAGTGATGTATTAAATCGGAGAACTTGAAGTCAAAGAAGCCACTTTTTCTTCTTCTTTATGGCAAGGGGGGATGTGTCATTATATATGAAAGCAGCTCCTTTAAAGAGCATTTGATTGTATCCTGCATATCTTTCTAGTCTAGACTGAACTGAAATTGATGTGTAGTGTCCGTGGAATGAACAAGCAATTACTAATACACAACATCAACATCAATTATGTTCATTTTATAAAACCCATAAAATGTCCTCCGATTATGCAAAAAAAAAAAAGACTGTTCATTGATTCTATATTTCCTTTTTTTTATTTGACTGCTTTAAGACCCAATAGAATCTCTTGCATTAGTTTATGTCATTTATTTTTGTATACAGAATCCTTTTGATTCTTTCCTTTTCTTTCGCTTCCATCTTTTTGTGTGTACTATCATTAATCTCCTTATATAGCACTTTTCATAACATTCGACTACATTAATGGTTCGCGAAACAAAGCTTTACGATGCACTTGAACTCCCTGCCACAGCCACTGAGAGCGAATTGAAAAAGGCATACAGAAAGTTGGCACTCAAATACCATCCAGACAAGGTATGCACAGACTATTTTTTTAAATAAATGAATCGTTGTATATATTAACTTTGTGTTTGTATATGTATATATAAGAATCCAGACGCTGGTGACAAATTTAAAGAAATATCCCATGCGTACGAAGTCTTATCTGATCCTGACAAGAGACGTATTTATGACCAGTATGGCGAGGAGGGTCTAAGTTCACAAGGTGGTATGGGTGGAATGGACGCTGAGGATCTGTTCTCCCAATTGTTTGGAGGTGGATTTGGACGCCAAGGAGGTAGATCAGGACCTCGTCGTGGCAAAGACATGGTGCACCAGCTCAAAGTCAGCCTTGAAGATTTGTATAAGGGCAAGACAACAAAACTTGCACTACAAAAGCATATTGTGTGCCCAAAATGTGAAGGAAGAGGTGGTAAGGAAGGTGCTGTTAAGACATGTAAGGCGTGCAATGGCCAGGGTGTACGCGTCACCATGCGACAGATGGGCCCAATGATGCAGCAGGTTCAACAACCATGTTCCGAGTGTCACGGTGAGGGCGAGATAATGAAAGATGAAGACCGCTGTCCAGAATGCCATGGACGCAAGGTAATTGGCGAGCGTAAGGTCCTCGAACTCTTTATCGATAAGGGAATGAAGGATGGTCAGAAGATTACCTTTGCAGGCGAGGGAGACCAATCACCAGGAATCACCCCGGGAGATATTATCATCGTCATCGACGAAAAGCCACATCCAGTTTTCCAACGTAAGGGTGATGATCTTTTCTATGAAGCAAAGATCGATCTCTTGACAGCTCTAGCTGGCGGCGAGTTTATCATCCCTCATCTCGACAACCGCGCGCTCAAGGTCACTGTTGCACAAGGAGAAGCTCTCAAGACAGGAATGATAAAAGTAATTCCAAACGAAGGCATGCCCGTCTATAGACATCACAACACCGGACACCTCTTTGTCAAGTTCAATATCGATTTCCCACCCCCACACTGGACGGATCCAGAGAATATTGCTAAACTCGAGACTATTCTACCCCCACGACCCCCTCTTCCATCGACCGGAGATAAACATGTTGACGATGTAGTTATGCAAGACGCTGAAGCTTACCAGACTTCTCGCAATCAAGATCATGACGATGAATATGAAGATCAGAGAGGAGGACCTGGTGTACAGTGCGCTCAACAATAAACTTGTACTGGAATTTATAGGACGCCAAGAATATTATTTTACTTTTGCATTTCCCCCCTTAGTTTTCACAAATGAAGCGTAAATTATTTCACTCCAAAAATAACGAATTTCCAGATGAAAATACCAACAATTACAATTCTTGGTGGTCCTTCTCTCTTTAAAGGCGATTTATTTTCTTAGTTCAATTTCCATCTCTCATTATATTTATTTCTTTATGTGAATTTCTTTTATACACATGTCCATATACAATATTGCTTATGACAAGTTGGAGGCCTATTTAATGTAATCCAGTAATTAAAATATTGTTTCTTGTAATGAACGACTGCATGTATTGAATTTACCTTTTGGTACAGACTCGATACAACCTTGTCAACTTGCTTGAGAGTCTCGATAGCAGATTCATAGGTTTTCTATTTAAGTCAAAGTAAGAAGCCTTGCTCTTCCAATATATCGTTTTACTTACGTCTTCTTCAGGTTCATCAAAGATAATCAAACAGCCTGCACCTTGATCAAGAATACCGTGGAATGCCTTATCCAAAATCATTTGGGACAATCTAAAGTAGCAAGGAAAAATAGAAAAGGTGGATTATTTGATAAGAGCGCAGTATATACATATATGCATTTGGTTTTAAGCTCGTATAACGGTGTATGTATTTCCCAGCTTACTTTGCTTCTACTTGTTGTGTAGGCAGCTTAACCATGTCTGCGATGTGGGAAATCTCAACACGGGAAAAGGGTTCAATGATGCGTACAAGGTTCTGCTCCAAGAGAGTATCGTACAAAGCAGCCAACTGAGAGCGAATGATAGGATCGTTATTCAATTCTACAATACATACAAAAGCAATGGTAAACAACCATCCACCCATGCTATAGATTTTTTTTTGGGAATATATACCTTCGGTGTATGTGGCCAATGCAGTTTCAAATTCCTGGAGGTTTCTGTTTTGATGGGCATTGGCAACAGCCTTCATAGCCTCAATTTCCGAACCAGCGTAACGAAGAGCAACCTTTCCACCAATAATGGAATGTACATCCTCAGTCTAGCACAATACCATAAGTATCTCTTCACATACACTTAAGTTATCCGAAGCTTATAAAACTTTACCAAGTTTAACATGATTTTGCAAAGCAACATGTACTTCAATGCGAGTACAGCCTTGGGATCATCCTGGCTAGAATATCCTTCAAATGTCTCAAAGAAATAAGAATAGGCGGTCTTGTAATCCTTTTCTTCTGCATGAAGAATACCAGACTGCATATCCAAAGCAGCCTGCAACAAGGGTGGGCAATAAATAGCATTGGCTGAAGTACGAGCAGAAGTAAGAGCAGCCTAACAAAAGAAGAAAGAAAAATACCCCCGTTGCCTTATCTTAGCCCATCGGTTCACTGATGTTACTCTTTTAATATGTCTATCTATATCTATACATACTCTGGCCTTGGGGAAGTTTCGTAGGGCATGGCATACGCGGCTCTCCAACAATTGGACCTCCACTAAGACCATCTTATCATCCAGTCTCTTCAATTCTTTAAGAAGCTGTGCGGTCAAACTCAAGGACTCGTGGTACATTTTGTTGTCAAGATAGAGAGCGACAAGTCGAGTTTCTAAAGACTGCTTCAAAAATATACGCTTCTCCTTAACACACCAGTCGATACTCTCTTTGCACACCTCGATCTGAAGAGGCAAGCAGTTCTTAATATCACCAAAGAAGTCGACCAGTGTACGAACTATAATATATTGGTTGGTTGATTCGCTTTTTTCCCTTTGTCTCCTCTTATTTGTCCTCCATGGTGTATGCATGTAAATAATACGTACTAAGTTTAGCCGTCTTTGCCTTTGCAATAGATGACATAAAGGGGCGTGATGATCTAATCAAACTGGCCAATTCCTGAGGCAATCTGAATTAAGCAAGGTAAAAATATAATGTATTTGTGTGCATGATCAGATATTTATCCAAAAGCAAATGATGATTGTATAGAGTAAAGAGCTTTACTTGAGATCTCGGTAGACTTCACCCAGGCGAATGAGTGCCACTTCCTGTTCTCTCAGGACATCTTCAGTATTTACTTTCTCAGCAAGGATGGACTTGTATAAAGCAATGGACTGGTCAAGGTTGTTTCCCTTGGAAAGTTCTTCCGCTTGTCTAAGTCGGTCACTGGTTGGTGCTGTAGCTGTGACCATAATGTTTATTTGAGTAAAGTCGCTTGTGTTAAAAGAAGGAAGTGGGCAAATAATTCTGGAGCCAGAAACCCCTCGTTCTCCTGTCAGCTTACGCGTCGCGCCTATTCAAAGTCACACACTTAGTCGCCCTATGCTGTGCTCTCACTCTTTTCATTTGTCCTCTTTCTCTCATTTTGACCCCTCTTTGCGGGTGATGACGAGTATATTGATCATGTGATCTACACACTATACCGTTTGCTTGTACGGGGAAATAGATTCATACATATATATACATATATACATATCGATGTGTAAAATGATATAGAACTTTTGAAATAATATTATATACATATAGATATATATGTGATTTTGTATGGGTGTAAAATGAATGAATAAAAAAGAAATGCTTTTTTTTAAAGGAGATGGGGGGGGGGGGGGCATGGATTGATTATTTTATGCCTATTGTGTTGAATCCTTGCTGGCGAAATATTCGCGAGTATCCTTGCATTTTTCTGAAGTACAGCCAGGGCAACGCAAATACCATTGGCGAGATACCAATTGCTTGGAATCCAAATGTTCTTTTACGATATCTGCAAGCGCTCTTGTGAAGATTTCATTTCCATTCAATGCTTCTACTCGCTTGAATCCAGTAACGCCAGACTAATGATAATGAAATTTTATCACAGACAACGTTATAAACCGAATTCAATCATATATATATCACTCTTGTATGTGTGTATATAGACTTAAATTACCTTTTCTGCAAGTTCTCCATATTCCAGATCCAATTCGAACAATGTCTCAATGTGGTCGCTTGTAAATGCAATAGGTACCAACACAAGATTCTTTTTGCCCTGCTTTCCGTAGCCTTCAATTGCATCCGATGTCTGTGGTCCCAACCAAGCAGAGGGTCCTACTTGTGATTGCCACACCAGACGGTGAGGGTACTTTCCTTCAAGACGCTTCATGACATGCTGTACGCTAGCTCCCACTTCCGCGGGGTAAGTATCACCACGATTTACAACGGACATAGGCAAAGAGTGAGCTGAGAATAGAATGACAGCATCTTTACGCTCCTCTGGTGTGTATTCTTTCAATTTTTTCTCAATTAAACTGGCTGTAGCCTTATTATTATTTAAATAAAATGAAATGTTAGTATCAAGAATCTCTTAACTATATTTATACATTATGTATGGTCGTCCTTTTTATTTAAGCTCTTAACCTTACCTCAATGAAACCAGGATGGGTATTCCATCGATCGATAATACTCCAGTCAACTGAATCTTCCATTCCTGCAGCCTTAATACCATGGTGAAGCTCGTTTAAACTACTACCAGTGGTAGAGCATGAGTATTGAGGGTATTGAGTGAAAACGACGGCTCTTTTGACATTGTCTTTCTTCATAGCTTCCAGAGCCGCATCAGTTGAAGGAGTCACATATCGAAAAGCAATATAATGCTTATGAGGAGCTATATATTATTATTATTTAAGAAAAGACTACACTTAGTTTGGATGTCACATTGGTATAACAGTTATTATTATTTTAATATATATAAATGTCGTACCTGTTTCTGGGGATATTTCATCCAAAATTTTCTCCATAACCTCGCCTTGTTTTCGAGTCCATTTCAAAATTGGAGATCCTCCGCCAATTTGTGCGTACTGCTCACGAATACTTGGAGATCTTCTCTTGGCAATCCATTTCGACGTCAGCGATTGCAATGGCAACTGCATAAGGTCACGATCGGAGAAGAGATTCAATAAAAAATCATGAACGTCATCGAGTTTCTCAGGTCCACCCATGTTTGTCATCAGAATAGCAGTGGGACTTTATAGAATGCACATTAACAAAAAAGGGTGAGAATGATGAGTATACAAGCATGTTTGTTGAAGTGTGTGATTGTGTGTGTGTGTTTTTTTGGTTTTTTGTTTTTTTTTGGAAGGGTATCTTTTTTTTCTTGGCTTACGGTTTTTTTGTGGTTTCTGTAGTAATGGCACGCATAAACATTGAGGACGAAGCATTTCTAAAAGATTGAGTACGCAATTGGGGAGCTATTTCAGTGCGTTGACTTTGTTAGTTAAGTTGACGCGTCTTATATACAAAGGAGTATTCCTTACCTGTACGTCGGAGGGCAAGTGTCAAAGAAGCCATAGTTGTAAAGATTGGTTATATTTAATAATAAAATAGCTATAGAGAGAGAAAGGAGGGTTTTCTATCTAGATACTCGTAAGAATAATTGTTGTATTTATGGGCTTTGAACCATTTGCTATCCACATACCTGTTTTTATATACAATAAAAAAAGGGTCCAAGTAAAGTATGAAAGAGGACAAACAAACAAGATACAGCAACAATGTTGGTTTTAAATACAATATTAACTGAGATCTAATAGATACCATCCCTGTTTACCCAATTTTCTATCTGTATCGATTAAAGAGTATTGCCTTTGACACATAAGTAGCCGCTTTACCTTTGACCAGAATGATAGAGAGCTATCAATTTGAAGTATTTTGCGCCTTATATTATTGTTTTTCTTTCTCTCTCTTTCTCTTTTGACTTTGTTTCTTTCTTTTCTTCTTATGGTGTACATTAATATCTCTCCAAACTGATCGAGAATTATTGGACAAATCACCATTACAGAATAAATATATATAAATATATTTATTATATGGCGGGTATTTAACCCTAATATCCGAAAAGTTGTTCGATATCGGACAATCGACAGTTCTCCAGAGAATCGCCTGTCTTGTACAAACCAAAGTCAAAACAAGATCTCAAAAATGGTACAACAATCAAGATCTCTTTTCGAGTTTTTATAGGTTATTTCCGAATATTTCGTAAGAGAAAAACCAATCAATTGATCAATCAATTCTTCCTTTAACAAGTAAGAGGGGGAAGAAAGTAAAGAAAAAGAAAAGAAAAAGACATTTGTACTGGTATCCACGCATTCTAAGCTACATAGACATAAGTATCTCTTCCTTGCCGAGCAATGAATTGTTTCTCCAGTAGTTGCTCAATGCACTTCTTGATCATAATAACTGAAGGTGAGAAACGGGAGTTTGCCTGATCGATGATTTCTTGGATCAATTGAACATGAGACAGTCTCTGGCGCGATTTCATAATTCGCACGACTGCAGCCTGTATGTACATTCTGCGATCTTCCTCCACAGCTTTACGTGTAGCCTGACTTTCTTGTTGTGCCTCTGCTTGCGCTCCTGCTGCAGATACCTTGATCTTGGTACGTTTACTATTGTTTTTGTTGGAGTTATGATATATAATTAATATATAGGATTATATAATCAAGAACTTTGTTGTGGTTAGAACAATTGTTATTTACCTGCTGAATTTCATGTTGATTTTTACAACTGAACTTTTGTTTAAACTAGACGCATTTGATTCCAATATATGGATATCAACCAATGGCTATTTTTTTATTATTATTTTTAAAAGAAAGCATATAGTTTATTTTATCAGTATAACATAAAACGTACGTGGAAAATTAATAATCAAGACCTTTCACCTCTTACCTTTATACTGCGGAGTGTATCGGGAAGAGAAAGTCCGGAATGAACCAAGAGGTCCGCAATTGACATTTCAGTGACGCTATTGAAGAGTAATAGAATGACTATTTGATACAAGCCAACTTGTAGCTCATAGTGTCGGTCCAAGTAGTTTAGCCGCATCTCACCTAGAAAAGTTCTGTCAGCCCCAATAATACATTAACACAATAGTCTTTTTTGTGTATTTACCTCTTGCGAGATTCCATTGCCAAAGTAACCTTCTTCCGTTGTGATGTTTACCGTAAAAATCTTCAAATAATGTGACATTTTCTTCCAACTAATACAGATAAACCGCATGTCAATAGTTATTGTCGCAATTACTGATTGACTGAGCGATTGACTAGTTAATTGATTTCTTGGCTTACCTCTGATGGTATCTGTACTTTATTTATATCTGCTTCATTCGGATCCTCTTTTTGGTTTAGTGGCCAGGCACCTTGGGTCAATACCAGGATATCAAACCCAACTGTATCACACACAATAATATTACCCAGCCATGGAGAGTTAGAAAAAAAATATATCACCGTAGTCGCGCGCACACACACACACAGAGAGAGAAGATACTAACCGTTCATCTTGCACGATTGTTGTTTTAGATAATCTTTGAAATTAACATTCAAATCACTGCTGAGGGACATATCAGTAAACATCTTATTGAGTTTACTGGTGTATTCTACACCACAGATTTCCTAATAGTTGGTAAAAGAAAGAAATTTAGTTTAAACATAAAGATATTATAAATGATTTTCAATATTTACCTTGAGACAATTGATCATGTTAGCCTCCATTTCTTCTGACGCCGAAGCACTGTATATTAAGCGTTTAGCCAGCATTCTGGAATAGAATTTTTGAAACACGTCTTTATCGTCCACGTATTTGAAAAGTGTAATCTATTCGCACATTTTTTAAGAAAAAAGAAATGAGTATAGTTAGATAACTTCTTGTTTTATATCTTTTCTTTTCCTTCATTTTTTCTTTCTTACCATTTTTGCCAATTTTTCTTCTGGATCGCCATCCTCAATATCTTGTACCGGCTTTTTTAATGCTCCCTTCTTCTTACCATCAAGAGAATTGGTAGTAGAAGCTGTTACTCCAGCTTCTTTTTTTCCTGCATTCTTCTTGAGCATCATGTCGCAATATCTTGCCAGGGTCTCTGATCCATTCGAAGAAGTTGCGCCATTAGGGTCATTGATAATTGTCCTAAATGCCTTATCACCAGCTGCAGTGAACAGGGGGTCGGCAAGAAAGACTTGTTGATTTACTTGATGAAATTTCCCGTGAAGAATGAGTAGCTGATCCACATAGAGTCTTGGATTCTAATACGTTAATAGTAATGGTAATGATAACAATAAAAAGCATAAGAAACAAGTACATTGACATTTTAAAATTCCACACGCGATATCACCGCAATAACTATTAATATCATTCAATAAAAGAAAATAAGCAAGTAGCAACCTTTAAAGCGCTTGAATTAAGCTTAGAAACCATGTCTTTTCCGATCTTAGAAATATATTCTTCATAAATTGTCAGGATGGGTTTAAGTCCATCTGGAATTCTGCTAAGGAGGTTGTACGCCCGCGTGCAATCTTATGAATATAATGAAAAGAAAAGAAAAATACTTAGTAATAAATATATAAAAGAACACACATTGCCTTCTAAACGCTCTGTAATCTTACCTTCGTATCGTTCATCACGTAGCATATTCTCAAATTCATCAATAATTCTATCTTGGTATGCAGTAATATATTGGGCTTCAAACTCCTTTACAATACGAGAATGCGATGTGGAATGACAGTATTGGTTGTTACGCTTGATTTCTTGTTCTAAGCGCTCTGATGCCTTGATTATTATTATTTTTTAAAGAAAGAAAGAAAAATGATACAGAATAAAAGCATGATTATGCACCGTTAAATCCAATTGCATAGTTTCTCCTCGATCATAAAGCTTATAACGATAGCTCAATGTTTTCCTTCTTCCTCTTTCTTCCTTTCTTTTGTGTTACCTTTTTCATAAACGAGCTCACTGATCCAGAGGCAATCTCACGCGCGGCTTCAGCTTCATAATAGCGTTTGGTATGTACCAAGTAAGGTCTCTCAAACTCTTCAATGTATAATTGAAGTGGTTGTCCAGTAAAAGAATGGGCTTGAACAAGGGATGTGACGACTCCCTTAATTGTTCCATAAGGCGCATCTACACCGTCTCTGTCCCGACGAATGAGTTCAAAAACTTGATAAAGCAACCTGTTTTGGTGCCTGTCTCGGATCGTAAATAGTACATTTGTTTTCCACAATGACATAGCAAGCTTGATATTTCATACAGAGAGAAAAAGAGAGTAAATAATGTCAATTGACCTATCTTTACACCAATATCCAAAAAAAAATGGTTGAACAAGACAATGCTGACTTACCGATTCAACGCTCTGTTTTTTGTATTTACCACCAGCTACAGACGGTTTACGATCTCGGCTACCTGTCGAATAAGCAGCAGTAATTATACCATTGAGGTAATTACAGCCTGCCGAAGTATCTTCAGCTGCCAGCTTAAAACGTTCGAATGGTCGTGCGTAGGCTGTTACAAGGTCATCGTGCTTCAAAATGTTCTGTTTGTTGCATAATAATCATGTGTACACACACACACACATGCGCACATATATTTATAAAAGAAAACATACAAAGCCATTAAAGACTATTTCTTTCGTTTGTTCACCCATTATCATTATTCCATTCCACAAATAGATAGATAAAGTAATAATAATAATAATAATAATAATGACACTTGGGGGTTTTTTCTTGTTTCTTTTTTATGTGTACCTGACATAACTCTACTGTGTGTTTGTCAATATACTCGGCTATTCCAGTAAACACCTTTTCTGTGAATGGTTGAGGGATCGCGTTACACATGTCATAAATCAGTCTTTTGAAAATAAGAATAATAGCAATATAATGCAAAATGAAAAGAGGTCAAGGATGTAGTATATATATATATATATAGAAATGCATATACATGCGGGGTAAGATTCATTGATTGAATCCAGTTAATCAAATCATTCGTCAACGCGTTCATTAATCTCAGCTTATTTTCAATGAGGAACTTGTTTATAAGTAGAGGGAACAAAAAAAGGATACTGAAACATGTTCATGCCAGACACTCCACCAAGAGCTGAAAACGAGAAGATGGCGTCCAGTATGTCTTTCAATTCAGCAAATGTTTTTTCAAAGTTTATCGGCTTTCTTCGAAGTGACATTGTTTTTGAGTCGACTGTAATAAGTGGTTGAGCGAAAGCTATAAAAAAATGAGAAGGTTATAAAGAAAATAAAAAAAAAGAAAATGAGGAAGAGGTATATATATAATATATATGTATATATTTATAAGAAATAAAGGGTCCACCTTGTCAGTACGTATGCATGGTATGCACAAGTAGGTTCGTTCCCCCCAAAGAAAAATCAATCACGTGATTCGCCGGGCCGACTTAACAGGTTTATTAAATTGTTGCATTTTGAATAAATTTGCATTACAAAGAAACAAAGATACAAAAGAAAAAAGTCAATTAAGTTATACTGTGAGTATTTTAATGGTACTGGTTGGGAGTAGTTGGCCTAGTTCTCAATTAAGACAAACGAATTGGTTGTCAAAAAAGTGTTAATGGGATTTGTAGTATATTCTTCGAGCTGCTTGAATAATAACACTGGATGAAAGTAAAACCCTGTTTTTTTTAAAAAAAAAAACAAAAAAAAAACAGAAAAAAATCGTATTAAAATTGAAACAGGTATATATATATGAGAAAAGTGAATTTCTGTATGTTTTGCTCTAAACCATATTGGTGTATATTATACATCTACATCCTCTTTGCCTGTATGCAAAAGATCATTAATTTACACAAATGATCCAAAATATTATTCATTCTTCTTAATCCAATATAAATTTCGCCTTTCTTTCATTTGGTTCGCTTTATATTTTACTTTATTTTACCTTTCGACAAATTTACATTTAATTTTGTACAAAAAAAATGAAAGAATAAGAAACTAGTAAGGTTTTATCAACAATATATAAGATCTAACAGAGAAAGATCGAGATTTTTTTAGACAAACCAAACCAGACCAAAACTCCATTCTAACTGGTAATTTCATGGTTATATAATGAATAATAAAATAGTTTATTATTACCAATGGTTGTAGCTGTAAGTGAAGGAATATGAACAGTAATATCTAGTCAGATATGATATATAAAAGAAAGCTTAAGTACTACAAGGTCTTGTAAAAATCGGCAAAAGTACATTAAAATGTACAAAAAAATAGAAGATAGGAATGTACAAAAACAAAATAGGTATATAAGTATAAATGTAAATAGTAATATGATACATAAAGGTATTTCTAAGGAGTGGGAGGGCTTGTATCTATTAATCTTTGGTAGTTCTTATCGTTACTATTTCTAGTAGTATTATTATTATTATTTTAAAAGGCAATAATAAAGGCCATGGCTGTTACGGTCATTGCAGTGGTGAGAAGTACACCATTAATAGGGGTGGTCATAGGCATGGCATCGGAAGAGAGGGATTGAATGGTAATTTCAGAAGCTCCGGTAGGTTGAGGAAAACCAAGGATCTCGATACTTGCACTGGCAGTGAAATTATTCATGCTTGGATCAACGCCATTCTTGTACATCTCGACAATTGTGTGGGAGACTGGGGCCAATTCTGGCAGGGTACCGTTAACTGCTTGGGTTTCAGACAAAGGAGCACTGTTGACAAGAGATAGACCCAAGAGAGCAAGGACGGCGATAGAAGAAGTTTTCATGATATATATTTTAAAAAATATTAGTTTGTGTTGTGCTGTGTTGTTGTGTTGAAGATTTGAATAAAGAAAGTAAGAAGCCAAACAATACTTGCTTTTATATGATTCTGGTCTCTATTATGATGATTATCGTTTGATCCAAGTTAGGCCTATTTACAGCCGTGATCCACGCAGATACTGTATGGATAACGATAGGTGTATTGAAGACGCTATGGAAGTATTAATGACGACGCGTAAACCTTATTGAACCTGTCAGTCCACCCTCGTGGATTTTCTCACATGTGTCTGAGGTAGAAATTAAATATACATATTTATATGAGCCAAAGACTAATAACAATAGAGAAATGATCCGGATTTTGTGATTCTTTACTCCCGGGATCTCAATTGTATCCAGAAAAAGGTATTTATGACTTATTCAAGGGTGTTTTCAACTTTTATTTTATTTAGGGATTTTGTGAAATGATACCAAAAATAATGATAATAAAAACAACACCATCGTTTCAATTTCACATGCAAATTTTTACTGGGCTACAAGCAGCCAAAATCAAAACCAAAATAAAGAGATCGCCATCAATTGGTTCTTCATCAGTCGACTATTTTTTTTTTGTGTCGAATGGCTTTTCTCTGACTCTATATTTTCTGTGTCTCGAGTGCTGCCGAAATAGTGTCTAGTGGTATGAATAAATATACATATCTATTTGGCTCGGCACACTTCCTTATCTAGCCATTATGAGTCTCTCTTTCTCATTCTATTTTGGATAATTTGTGCTTTGCTATAAGCTTGCTGTTCCTATAGAGTTAATTTCCGTTTTGTCATCATCAGAAAATAATAAAAATGGAAAAATAACTACGAAAAGATCCGGCACCGATGTCTCTTTTTTTTTTCTTCTTTCTTTCCTTATCGTAATTCTTATAGACCCTCTCTCTATCTTTATTTTTATGCGTTTATTATTAATATTTTGTGGCAAATTTTGCTCCAGACTTTGAAGCGTGATTTCTTGGCCCGTTCATGCTTAAACCACAAGGTCCGTGGTGTGATGAACAAGAGGTTTAATGCAATGCGATGCGATGATATCACTTTATTATATACTGTGCTTACTCTTACTCTTGCCCTTTATCTTAATTCTTAAATTATCATTTAATATATAAGATGTATAGAATTTTCGTGTAGAAAATTAAATACATATTTATAATAAGGAGTAATCTTACGGGGACGACGTTTCTATCTAACCGGGCAAATTCATTGTGACTACCTGCCCGAGGCACGATTTCTTTCTGTAATCCTTCAGGGCAAAATGATTTGTCCCTGAGAAAATATAATATATTCACTATACGCATTAGCTTACTATTTTGTCCCCACAATTTGTGTGCTTATCAATCTCCCGCCAGGCACCTAACTCTCATTATTTTAAGAGTTATAGCCTGTATTTGGGAAACTTAATAATGATGTATTGTCTCATACAAAAAAGAAACAAATCTTGTATATTCAATTAGTAGCTCTGAATTTAGATTTGACAATAAAGAAACAGTAATTAGTCACAAATACACTATATCAATATCCAGTTATACAGAATATAATAAAGAGTTGTTGTCATTAAAGTGTGACGCAATTGTGTTGAATATTTTGCTGTTTATTGGCCTTCTTACGCGTATGATGCCTTTCTCTTTCTTTCACTTACTTATATTCCCAGAGTTTGACAGCACCAATTGGTAAGTAATCCTCATCCACTCTTTTGCAAAGCACAAAATAGAATATTTATCCATATTTTGTGTCCTGGGCTGTATGAATTATTATAGTAAAAACTGATCCTTAGGGACCAGATAGAATTATTCCATACTGGCAAAAATATCACAGTTTGTGGGCTGGTGGAATCAAAATGTCGTCTCCCACCAGTAAATGTCGTGTCCCTACAATTGGATGTTCCTTTTTGCAAGGATCGATTAATACACACAATGAAGTCGATAGCAACTCATGATAATCCATCCGGTTCTGAATTATACACTTATAAACTCATTACAGCTGAAACCCAATATGAATTGATGAAAGATTTTTTTTTCCAAATCCAACAATATTGTACAATGGAACGACTACAATACTGGGTTGGACAATAAAATATCTTAGAACCACGCAAAAGAGTGACAACGAATGGTCAAACAAGACATGGTCAACATTTATGGATTGTCCGCAAGGAGATGAGGGAATTATTTATTGAATCTACAGATTCAATTGCAAAATATTGGGACTATCTCAATGAAGAGGTTGATTTTGTTACCATTTGGTATGCTAGAAAATCTCCAGCCAAAGAAGACACATCGAGAACGCGACTTCTGCAACTCATGGTTGATAAATTGTATTTTCGAATGAAGTATGAGAAAGTGTATGTTAGTCCATGCTGCGTTACCAACCAACTGATTTTGAAGCGTAATTCCTCTGCATTAGTTCGCTTATTTTCATATATAAAAGGCTGTAACGGCAATATTAGAGCATCTCCAGGAGTCACCCAACATTTATTTTATTTAAATCCAAACACCACAACTTTAGCTAAAATAAAAATTATTTTTCCCAGCAGTCGAAGTTATCTTTTTTTTTTCTAAATAAATTTTAAATCCCTGTCAAACTTAGCAGCTATATAAAATTTGGGCTACTTTTTTTCATAAAATAAAATAAAATGAACTACTGGGAGCATGACTTTTAACTAAAAGTCTAAATCCGGGATAAAAGTCGAGATAAAAGCAACTGCTGGAGATGTTCTAACTGCTGGGACTGGTCTTAGTATGTAGTGTATGTGTGCCCGGTGTGGAACAGTCCCAGAGATTGTTAGCTTGCCAGGTTTATTAGTAAGAATGAATCAATATTTGGTTGTGGTGTGTATACAACAAAATATACATTTTCGAAGTTACATATTCTACCATTTCCCATTGTGTCTTCTACCGATACTCCAGGCCTTGTCCAATCTCCTTTGCCTTGTCCAATCTTTTCTTTGCGTTGTTCAATCTCTTGTCTTGTTCAATCTTTTTTACCTTGCACCAACGAAAATAGACTATATATATATTGTTAGTGATCATAGAAAGCTTCGACTTCACCACACAGTCTTGCACATCCTTCCCACCAACATTCATATTCTATATATTTTCATATTTTAGCCTTTTTTTTAATTAATTCATTATTTTTTTATTTTTTATATAATTTATATCTGTTGCCTTGGAAACCAAATCTCTTCTTCTTTCTCTTTCTTTTTTTTTATTTTATACGTATCATGAGTTTTACCGACCAAGATTACCGAGTATTAAAAACACGCTATGAAGCAGTTGTTCATGGCCATGTATTTGCATTTTTCAAAGAGCTGACACCTAGCCAGCAAGAGATTTTCTACAGTCAATTAGCATCAATTCAGGTGGAGCAGGTGTCTAGAATCGCACAAGACATTCTGACCATGGGTCACGATAACAAGGTCACCCAGGACCCTGCAAAGGTCGATCTCAAGCCTTTGCGATCCCATGCCATTGATTTCCTGGCTTCTGACACCAAAGAGAAACTGGAGACCTGGAGACCTGGAGAGATCTTGGGTTGCAATTGATCGGCCAAAACAGAGTGGCTGCTATTTTGATGACAGGAGGCCAAGGTACCCGTCTATGTTCCTCTCCACCTAAAGGATGTTATTACATCAGTCTGCCTTCCCACAAATGTCTTTTCCAGCTCCATGCTGATCGAATCCTTCGTCTCCAGACACTTAGCAAACAGAAAAAAATACGAGCAGTACCAGCAACAATAAGAGCAAGAATCCAATAATTCCTTGATATATCATGACCTCTGAACCTACTCACCGATCCACCTGTGATTTCTTTGAGACCAACAATTATTTTGGTCTCGACAAATCCAACTTCCTATACTTCCAACAAGGTGCTATACCTTGCTTCACGCTCAAAGGCATACTGATGTTTGAACAAAAGGATAAAATGGCTATTACCCCCGATGGAAATGGCGGGCTTTACGACGCTCTTTACAAACAAGGTATTATTACGTCTCTCAAACAAAGAGGTATTGAATACTAGCATTTATATTATGTTGACAACAGCCGTGTTCGAGTAACTAAGCCAGTATTTGTGGAGCACTGTGTTTTTCGTCAGACTGATTGCAGTATTAATGTTGTCCCCAAAAGCCATCCAGAAGAACCCGTAGGAGTGGTCTGCCTCAGAGACAACAAATAGGGTGTTGTAGAATTCTCTGAAATATCTGAGTTTTCTGCTCACCAGTCCACCGACACAACCAGTAGTAGTAGCAGTAGTATTGGTGATGAAGTTTCTAGCCTTGTATTTGGATCATCTAACATCGTGAGCCACTTATTCTCTACTGGTTTCTTGGAATCCGCATCTATATTTGCAGATCAGCTGGAATACCATGTTACCATAAAAAAATGACGTTTGTAGACCTCTCTTCTGGAGAGACTGTCAAGCCAACCACAACCAATGGAATCAAATTGGGATGATTCGTGTTTGATGTGTCTGGTCACTCAAAGACCTTTTCGGCTCTTCATGTCAACCGATCCAGCGAGTTTTCTCTAGTGAAGAACGGACCTGGTGCTAGTTCTAATTTCCCATAAACAGCCAGACAAGACATGTTCAAACTTCATGCCAAGCATGTCGAACAAGCAGGAAGAGTGGTTGCTCCTCAAGTTAAGATTGAACTCTCGCCGCTTGTGTCTTATTTTGGCGAAGGTCTTGCCATCTTTGAAGGAAAGATAATGGCTAAGTCAGGCATAATTCATGCCCTTGTGGATATTTCTACATTTTGTCTCTAAAACCCATTGTTCTTTTTTTCATATCCAAATTTCATATTCTTATTATTAGTCCTATCGTTTCATTTATATATATATATATATATATCTAACGATAAATGTACCCACTCATTTAACGCACACACACACAAGCATATATACATATATACATACACACAAATATATATATTATAGAGACAATTGAAAAATATTTTTATCATATTTTATATATATGTACACACCTACATCCACTCACCAAAACACATTCCCACACCACCACACGGGACTTTTTCTCTTCTTATTTTCTTTTCTTTTTCTATTTTTCAAATTGGATTTGGCAAGCACCGTTGGAAAATGCTGCTGGCTTTGTGACACGGAAGGCAGAAAGATGGGAAATTACTTGGTCAATGACCTTTTGCTGCTCTTTTGGGTCGAGGCGCTGCTGTCCTTTCTTACTGACGATTTCAACCTTGACCTTGTTTCCCTTTTCAAGGAACTGACTGGCCCTGCCGAGTTTGTGATCCATGTCGTGCAAACTGACGTTCCATCCAAAAGAAACTTCCTTAAGAACCGACTCTGGGGTGGTCTGCTTCTTTTTCTTGGATGCCTTTTGCTTTTCAAAGATAGCCTTCTTGTCAAACATACGACAGACTGGATTGGGCTCGGCAGAAGGATCGACCTCGATTAAGAAGTAGCTCGACCGATCGAAGCGGCGCAGGGCGTCGGCTAAGCGAATTCGTTCGTGAACCTGGCCTTTTTCGTCAACAAGAGTAATGAACCGTGCGGTGATTTCTTCATCGCGGCGCAATCGATCTGTAGGTGCAATTGGTGTGGCAGAACGAGTTGGTAAAGGTGGACGTGGTTTGAGAAAGCCACCCATGGGAGGGCGAACCGAACTGAGTCCTCCGTAGGCACGTAAGGGTGTCTGGTTTGAGACAGTACGCTCAAGAATGTGTGTGCGGACACACACGCAGAGGGATTGCATCCATTGTCTGTTCATCTTGTGCCTTTACCTTTCACAAGTGGCGTGTTTGAACACTTTTTTTCGGACCCTTGAACACAGTCACACGGTAAAGTGACACGAGCCATAGTATAACCACACATTCTTTGAAGAAAACACATGCGTGTGTGTATATGCACATTTTCTAAATTCAAAAAAAAATGAAACACTTTTCAAATCCAGAGATTTATAGTGAGGCAAAAAGAGGTAGAATAATGAGATTATTTCCCAGTTTGAACCTGAGCAGTCTGGCCCTAGGATAAGATGTGGGCTTTATCCAAATATCTTAGATTGCATTAATATTTACAAAAAGTAGAAATACTGTAAATGGAGTCACCGACCGTCTTAATAAAAGTAGTTCATTTACTTTGTTTTTTAAATGAGAGAGAGAGAGATCCCAGAGCTATAATAGAGAACTAATAGTTGCACTTTGTTAAGACAATTGCTGATAGTTTTAATCGATTACTTGGATATTGACATCCTTGAGGCTGTGTCCTCATTGAGTGATAAATTTGAAACCCTAAAAAAACCGCGCTTCAAGCTACATTGCAGTGCACCCTTCAACTCTCTACTCATTCAAGCTTACAGAACTTTCTACTTTTTTCTTTCTTTTTTGAACAAGACAAGTTTACATACATTCCTTGTTAGATCTTTTATTCAATTTCTTTGCCCAGCATTACAACAATTTTTTTAAATAATAACTAATAAATATAAGAATAGAAAGTATGGTTTTTGGCTCTTCAAAAATATAGTTATTTATGTTTGACGTTATTATATTTAAGGTTAAATTACTAAACAAGAATCGCTACTTTCTTTGTAGAAAATACCTTTGTCTTTTTATTTTTTGCTTTCTTTCTTTCATAATCACTTATACGCTTGCTCCCTATAAAGGGCCCCAAAAGAAATATTCACATCGCTTCCAAAGAGATCTCTAATTCGAAACAAGAATTAGATATATTTATTATTATTATTATTAAAACTAGACAAACTATATATATATACACACAATTTACCACACATAACTTAAAAGAAACGTAAAGTTACTAAAACGTAGTATATAGCCGTTCCATAACCTCCCTATCAGACATAGTTTCATGTGGTATATAATCATTAGATATGTTACCACATCTGATCACAGCGTACGTAAGGTTTATATCTTCGGTACACCATTCCTTTGGGACCATATCAAAACCAAAATACTTATCCTTTTCATCTATAGTATTTATATTCCCACATTCTTGCTTTCGAAGAATCTTGGCTACGGTTGTGATATCCTCTTCAGTCATTATCCGTTGTTCTACGGTATATCCGTCCATACCATAGTACTCATTGTAGCCAGCGAAATACCAAACATCTTTCGTGATAGTATCTGAATATAGATCCCAAGCAAAGTGGGTAGAAACATTGCTGACTATCGGGCAAGGGGAACTAGTTTGCGACAAAATTATGTAATCGGCATCGCCAGCGCACCTTTCCCTTTTGCGCTTAGAGGGTGAAATAAATTTAGATTCTGAGGGGATATACTTGATGTGAGTATAAGACATATCAATATCAATGCGAGAGCTGCTATTAGAGTGTTCTCCGTATATTTCTGATAAACCAAGGAGAATGTAATTAAGACGTCTGCAACGGACTGACAGGTATTCAAGTAAGTTGCAAGTAGTGATGGCATACAATAAACATAGCATTCGTAGACCATGGCTTTTTGGTGTTTCATACTCCTTTGTACTAAGAAGAATTTTGCAATCTTCGACTCTTAAGAGCTTTAGCGATACACACCGATCCAAGAGAACGTCTAATTCAATTAACGTGTTTGAAGAACTGATGTCCAAATGTACCAGGACAGGAAAAAAGTCAATATGTGCTGTAAAATTCGATAATTGCGGGCCATCGGCATTGCCACAGAAATGAAATGTCTCCAAGGTTTTTGAAAATAAATTCATACACTCTTTAATCATAGCATCAAGGCAGTCCATTTCAACCCTTTCATGTAAATTCAATTTGATGTGCTTGAGTTTGGTACCAAGAAGATACATTTGTTTCCATATATCAAGATGTAGCTGTTTTGTATTGGTTGGAGTCATGTCGATCGATTCCAAGTATTGAAACGCAGGCGGGTATAAATGAGACACAATATGTCTTTCTTTTGGATGCTGTACATAATCTTCTTCGCCAAAATCATTTGTTCTCCTGATTGTTTGCAAGCTCGGATATTTGATGGCAAAATAACACAGCCACTGATAGAACGAGTGAAAGAAATTGAATTGCAGATGCTTTAGTTTCATTGCTGGCTTCACATTTAGGATTCGGCTTAATACATATTCTTCATTTCCGAAATCAGCAAGGTTCATATCTAATACAAGACGTTCCAGGAGAGGCATGTTTGAATGAAAGCTTTCGAGTTGATCAAATGTCATCAAAGCCGGTGTATTTCCACAAAAGAGTGTTACTATCAAACTTTTAAGATTGGGTAGCTGCAAAGAAATATCAAGAAGTGTATCGGCTTGATTGGCGTATTCCCAATCCATAGAGTGGATTTTTAAGTCTGTGAGAGTTTTTCCCCAAAGGTTCCAATTAGCAACAGATACAAGAGTCGTTTTATTCAGGTGGCCGTCTGATATAAAGAGACAAATGATGTTTGGGAAGTATTTCTGGAAGGCAAGGAATCTTTGGTCGCTTATAGAAATCTCTGAATGAATAGATAATTCTCGTACGCGGTATCCATTTTGTTGATAGGATTCATGGGCTCTGTCAGACACGTCAAGCATCTTATCAAACATTCGAAATTGCTTAAAAGTGATCACATCCCACAAGGAATCTTGGAATGGAATTCTCCATGTTCGGCACACAAGACATGATTCAAGTTGATCAGGCAGCCAGAGAAAACGCCCAATATTACGAAGAATATCAAAAGGCAATTCTGATGCCAGCATTAGGAGAGTAATAAACAATAATGCCAAATAATAGAAAAGAGAGAAGGTGCTCCCGGAACTCTTTATTAAAAAACAATAGTATTATTCTTAAGGTAAAATGAGACGTACCAAATATAGGTATTGTGTAATGAATAATACGTCGGTGTTATCGTCAACACAACACTCTCCTCAGACAAATTACTGTTGGGTTGCTTGATTTCTAGTCCTGAATAAATCTACACATCAACCTCTTTATGCTGTATCTTCTAAAGAGGTCAACTAAATAAGATGGATATTTTTGCTGCTATACGTACATACATATATATATATATATGTAGAATAATAAAAAAAGAAATATTACTATAAGGTTTGAACACCACGAGTCTTGATATCTTTCAAATTGCCTACTGACCCATTTATCTCTTGAACTTTGCCTTTATGAGCATGATTAATATATTAGATTAGGCTCAGGCCAAGATTTTGGGGTGTCCACTTGTCAAACAATTTAATTTCTTTATGGCATTTTCAAACATGCTTTGCTAGGGCTCTAGTATGCCAGCTAGCGCGCTCTTCTTAAAATATAAGCATTGTGTAATGTTTGGCATCACTATTATTATTATTATTATATTGCTCTTTTCATTTCCCAAAAGAATAAAAGATGATTGAATTGTAAAAAAATGTTCTGCAAAAAAAAAGACAACAAAATAACGTGTAGTCAAAAAAGATGTATTTATCGGAAAGTGGCACTATCTTATTTTGCTGGGGTGTATATAATTCACCGCACATAACTAGGGAGAAACGTAAAGTTACTAAAGAGTAGTACATAGCTATTCTAAAAAACGTTTTTTATAAATGATACTTTCAGGCATATTAATATCAGATATGCTACCACATCTGACCACAGCGTAAGTAAGGTCAATATCATCGGTAAACCACTCCTTTGGGACCATGTTAAAGCCAACGTATTCATCCTTTTCATCTACAGTATTGATCTTCCCAGACTCTTGCTTTCAAAGAATTCTGGCTACAGTTGTGATATCCTCTTCAGTCATTACCAGTGGATATATAATATATCCGTCTGCACTATAGTAATCCCTATAGCGAGCAAAATACCATTTATCTTTCTTAATAGTATCCGAATATAAACTCCAGTCAGAATGACTACCCCCGCTGTTGATAATCGGACAAGAAGAACTTGTTTGCGATAAGATTATGTAATCGGCATCGCCAGCGCATTTTTCTCTTCTGTGCTTAGTGGGCGCAATAAAATTAAATCTTGAGGGAATGTACTTAAAGTGAGTGTAGGACATATCAATATCAATGCGAGAACTGCCGTTAGAATATTTTCCATATATTTTTGACAGGTCAAGGTACATGTAATAGAGATGTCTGCAACGGACTGACAGGTATTCAAGTAAGTTGCAGGTAGTGATGGTATACAGTAAATACAACTTTTCTAGACCATGGTTTTTGGGTCTTTCGTATTCATCGGTACTTGGAAGAACTTTGAATTCTTGGATCTTAAGAGCTTTAGCTATACACACCGATCCAAGAGAACGTCTAATTCAATTAACGTGTTCGAAGAACTGATGTCCAAATGTACCAGGACAGGAAAAAAGTCAATATGTGCTGTAAAATTCGATAATTGCGGGCCATCGACATTGCCACAGAAATGAAATGTCTCCAAGGTTTTTGAAAATAAATTCATACACTCTTTAATCATAGCATCAAGGCAGTCCATTTCAACCCTTTCATGTAAATTCAATTTGATGCGCTTGAGTTTTGTACCAAGAATATACAATTATTTCCATATATCAAGATATAGCTGTTTTGTATTGGTTGGATTCAAGTCTACCGATTCCAAGTATTGAAACGCAGGAGGGTGTAAAGAAGATACAAAATGTTTTTCTTTTGGATGCTGTAAAAGATCTTCAATCCGAAGAAGATTTGTTCTCCGGATTACTTGTAGACTTGGATATTTGATGGCAAAATAACACAGCCACTGATAGAACGAGTGAAAGAAATTAAATTACAGACGCTTTAGTTTCATTGCTGGCTTCACATTTAGGATTCGGCTTAATACATCTTCTTCATTTTCGAAATCAGCAAGGTTCATATCTAATACAAGACGTTCCAGGAGAGGCATGTTTGAATGAAAGCTTTCGAGTTGATCAAATGTCATCAAAGCCGGTGTATTTCCACAAAAGGGTGTTTGCTATCAAACTTTTAAGATTGGGTAACTGCAAAGAAATATCGAGAAGTGTATCGGCTTGATTGGCTTTTTCCCAACCCATAGATTGGATTCTTAAGTCTGTGAGAGTTTTTCCCATTTCTTGTTAAAGAAGTACAAACACATATATATATATATATACATATATTTAGTAGTTTGTACTATTATAATTGTACCTTGTATATATTAGAAAGATCTGATGGATTTGGTCTCTCTTTTATGACTTACGGCTAAATGTTGGTTGTACATTTCTTTTAAAAGGTTTAAGAGAGAAAATACGAAAAAAGGGTATTTAACGAGGTAATGATTTATTATTATCATTATTATTATTAATGTTGTATTTATTTAGTTTGTTTTTGTTTGCGTGTTTATTTGTTTACTTTATTTTGCTTTGATATACAAAATCAAGGTTCCTTTTATTATTATATTTATTATGTTATATAATTTTGCAAGTCTATTGAGCATGTAGGCGTACATCAGAAGCTTCCTCTTCTTCATCTTTAGATTTGTTAAGATGTGTTTCTTGGGATTTCCAAAACTTCTCGAGCTGGACAGGATCTATGGGATATGTGTTTGCGGGTGCAGGGAAAGCTCTGGTTTTGACCTCGGCGTGATATTGGGAAAGAGCATTAGTCATGATTTGGTTGAGATTGGCGTATTGTTTTGTGAACCTAATAAAAGGAAGAAGAAGAAAAAAAAATAAAGTATTAAAATAAGATAATATAATATATATATATATAAAATACTTTACTTTGGTACAAAACGATCAAATAAACCGAGTGCATCGTTCATGACAAGAACTTGGCCAGAGCAGTCGACACCAGCACCAATACCAATGGTAGGAATCTTGAGGCGCTGGGTAATGTAACCTGCGATTTCGGATGGAATTGCTTCCAAAACCATTCCAAAGGCACCTGCCTCCTGAACAGCCAGAGCGTCATCCAGGAGTTCCTGAGCTTGTTTGGCAGTCTTTCCTTGGACTCTGAAACCACCCAAGGCAGATTGTCGTTGAGGAGTCAGACCAATGTGAGCCAGTACCGGGACTCCTACACGTGTAATACGACGAATGGTCTCTGCCATTTCCTTGCCACCTTCCAATTTGACAGCCTAAAGATCATTATTATTATTATTAAATATGTATATAAATATCATTTATGTGTAAATCATATTTTTATTCTTTTGATTCCAAGAGGAATATGAAATATTATATAAATATATATATATATATATATATATATATATATATATACTATTAATAATTTACTTGTGCTTACTTCTGCATTGGCCTCCTTGAGGCATCGGAGTGAGACACGGACGGCATCTTCGGGGCTGGCTTCATAACTGCCATAAGGCAAATCGACTACCAAAAAGGCAGTCTTATTTCCCCTTGCAACTGCTCTGCAGTGATGGATCATTTCCTGCAATAAATATAAATATATATATGTATATTAGTGAGTGTAAATGCGTATATAAATATTTCTAATATGTAAATATATATATTGTAATAATAGTAATAAAGTATTAAAGAGAAACAAAAGAAAGAAAGATACTTTACGTCCATAGTAAGAGGGTTTGTGGAATCATAACCCAAGGCAACCATGGCAAGTGAATCACCGACTAGACACATGTCAATCCCAGCACGATCGACCATTAGACCCGAGGGATAGTCTTGTGCAGTCATCATGGAGATTGGTTCGCCATTCTTGTACATACGACGAAGTGTTTTGATTGTTACTTTTGGTCGTTCTGTCCATTATATGTAAATGTTTTTGTCAGTGGACCAATGGATAATATACGATAAAAGCAATAAAGAAAAAAGATAGAGTGTATATAGAGATTGGTAGTACAATTGAGAGACTTACGTGGGACGGAAGGCTTGGCGGTTGACGGCTCTAGTGGCCGACTAGAGTAAAGACGACTAAAGACTATGCGGGGTAATGGACTTTTGGATTGGACTGCTAGTCTTTTCAGGAGGGTGGCGTTGGCCAAACTTGGCAATAAATGAGGGGAGATACGAAATGCCATTGAATTATATAGAATCAAATAAACCCAAGATAAACTAAGGGAGAAAGAGAAAGAGGGAGAAAGAGAGAGAAAGACAGAGAAAGTTTTTTTTAAAAAAAAAAGAAATTAGGAAAGAATGAAGAAACCAAGACCTTTATATTTATTTTATTTTCAGTTTTGTTTCTGCCTCTTTATTTATTTATTTTTATATATATGGTCGAGTGAAAGCTTAACAGTCCGATTGACTGTAAGAAGATATATGTGACGGATACGGATACGGATACGGATATATTTGTATATGTATATAATATATTATAATAACTCAATAGAGAAACATATCCTAAAAGGTTCAATTACAACAAGAAAAAATAAATGCAAAAAGAAAAAAAGAAAAAAAATTATATTATATATTATTTATATTGATATGTCTGTATAGAGAAAAATACACAGTGAGATGGAGGGAGAGATTGATGGAGAAAGGTGTATATATAATGTGTATAATGTGTACTGTGTATTATGTGTGTGTTGGTGTGTAAATATATGAGTGAGCAAGTGTTTGTAGTGTGTGTGTGTGCGTGTAGTATGTGTAAATGGTTTTCAATGAATAAAGTAGCCGGTCATTCAAACACGTGATTTATCTTTCTTATTAGATGTCATCCATGCCAAACTGACCACCCAAGGTAACTGTTTGTCCAGGAGTGAATGAAGGCATACCCAGGTATGGGCATGTCGAGCATCTAAAGGCATCTCCGAGCGCACAGCTACCACATCCGCCAACCTTCTTGGCTGTTGGATCCACCTCCACAATCTCATCTTCCATGTCATCCTCCAATTCAAGCGAGACCACCTGGGCTTCCTCCTCCTCTGCTCTGCCACAGGTACAGTTCTTGCATGCCTTGCGCTTTCCGTCTGTCAATTCACAATCGTCTGGTCTAGACAAAGACTCCTTGGAAGGTTTGACAAGATCATCGTCATCCAACAAAGCATCGTCGTCTTCCATAGTATCATCTGTCTCGAGAGTCCAGACAGACTTCTTGGCTGCTGCTGTAGGTGTAGGTGTAGGTGACTCTTTCTTTTTACCAAATCGCAGGGTCATCTTTTGGCCAACTTCATATGCAGGCTTCTTGGCCGTAACATGAGCCCAGCCAAACTTTCCGGTCAGGCGACTCACACCTTGCTCGACTCTAGTTGCTCCCCAGATCTGGAAGAACTGCGCCAACTGTTGATCCGACACAGGCTGGACACTTGCCTCAACATCGACAAAACCAGCCAATTTCAACATCGAGACCAGTTCGTCCTGCTGACGTGTTACAGGACAGACAGTGTTACTCAGGCTGACTAGCACAATGGGTTCTTCGACAACCAAGCGTCCACCGGCCTTGAGAGTTGATAGGTATCTTGACAGAATTGCGGGTGTATGAACCGACACAGAGGGTGAAAAGATGTTGGAGTAGATGCCATCGAATGAAGACTTTGGCAATGAAGCTTTTTTTTTAAAAGAAGAAAATATATATATATATATATATTTGATGTCAAGGAGATTAGTAATCTAATCGAATCAAAAGGGTTTTAATGATTTTGATGTACTCACCATCAGCTACCCTTTCCATAATCTCAAATGCAATGTTGGCTTGAGGACCGGCCTGGGCGAGAGCTGAAGATCGCATCTTGATCCATTGATCTTGTTCGACTGTAGAGGATCCGACAAAGAGAATTGCCTGTCCTGGTTGGATTTCAATTGAGGATGACATTTTTATTTCTTTAGAGAATTTAAGGTAAGATTAAAAAGAAAATTATATAAAAGAGAGAGAGAGAGAAAAAGAGGTGGGGGGGTTTTGGAGTGGAGGGTTTCTGTGTAAGAACTTTTTTTTTTTTTGAAAAAAAATGTAGTAGAGAAACAAGAAGTAAAAAAAAAAAAAAAAAAAAAGTAAAATTGCGAATCTATTGAGTTTTATTTATTTTTTATTATTATTATAATCGCTATAATAATATGTATTTATAATAGAAAATTTATACACACAAAGATGTCTACTATGTATATTATAATGGTAAATATTACTAAAGTATGTGTAAGTTATTAAGTAAGTAGGGTGGACAGGCGTGGGTGGTTATGAGTTAAAGTTGGATAGATTGAACCAAGCAATTGAATATTAAACTCATAGAGAGATTATTAGTATATTTTATATATATATATATAAATATACATAAAAATCAGTTGAGAGATGATTTGATTTTATTGGCTAGATGCTGATTATTACAACCTTGGGATTTCCTTTCTTGGCCGCATTAGATGGAATGATAAAAAAAAAGTATTAAAATTTAGGACATCTTTAATTAAATGTATATAATATATATATATATATATATATATTTTAACATTTTATCTTATCATTTATCTTTAATGTTTGATATTTCCTAACGTATAGTATAGTACAGCATAGTACAGTACATTATAGACTGCACGTTCACACTCACACCCATTGACATTTTGTATATATGTAGTATGTATTAAAGGTATTAATTTTTTATTTTTTTTTGCTTTGTAGCCCTGACTGGAAGAAACCGGATCTTATCAGCCCAATGGCAAATTTGCAATAATTGGTATAAATATATGTGTAATATATTTGACTATGACCCGAGAAACTGTTTTTTTTTTTTTAAAAAAAAAAGAAAAGATCTTGATTATGGTCAGTATGAAGGGAAAAGGAGGGGCTTTAAAATAAATATGAAAAGGTCGAATACCAATACCAATAGAAAGATTATATAAGATTTATGCTGTGTTGGTTTAATTTAATAGTAAGAAGAAGAAGAAGAAGAAGAAGAAAAGGGGCATATGGATTTGTCAGCATGGCACAGATCACAAATTAGTTTACACAAACTGCAGATTAGAATCTTTACATATTCAGCTCAAAAGAGATCCCTGTTTCTTTATGTACTTTTGCAGATACTACAGCACACATAATAGTAATGATGAACAAAGGAATATGCTTGATAGACAGAGTTCCCAACAATGATATGTATATCAGTGGTGTTGATTATAAGCCGAGATTGCTTAGTGAACTTCAGTGGACCTGGCTAAATCGGAGTCTCTATCTGTCAAATATATATATATATATATAAAAGAAAAGTAAGGAATCATATGTAAATAGATAAAACATTTTTTTTTAAAAAAAAATATAGAGATAGATTAATAACTTTGATTTGGTTAAATGCTGAAAGAATAGTTTATTCGAAATTTACATAAAACATAGTCTAATCTATGAAAAATAAAATTAAATATATATATATATATATCAAAGACCTCTTTCCACACACTACACAATACAAACATCTATGTACTTCAATATAACTTGTATAAAAATATACATATATTTGCGTGTGTGCTTGTGTAAGTGTGTGTAAGCGATTCTTTCTTTTTACAAAACATCAAACGAATAAGAGTTGATGTGGTCTCATACAAAAGTAAATAATAATAATAATAATAATAAAGAGAAAAACTATCAGAAGAATAATGAAAAGTAATAGTAGTGATGGTAAGAGAAGTATATAAAAATAGGCAAGGAGAGAGATGATAATGATGATAATGATGCTGTTGCTGTTGCTGTTGCTGTTGCTGTTGCTTTCTTTTTCAATATAAATAAAAATTAATAACTTTCAAGAACTTCAAGTTTTGGTTGCCTGTTCCTTCTTGGTCGGTGAGTGATACTGTGAGTTGCACGCCAAAGACTAGGCAAATGAAACCGATAATTGGGTTTAAATAGATAATCCGGGAGATCCCAGTAGTCTTTTTGAATGTTCACCACCTGACGGAACGACTGTTGAGCTCCAAGATTTGGCTTGGTTGTATGAAGAGATTCGGTGTAGCTGAGTATACGATTCTGTCCAGTATCTGCCTCTAACAATTGAGCCACACTTGCAGCCGCACTGTTGGCTAATGGCTCCAGTGCATAACCACCTTTTTTTTTATTTTATTTTATTTTATTTTATTTAAAGAGTGATTAATTGATTTGTAAATATATATATATATATATATATATATATATATTTCAAGATAAACTTACCTTCAAGTGTAAGTACCAGTCTGCCTTGACAGACTTCTTTGGCAAGATCATTTACCATTTTTGTAATGAGTCCAAATCCATGGGGAGTCACACTGTAACCTCCAAGCTATGTATCCAATTTTTGTTTTTGTTTTTTTGTGATCATTTGTATCATGAGATGCTCTGCATTTATATAACTTTTTATTATTCTGGTTCCTTACTTGTTCTGAATGTCCTTCGGCAGCATCATAACCTGCAGATACAAATATCTAGTCTGTGTGAGAAATCTTGACTTTATATATATATGTATAAATTTAAATATGTTACTATAGTTACCATGTCTGGATCAAATTGTCGTGCAATTGGAATAATAATATGATGAAATGCAGCCACAAACTCGGTATCACCCATTGGTCCTAAGTAATAATAATATATATATATAAAAGGAAGATATAACATATAAAAGATATCATTATTAATATTAATATTCATCTTTTATATATATATATATATATGTGTGTACACCAATTATGTCCGACTTTACTGGGTTTTTCTTCGGAAGCACTCAACGCAATATTGACATTCCGGCCAAGACCAGGACCCACTCCACACTCTTCAGGTCCACCACTAAATGGATAAAAGCTACCGTTGTCCCAACGATGGATTGATATGTAGAGTACATTTGGATTGTCGTAGAATATTGATTGCGTTCCGTTTCCATGACTACAGGCGCATATATGTAAGTATATATGTATGTATTTAAAAGATGGAAAATTTTAATTAATTTATAACCATTTTATCAGATTCTTTCTTCTTGGATTCTACTTACTGCAAGTCCCTAAATAAAGCTTATCCCGTCAGTAAATCTTCTTGTGTCACTCTTTGTATAATTTTTTTTAATATATATATATTATCTTACCAGTCTATGATCAGCACTTTCTTAACTACCTTGGGATATGTCTCGAGAATAGAAGCCACAGCCACAGCCACATTATTAAAGAAGCAATATCCCATTGCACCATCATCTTCAGCATGATGACCTGTATATTAATATTGATATTAGATAATAGTGGGTAATAGTGCAGACAATTTTTATTTTTGCATTCTTTAACTAAAGAAGATGAAAAATGAAAATGAAGAGAGAGAGAGAGAGAGAGAGATCTTTATCCCTTTTAAATATATACTATAGTATTATTACCTGGTGGTCGGATGAGCGCAAAGCCATTCCGAAGACGACCTTCGACAATCTGGTTACTGAGTTCAATGAGGGCACCTGCAGATACACGTGCAGAGAGACTTGAATGATGAGGGTGAAAGGTGGTGTCACCGGCTTTATATTTAAATGCGTATACATCGTTCGTCACCAGAAGCATTGTTGTTTTTAAAGAATACAATTAATAATGAACTTGAGTTTGGATAAATAGCATACTTCAAGTAAGATGTACATCTATAATTACCTATCCCAAGTTCTCCACAGGTCATTTGGTGAATAAGTCCGGGTGGTGTATTTGGTGATGTTAGTGTAGTATTATTTGTGGTAAGAGGTAAGAGAGGTGGAGATGGTGGAAAGAGAGTGTTGACTGTGTTTTCGGAAGGTACCAAATGAAGAAGATGAGAAGTTGGACGAGGAGTAACATTAGCTGTGGTTGTGGTAGTAGGAGGAGGAGGGGTTGGATTGAGGAGAGCTTCGATCGAGGTCGCTTTGGTGTGATAGGGATAATAGTTTCGAACATGAGCAAACGTGTGGACCCTCATAAGTTCTTCCTTTGTAACTTCTCTTGCATGAACACGGCGAAAGTACCGCAGCATGCTTTATTTTGTTTTAATTTTTAAGATTGGATTTTCAAGAATATAGACACGCACACAATATACATATAGTGTATGGATGTATGGATGTATATTTATTTAATTATTATGGTATTGAATATAAAGGGAAAGAGAAAAAGAAATTGATCGATCGAATATATGATCAAATGTATGATTGATTCTTACCGGTTAGTGTAGAATGCGTCGAGTATGGAACGAATACGACCTGGTTGTTCTGGATGAACAGTCTCGCGTTCGTGGCAGGGACAGGCATGGAATGACATCCGTAGATCCTGAACAAGACCAGTCTGGCGGACAGGGTTAGCATTTTGTTTGTCTTTAGATTGTTGGTAATAGAAATCGCCGTATTCTTCCCAGGATTCGTCGCTTTCTTTTCCAAGTGGTCCGTAGTGTGTCTTGGTGCTTGGGGATGAAATCTCCTGAGGTTTGACCCAGTCGGCTTGATCGGGTGGCCATCCCTCAAAGTGGACAAACACCAATTCGGTCGATTGTTGGTCAGTCTGGATTATCTCGACCACGCGAGCAGCACAACCTATCCTTTGGTCTTCTTCCCATCTATCAACTTCTACCTGATTTCCAACTCTATAAGATACTAAATAAAATAAAATAAAGAATAAGAATAGGAATAGGAATAGGAATACCCTATGATGGTTTGTTACTTGCCAGTTTTTGATTTTTTCCTTTGAAGATCAGGATTCTCTCTACACTGCCTGACTGGTCTCTTTGTTCCATGATCAGGACTGTTTGGGGAGGCTTCTGTACACGGCGAAGGCAGACTATCTTCCTGAAGAGGCTGAGACACAGAATATGAAGAAACCTTATCACCCTAAACATCAATAAAATTGTCATTTATATTTGTTTCATTATCAGACCAAAACATCATTACACTACACTACACTAACATACCATTTTAGATAATCTTTTATATCTTTTATATGCTTAATATAATAAAATATAATACAATAAAATATAATATAATATAATATAATAAAATATAATATAATATAATATAATATAATATAATACAATGCTTATATAATATAGATATAAATCAATGGACAGAAATGTACTATTGAGATATGTGTTGTACTATTTCCCTGTCCACACAAAATAGAACAAGAAGATCAATGACTGAGAAAGAGCAATAAATAAAAATAAAATAAAATAAAATAAAAAACAAAAGAAAGAGAGAGAGAGAGAGAAAAGGGCAAGTCAAGACAAGTCAAGAACAATAAATTATAAAATGGAAAGGGGAAATCTGCGGAGAAGACGAAATGAAATAAAAATGTAAGAGCCAAAAAAAAAACAAAACACAAAAAAATTATAAAGACTATAAAGAATCCCTTTTTTTTTTTATTTTTTTCTTTACAGAGCTGACTTGTAAAATATAATATAATATAAAAAAAAAACGTCCCTATTTTTTCACCCCTCCCTTTTGAATATTTTTTTTTTCGGTCACCCAAATTAAACCACACCATCCTTCTTATCCCCCTACCATTCACTTTACTTCATTTCACTTTTACTTCCCCTTTTGCTTCTTCACTTTGTACTTTTCTCTAATTACCAATTAACCAATCATATTTCTCCCTTTTATAGTCTTCTTGTTTTCTGTATTAAAAAATAAATATTTGACTTGATTGCCTTTCTTTAAGTTCATTATCAACAGCAGCAATAATAGATGTCTTTATATATATATATATATATTTCACAAGAGTCTAATAGTCTAGATAGATATAATGAAAGTAAGACAACAAGTACAATAATTACAACTACATTATACGCAGCAAATCAGCTTGACTGTGTAACCACCTTTAAAGACACATTGTCCAAAATATATCTTTTATCTACTTAGACAGCCTTTAAATACCAAACAACAGATCAAATATGGGTGCTCTGTTGGAGTTCTGTAAAAGAATATTACGCCTTGGAAACCTAAAATTTGAATTACATGATGTTTCTTCTTATTAACAAATCCCTCCACATATATATAAGTATAAATGTATTACCAAGCTATCTATTACAGCAACAAAGTGTATATATACATATACTATAAATTAACCGATCAACCGACCAAGACTTGTGGAATGGTCCTGTAACATTCCTCTTTGATTAACAATATGTATGTATATATTTCAAGGGATTTTTATTATCTGTCTAAGCATGGTGTCAATTACAAAACAAGACAAGACAGAATATATTCTTGACTTGTTCACAAATGAGTTTTAGATGATCGATCAAACCAACCAACTAATTAATATTGATTGCAGTCTTTCCATTTATTTATCTATAATTATCTGATTGTTGGTAAATTACATTACAATCGCAATGACCAAGAACCCGGTATTTGGATTCACATTCATCAAAGAGAACTAGAAAGAATAAAGAAGGAAGGAATAATAATAAAAAAAAAAAGGAATTGGCTCTTTAATTTTGCTCTCTCTCTCTGTCAATAATAATACTAGTATAAAAGATACATAATAAATCCAATCACATCTGACCATTATGTATGATTCACTCGGCCAAGGTAACACAGACAAATGTCCTTTGGTTGATTTATGGTATTTCTGCAAATTATGGTGTATTTCAAGCATCGTTCATTTATATATATATATATATATACAGTTGGTTGAATATCGTTAAAAAATAAAAGAAAAAAATCCATTTGCTTATCAGTTGTCTGACAAACACCAGCATTTTAATCCCAGAAAAGCTGAAAATAGTTCTTATTGGATAATTCATTGCATTTTTGAAAGAGAGAAAGAGAGCGAGAGAAAAAAGAAAAAAAAAGTCTATTTTTTTTTTGGTAGACAGTTTACTGTACTGTAGTGTAATTTAATACTATGGTTACAAAATGGTATAAAAGCCCTGATAAATATTTTGTTTACATGTACCAAAGTAATTCAATAACTAAATGATGAAAGTAAGCTTTCTTACATATAAAATATAATAGAATATAAAGATATCTGCCACATTGGATAAGCCTCTCCGAATCTGTAGATCAAGAATGATAAATTCCACTGTGAGAATATTATACTATATTTTTCAATAGTAATAACAATATATATACGTAGAAAGAAGAATAAGAAGAAGAGGAAAGCATTTGTGGTCTGGGTCAAGACAAATTTCCTTTTTTTTTGTTTGTTTATTTATTTACAAAATCATTACCCTGCAATATTATATATAAGGTTGTAAAATTACGAAAAACCGGTAATGAGGCAAAAAGCACATCAAATGGAGTGAAAAGTAAATGAGGTAATTTGCGCACCATTGTGTTACAACACCCACGCCTAAACCAGCACCTACACCCACTCATATCCATATACTTATCAGCTTGGTATTTTATTTTGGAATTCAAGAAATAACAAATCGTGGCTATAATAATTACTATGTATATAATAGAAACAACAGACAAACGTCTTGTAATTTTAATATATACATACATTTTGATTTTGTATGTATTGGTAAGGATCAAGGTGTCTTGATGACAGCGCACAAACACAGTTACTCTGGTTCTTTTATTTCTTTATATTTCGCACACACCCACAAAAGTTAAGCAAACTCAACAAACTGCTTTCCCACCATCAAGTCTTTTTTTTTTTGGGTTTGTGGGCTTAAAAATAGTTTATTTAGGTTTATAAAAAGTTGGTTATATTTCATTCTTATTCTTAATCTTATTTATTGGTGTCTTGAGAGCTTATAAGATATTACTCAATAAGGTTCGAAATCTCAAAGATCTTGGTTGGTCAGTTCTCAAAGGTTCTTACTCATCCTTGTATCTCTATACTATACTATACTATACTATACTATAAGCCTGCTTAAAAGACAGTTTTTTTTCTCTTTGCAGTAGCAGCTTCTAACAATATTAAAATACTTTAAAATCAATTAATCAAATGCAATACAGTGTAGTGTAGTTTAGTCATTTAATACTAAGTACCCAACAAGACCAGAAGAAGAAGAAAAAGAATAAAAAAGCCCCCTATATTTATTTTTGCCCAAAAGTAGCTTACAAACCACCATGCTATTATTATTATTATTATTTTGTCCTGTGTATGTTTCATGAACAACACATTTTGTTTCTTATACAATTTGTCAGTTATTGTAATAAGTCAGAATCTCGTAGACCAAACGACGACTTAACAATTGTCTTTTGTCTAGTAAGCAAAACAAAATTTATATTATTGCTTTGATTCGATTTAATTTAATTCGATATATATATATATATTATTTATTTATTTCTACACTGTCTGTGCTGATATTTCTTTATTTCCGCCAAAGCCGAATTGTGTAATACAAACTGTGCACGCACGCACATACACATACACATACACACTAAGTAAAAGAAAATGGTTCCAGATATTCAAGACAGCTGATTAAAGTATGTGTATAATTTTCTCTCTTTCTTTTTTTTATAAATGATGATATTCATCTGCTTTAATTGAGAATTTCAAATTGTAAATTTCAAATTGCAAATTGCAAATTGCAAATTGCAAATCGCAAATCGCAAATCGCAAATCGCAAATCTCAACTTTCAAATGTCAGTATTAGATACCTATTATATATATATATTGACTTGTTATACTTTGCTATTATTGCTTGTTGCACTACCTATAGCAACATAGGTAATTACTTGGCTCTTGTACACAATTTACTTCTTTGGGATATTTCACTACTTCCGGAAAATAAAATCGTTTCCCAACCCACGTAAACCTAGCCTTTTCTTTTACTTGTTCATTCGTTTCTTGGTTGTGCGTATTCTGACTTGTTCTTATAATTACATATAAAGAGAGTACAGACATTCTTATATGATATGACTTGTGATATATATATATCTGTGCGTGTCTATTTTTTAAAATAAAATAAATATTCTGACAGCAGAAACATAAAATAAAAAGGAATATTTCTTTTTTTTTGTAGCAAAATTAGTAATAATTAATTTCTAATATAGAAACATGCTATTTTATTTATAATATTGACAAGAGAGAGAAAGAATAGATAGGAAATGAACAATAGAAATCACACGATAAAATAATTCTCCGTCTCGTCTCGTCTCGTCTAATCTCACCTCTTTTCTTTTGTCCATTTTTTTAAGACTTGAATTATTATCTTATTAATTGTATTAATGTGATGGATGCAAAATGATTGTTGTGTTTTATTCAAAAGCAGAGAATATTAATATAAGAAATGGGATGTGAGAGGGAGTAGATAAGTAAATAAATAAAAGTAGTATGATCATCCAGACCAACGATATACTAATGAATCAGACGCAATTCTTGCTTGCGATCTTTGGCGTAAACATCCTTGTACTTGTCGTAAATGCTCTGCAATTCCTCAATGTACAGCTTTTGAACAGCGACAATCTGTTCCTGGGTAGGTTCATCACCCTCAAACTCTGGTACAGGAATGGGCTTACCAACTGTTGATTTTTTTTTCATATGTAACAAATAACAATAAAAGGGCAACTTCATTAGTCTTTCTTTCTACTATACATCATTCTCACTACTCAACCAAACGAAAGAAAACAATAATTACCAACAGTAGCAATAGGATGGCGGAAAGGAATGATACCAACATCATCTATTTTTTTAAAAAATAATAAAAATAATAGAGTAACCAGCCTTTAGTCTCATTTCATTTCGCTTGCTAATCATCATTTGACTTACAATTAAAGATACCACGAGCATGGAATAAAGGCAGAGTGAAACCAAAGATGGACTGAATTTTCTTTTGGATCTCAAAGATCTTGGAGCCTTCTGAATTGTCAAACTGATCATACAAGTCATTCTCACCAAACGAAAACATGGGGACCAAAGAAGCCTTTTGTTTAATTGCCAGCCGAACGAATCCAAATCTCTTGCGAAGGATCAAGTCGTTTGTGCCTGGTCTGGCCGACAAGGATTCAGTAGCACCTCCGACCACTAACACCAAAGAGTGGCCCGGTCCAGCCGAGAGAATACGCTCACAGGACTGGCGCGACGCACTTGTCAAGCCAAGCATCAGGGCAAGGTCACGGAAAAATGGGAAGCGGAAGTTTCCAGATAGTGTGAGCAGGTAAGGAGTGATACCCGGGAACTTTTTGGAGAACCCAGTACCTTCGGTGGCAAAGTTGGAAAATGCACCAAACGAGATGATGCCGTGGGGATGATACCCAAATATATAATTACCCTTGGGGTCCAAATCACATTCCTATCAAATTATGTGTTTTTTTTTTTTTTTTTTTTTTTTTTTAAGAAAAAAAAGTTAGCTAGTTTGTTGTCAAGTCAAGTATGCCTTTGTATCCTTGGTAACCAATAACGATATATGAAAAAAAAAGAATTGATTACCTTTATAAGTTGTACAGGAAAATAATTACAGAAATATTGCCAGACTTTCCAGTATCTAACCCATTCTACACGACGACCACAGTATTCGGGAGCTTTGTCAAAAACGATGAATGTAAGATAGACGATCAAAACCGGCCATAGTACTGGGTGGAACACAAAGAGGTAGACCATAAATGCAGACGAGCAGAAGAATAATCCAATCAAACCACTCACAGCCAGGGTTTGAAGCCGACGTTCAAGTGGGATGCCAGTAATTGGAGCCCATCGGACACCGTGTTTCTCTAACTTTTCAGCAACAGCCATGCTTTGTTTAAATTTGTTGTTACTTTAAGGGAGAGTGGTTTTTCTGCTTGATTCGATTTTTGAAGAAAAAGAAGATGAAGAAGATGAATATGAAGTTTTTTTTTTCTTTTCTTTTTTGGCTTTATATATATATATATTTTGCTCTTAAATATCATACTGAAAAACAGCCTCTTTTTTTTTCTTTTTCTTCTGCTATAAAAATAAATAAATAATGTTATTTGTAAAATTAAATTGAAGTTATTATTGTTTAATTTACATTAAGCTTTCACATGGTTAAAATACACACACACACATATTATGGCCACACACATATTATGGCCACACACATCGTAGAGCCACACACATCGTAGAGCCACACATGGATTAGGAACACATATATTACACATTACACATTACACATTACACATTACACATTACACAATGCACACACGTACCTCTCCCTCTCTTTTTTTTGATGTCTTAGACACATGCAAGTCACTTCACGTGTTAAAAATTATGCTTGGTAACAAAAAAAAAGGAAATAAAAAAAGAGGAAATGAAGTGTCTTGCAATAAACCTCTTTGTGGTAACCTTCTCCGCTTCAGCATGTTGGGACTCATTCGGGCATTAGCAGCAACAAACTATGTTGCATTCACAGGCCTTTTGGCAGCCTTGACAGTTGGTACCTTTGACGCCTCAATTATGTTGAAACTGGTGCACAAGAGTGCACTTGCCCGCAACGCGTTTCCTTACGTGGAGATTACTCAGTCCATGATAGCCGAGTTCCCTTTACACCACTTGGCAGGCTATTTGATTATTACCACACTAACAAATCTTTTTGGTGGTTTTGGTTAGTAGAAAATAAAAAGAAAAAGAAAAAGAAAAAGAAACTATGATTATTATTATTTATATTACTATTTACTGGTTATGGGTGCTATAGAATATACACTGGCTTGGCTTGTGTATTACGTACTTGGACTGCCGGTCATATTCTCCTGGATTGTTTTGTTTGTTGAAGGTTTACGCGAAGAGGAGGTTTTTAGCGAGGGTATCAAGGACCTTGTGACTGGTGGAGAGCCTGCCGAAGCTCTTCAGAGTCCATTAAGGTGAGTCTTTATGATAACAACAACAATAATGACAATGATAATATGATAATATGATATAGTTTAATTTAAGATAATTTTTTCTTTAAAATTTTTGCTTATTATTATTTTATCTATTTATTATCAAAAGCTTACCTCTTGTTACCCGACTCATTAACCCGCTCTGGACACCACCAGATGTGACAATTTACCCCAACAGTAAGGTTTATAAGTCACATTATTGGACAATATATATATATATACTTACTAACTCTTTCTTTTTTTTTTTAAATTATATGTTTTCTTTTGTTTATTTGCTTTGATTATTTTGTCTTATACTTACTTGTAGTCACTTATGCTACCACTGAAGAAACAGCCCAGATTGTAGAAGAAACTGGTGATTTTAGTCAGCCAAAACTATTGTCGCTTGATATCTATGGTAGAACTGACCGAGATATTAGTGATAGACGCCCAGTATTGGTAAGAAGATTAAAATGTACTTTTCTTTGGGGGGATTTTTGGTTAGAATGCGTATAAAGTACCTTAATAAAAATCAAAAATCAAAAAATAAATTAATAACATAAATGAACGAACGAACAAATGAATAGATTCATGTTCACGGTGGTGCTTGGCGTAAAGGATCCAAGAATATGTTCAAGCCTCACGGAAAAGTACTTGTTCAAGAAAACAATTGGGTAAGAGAAAGATATATAGAATATACGAGTATATATATTTTCGTGTGTGCATATTAGCTCCATAGGTTGTTAACAAAAGATACATATGTATTATAGCTTTATGTTTCAATTGGATACAGACTCGCACCTGAAAATCCTTATCCTGCTCATTTGATTGATGTCAAGCGTGCCATTCGATGGGTTAAGCAATCGATTAGCAAGTTTGGTGGTGATCCTAACTTCATTGTCCTATCCGGTAATAATTTCCCCGGTCCAATTCTGTGGATTACTCTTTACTAATAATCATTTACTTATTACTATTACTTTATACATGTAAATACATGTAATATATCATCAATTCGATCCAACCCCATACACTTTTTTTTGTACTTAATGTATAGGTGACTCTGCTGGTGGACATTTGGCTACAATGGCATCATTTACTGCAAACAATCCATTGTATCAGCCAGGTAACAAAATACTATTATTGATAACAGTAGATAAAAAATGACTTTGAATACTGACTGACTGACTGACTGATTGACTGATTAACTCGACCAACTCAATCGATTACGTATCATTTAGGTTTCGAGTCTTTTGATACTTCTGTTAAAGGCGTTATTAGTTTTAGCGGTGCATTGGATATCCAGGCAACTAGACATCATGCAGAATTCTTTGCTCACAGAGTGGCTATGCAAAAGAAAGGCGAATTTGACCAGGAATTCCTCGACAGACACACACCAACCAGACTTATCGGAGAGGCTAAGCAAAACGGCAATCTTGTTCCATTCTTGTTGATCACTGCCAGTCGTGATACTTTGGTACCAAGTACAGTTGGAAAAGAATTTAAGACTATTTATGACAAATGTAAATATTATAAAGTAGTATTTTATTTATAGATAGATAAATAGATAGATAGTGATGGATATAGGAATATAGAGCCAGTAAATAATATGTGTTTGTTTGTATACTAAACTATCTTCTGACATAAATCTATCTATCCAGATTCGCCACCTGCTACATCATCTGCTTCTCAATGCTCTCTTTTGAATCTCCCAGTAAGTACAAGAAATAAATATATATATAAGGGTACTCAACAAAGTATGTATATATCTTTAGACGGCCCATCACATTTATTATGTTGGATGGACTCCTCGCTCTATATTCCTTTCCAGATTGGTCCAGGCTTGGGCTGAACAGCTTTACACAAAGAAGAAGTAGATTATGAAAGAATACAATACAATCCCAAAGCAGAATTATATCTGTCCAGCTTATACCAATTACCAGTGTCTTAATATTCGATTGATTATTCTATTATGTTTGTGTAAAAGATGATGCAATATGCATAATATAAACAAGTCATGTCATGTTATGTTATATTATAAATAAACGAGAAGCAGAGAGAATGAATAGTATACAAACAGAAGAAGTGAAAAAAAGAGGTATATTTCTTATCAATGACATTTGTGTTTTGTGCAATCTTACCATCTAGGGGTGTGCTTTTGTGTGCTGTTGTTCGCCTTTGTGCGCCTTTGTGTACCTTTGTGTACCTTTGTGCGTTTTTGTGCCTGTGGGGTATGGGGTGTTTGTGTGGGGCGTTTGTGTGAGCGTGTGTAAAAAAAAAAAAGAGAAAAGAAACAACCAAACAAACAATCGGCTTTTTGTTAGATAGAAGGTAAGTAGACTTGATAGTAATAAGCTTTAATACCAGTCCAATACAAATCCCCTTCTCTCAAATATTCACCAGCACTACATATCTACGTACACGAAAGAACGAAAGAACTTATAATTCTTTTAACCCTTCAACTTTACAAATAGGCACTTGAATATTTAGACTTCATCTCACAGATACTTCTTGTCAACTAGTTGATTTGGCAGATTTTCTTGTTTCTTATCACTCTTTACCCACAACTACAAGTTCCCACGCTTTTGAAGGAGGAGTTTCTTTCTTTTTTTTGCTTCTGTTGCGCAAATCATATAAAGAAAATATATATATATATTTCAATCATTTCACTATTTATATGGCTGTCAGTTATCTGCAAAGAAAAATGCGCATATCTTTTTTTTTTTATTTGCAAATATATAAGCAAAAGCATGTGAGATTGTATACACTGCTTGTGTTCTCAATATACCCCAGCCCCAGGGCTGGTCACCTCGTTTGGACCCTTCACCTGCGGATGTGAGCCTGTTTGAAGCCAATGCGGGTTTCGGGGAGTCCTCCCATTCCAGAATGGCTGTTATGCCTCAGCTGGGAAGGTATTGCTTGCGGGAAAGCTTGAAACTTGCCAGTCGGGGTGTCCCGATCTTGTGAATCTTCTTATTATGGCGTTACAGGGGTACTTTTTTTTTTTGACTCTCTGGTCCTTCGCGGGTTGTAACCTTCCCTATTCAGGATACCTACTGGTCCAAGGGAGGAGGGACGAAGGATATCTTATGGTCCGTGACTCTTCCGTCCGAGTTAGGCTACCTACCCATGCTGAGTTGGCAGAAGGATGAGACTTTTTTTTTTTAGCAATGATCGAGTCCAAGGTTATTCCCTCACCATAGCGGCCATCGAGCCAGGCGCCAAGGTATTTTCACTCCTCCTGAAGTAGATAAAATAACCCACCATGTAGGGTAAATTTTGTCTCTATATGTGGTATTAAATATATATTTTGTAGAGTAAAAAAAAAAAAAAGCAAATCCCAAATTTCTTATTGATATAGTACCAACTGAATTAAAAGATATGAAAAGAAGATTAAACAAACTGGGTGAGCTGGGTAACCTTGGCTAAGGAAAGAAGAGTTTTTCAGGAACAAGAATCTGGGCTAAAAGTACCACTACAGATATATATATACGACAAAAAAGATCAAAATGATATAGTTATTTATTATTTTTTTAAAGAATCACACAAACCAAAGGGCAATACTATATGAAATCCAACTACTTAGTTTTTACTTACCGACATTTTTTTTTGCTACTTTCGGTACTTTAATTGTAGCGGATAGATAAATAGACCGTTTAGTAGCCTTTTTTAAAGTACTATATAAAGTCCGAGGTGGCAAACTATTTTATTTTTTTATTATACGACATTAGAAACAAAAATTTGAGACACTTCCGGTAAAAAAAAAAAAAAAAAAGTTAAGTTTCAGATGTGCCGTGCAATTTACCAAGAAAAACTTGACAGGTCTAAAAGAGGGGACATTTGAAATTTGAATTAATTATTTTATTCTTGCTTCATTGTAAGCTTTCAATTAGTCTTTGAAAGTTATTATTATTTATTAAAGTATGATTGACCCTCTCGTTTCAACCATACCTTCATTTGAATGTACTGCAATGAAATGATAATGATACAAAATACTTTAAGAAAAACATCTATTTTATGGCATTTTCCATTCGTTATTTTTTATTTATTTTTTTTTAAAAAAAAGGGTGTTGTATATCTTCTTGAATAAAAGAGAAATTACATATGAGTTGATCAGCATACTACTAATTCTAGCAAATATATTTTTTTGAGCCGATTGTACGCTAAAATAATTATGAAATTTATATGGTATGGTGTATTTTTCTTATACACTGGAAAAATAATTGGACTCCGATCGTTTTTTTCAAGACCTAAAAAGTGTTGTCGGAAATGTGAAAACTGAATATGTTGTACATTTACTTTGTAGAGAAACTGTTTCTTAACAAAGTAAATGTAAAACATATTCAGTTTTCACATTTCCGACAACACTTTTTACGTCTTGAAAAAACGCGGTGTTCTAATTTAATAGCAGACAAAGAGAAATATTGGCCCTAGATTATTCATTTCTTATGGCAGACTACGAGAATCGATCCCCTAATATAGTAAAACTATGTATTATGCGGTGTTTAAACAATCTTTTGTCGTGAATATATGAATTTGTGACTGCATAAAGTTCAATATTTGGGATTTTTTTAAAGCTGGCGGACATTTAATGTCATTTTCATATATCGGTATTTTAAATTAAAAAATTGGCCCAAAATCCAAAATTTCTGATTTAAAAGAAAATACACCATACATAAATGATTTGGTTATATCTATCCCTTTATTATTATCTTTTCTCACTGGGTTACCCGTCAGATTTCTTGATCTCCAATACCAAATAAACTATTCTTATCTCCTTTACATTTTACCTTGCAAGAAAAACTTCAACTAAATAATGTCTAATATATGATGTGGTCACTTTGAGGTTTGATTACTGCTTAGATTCTATTATGCCTACTTACTACAATAAGTTTAAAGACATACTGGGTCAAATTACTTTCATATCTGACCATTATTTATGAACCCTTTTCTTTCTTTAACTTTAGCTTTTAGAGCATCCTAAACATGCTCGATTTGATTAAAATCCGAAATTTGAGATGTCCATTAATCAAATCCCTAAATCTCCCAGCGACTCTCTTTTTCTATCACGTCGTGCATAGGACTCAGTATGGTATCTGGTACCATTTTATTGGAATGAAAGCATGGTGTCATGTTCGTCATTCTTTTTTTTTTTGCTCTATAGAATAGTGAGACTATTTTCCGGTTCGGGCCTGAGTAGTCTGTCTGTAGAAAAAGGCATGGGGTTTACCCCAATCTCTAAATTTATTGTAACACCTACATGAAGTAGGATAAGAAACAGGGTCCACTACCCATCTTAATAAAATCAGTTTTTTTTTTCTTTTTATTTTGTTGTAAGAGAGTATCTTGAGAAATCCCTAAGTGAGAACAGAGAAATAAGAGTAACTCTCCGTTAAGGATTTAGTTGGTAGTACTAATTAAAGGCCTGAAGTCTAGCTCCTTTAACACACTATCCATCACTGTGAACAATACCAACAAAACCCTACAAGAAACCTGTTACAAGCTACATTCCAGTGCACCTTACATCTCTTCACACACATATATTTGCAGCCAGTCTATACTTTTCCGTTCTTGAGCCGGACTACCATACATGTATTGCTCTTGAAGTCCTTGATATCAATTATTTGCCCAATATCACAGTTCGTTTCATTTTCTAAAAATAAGAGTAATTGGGCTGTAAGAAAAGATCAAATAAAAGAAAGGTGCATTTCTGGAGTAGTTATTCTGTCTTATCTTGCTGAGTTGTATATATATGTGTGTGTGTGTATGTGGAAATACATCGGCAAGCTTTAATAATCTATGGAAACGTCGGTGTTTCATGGCATTGATCCTCTTGAGTGAATAAATGATGATAAAACACACACATATATATATACTCTATAATACAGAGTATGTATATAGTATGGTATTTGGATACAATAAATAGTCTATGAGTGTTGAAGTGTAGCACATACTTTGGTTACTATAGAATAATATTAAAACAAAGGAGGTCTGTGTGCAATATTAAACCATCAGTCTAGACACGAGCCTATTTAAGGAGGCTTCATTTTTTTATCGGTATATGGTATTGATACCTTTTTAAGAAATTTGTATTGAAAGAATTTATATATATACAAGATGTGTATTAAAAAGGTAAGTAAGTACAGTGAATGCCAAGACCATCTATCTAAAATAAGCATTGGCCCATTATATATTTAGACAGATCCTTATGTATAAAAATAATTTAGGTAGTTGAAGAGGTAATTTTTAACAAAGTGCATTTTTTTTCTGTATGCTATTACTGCTGTTACTATTAGTACTAGTTGTTTGAGAGCAAGAATTGAGAATTATTGCTGTTGCTTTTATTTGGTTAGAGATATTAGACAAATTCCACATAAGATTCCGGGATAAGGCCAGATCCGTCACGGACATCTGCTACTAGCCATCCCTTTATACGCACAAGCATACATACAAAAGAAAATGGAATATAATTAATTCACTTATATATAGACAAATATAGATATTTTGTAATGACTAATGTTGTCATGATTGTTATTTCTTACCCGACATTGCTTGTATTGAATCCATACAACCTCTCCTTTCTTCATACCAGCCTCATGCTCTGTTTCTGGGCTAAAGTCGTAAAGAGCGCGTGCATAACAGCCTGTGAACCTGGTTGAGATCATGGATATTCTTGATTCTCGGCGATTTTTCTCGGACTGGCCATAGTGAAGAGGTGAAGTAGTAGGAAACCCAAAATCACGCACCATAATTTCTACAACCAAATGAGCTACGGGCACAAATGACTTTCTTTCTCTGTCTATTTGTGTGTGCCTGTATATCTCTATTTATCTATTATTATTATTTTTAAAAAAAAATTAAATTGCTCGCTTGCCTGGTGTTTCTGCTACAATTGTGTCTGATAACGGGTTATAGACTTGATTTGATGAATTGTCGAGTTCATTGATAACTAATTCTGGTATCTTGTCTCGAGCAACTGGAGATAGAGATTGCGAGACCTGTCCGGCAGGATCTTCATTGGAATCTTTGTCCAGGTTTGTTGGTGTATTCACCATATTTACATTTGCATTCACATTTACATTTACATTCGCATTATTATCACTCGCACACCGAAAAGGAGAGATATCATTCTGGTCAGCTGGTGATAGTGATGGTAATTCTGACAACCTGTTTTTGGTGTACAAAGACAAACGTGGTACAAGAGTGTCACTGCTTGTCTGCGGTAATATTGGCTTTTCTTGTTGTCCGTACAAGACGTGTGTGGATTTGCCTTGATTAGGTTTTTTTTCTCTGCAAAGATTGAAAGAATCAAATGGTGGATCTTCTTCGGAATTCTGAGTCTGGGTCTGGCCATGAGTCTCTTTCTTTGATTTGAATCGCTTTGCTATCGAACCTTTTCTGACAATCTAAGGTTGAAAGGGATTTATAAGCGTTCTTTTTTTTTGGTTTTTTTTTTGGTTGTTGGTTGTTGGTTGTTGGTTGTTGGATATATATGTTTTTGGTAGGTCTATTCGCTTTACCTTTTTGAATAAAAGAGCAAAGCTTACAACACCAGACAAACTCATTAGACAATAGAAGTAGATAGATATATAGTGAAAAATGAAGGAAGGAAGGAAGGAAGAAAGGAATGAAATAAAGAAAGAAAGAAAGAACAAAAGAAATAAGAAGAAGTATTGTGTAATGTACGAAGTTTATTATTATTATTTTTAAAATAGAATATGTATGTATATAAATATATAAGAGGTATTTTGTTGAATTTGAAGAAAAGGAAACCAAAAACCAAGAAGAGGAAGAAAGAGAGAAAGAGAGAAAGGAGACTCAAAATACAGTTTTCTTTCTATCTTGCTATCTATATATTGTGTCGCCATTTTACAGTGTATTATATTTTTCTATGCAAATATAATTTATTTTTGTATTTTTTCAATTCTACACCTCCACATTTTACTACTGTTACTGCTGCTGCTGTTTTTTTTATGGCTACAATTTGGCTTGTTCATTTGGTTAAAGTCGAGCCGAAACATAGTACCAAGCATCGTCTCTTCCCTTGACAGCCGAATCATTTGGGTTGATCTGAGTATACTACAGATCAAAATATACATATACAGAAAGAAGGGAGGACGAGAGGAGAATGAAAGGGGGGTTTAGTAAATAAAATGTCTAAGCACTTGCATGATCTGAAACCATTTAGATTCCTATTGCCATTTGTATTCTTATATATATATATATTTTATTAATATTTTGAATCTTACTTGACCGAGCTCACTCTTGTGAAACGGCTTGGAGGACTTGTATGGTGAGTTCTCAACATTAACATTTGTACTAATGAATGGCGTTAGTCTTGATATGAATAGACTAGAGCCCATTCAAACTTACACTTCAATGGTGTGTGTATCTGCCTTTGCAGGAATGACACCTTGGATAAGACGCTCCCACGCTTCATGTGTCTCATGAATTACTTGGGTAGCAAATGCCTAAGTATGGTACATACACACAAACACGCGTATTTAAGAAGGTATGTATATATATATATATATATTGTCAACTTTGTTCATCTTGTCTCACCTTATTCTTACACTCTCCGCCAAATGCAAACTCGTTGGCAGGCTTACCGTCTGGCATTTTGTAAATCTTGAACCATTCACGGGTGGCCTTGACCAGACCAGGAAGATGACGTTCGACATCATCAATGTCTACATTATTACAGATGGTTTAGGGTGACTTTGTATAAATATATATATATATATATCTCAAGCTCATCCATTTTTACTACTAATACTAATACTAGTACCACAAACTCCCTTGTTTTCTACCCTCTTTCTCTTGCGTGTATGTATTTTTTGTCTCACCATTCAATTTGCTTGCCATGGGATCTCTGACATCAATTGCCAAAATCTTCCAATCGGTTTCTCCTTCATCCAAAAGAGCCATTACACCCAAAACCTTGACTTGTTTAACCTGCCCAGTGTAGCCAATCTCAGATCCAATCTCACACACATCTACAGGGTCATTATCACCACGGGCGTGTGTTTCAGGATGAGTGACAGTTGGATCCTCCCATGTCTGTATTAAGGGTTAATATGTATGATAGCCATGATGATAAAGATGTCATATATATGTCTGTGTGTGTGTGTGTATGTGTGTGTGCCTTTTTTTTTTAAAAAAAAATCGGTTTCTTTGGCGGTAATTATAAAACCTATATATATTTATTTACCTGGGGGAAAGCTCCATAGTTCCAAATATAGCCATTGAAGGGGAAACAGTTTCGGACGAACCGGACATTTCCCTTTTTCACATCTTGCTTGATGGGGTTGTACTTTTCGTTGGTAGCAATCTTGTACAAGAATAACATATTTTATTAATATTAGTATTGATATCCTTACTTTAATATATTTTATAAATATATATAAATCAAATCAAATTCAGTTAAATTAAATTAAAGCTAACCTCCATCTTGGCATTAGACCACCGAGGAATCTCAACAATCATGTTCAATACTGTCTTTTCCCCATTGGCGAAAAGAGGAATGTCATGAAAAGGTGAAATGACCTGACCGTCCTTTTCTATTGATATAAAGTATTATTATTATTGTTATTATTACATCCTAGTTTTGTCATGCTGTTGTTGTTCTTGTAGTAGTGAAAGGAAGGAAAAGAAGGAAAGAAGAAGATATCTTACCGAGATAAACGCGGCGGGTTTGAGTGAACTCTTGACCGATTGCAACTGATTGAAATTGTGACATTGTGATTCAGTCTTAATTGCTATTATTTTAATTTATAAGAAAAAATATAGAGAGAGAGAAAGTTTGACAGGACAGGACAGGGTAGAGTAGAGTAGGGCAGTTCAATACAATACAAGACAAGGTAGGGATAATGGGTGTGTATATGTGTGGGGGAAGATAGAGTGGGGTTTGTGCTTGATTTAGATTATGAGAAAAAATAAAATAAAATAAAAAAAAATATCGCATTTATCCGTCTACATTGCCCGCTGATAAATTATACTTGTAAGAATCACGTGGAAAGAGATGTAACTTCTATTTTATTTTGGAAAATCAGCATTATCAAACTTCTTTATATCCATGTGCATTAAGAAGAAATATGTATATGAATGAGACCTGACTATCTCAACAGTTTTAAGCCTTCCATATAACACACATACACACCACAATCAATTGTCCGGCCAATTAATCAACCACCCTAGTAAAAGACATTATCTTGTTTGTGTATTGGTTTTGTATAGAATCAAGGAAAATATCAATATCACCAAATCATAAACTCTTAATTAATTTTTATTTTTTGGGTCTGTGGCTTACGGTACGCTTGTGAGCTAAAGATATCTTTCCAAAAAGTTGGGCAATTAATAGATGAAGTACAAAAGAATACGAGATGACTAAGATGAAATAAACAAGTGCTAAATATGGTGAATTTTCATGTAAAGAAACAAACAAAACCAAAAAAAAAAAAAAAAAAAGTAAGCAAAATGCAGAGCTGTTTATCGTTTGAGGATATTATTATGCTTACTATGTATAAGCAATTAAAAAGGATATCGAGTTAATGCATGTATGCCTATATTCATAGTCCAAGGTTTTCACCCACCCCAAACCTAATCAAGATTGTTTCTGTTTTCTCATTCAAAATCAATTAGAACTCTACCATTTTTTTTTACACCACTCTTAAAGATATTGTCAGGACTCTCTCTGGACACTGTTTTCTTTTTCTTTTTTTTTACGGATGCTGTACAAATAGGAATGAATTCAATTGAATTTTGTTACTGTTGTAAAGAGGTCTATGTAGACTCTTTCCAGAAATTATTGGTGCAAAAATTGAATGCACCAAATGCATAAAAAAAAGAAGATTAATTTATTAGAAATAGATAGAAAAGTGCGCCAATTATTTTCTCAACTGTATTTATACCAATAATTTCCGGAAAGAGTGTACTTTCCATTCATTTGATACCAGTTTAAAAGAAGAAGAAAAAAAGGCGTAAATATGCGTTTAATATATCAAAGGGCCGCAAAAACAAACAAACAGCCAAGCAATCAAGGTAACCTCCCCCCTGTTTTACTATTATTATTTTTGGTGATTTTGAAGGAATAGCCTGACACTCAATACGCCAAAAAGTACACAAGAATCTACTATACAATAAATCACTTCATGGTCACACTTATTTTATTGAAAATAACGGTATTACCTTTCATTGGATCCGATGAAACGCTTGCTTTTTCGTTTTGTTTCGTTTCGGTATCGATTGGCTTGGTTTAATATATTTGTTTGTTTGCTTTCTTAACAGTACTGTTGTACATTTATCATGATAATAATAGCAGAGAAATTGATTTGCATGAAATACAAAAAATACAAACACATAATGCTTCTTGGTTCAAACAACCCAGAATCAAATATTTATAAAATATCTTCTTTCTTTCTTTTTCTCAATATTTCTTTGCGGTATATCTTTGTGCTCATTTGATGGCTAATGTCAAACAAATAACCAGACAAAAGAAATAAATCGTACTACGTATCACAAATTCGATTGATTCTTTTTTACGTCTTATTTTAGTGAAATCAAGAACAAAAAAATAAAAAAAAGGTTATGCTTCGTTATTTAAATGATAATACTTATAATAATAGTCTATTGTATGGTAAGTACATTAACGTAAGCTCAAGCTTGGTTCAAGGCATGGATACTGAACAATATATATATATATACCAGTTATTTCATCTTATATTCAATAAGGTTCTTTTTGTGAAGAAGGACATAATTTGAATGCTTAATCAAGCTTAAAAAAAATCTAATTCAACATGTAGAGAAATAATGGGAGGGTATGTGTGTTTTTGTAGTCAATAAAATATATACATATAATACAAAATATCTCATACATGAAAGAAAATTACATATAATGGCAAAATTATTCTGAGTACAAATTTTATTTAAACGGAGCTTTACGTTCATAATTTCTTGCGAAATTTTATTGCAAGAATAACATTATTAGTTGTTCAGTGTAGCAAACAGAATAAATATATATATACATATATTAGCAGATGAAATCTCTAAAGAAGATTCGTATAAGTAAAAGCAATACATATAGTTTGTGTTTGGCATATTAAGTATTTTGTATTGAAACCATAATTGTCTTGTACAAACTATCAGGTGTACGTATATGTATTTATGTATTTATCTATTTATTAGCGGAGAAGTTAAGTTTGAATAGCCTAAATAAGAAAAACTTATTTATTTAAATTGCCGTCAATGCTTTGAATTTTATATGATTTCTTTTTTTTTGATACACTGCTGTCAAAATATATATACTTCTCTTTAATAATAATAACAATAATAACAATCTAATTATTGTTTGACTATTCAATATCCAAAGGGTTCTGTGCTATTCATGCTTACATTATAATGTTAAATGCTCTGTAGTGTAGCTACTGTATATGCTGTGGTAATGATAAGATAGATAATCAGTGCTTATTTATGCCCAACCTAAAAAGCCAAATGGTTGATTTTTTTAAAATATATATATAATATATTTGTTAATCAAATGTTTCAATTCAATACTTTTGGTGTATATACCAGGTAAACAAAGAGAGTGCGTATATGTATATGTATATGTATGTATGTATGTATGTATGTATGTATGCATGCGTTTTTTTATTTTGTCTTTATCTATATATTGTATATATAGTAGCCTCTTATTGTCAGCTTACTGTCATGATTGTTTTTTTTTATTGATCAAGAAATAAATCGCATGATTATTAGCGTAACGTTTTTCCAGTACAAAACTTATATCCATTCACACACACACTCACACACACACTCACTCACTCACTTACTAATCTACTCATTCAAACTAACGTTTGTTTGAATAGACAAAACATACAGAGATATATCTACAGATGAATAGACGATTAATTAAGTAAACGTACAAAGGCATATACGAATATGCATATATATATATGTGTGTGTATACAAGCATATATACACATTGAAAATCTTGAACAGTAAGCGGACTATTTTGTGCTACACATCCTATAGAATTGCGGATCTGCAGGACCCAGATCAAGCTACGCGGATAATCTCTTCGCCGTCCGGACAAATCAATGATTAACGAAGCCGTAAATACGGATTTCATTATTAAGCTTTTGTTAATCATCCAGAAAATATTCTATTAAAGTAGTGTTTAAATAATAAAGTAAAAGGGAAAAAAATCATAGTTATAGCTATAGGTATAAGTGTATCTGTATTGTGTTTATATTTATAAATTTGTTTTTTTTATGTGATCTATATGTGTTGTTATGTTATTATTTGTTGTTGTGATTGTTGTGATTGTTGTGATTGTTGTGATTGAAACAGCAAGAATATTCATAACAACAGTCATCGGTTTGAGTGCCTTGCACCACATTCTTCGTACAACAGTGATCATGATGAACTTTGGTCTTTGACTTATTTGTGATAGTCTCACGAACATGATATTCAGAATTCACCACAAGTAAATGAATAGAAGTAGAGTAAGATAGAATGTATTTGAGTGTAGTATAGCAGAATACAGTGGAAACCTTCTTTTTATTCAACAACAATACTATAGCAATGATAATAATATCACATAGACACAATCCTGGTTTTTTGTACTTTTTTTTTTTTTGCTTTTGCTTGAAAGCTGGATAAAGATTTACGATTGGTTCCGGGATAGATTCGGCCCGGGAAAATAAAGCAGAATAATTGTAAAAGAAAGAGAGAGGGAAAGAAAATATGTACAAGTGTGAAAGGTCTGGTTTCATTTTTTTTTTATATTTTTTTTTTGGTTTTTGCCTTTGTCTTGTCCTGCACTGGTCAAAAATAATAATATTTTTTTTTGACCGTGCACGATCAAAAAAAAATTGAACCATCTCCAACCCAGCCAATTAAATGCTACTTAAAAAACAGAAGAAGAAGAATGATCAACCGCAAGAGATTCATATTGTATGTGCTTGCAAAAGGGAATAAAGTGGTTAAAGACCTCGTGTATCAAATAAGTGAAAGTTTAACTTCAAGAATCATATATTTTTTTATTCATTGCTTTATTCCCTTCATCTATTCATTTTATATTATTCCCAAACGGGCGATCTAGTGTGCTGTTTTAGGTTGACTTGTACGATGCGAGCTATCGGACAAGTGGACAGACACACAGGCTCAGAAACACAGCCTGCAATGCCCTAATTATATATATAAAAAAGTTTACAAACACACACTACTAATGTAGCACTTTATCTTTTTGTTTTATTAATGTATATCTTCTATAGTCTTTGAATTTAATTGTGGCTTTTTTTTATGTATATTTATTTTATATAACAAATAACAATTTAAATTGATCCAATTCATTAAATAGATAATCAAAATGGGGGGGGGGGGGGGGTCAAAGCTCTAGACTTTGAATATTTAAGCAACATAAAACAAATAAACAAACAAAGAATGAATGAATGAATAAATATATTACCTTTTATTGAGATTTTATAATACAAAATATACACATTTATGAAAGAAATATAAAAATTATAATAATTAATATATATTGGTTCTTGTTTCTTTTTTTTTTGGTGCCTTTTTTTTTTTAATATCATCTGCGATTGATTGACTGATTTTCTTGGTCGGTCCATTACTGCTGGTCACAGAATTTATATATATATATTTTATAATATTCTATTATATTCTGTACCTATTTTAACTCGGCTCTGTTTGATTTTTTATTTATTTTCATCGTCTTTTGAAATACTTCTAATCCGACCCTTCTTCTTCTTTCTTCTTCTTCTTCCTCTTCCTCTTCTACCGCACCTTTTTTTCCACATTTCTCCCTTTCTCCCTTTCTCTCTTTCATTTTTCGGGTAGGACACAAAGTCTATCAAGCCTCCACAATTACTAATCGTTATCTTATCTAAACAGAGTTATGGCAAGCTCAAGGTACTCATCATTATCAGTAAACCGGATACCATTGAATTTAGATTTAGATTCGAATTCGAATAAGAGCGTGTTTATTTTTTCTGGTGCCGAGTAGTCCTATACTACATTGTGTTGTATCATATGTGTTGACATAATCTGCCTCTTCTTTCGTTTCTATTAGCATTTTTGATCCACGTACAATCGAGTCGGCAAAACACACCATCGCCGACTTTATGAAGACAGCATTCTCACAGCCAAATATCTCCACAACCGCTGTTATCTGCTCGGCTGTGGTGGGTCTTTTTGCTTACGAGCAATATGTCTATCTCAACAAGAAGAAGGGATTGCCTGGTCCTCAGTTCAAGATTCCCATCATTGGCGCCTTTACAGACTCTCTTTACCCCACCTTTGAGGGTTATATGAGCAAATGGAAGAGTGGTGAATTATCTTGCGTGAGCGTATTCGATAGGTAAACAATAAGAAAAAGAGAAAGAGAAATACAAGACTCTTGGGATAGATAGATATACTTTTATCTTCTTTTCTTGGGTGTGGGTATATATATATATTTATCAATTGTATATATTGCTATTTTATATATCAGATTCGTTGTCATTGCCTCCACCTGCGATCTTAGCCGCAAGATTCTCAACGCACCCGTCTATGCTGAGCCTGCCGTAGTTGACTCTATGAAACATATCCTTTGTGCTGATAACTGGGTTTTCTTGAGTGGAAAATCCCACGTCGATTATCGCAAAGGTCTCAATGTGTTATTCACCAGAAAAGCCCTAGGGTAAGTCATTTTTTTTTAAAAAAATAATAATCAAAATGGGCGAGTGTCACTAAATAAATAAAAAATTAATAAATTAATAATTTTATAATTTATAATATATATTTTATTCTTTACACACACGACATAACACGACACACAGAATCTATATCCCTGTCCAAGATAAGGTTTACAAGAAGCATTTTGCAGAATGGCTTTCTTTGAATGGCGAAAAGGGTCAATATCAGTTGCGTTTCCGTGAACTCAACATGGAGAGTTCTCTTCGTGTGTTCTTGGGTGATCATATGTCGGATGAGGTTGCATCCAAGATCTCACAGGAATACTTCAACATCACTGCCGCACTTGAGCTCGTAAACTTCCCCATTCCTCTGCCGGGTACCAAGGTCTACAAGGCCGTTCAATCGCGCAAGTACATCGTCAACCAGTTTGTGGAATGCATCAAGGACTGCCGTACTCGTATGGCAAACGGTGGAGAGACCAAGTCGATGATGGACGCCTGGGTCCGCTCTATGCTTGACACCGAGGCAGAATTGGCTGCAGCCGGCAAACCTGCACCTCGGAAGTTCGACAACCGTGAGATTGCCTTGACCATCTTGACCTTCTTGTTCGCCAGTCAGGATGCCACATCTTCCGCCATGACCTGGGCATTCCAGCTGACCGCCGACCACCCCGATGTGCTCCACAAGATCCGCTCCGAACAAATGAAGTTGCGTGAGGAGAACCCCGATCAGGAATTGACATTGGAGTTGATGGAAAAGTCGGTTTACTTGAGACAAGTGATTAAGGAAGTCCTCCGTATCCGTCCCCCGGTCCTGATGGTCCCTTACCAGACCGTGCGCGAATGGCCCATCACACCAAACTACACTGTTCCCAAGGGCTCCATGGTCATTCCCACCACCTATCCTGCTCTCCACGACCCTGTTGCTTACCCTAATCCCGACAACTTTGACCCCGATAGATGGGGAACCGAAGGAACTGCTGAGAAATATCCCAAGAACTTCATGGTCTTTGGTAACGGACCTCACCACTGCCTTGGAAAGGAGTATGCCGTTATGCATCTGATGGCTACATTGGCAGAGGCATGCATGGTATTGGATTGGACTCATTACCGTACTGACAAGAGTGACGATATCTCCATCTTTGCTACCATTTATCCTCAGGATGGTTGTATCATGAGCTTCGAACCCAGAAAATCTCCTGCATCCATCAGCACCTAAAAAAAACAACCTCATCCTCTGTTTGTTTATCAAACATTTACCTACATTTACCTATCGACCTATCCTACCACTTCACCCTACCTAACTACTTACCTACTTACCTAACTACTTACCTACCTACCTATTATTTTCCTTTTTTTCATTTATTTTATTATTTTTCTTTACCCTATTATAACCTCTCATTCAGTCTTTAAGTCCAAAACCTCAAACCCGAGTCCAGCCAGTCTCCTCGGGAAACGGTTTTTTTTGTTCACTTTCATAGACTTAATCCCTATCATTTTTCTCTCTCCCTTTAATTATCCATTTGGTTTCTTTTTATACTTTTACTTCCTTTTCTCTCTCTCTGTCTCTCTCTCTTTTATTACTATTACTATTACTATCATTATTATTTAATACATATATATGTATGTAATTAATTTTATTATTGAGAAAAAAATATATTACATTCAATACAAAAATGTTGGTCTTTCTTTTTTCTTTTCTTTACCGCAGAAATTGCAGATTGTGTGTGTGTACCCTATACTTAAATTGAAATCGTGTGGAAGGTGAAAAGCTGTTGCTCATATAAGGAAACTATACAACGCTTCTGGGTTCAACAACAAATATTTTTTTTTTATATTATTATATTAAAATTCAGATTGAGAATATCCACATAATTTTTTTTTAGGGTTTTATTTCTACAAAGTTCCTTTTTTAAGCCAAACGGCAAAAGCAACAGCAAAAACTATAGTAACTAAAATAAAGATGAACAATAAAAATCCTTTTTTTCTTTCTCTCTCTATTAAAAGTAATGAATGAATGTTTAATATATATATATATATAATGGAGTGTGTATTTGTGCTATACTTAATATCCATGCATGTATTTAGCAAAGAGAAAGATGATCTAGTTATTACAAAAGTAAACCAAGATAATAACATTAGAATAGATTATCATCACCATGGAAACATCAAAAACAAAAACAAAAACAAAAACAAACAAAAGGCAAAATATAATCTAAAAATATACTCCTGCATGTGTATCGTAGCAACCATCACTAGCTCAAAGAATGTCTTGTTTTTCCCATTTACATCCCAATTTCCTTTTTCCTCTCCCTCTCCTTCTCTCTCTCTTTCTCTCTCTCTTTCTCTCTTATCAAGAATGTCTTGTCTGTTTATATATATACAAATCAATTCAACATTTGTTTTCAAACTCAATGACAGCGACCTGCATATCCAAATAACCAGTACAAAGAAAGAAAGAAAAATTGTGCTGAGACTTTCTTGGCTACCAAAAGACCAAGACTTTCTATCCAGTTTATGACAAAGAAAACAAGCGTGAATTAGCTTGGGCTTGGCTTGTCTTCTTTCTCTTTCTATTGTCTGTTGTCTGTCTATGCATCTCTCTGGATTCTATAATTACACAGGTCAATTAAAATTATCTGGCTTTTTTTTTATTATAATTTTATTTATCGTACCATGTTTTCTTTTATTTACTTCTATATAAAATAACTACTAGTGTCAAATATATATATAAATGTGTGTATCGATCATATATTTTGGAATACATAATAATTACACCATTGTGTTCAATATGCTTTTTTTTTCAATAATATTCCGTCGAAAAAAAAAGGAAAGAAAAGTTTATGTCAAACATTCAATTTGTAATCCAACTTATAAAAATAACAGCCTGTCTTGTTTGCACACCAAAATGTCGCAATACAACTAACCAGTATGTCTAATTCCTTGTAACTTTCTCTTGACTTGACTTGACTGTTACTTTTATTTTATTTTGATTATTTTGATTATTTTGATTATTTTAATTGATCAATAAAAATTAATAAATTCGAAAGTAAAAAAAAACCCCATTAGATGTTTGAGAGCATACATACACTCACAAGATTAACTCATTAATTCTTGCTTAAATTACATATGAAATGATAAATAGGTATCTGAATACTATTCTTCTTTTCTCTGTTTTTAATTGAATTTTATATTTTTGCTGTTGTTATTACCTAATCTAGAAGTATCCAAACACTCGGTTTTTCTTCTTCTTTTCTTTCTGGTCGCAGTGTAATTGTACACTTTTTCTTTTTTAAGTCCAATGGTGAGACAGATCACTTTTTTTATTTTATTTTATTGTTTATACACACAATCTTGGTAAGTGAACCGGGGTGGGATTATCTGATTATCCGCCGGGGTGGTCACTCTAATCTATTGTGTATCACATCTTCCCATTGGCGTACACATGGTAGGTCATTTATTTCACGACAATGGAGTTTCTATCTTAATATTGGATTTTGTAGTACAATACTTGAACTTTATAGTTATAATTTTTTATGCTACTCTTCTGTTTGAAAATAGCTTGAAAGAAGAAGAAAGAAAGGGCCTTCTATTACACATACATACATACTCACTCACTGACTGACTGGAAAATGTATATGTGTGTATACGTACAAATCTTTATAGCAAACACTAATACATTAAACACTATTTCTTTCTTTCACATAGAATTATCCAAACGTTTAAAGTAATACCAGGGGTATAGAGCATATTAAAACAAGCGCACAAGAAAATAAATGTGCACCAAACAAAATTCAGGTTACCCAGCAGTTTTATCGAGAGTCATGTCCATCTTTCGTTATTGACCTTTTGCGTGTGTGCGTGTGTTTGAATAAATATTTTATTCAAGAAATGCCCGCAAAAACCATCTTTATATTATTATTTTTTAAAAAAATAAAATAAAAATCAAACGTGTACACTATAATTGTATTTACCTGTTTGTTTATATGTCAGTATTATTGCTTTTCTTTTTTCGTACCCAAGTTTTGACATTTGGTTTTTCTTTTTCTTTTTCTTTTATTTATTTGTTTATTTTACTCGACAATGCTTCAAAAACAAAGACCAATACCAAAGAATTATATATGTCTTTTACTTCAACCTCACATTATCTGTCACCAAGTCAACGGAATCTCAGGTTCATGGAACCCATATATTTAAACACATTCTCACGATATAAACTGTTACACCAAAAGATATCCTTGCTGGTTCCTTTTTCTTAAAAAAAAAAAAAGAACCATTTGGAGCCATTCAATATTGGCAAACAAGACCCTGTATTATCTGATACACAGACACGGACCAAAATAAAAAGAAGAAAAATTCAGATTACTAATATGTACATATACATATACTTGTGTGCATATAGATGAATAGGTGAAATCTATGAGTAAATGGGTTGTATTTAAATGAAATGGTTGTTCAATAGACATCTAACTGAATAGCATATGCTACTATCTCTGTGTCCGTTAATGCCCATACATATATAGGTTGAGCTATGATACTTGTTTGTACTAAAAAAGCGATGCATACACACAGACACGCACAAACACATATATTTTTTTATGATTTCCCTAGATAAAGAAAATATTTCCAAAGAAATGCTGGGACAACAGACCTTTATCACCGATGTTTCACAGTAATCCAGACATTCTACTATATTTATTTTATATCTCTACATATTCTATACTTTTACCAAAATAACAAAACCCTGTTTCCATTTTGTTATTTTCTTCTTAATTCTTCTATGGGTCTGTTCTCAGAAAACCCTATTTTCTTTGAGCCAAAAAGAAAGAGAGAAGAGAGAATTTCTAAACTTTTATCATTTATAATTCATTTTGTGTCCCTGAACTGAATTAAACAATCTCGCGGGGGGGGGGGTTCGGCCCACTAGAAATGAGGTACTTTTTTTATTTTATTTTTATTCATTCATTCTAGTGCCTATTCTTGACTGTGTTTGTGTTTATGGTTTGATCCACAGCACAATCATTCTTGTTACATTAAAGACCATGTAATTAACCAACCGCAAGTTTAATTGTTTTGTACTAGTCGTTAAAACACCACCACACACACACATATATATATATATATATATATACTAATAGTAATTCTACTTTGTCAATTATACTAGTATTAAAGATAGAAGGACAAAGAATGAAAAGAAGAAGAATAAGCTTGTAGTAATCATCAATCACAAAATGATAGCCTTTTGAAATTTCGCACTCTTCAAGGGAGAAATATAGATAACTAATATATATGCGTGTGTATCTTTTTTTTTTCTTGGACAATGCGTATCAAAGCCAATTAATTTTACAAACAAACACTATCATATATATATATATGTGTGTGTGTGTGTGTGATTTGGAAAGCTTATTTTACACAAAAAATTATATTGCATTTAATAAAAAGAATTACAACATTTTGGTCAATTTACGGGAAGATTATATTAATAAATCCAGCAGAAATGATGTTTCGATTCAATATATATATATCCAAGAAGGTAGCCCCTTTTTTTGCTATTACTACTACCCAGAACTCTATGGCTGCTTACAATTGAGCCACATACTGAAAAAGAAAAAATTTTATAAAATTCCTCTTGTACTTAATGACTCTACAAATAAAATGCCTGAAAATGAGATATACTTCTTTAGTGTTCTTCTTTCTATTATTAAAAAGAGAAACAAGAAGAAACGAGCTTTATTTTGCACTCGCTCTAAATTAGTGTGTAGCTGTGTGTATGTATATGTATACAAAATAATCAAGGATGTAGTTTACTACAGCCTATATACAATTACAGAAATCAAGAGGTTCGATATTTGAATTACATTTGATAGCACAAGGAGTATAGCAGGTGGGTGTTGTAATATAAAATTATTGCTATCAACATTTGTAAGAGCTCTATTTAGCTTCACAAAAAATTAACCGCACATTTTGACGAACAAGCGCCAAGGACACCGTTACATATAAGGATGGATTGTGGGGCATTCGAAGATTTAATTGTTCCAAAAACAGCACCAGAAGCTTTGTAACAGACAACAGCGCCATAACAGCAGGCAGATTGGCATAGACTATATGCAAACATATTGGCACAGACCAAAGATGTGAAGCTCCAAAGGAAGAGGATGATAAGGACCACGAACCGCATCTTATTTAACGTTTATAAAAAATGTTGAAAAACAAAAAGAAAGATAAAAGAAAAAGAGGTCATCTAGAGAATAACATTTTTTTTAAAAATAATAATAATAATAAAGAAATAAAGAAATAAGGAAGCTTAGAACCTGAATACAATTTTTCATAAAACTAATACCAATGAAAACATGCATTGATATAAAATATGGACCCAATATCATTTACAAGAAGAGGAATCTTGAAAGGTGTCTTTTCTTTTTACTCTTATTCTATCAGATCAACTCTTCTTAATTTTGTGTCTTGACATGGCTGACATGTCTTTAGTCAAATATTGTTAAATTAATAAACAAATGTTTTAACACAACTCATTTTTATTTTATTTATGTTTTCAAATATGCATATTGAAGTTCTAGCCTCTCTATATATTATTTCGTATATAAGACTAGGATGCTCCTAACGCAAGTCAAAGCTCTAAACACTGCCAAAGAACTTTTAAATACGGCTCAACTGTTCCCTCGAGCCATGTAGTTCTAAAAGCGAGTCGCCAAACGCTTGGTCAGGATTTTTTCCTTGACCAAACCTCTAGTAGCTCGCCTATAACATCTACTGGTTTGAATGAACAGCTGAGCCGCATCTTAAAATCCTCTGCCAACATTTAGAGCTTTGACTCGTGGGGGAAGAATCGCTAACAAAAGCAATGCCCCCTTTATATACTTTATTTAACAATAAATTAATCTTTTTTTTTTTTTCAAAAGTCTCTATGTCATATTACTACTGCTATAGGTTGACATTGGCATTATTGATTAATCTGTTAGTATATTTATCTTAATGAGGCTTATATAAATTAAAATTGAACATAGCATATTTAATGAGTGATTCTACTACCTCTCGGAAACAGATAAAAAATGATTTCGATCATGATAAATACATACAACATGAGTATCCGTATTACTGAAACTACATTAGTCTTTATCAGCTGTATTAATATGGTTCGATTTATTAGCTGGTAAACTCACCTTGCTGTCAAGTCTAGAATATATATATATATATATATTGATACAAAGTATGCTATGAGTGATATTAGGTGGTTCCGTTATTAGTACCAGTAATATATATTTTTTCTAAGCTTTAATTATTAGCCAATAGTAATCAATGTAAAAATTATTTATCAAACCTTTACCTCTCATGTTGAGCTAATTTGATATAGGTTCTTTTATTATTATTATTAAAAGAATTGCTTTTATGTCTCGTATTCTGGACATATTATTGTTTGTTTGTTTGTTTGTTTGTTTGTATGACACTGCTGATAGGCTCATATTCTGTTGAGAGTCTCTGAATAAGTACATTAGGGACATATGAAAAGATGATATTTATGTATGTACTTTTTTTTTTAAAAAAAGTTGCTCGATATATTATTCAAGGTGCTATTCAGCACACAAAGTAATAATAATATTTTATTATAATAGCTATAAGTATTATCGATGTTTATATATATATATATATGTGCGAGTATTATTTATTGACAGTTTTAAAGCAAGATTAGTGGAAGCCAGTGTTTTACATACATACAAACAGTTAATCGTCTGAATATTCAAATATGAAGTTAAGAGTAAAATTAAGTACAGGTTTGTATAACAAGCTGGAAAAAAATATACATGAAAAATACTATTATTTTTAATGACACATACATACATATATTTCTCCCTAAAAACTCTCATGTAAGTAATAGGTTTATATCCTTTGAGCAAATGTGTAAAGCTTTAATTCTTTATAGTCAATACAAAAAAGAAGAAGAAAAAGAAGATAAAGATCCAACATTTAGAAATCGGCCCATTAGATTTAATTTTAGACTAAAGCTTCACAATTAAACAATAGCTTGCCAAGCACAGGGCGAGTATCAGAACCACAAGACAAACGAACTGCCAAAAAGGAGGCCGTGGAGGACTTTGGCTTTCAAGAATTATTGAGATAGAGTATTCTAGGTTTTTTGCATGTCTTTTGGGCTGTATGAGATCTTGAATATATATAATGAAAATCTTCATAATAATAAAAGAAAAAAAAATCAACGTGTATGAAAATATCTTTAAGAAATGACAAAGACCATTTTATATATACTTTTGTTTTTTTTTAAAAAAAAAAGCGTACAGGTTTAGTTTCTGATTCTCATATAATACCACTAATACTACAATTAGTATTCTCTTTTATTTTTTATATAAATTGACATAATGTATTGAATACATATCTTATCATATTCACTTTGATAAAATAGTTGCTAATGTAAGCATAAATACTGTATCTAGTAAATTTCATTAACGATTATAACAGAAACTGTCAAGAGATGAGTACTAAAGCTGCGGATACCCATAGTTTGAGTAAGAACGTAATGTAATTTCATAAACAGCTTTGTCAAGTATACTGGTATTATTGTATTTATTTGGTTGTACAATTCGACTACTTTCGAACTTTCCCAATGGTATTTATGCCATTTTTTTACACTCAAGAGGGCCAGCGTTTACATAAAGTCTCCGATAAAGTGTATAGATAAGAGGCAATGCGCATATCAAAGCGTATATTGTTGTTCTGTACGTATAGTAATAGGTACTGTACAATTCTCTAACGCAAATAAAAATTGCATAGGGTGGCAGGTTGGGCGATTCTCAGGTATGGGAGGTTTCCGTGCAATGAGAGCAATGAGAGCTCCAGCAATTATAATGGGGTAAACAAATGTATGGGTATGGGTACAAGTACATACACAGCTTATATTAAAAAGTAGTAATAATAATAAAGAAAAATATATGAAATAACTTTAAACAAAAGCAAAATGAGCTCTTTATATAATGCAATTACAAAAGAATCTACTTATTTATTTAATCCTACATTTATATCATATTACCTATACAAACAGAACTTGAGCTCAATTCTGAATTATATATATTATATCCTATTTATATAGATAAACTAATTCCAGACAAAATCAGAAACACGGTATATCAAGTAATATAGCTAGATATATATATTTTTATTTATAACCCAAAGGCAATCATAGTCATGACTAGTAGCGAGAGAAGATACAGAAAAAAGTCTGATAGTTTGAAAATACAAATATGTGTTTTATAGTATGAGATTAAATGTATATTTGCTTAAAAGAATGGTGAGTCCAGAGGATAAACATATTCCGTCCTTGCATACAAGCCATAATCCAGGAAGAAGCTTCAGGTGCGAGACCGGTTGAAATAAACAACTAGCTGAAGTACTACAGACACCATGATGTACAACCACATTCCGAGGCCAAACATATTAAAAGTAATGAAGAATTTATAAAAGATTTGAGATTTATGAAATTATATATATATATATATATTTGACAAAATCAATGAGCTCTTTATATATTTTATTTAATAATAAATCAACTTTTTTTTTGCAAGTCTCTATATATTACTGCTACTATCACAATTTGACTTTGATATAATTAATTAACTGGTTGGTATATTTATCTTAATGAGGTCCATATTAATTAAAATTGACCATATCATATCTAGTGATTGATTGAAATACCCACCGGAAAAGCTAATAAGATCTACTGAATAATAAAATGTAAGCCTAGACAGTGAATACAAACTATTCAATAAGACTTGAGAAGAAAGATACGATTCTCATTAAGCTATATCTTGAGGAAATGATATGACACCTTTAATGATCCTTTTAACGGATTTTAATCACGATAAATACATGTAATATGAACATTCGTATTTCTGAAACTAAAATTTAATCTTTATAAGATCATGTCTATACATCTACGCCTTTATCAATTGTATTAATATTGTTTGCTGTATTAGCCAGTGCATTACTATTACTGTCAAACCTTGTTTAGATTATGAAATTAATTATATAGATAAAGTACTATTAATACAAACACACGCACACATATTTAGAAATATAATGAGAGTTAAAGAGCCATGTTACTGTATTTACAAATAATCATATTCATGTACTCCAAAGTAATAATTGAAGATAGTAATACAATTATCATCTTATATATTATTGCTTGTCTTTGGATTTAGCAGCCTCGGCATCCTTTTGCATTTTTTCTCTAATGGCCTTTAATTTCTCGGCATCCTAATTTGGCACCAATTTAGCCTCTTCTTGTCTCTTATTGTTGTCGAGAGTGTATATTTATGTACTAACGCATACACACACACACACACACATATATATATATATATATATATATATATAGTATTGTTGTTCTTACCTGAGCTCTTGCCCACTGGCCTTCAGCAGCCTTTTCTCTGTCACCAAATGCAGTTGATCCCAATGGTGTTCCTGATGAAGAGTTCATTTCGCTTGAAAACAAGACAGGAATTAGTCTTTTGAATCATGGCATGAGAGTAATACTAAAAAAAGAGAGAGAGAGAAAAGATACCTTCTAGTAATGTTGACTGTGAGAGAGAAGAAAGAAGTTTGTTGGCTGCGAAATAAATAAAAAATTAATAAACTAATAAAATATAGCCTATCGAAAACATGCTGCAATAATCAAACGGCATGGACCGGAGTGTCATTTTCCTTTTCTTCTGTTGACGCATATTTCTTACCCGATGGAGCTTTTCCGAGTATGTGGTTGGATTTCGTAAGACTGATAGCAACAGCAGTAGTAATGACGTTGTGGTTTATATAAATATGTATATAGTTAGCTTTAATTAACTTTTGTCTCTTCTATGTATTACCCTTAGAGGATACTCATAAGAAATAATTAAAAAAAAGGACATTAATCTTAGATGAACTGATAGAGCACTGTGTATAACATATTGTACTTATTATGTTTAAAGAGCATCTCAAAGGCTGTGTATTTATTTGATGAAAAATCATAAACAAAATACAGTGTAAATATGTGTTTATCGATAATTTTCATCTCCTTCAAACTGGATGTTGATGTATTCTGACGTGTGACTCTTGTTGAATCAACCTGCACTATATCTCATTTTACGCACAGTACCTGTCTAATGTAAAACTTGCCACCTCCACCTCCACCTCCACCTCCACCACGCTCCTTTCTACAAACACTCTGGGGTTCAGTTGGAATAGTAATTTCTCCCTGCCAAAGTTTTACATCTACTTCAAAATCCAACCTCGACTACTTTCGTACATTAACATCACTACTTGTGGAACATGTATTTTATCTGAAAAGCAACCTTATTTCACATTTTGGTAACAGACCTACTTTGACATCTTACATACAGGGTCCCCACACTTTCACTTTTCTTTCTTTATGTGTTTTATAATGTACCCAACCAAGTATTTCATTCCGCCTGTCGCATTATGAATTGCTCTTCCGGGGACTTTGCCGACAAACTAAGAGAGAAAGCGAGTCCAGCTTGGAAATTGTGTGTGCGTGTTTTTTTTTAATGTTCTTCATTCACAATTCACGAACCTCATTGTGTTAATGCAGTAAAATCTATTCGTGAATGTGACAAACTCAACTCAGTAAAAGAGACTACATTTAATTTCTTTTTTGTTCTGTTGTTTAGTGGTATTCTTTTTCTTCGGTATTATTTGCCAAACCTTTTCCATACTTATTACCATGTTATAGTTTCTAACCTGGTAAAGTGCTTAACACCGCTCAGAACAGTGCGCGAAATTGCCATTTTTGAAACATACGGGTTCTTTGATGGCCCAGATTTATTTTATATATATATTTATATATAAATCTGAAACAGCCATTTAAATAATGGATGAAATATGATTAAGGTTTACTTACAAGACCTTATATAATGAGGACCTACTATTATTGGCACTTTGTCTTGCATTGATCCTCACTTTACATTTTACACTTGACACTTCATGACATATATTTTGCTCTCTTCTTTTTTTTTCTTTTTTCTTTTAGGCATTCCAGTTTCCCTCTGTAGTGGTCATAATAAATCGAATAGATTTAATACACAGTCTTGGTCTGTGCTTTAGTTGTCATCTGGTGGCACCTTTGAGCCCATGTACTTGATAAGAAGGAGCCTGCTTTAAGGTTCTTATGTTCTTGAGGCTGTCGAATCTCTTAGTTGTCCGCCTCGTGAATGTCCGCACGATTCCCGCTACAATGTCCCCCACCCCTTCTTTCTATACTAGAAATAGTTTCTTATTTATTTATATTTAGGGTCGATTTATTGCCAACAACGGTATACTCACTCGGTTAGTCATGGCATAGGCAATAAAAGAACGATTTACTGACACATGTCTATTACTAGACCAGGAAAAGGTCTATGATAAAGTGTATCTATTGTACTCTAATGTACTTTATTTACATATAATTTCATACACGCACGCACGCACGCACACACACACTCTCTCTCTATCTCTTTATGTTGTTAACCCAGCTCAGCTCAACAACTATTTCTAATTCTCTTATTAATCTACCAAGTTACAAGACATTGTAAATGAAAGGTCTCGCATGAATTTGGTATTGCAGCTTTATCATGGTAAAAGTAAAGAAGATCAATTTTCACCAACTCTGCTCAACCTGACTTTTGAGCCGTTGTTCCGATAAGTGAGTAGTACACGATCTTTGGTTTATTTGATTTTAGTTCATTTTGTCCTTCCGGGCCATTTTCTCCTTTGTATTCTGCCAGTCAAATTATTTGTATGCACTAACGATTTGCTTTTTTTTAATTTCCCTTATTACTCTTATTACTGTTAATGCCTTTCTCTACTGTTGGTTCTGTTTGTAAGTCTATATCACAGCTTTGTCCAGTAAATGAAGTTTGATCTTGGTAGATTGACATGGAATAAGATCTACATATAAAAAACCCAATTTACCTTCTTTCTTATTATTCCCTCTTTTTTTTCTCTCTCTCTTACTCTTCACAAGTGTCACACAATAATATCTTGGCGTATGAGTGTTTTACACAACCAGAAAATATATATGTATGTGTATGTATAGACATAACTCTGTATAAAATAGGTCCAGATCGTTTCAAATTTATTTATTTATTTATTTATCTTTTAGACTAAACCTACAAATACCATAGTAGTTATCGTGGCTTGTTGCTTTATGTATAAAAGAAGAAGGAAAGAAAGAAAGCATGGGTTAAGCAGAAGAATTGTAAGAGAAAAGAAAATTAGTTGCATTAATATCTATATCTGTATATATATATATATATATGTGTGTGTGTGTGTGTGCATTGAGTTTTAAGTACCAAATTTGGTATATAAAATGACCTTTTACTTGTAATTTTTTTTTTAAAAAAAAGGCTCTTCAATAGCGTGGTTGTGCTTATCTACTATATTATTATTTTGCTATAAATGTTTAATGCCGAGAGTTAAAGCCATTTCAAAAAAAAAAGAGTTTAGTCAATATGTTCATCTTGTACACTATTGTTGAGTGTTCATTGATTAAGACATAAGTTGTATAGATATATAAAAGCAATCAAGCTTTTTTGGAATTAATATATAAAGGTCCCCCTCCCCTCTCCCCGCCCCCATCTGAACCGATTTGATTTGATTTTATTTTTGCAGTTAAAATGTACTACATAAATGGTCTATAGACCCCGCTCCAAAAAAAATAATATATTTATACATTTATACACACACACAAGTTTAAGCTTAAGCTTGGGCTTGATTGTATCATTAATATATTGATATTTTTTTGTAGTCAGAATAAAAGCTACAAAAGAATATTTATCTACCTACCTTTTTAGAAGAGACAAAATAGTACATATATCGAGATTTATATGAGAGGTATACAGTAAAGCAAGACCAGACAAATTGTGCCGTACTATACAATGTAGTGTCGTGTTGTGGTGCGACGTGCTAGATTTCCACGAAAAAACAAGCTGATAAAAGACAAGATTGTTAATTGGCTCAATATGCGAAGTTCAGTAGCACATTCAATAAGTTTTATTTATACAACCTATAAAAAAACATTAATTTAAATATATATAAAGTGCCTATTCGAGAATACTTTCTCTCTCTCTCTTTCTTTCTTTTCTTCTTCTTCTTCACCTACTTCTTCCTTGAATTTTCTTTATTTATTCTTTTAAAATTAATTGATTAAATAAATAAATAAACATTTTGCCAAGGAAGAAGCCCCAAGAAGAACAAAAGAGAGAGATATATACACACACACACAAACACAACAGACATTTATACATACAAAAATGGCATATTATCAACGTGACGATCATAATGGGGGTTATAAGAACTCAGCAACACCACCCTATTCTAACAACCAAGATACCTATGCAATGCATAATATGCCACAGACAGCATATACTGGAGCAAATCAACAATCTTACTACGATGATAAAAACACCAATTACAACAGCTACTACAACGCTCCTACTCCAGCATCCTCAGAGGGTTACAATTACCCAGGTCCGACTCCAAAGGCTCACCAGAACCCAGCCGACTACCAACACATCTACGAACCCCAAGGATACGTAGACAAACCAGACTTTTATAATGTCGACGGGCCTAAGAAAAGATCATGCTGCGATCTACTGTGCTGCGGGTGCTGCGTCTGCTGTCCTCGCTGGTTTCGTTGGATCGCATGTATCATCTTATTGATCATCATTGGCCTGGGTATTGCTGTGGGAGTATTGGCTGCCATATTCAAAACCCCCAGTGTTGATTTCAAAGGAATCGAAGGCCAGCCGTCCTTCAACCTCCAGGGTACAACTGCCAACATTAGCACCGTTCTTTCCATTAGTGTCAATAACCCAAACATCGAGAGTGTTACATTTGAAAAGATTATTGCAAAGGCAAGTAATCAAAGACAAAGACAAAGCCAAAAAGAAAGAAAGAAAGTTTGTATTGATCCTCTACAACTCTATAAACTTATAGGCTTATTATCCTAATTATCACAACATTTCTTTGGGAGGAGGACAAAAGAATGATGTTCACATAAGCTCCAATGCGATTACCAATATTCTCTTTCCCTTTAATCTCATCATCGATCTCTCTTTACCCGAGCAGCAGTCCATCATGACCGATTTGCTGGGCAAGTGCGGATTCTTGGGCGGAGAGAAAGAACAGATTAGTATTGACTATGATGTCCAACCGACGATCAAAATCATTGGTATTCCAATCACCATCACAGTATCAGACACAGCCCGCTTCCCATGTCCTCTCCAGGTAAAATAGTAATAGTAATAATAATAATAATAATAATAATAGTATGAATTGTATTTAACACTATTTATATCTGTATATGTATTTGTATTTTTTAGGAAAGTGATTTTGATACTCTTGTGAGTTCAACTCTTGGTAGTATTTTCGGCTCTGCTGCCACAGGGTCAGGTGGTCTTGGTGATTTAATTGGCAATGCTGCAAAGGCAGCTGGTATTACAGGATCGTAGAAGAATAATGTAAAATAACAACAACAACCATTGTATTATATATAAATGCATATACGTATGCGTATGTATACAGTATTATTTTTCTTAAAATTAAGAAGAAGAAGAAGTAATGAAAGAAATCTAAATTATTAATATTATTTTATTTTATTTTATTAAAAAAAAACGCACCCACACAACCTCTGTGACGAGTATTTTGTTCCTAGTAGTTTGTCTTTATTTTTTATTTTATTTTATAGTATCTTTATTAAGACTTCTTTAATAATGTCTCTTCGTCTATTGTCTAATTTCATTAACCGTAATTGCCATGTCATTCCAAAATGGCATGTTCAAGGACGCTTCTCATCAACCCACACTCATTTGTCTGACAATTGCATCTTTTGCAAGATTATTAGGCATGTCTATTACATAGTCGTCAATAAAGAAATAAAGAAAAATACACACATAAAACTATATTACTGTCGCTTATCTCTTGTCAATTCACGCTTTATACCTATCTATATTGCTATTAATTTAATTTAGAGGGGATATCCCATCAATGAAAATTTTGGAGACTGACGAAAGGTAAAAAAAGAAAAAGAAAATGATGAACGTTAGGTACAAAATATGTGTCTCTATATCTATCTCTATAACTTTGCCGTAATTTATTCTTTAGCTTTGCATTTATGGATATTGACCCATTGAGTAAAGGACACTGTGTAAGCCCTTTTAGAATGATCGGTAGATAAATGTACATGGGTTGCCTAATCAATTGACTCTTATTATTATTTTAGCTGGTCATTCCAAAATGTAAATAAAAGTAAAAGAAAGAAAGATAAGAACAAGGGTTTTTGTTGGCTATGATTTTTATAGTCAAATTCAACCGTCATTAATGATTTATTATGGATCATTAGACCATGCAGAGTTCTTACATCAAGTACCTGATGAATATCTTGTCGATGTGATGCCACTGACAAAAAAGATTGCCATTGCTGCTGGTCTTAAAGAATATAATGTTTTACAGGTAATTGAATTATCCAAACAAGAAAAGAAAAGAAAATCAAAAGAAAATCAATTGGATTCTGTCATGTCCTTGATAACCAACAACTTACCACACTATGCATTCTACACCTTAAAGAATAATGGAAAACTGGCAAACCAGGCAAGTGCATATAACATGGATTTAATTAGTATCATTATTTCTTTAATGACAATCCAGATGAATTTCTAACATCACCGTATATATATTTATTTATTTATATTTATATTTACACACACAAAAATGATTAATAGGCTGTTCCCCATGTTCACTTTCATCTTATACCAAAGCCAAATCAAACCCAAGGCCTTTCAATCCATTGGAAGCCAAACAAGATGGACAAGAAAGATATTGAAACAAAATATCAACAGATTCTTGAGAATCTCAAAGTACCATTATAAATAAATTATAAAACAAATTGGCTCTTTTTTTGTGGGGTACTCTATCTGAATCAAATAACTCGACAAATCCAAACCTCTTCTAAACCCGAGTCCCCTTCATTCATTCATTCTTATGCACTATGATTTCTTAATAACAATAGCTTAAAACAGAATACATCATTATCAAAATATTCTAAAGCCTATTAAAAAATAATTAAGAATTAGAAAATACGCTATTTATTTATTTATTTATTTATTTATTTATTTTTACTATTTTCTCTTTCTTTCTTCCTTATATATTTTGCCCATCTGTCTCCTTTCTACTACAAATGAACGGTACATTATCTCGTTTTTCCAGATGGTCTTCACGGCTCCCTCCTGCTTCATTGTCGTCATTAGCGCCTATTGAAAATAGACGCCCTAGTGGTGCTTTGGCAGGCATCAGACTTATGACGAACCTGCAACAACGTCCTGCCTTGCTTACGACCCAACCGTTCTGCCGTCCAACCTTACTTACCTCTCGCCCTGGGTACTCTGGTAGCTCTACTTCCATTCGCGCCTTTTCGCTTTGGCGTATTCCAATCATGTTGATGACGGCAGGAAAAACAAAACGCAGAATTGCCCTAGCCACCACACTAGGCGGCATGACGCTCGTGAGTGCAGTAGCGGGACCTGTGGTATGGTTGGTGGTCGGGGGTATCGCATCGATTTTGGCCTGGCGAGTATGGCGTCAGACATCGGTTTGGTGGAAGGTACTTGCTCCACCTGCAATGACAGTCGCGGGTGTGGCGTCCAAGGCTGGGAATGGGATTTTTGATCTTCTCAAGGCACACGTGGGAACCCACCGGGCGGCCGATCAAGTCCAAAAGGAAGCAATTTCGCAAATAATGAAGTGGGCAGATACGCCAATGGGCCGGCGGGTCCTGACTGAGGAATTCAATGCAGATCACATCAAGGATCTTAGCTTCTTGCCGGTTCACTCGTCATCCTTTAGTTCCCAGACCATCAAAGAAAACAACAAGACCAAATTCGATGTACAGCGTGTAGAGATCCAGTTCTTTGCGGAGGATGATGCAACTCCAGGAGACAGAGGGGGCGGGTGTATAGTACGTGCGGTGGCGACTATTGATGGAAACGGAAAGATCCGAATGGAAGACATCAGACTGTCTGCGCCTGACTGGACGTCTGAAGAGAGGATTCCGATTGAATCACTACCGTATGGAGATGCACCACATCGAAGGATTATTGAAGGAGAATTCAAAGATGTTTAAATAAACGAGAGAAGATATATATATATATATATGAGTGTGTGTATGTACCTTGATTTTTGTTGTTGTGTGTGTATATATATAAACAGACTACATTGACTTTATTTAGGCTATTAAAATCAAACTCATGCTGTACTCAGCCAGACTGATCGATCAAATTCTTGCGTGAATCTTACCCAATGATATCAATTTGTAGTTGAAGACACCAAAAGACAAAAGTACAAAGCTCGTACAAAATTCATAGAATAGATAACTTGGTCCTTAGTCCAAAGATTGATCTTCGGCTATAAATTTTCATCTTCGGATACTGGGTTTAGCTTATGCCTACATCAAGTGTTTTGTGCAACATAAATATGAAACACTTCCTTTTGGGGTAGGGCCTAAAGTCAATCCGGCTGAAATTAACTGAAAATAATTACATTTTCAGATACATGATTATCTGTCAAAAGGATCCATTATTGTTATTATTATTATTATAAAGAAGACAGAGGATATGCAGTAATGCTAACTCTCTACATTCTAAGCTCTTTTTCATTCAAAATATTCCACCAAAGGGAGATACAAACATCCAAAAAACCACCAAGAAAAAGGTGCGTATTGAACTGAATTCCCCATCTTATTTTCTCATATATCATGTCTTCTATCCCTCTCAAAACAGCTGATATGCTCGTTGGATCCATTCCAAAAATAAGAGACATGTCAAAAAGGCGTTTGGGAGAACTGTATCGATACATCAACATGGCAAAGCCAAAGATGTTGCTGACTCTTATTTTTGAAATATAACAGGTTGGTTCCAGGCCAAGTGCCATGGTAATCCTTTCAATCTCTGGCATAGAAAATCTGAAAAGTTCAATGGATTGAGCTTCGTTGAGTAAGTATAGCTCAAGTCTGTCATACGCTATGTTATGGTTCCTTCTTCACGTCTCGGTTGAAGCATGATTTTCAACTTGTTCCTGAAGCTCTCGTTGTCTGTTACGAACTACTATGCAAAGGTAAATTTCTAAAGACATTTGATAACAATTTTATAAGACTTTTTTGAACAATTAAAAGAATACCAGAACAAAGTTCATATAAAAAATCCTGCAATGCATATATGCTCTATCGTTATTGTGGCTTTTATAGAGCAGGTACTTTTGAAGAACATAAGGTCGACTGGATTTTAATGAGCACTTATATTAAAACTGCAACTTTCGGCTTAAGGACCAAGTTATCTATTAAGATATCGTACTCAGATATAGTCAATCTAGGATGTAACTGCAGTCCCGCATCAATCAAAACCGAGTCAATTATATCTTTGAATCTTGAGGGTATTGCTCTTGCTTTTGACAAATCCAGTACATGTTTATCATTAAAGCTGTTGGGTATATTAGTTACATATTGTTATAGAAGGGGTACTTATTCCAAGCTTAATATTTACCAATACTTAACAATCGCTTCCACCTTTCCTTCAAGACTAAGTTTCTTTACGTCTTTTAGGTCCAGCCTTTTTCTTCTTTTGGATGGGCGAGAAGCTGAAACACTGTCTTTTTGAACTGGAACTTCTTATTGCGCTACAGCTTCTCTCTGCGTCGCAACTTCTTCTTGCTCTTGATTTGCTTCTTTGTCAGCTTGTAACCTGAAACCGGCTTTAAAGTGCAATTTTTCTTGCTAATAAAAAATATATTATTAAAAAACCGTGTTATTTACAAATATATAACATTAGCTGTTATACCTCTGATAAATTTTTCTTGATTAATATGCTAACAGGGCGCGAATCTACTACGGGAGTTAAAGATAAGCGCAGTTTTTCAGCACGATATTTGATGCGTTTAGAATTTGTACTGTCAGTTCCATTCTGATCCCAAAAGTCTGATAGTTGTTGCTTGAGTGTCGACTTTGTTGTTTCCTCTTTATTGAAGTAGAAATCTTGGCTTAATTTTTGTATCATGTTCATGTTGCTCCATGTTTCAAAAAGTATATCCTTCAGATAATCTTTGATTTGATGGTACGATGCTGAAAGAATAAAGTGAGTGTTATTATGTTTAAATTTACTGTTTTTTTAAAAGAAAGACATACCTTCTTCCAAAATAATTTTATCTGGCATCTGGAGTACATAGTTTCCACCAACCGTGAAGTGAGTTTGAGGTTTATGTTCTCCCACTCTCATTGAATTGCAAGCTTCAACTCATTGACGTTTTGTATACTAGCTCGTACTTTACTCGATTTGACTTCAAGAGCCCACAATACATGCTTTATTGGGTTTAGATCTGGACTTTGACAAGGATTTTATTTTCAGCTACAAAATAATTAATCGTGTTAAGATGTGAGTAATGTTTTTGAAAATGACACTCTTTACCTACACTAATGATTTAGAAAAGAAAGTAGTAATGAAGAGAAGTGAACCAAAGAGCATTGTCAGTTTTTCTTTTTCCTCGAACATGAACATAAATTGTTTAAGCATTACTACATTACTCTCTAATGTTTACAAAGTATTGGTTAATAAGAGAGACTTCCTTATTGTTTATAATTGCCCTTACTAACCTGAATTAAAAAAAACGGTATTTCAGTAGGTACGGGATGTACCAAAAGATGCAAATCTATAAAGTTTCAGCATTCCCTGCTTAAAGTATTACTGCCCCCAGGCATAAGTATGCCCCCACGAACAGAACAGCGTAAACAAGATACCGACATAATGAGGGAGATACGATCTGGTCGTAGCTGTCAATTAACGTGGCGAATGGCCTTACACCTTTAACGATATGCATCTGTAAATATTGGGTGAAAAAGATTTAATCTTTAGAAAATAATTTCTTCGCGTCTTACGTATCTCTGCTCTGGATATTTTGGTTGGGTAAGAAATCATAATGACACAGTCTCAACTTGTCGCAAGACATTGATCTCATCACTTGCGAAATCTAAAACAAGTCTTCTCTAATTAGTGGGTTTCACCAGCTTTGGATGCTTGACTGTTGGATGTAGGGTGCACCTCTTTTATAATCGACAATTTTTATATATAAAATTAGAAAGCAATAAGGCTTTATAGGATCTTAATATTTTTGAGTTCTGTTTGCTTTGATACGCTCTTAATGTTATTTAAAAACTCTCTGTGATGAGAAATCTTCTACTTTTCTGTAAAAATATTTTTTAGACAAGGTAAAGTCTCAGTGTTTAAGCAGTGCGACCAAAATTATGTCTTCATTTTTCAACAAATACTATAACCGACTGAGTTTTTTTATCAACTTGTATAATGTAAAATGTTACTAAATGAGACAGTCTACTTTTTTTTTAAAAAAAAACAATTTGTTCCTGATAAAAACACAATCGACAATGCCAAAAATCAATTCTAAAATGAGAGCTTTATCTCAAAAAGCTGCTGCTAAAAAAATGTCCTACTCTCAGAGCGAAAGTTTAGACTTGGTTAGAAAGAAAGGCGATCCTACCCCCGAGATTTTGGAATCTTCTGGCAGTGATGTTAAAAATCTCGGACTTTCTTGGGCCACAAAAGCTGAAGATGCTCTCAACGGAAAATACAGCCGCAATCGTTCATCATACTCATCTCGACAAGTTCGTAGACTGAAAAAGGCAGAAAGAGAAGCAGCAAAAGGAAGTGCCAGAGGTGACTCCTTTTTTTTTGCCTATCGCAAACTCTTCTTCTGCTGAGACAGATATTGGATTGGATAAAGAAAGTGATAGTGCAGATGAAGTCGAGTCAAAGGAAGAGTTCAAAAGCAGAGTAAAAGACGTAGCCATTGCCTTGTCAAAGTCCGCAGTACCTTTTATCAGTGCGACTTCAGAGCAACAAAAACTTGGTGTAGCAGAAACGGGAAAGTACGAAGGAGCATACCATTGCTTATATGCTTTGATCAATACGGACATGAAGAAAATGGCAGTTTCTAAGTTTGCAAGCGACATTGTATACAAGCAAAAATTTACTTGGTACAGAGCCCGTAAAATTCGTCGACATGCAAAGGAGAATTTGAGACTAGAAGAATCAGTCTTGGTGCACAAGGCAAGCATGCCAAATGTGTCTCTGTTCTTGATGATGAAGACATCAAGCAACAAATACTCGAATGGTTCAGAAGTCAGACAAGAGCAAAAAGAAGTATTGCTGGACTTTCAGTCCACTTAAAAGAAGTCATCCTGCCTAAGGCCATTGGTAGCAGCTTACTATCAGATGAGTTAGAGATCGAAGGTAGTGCAATTAAGCCGTTGTCTACAGATTGCCTAAGACAAAAGTTGATATCCTGGGGATTTCATTTTAAGCATTTAGGTAGGCAAATATAGAAAACCAGAATGTGGTTTTTTCTATAAAAATAGAGTGTCACATTAATATAACTTATGTTTATCTTACAGGAAAAGTTGTATACTTTGATGGGCACGAGCGCGAGGATGTGCTTACTTATCAAAATGCATGGAGCAAACGCATGATGGAGTACTATCAATACTCCGAGAAATATGACAATATTACACCTTCTCTTGTGTCATATCCTCAATTGCCAGAAGGTGTCAAGCAGCATGTATTTGTCACACATGACAAAAGTACATTTTATGCTAATGACTATCAAAAGTACGCCTGGGTGGAAGATAGTCAAAGCTATTGTTTGCCAAAGTCTGAGGGTAGATCAATAATGATCTCCGAGTTCCAATGCCCTTGTCATGGAACAATGAGAGGATATGTAGGAGACCAGTATAAAACTTCGCGAGTGATATTTTATCCTGGAGCTCAATACGAAGGCAATTGGAAAAGTAGTCATATGTGTGCCCAGCTTGCAGATGGCATACCTCTTTTCGACGCCATACACCCAAATGCAGTAGCCGTCTTTCTTTTTGATCAAAGCAGCAATCATAAAGCCTATCCTGAAGACGCTCTTTTGACACAAAACATGAACTAGTGTGCAATTGAAGTAAAAGACAGTGACTCAGGCCAGGGAAAATTTCGTGACAGCTCGTTTTATGTCAGAAAGCAATACGACTATGCAGAACAGCAAAAAGTTTTTTTTTTTTCAAAAAAAGAGTAACGAAGAAAAACTTAAAGAATATGAAGTAATCGAGTCTCGGCTCCATAAAGTAAGTGATTTATATACAATACTATCTGAATAGAAACATAATTTATACAATCACAATAAGGGATCACTTTATACTAAAAGACGTGTCTATAAACTATGCATACTTAGAATGGAAAATACAAAAAATATTTCATTGGGCTTCGCGGTATATTACAGCAACGTTATATGTATAGAAACGAAACAGAGAGATACTCTTTAAGACGTGCTTGCAATAATGTCGCAACAGCTGATTCTTGATGTTGTGCAATCCATATTATGGAGAGACAGCCAGACTTTGCCAACCAAAAATCAGCACTCGAAGAAATAGTTGAAGGCAGTGGACACAAATTTGAATTGTATCTAAAACACCACTGTGAATGTAATTGGATCGAAAGATACTGTGTAGCAGCCAAGAAAGAAGCACGACGTGAATGTGATTATTCTTTTCAATCATTGAATAGAAAAATCAATTCATTTCTGGATAGTGTTTGCCCACCAGAAGATGATGTTCCTGAAAAGATTCGAAGATACTTCCACAAAAGTTTTGCGTATATCAATGCATAAAGTCTTGGTCATGATGCTGAACATGCATTTGAAATCGTGAAACAATTTTCAAAGCTTCACAAATCTCATCGCAAGCTGAGATTAAATCAATAAATATTACACCTCTGCCTTTAAAAATACTATTTTGGAATCGGTATTTAAATTCCAAAAAATGTCCTCTTTTCAAAAATTGTCTATTATAAAAAAAGGTGCACCCTAGTTGATGATCAAGAGTCAGAGAGAATATCAGGCATGAACAACAAGAACAGTTAACTAAGGGGTGTCGTGAGTCGGTAGAGTTAAACATTTGACCCAACACAGAGTAGTCATATCATTATTATATTGACAGCTTTAGCAACTAGAAATTTGATACTTTACTTTTAAATTTCTGTGCTTCAGTTTATGACTTTACTCATCTACTGTTTATGCCCGGTATCATTAAGCTCAAAATAAAGGGTTCACGGTATATTATTTGTGCAAGGTTGTTTTTTTATTTATTTATTCACTTTTAAAAGAACCTATTATATAGCATACTGCCTGTTTCATGCCATAGCCTGATCAATGTATAACAGTAAGAGATTCAACATTACCGAATCTTAGTTCGCCGTATCCTCTGTAAAGTTCGCGCACAAGATGACTACTTAGACCACCGTTATGAGAAACCAAAGGGTAACTAGAAGGACGCTTTTGAAAAATACTTATAATATTTTTAAAAACCATCCCAAAAATCGTCTTTTTTTTCCGTAGAGTACTTTTGTCCGACAAATTGTTATTTTGTATAGTCTGGATGTTTTTTCCGGACAGAAAGTTTTGATAGTATTTAAATACTATATCAGTTTCTTTCTCTGAAAACCTTTTAGTTATTAGGTATTCCTTTGCTTGCCAATAATACGCGTATGTATATATCGACTCAATATTGCGACTTGCTATTATAGGGTATTTTGAATCCATCTTATTTCTTTCTCTTTTGTTCTTTTTGTCTGATGGCGGAGCGTCATTTAATCGGTTCAGAAGTGTCAGATTGATAGAATTATCTTTATAAATTCTTTGGTTTAATGCGCTGTATCGAAGATGGCCGATGATCAAAGTCTTTAAGAAAGTATGTGCCATATCGAGTAACAAACATCCGGTATTTCTACAAATAGATCCCATAACTAACACAGTATTCAAAGTCGTATATCTCAAGCTTCTACACCGGAAAGAGAGGCGATTAAATAATTTAGCGTCTGCAGAGCATTTCTGTAAACTCAAGATATATAGTCCATGTTGTTGTTGTTGTTGTTGTCGTTGTTGCTGATAGATTGGCTCCTTGATGGTCGTGTTTGGATCAATGAGCAATTCTCCACCGAAGACTTTCAATTGTTTGAGGGCCACACATTTGTCCAACAGGTTATCGAAATTGAGAGATAGATTGGCACTACTGATGAAAAGATTCGTCAAATTTGGATAGTAAGAGGATAGTTCAAGAGTCGGATTGTGGTAATGGTCTTTATATAAAAACCCTGTAATCGAGAAACTCTCGAGTGTTTCGGAAAAGGACTGTAAATTTTTTTCGATATTTATTGGATGTGTATGACCTATTTTATCCTCTTGTGTTACATTTAATCTCAAGTGTTTGAGTGGGACTCCTAATGCACCAAACAATTCCCATACAATAAAGTCAAGAGACACGAAATAGTAGTCGGCTGTCAGTTCAAGTGTTTCCAGGTGTCGAAATGCATTTGGGTTGGATTGAAAAAGCGATATTGTTGTTTGCCTCTCGTCTGAATCTCACGAGTTGCCCGATTCTTTTATGGCATTCAGCTTTAGGAGACGCAGGTTTGGATACTTGTATCCAAAATAGTACAGCCATAAAGGATTCCATTGAATATTCGATGTAAATATACCATTTGAGTTGTATGTATTCTTTTTCGAATTTATGTCTAGGGAAGTCATGCTAAAAGCTGGTATTATATCTGGGATTCTGTCCAGTGTGGTCGAAAAGTCAGGACCGAGATATATTCTAGCTTTGATAGACGTTAGGTCTTGTACGTGCTGGTGCATGTTGTCAAAGTCATCCATGCTAAATTCCATGCAATGATTCAGTACTCCATCAAGTATTTCTAAATTTTGGACCATGCTACACGCATTTATAAACTCAAGTAGGTATTCTGCTGGCTGTGGGCGTGAATTTATTTTGTAATATATTTCCAAACTTTTCAGAGACATCCATGTTTTGTCTGCTCTTGTTATTTGTAGGCGAGGATCTTTATAAAGTAAAATGCATAGCCCCAAAGTCTTCAAGTTTGGAAGGTATCTGGATAAGTCTGAAAGCTGTATGTCTGATATTTCTGTTATGTTGCAATAATGACATATGTGTAGACTGTGGATCCAGAGGCCATATGATGTGGATAGCTTTTGGGAATTTTTAATATACTTGATAAGAATTTTAGCAGTATCTATCGAAGGAACTCGTAGGTCTCTCCATAGAGCCCTTTTAAACGGGTATCTCCATCCCTTGCATGTCAGTGCACAAGAGCGTTTGTCATCTTTTGATAGATTATCGGCAATTTGCGTGAGAATTTCGAATGGTAGTTCAGCAACTTTCATAATGATACTTATACAAAGAGAGAAAGAGATAAAGAATTAAGAAGCAAATATATATATATATATATAATGTCAATATAATTAAAACCTACAGTCATAAAAAAATGATTACTATGATGGATCAATATTGTGATTTACAAGGCGCAATCAGCTTGTGGTAAATCAGAAACTTAAAATAACAATATTGTTATAGAGTAGTTGTCAAAAGAGCATATTCATATATGAATATACTTGAAATCAAATAGCTATCGTCGTTTGGAACTTTCGCTGCTCCCTCAAACTTTTTGTTTTGCTTTAATAAAAATATTGTCCTATATATCATATGAGAAGCCAACATCTTGTTTATCTGGATTTTGCGACACACTACCCTTATTTCTTAAAGGGAGTGCAAAAAGGAGACATGTTTGGGAGGAAAGTGGGAAGGAACAACACAATAACCAAATGCAACAATCAGGTTTTCTAATTAAATAGAATATATTCTTTGTTTATTTGATGAATATATAAGAACAACTTTAATATTTCCAAATATCAATTCACCAGATCCTTTATCAAGTTTCCATTTGACGCCCATATGTAGGGACTTTTCATCATAAAAACGCTGTCATCTTCTAAAATTTGGCTGAATTTGTTCAACTGAAAATTTTGATAGACTTTTAGTGCATTGTCTCCTTTCTTTGAAAGTTTTATGGTCTCTAGGCTGTATGCCCTAAAACGCTTACAGAACTCACGTATATATATATATATATATATATATATATAATAAATATTTTGATATACTACTACAGGGTATTTTGAATCTATCTCTTGGTTTGGTATGTCGTAATGAACAAGGCAAATGTTCAAAGTCTTTAGGAAAGTATGTGACATTGGGTAAACCGTTTTTCTCTTAAATAGATCCCGTTTCCCACACAATGTTTAATGCCATATATTTCCAACTTCTATACTTGAAAGAGAAGTGTTTAAATACTTTAGAGGCTGAAGAGCTATCTCTCTAATGTCAAAATCTGTAGTTCATGCTGCTAATGCTGCTAATGCTGATTCTGCTTTGACTTCTCGGTTGTTGTGTATGGAATAAGCAATTCCCGACTAAATTATTTCCATCCGTTTGAGGGCATCACATTTCACTAGATGCAAATATTAGTCAAAGGTGGACAGCTATAGGAAAAAAAATAAACAAATTGATCCTTGTTCCAAAACGGGAAATATTTCAAATACGTTACACAATTATCCATATATGTATATAGCTTCATTTTCATTTTTGTTGAAAAGAAGAAGAAAAATCCAGAATCAAGGATCAAATTTTGATTTTTTTTTATTAGCACAACATAATATTTCTAACAGATCAATAATGACAGTGGATAATGTAAATTATCAAAAAAAAAAAGAAAAAAAAAAGTAGCATTTTATAAATGTACAATTTTTTTTAATGGTTTTGTGGATTGAATTCAATTGAGGAATTTACAAAATAAATAAATAAATAAATAAATAAAATTGACATATGAATATCAGTTATATACAAATATTGAAATATTGTATCAAAAGATAACAATTAGTATTATGACCAAAAGAAATTATATAATTGAATATAAGAATAAGATTAAGAATAAGATTAAGGATAAGAAGTAAAGATTGGTAAGAATGTGTGTTATGTATTTAATGTAGACTAAAGCCATATCTCTTATAATCAGTGCGGCTTATTGGGATTCTTGGGAATAAAAGAATTGGTGTTTATTAAATGAGAAAAAAAAAGAGGCGATAATATTATAAATTAATATCATTAAATAGTTCGAGGAGTTGGGGGGTTTTTTGGTGTTGTTATTCTTTATAATATAAAAAAGAATATAAAATATTAAATATTAATTAATTAATTAAATAAATAAATAGAAATAGAAATAGTTGGATAAATAGGTAAGAAGAAGAAGAGTGAGGGAAAATGATCAAGACAATAAAGAGAGAGAGAGAGAGAGATAGAGAATAATGCAGAAAATATTACAAGAAAAGGGAAATTACAGTTGAAAGAAAGAAGAGAATATTAAAAGAAATCAAAGGATATTTTGTTGCGGTTGTAGTAAATAATAATAATAATAATAATAGTAGTAGTAGTAGTAGTAGTAGTAGAAGTAATGGTGGTGTAGTGGATAGTAGTGGATAGTGGGATATTTTCTTTCATTTTGCATTATTGTTTTTTTTTAAAATAGATTTTTCTCTCTCTTTCTTTTCAGGATACCTGAGCTGCCTTTCTTTTGGCCAAGGCCTGTGCGTCCTTTTCGGTAAATTCGGTTCCAAATACTCTATCCCAGATTGTGAAGAAAGGTTGACTGAAATTCTTCTTGATACCGTATGGTTGGTGATGAATATCATGGCTATATATTATTTTTATATATATATATATAAAAAGCACAGGAATGGGAATCATATTTTGTGTAATGTGAATGAAGTGAAATAGAGTGAGTTTGATTGTAAATGGGTGAATGTGTAACAATTGACAGATATTTTTATAAATATATATATAATTTTGATTTTACTTACTAGATTACATTGTTACCAAAGCAAACAGTGAGAGGATCCCAAGGAAAAGAGTATCCACAGTGATCACCAACTACCAATAGATTCCAAGAAAAGGATTATATTAATAAAGAGATATATATATAAAAAAGGGACTCCAATATCCAATATAGCACACAGAAAATAAAATAGAATGTATTGATAAGATTATCAACGTTTTGACTTACTTGTCTTTAGATTCGAAAATGTGTAGAAAACCATTGCTAGGAAAGGTGACATTCCAGTCAACTCATAAGCTAATGCACCACCCACAGTATCCAACATAAATCCTTCTACTGGGTGATTGTAGAGTGCACCGAATGCAAATGGGACATGCAGCCGATGATGATGAGAGTGAAAATGCTTGTAGAGGAATTTGTTGGTGTGTCCCAGACGATGAAGAACATACTGATGAAAGTCCATTATTGTCCTAAGATATATATATTTAACATTTAACATTTAACATTTTATATAAATATAAATATAAATATAAATATAAATATAAATATATAATTATTATTAAACTGCGCTTCAGACTCACATTGCGGCCAGGAATTGAAAGGCAGGCAAGGCAACTGAACGAAGAAAGGTGGCCAGGGTGCTTGCGAGACCAAGTTTATTATTACGGTCATCGTATCCAAACCAGCTCAGCATGACAGCTAGGTGCCGAGTGGTTGCGGCCAGACGGGTCTGTCTCTCGAGCTCCTTTATTTGTGGGTCAACGGGCCTGAAGAGGTATACTGCGACGGCAAACTGGATGATGTGCTGCAGGGCAACCATAAGTAGTACCTTTTTGAAGGATACCTTGTTGCGTTTGTTACGTTCTTCGGGGGTATGGATACGATACTTTTCAAAGAATGGAATCTCTGCTCGCATGATAAGCTCGAATATACTCGAATACACCCAGTAGATAGCGATTGGCACCCAGATGGCTTGCATTTCCTCTGACCACAAGTCAATGTCAACCACACTTGGTGGTTTGCTTTGTTGGAGACCAGTAGAGTTCATAATTGGGGGAAGAAAGGAAGAACAAGGTAAAAGACCGAGAGTCATTCGAGAAAAATAGGAGCGGTCATTAAAATTTTTTATAAAAAAAATTCTTTCTCTTTTTGGGTGGATCGCATTTCTTGTCTTTTTTTTTTTTTTTTTTTTTTATTAAGAAGCACAGATTCTATTTGCACATCAATTTTATTCTTTTCTCTCTCTCTCTTTCTTTCTTTCTTGCTCGCTTGGTCGATTGATTTATTGAATATATATTTTTTTCCTTTTCTTTCTCTTTCTTTCTTCCTTACCTTTTTCATATTTTCTCCCTCCTTCCCCTCCCCCTTTTTTTTTACCTAAGGAATTAAATAAATAAATAAATAGCTTATTTTTTACTTTATATTATTTTATATACATACATATTAGTTACCATGGACACGGTTATTGAGTATTACTTTGATGATGTTTCTAGTTTCTATGCTGGTAAAAAAAACAAAAGAATCATAGTTTTATTATTATTATTATTATTATTATATATAGATATTGATTTAGTGATATTTCCAAATATATATATTTATATAAATAGAAGCACATGCTTATATGTGTATAGTTTTTTTACTCAAGAAAATTCAATAATAGAACTCGATGATTTACTTGGTCAGCCGCACAAAGATGAAGCAGATGCCGAACGAATCGCTAGCAAATACCTCTGGTTTATGGTTCGATTCCAACGTAAGATAAACAAGATCAAATTGATTATGACAATTTATTGTTCCCCTTTAACAATATACAAAAAAAAATGTAGAGGACTTTATTCAAACGACGCAGGAATTGGCCATGGTTGCATACAAGCTCCTTGATTCAAACCTCTTTCTTGAATACAGCACAACAATCCTCAGCCACCTCCTGCATGCACATGCGCTTGTTCTTGATGCTTCTGACCAACAAGAAGAGCTCTACTTTAGCTACTCGCTGCTCTTCTACGCCGGCAAAGAAGATGTCCGGTGGATGAAATACATTGTGTCCGAAGCACGTATCAACAAGCAGAACCAATTGTTCCGCAAGATGATGTCAGAACTAGAGAATCCGATGAGCACCTCAAAAATGATAGGTGTATTGCTTTCATTGACATTTGAGATGTGCAAGGTAACCAAACTTCGAAAACTAGACCGAGGTAAATATATATATATATTTATACATTGGTTTGTTTGTTTGTTGATGACTTTTAACCTCTTGTGCTTTTAGATATGATTACGGATTCATTGCTCAATTATATGTTTGATATTGTTGAATCAACTCGGGGGGATGAAGAGGAATCTTTCAATTATCAAGTAATTCGATTGATCCTTGTGTTTAATGAGCAATTCATGATGTCTCTAAAGAACTCGAGTGAAAATCTGGTATTAAAAGTGCTTTCGAAACGTGTGGGGACAACCAACACGTTTAGTGAGAATCTCTTTTTTATGCTCAATCGATCCAGTAAGTTTACCTCATTTTTTTTTTTATTTAATCCAATTAAATTCCGCTCAATTAAAATCGATATTGATATTAAAAGCTAAATAAATAAATGTACTTTTTTCTTACTTGTGTGTAAATTATATAAGATGATGGCTGTGTTCAACTCTTGATTCTCAAGCTACTCTATGGTGTATTTACCGAACCATCTCTTCACGAGTATTTCTACACCAACGATCTCTTTGTACTTGTGGACATTATCCTAAGAAAGGTGTGCGACCTTGGCGAAGATAGAGAAGCAGAAGCGGTAAGTTAATTTATATTTATATTTATATATATATAAAAGTAAATAATTATCGATATTAATATTTTAATCATTTTTAGCTTCGGGATGCACATTTGCGTGTCCTGAGACCTTTGTTGGTCAATACTCAGCTCAGGGATACACCTTATAAACGAGCAGAAATTCATCGCCTGCTATGTTCCTTGATCACGCCGGCCCTGCACCGTCCTGTCGACCCAGCCACCAAAAGTTTGGTCAAGAAGATTCTGGAGGAGTGGTGGGAACAGGTGTGTGAACAGCCAGTGGCACCTGTCCTGGGAGTCCATGTAAAGAATGCGGTGATTGAAGGCGGTGGCGGTGATTCGGCCAATACAGCAGTTCTTTGTTCATCACCTTTACCAAATCCATCGCCTGGTGTAAATGTAAATCCAAAGGAAAATACCAATACTACCACCACCACCACTACTACTACTACTACTACTGCTGCTGCTGCTGCTACTACTACTACCAACAAAACAACAACAAGATCATCATCATACTCTTCTTCCTCTTCATCAGCATCAGCATCATCATCGACATCAACATCATCATTATCATTATCATTATCATTATTATGTACTTCTGACAGTCAACGGCAAATGACAAATTCACCAGGAGGGTCTGAAATCAGTTCAATTGATGGGAAAATTGGGACAGAACCATCAGAATCAGATAAAGGTGAAGACAGAGCCTTGGATTCTTCTGGTGATCTCAAGACTCAAGAGATTGTCTGTGCAGGAGCCTAAACAAAAAAAAAAGGAAAAAGAAGAACACGCACGCACGCACAAATAAACAAGCAAACAAACAGTCAGTCAGTCGGGCAACCACAACCACAATCACAATCACAATCACAATCACAGCAGCAGAAATAGAGTGGCAATAATACTGACAATGATGATATATATATATATATAAAGATTGAATTACTACTACTTACTACTTACATTCACATTGACAGTTTTACAGCATTCATTCATTTGTTTATAAAACTTTCGCACATTTTATCTATATATTTTATATTATAAAATTCACTCATATTTTTTTAAAAATATTTTAATATTTTACACATAGACAAGCATTCAATAAACAAAGAGTAATAAAATTCATCAAACATCAAATTTGACCATCAGATATATAGAGTATATGCGTATATTATTATTATTATTAGTAATTGAATTGAATTGAATTGAATGGAATTGAGTATCTATTATATGTGTGTGTACATGGATGATTAATTAATATAATATAATGTATATATATAGGTGTATATGGGTGTATATATAAATGGTACTTAGGGATGACTTGGGTGACTGGGTTTACTGAGATAGGTAGGGTGTATAGGATGACTGGTTGTTGGATCTGGCCAGACAAACGAACCATTTGGACTATCGATTGTTGGGAATTTGGATATCAACAATGTCAAGTGTGGGCTTTGTAAAGAATCAGAAATGTCCATTTGATTCGTTACTACTATCATAAAATATTCATATAAAGAAAAAAGAAAAAAAAAGAGAAATAGATTTTTACTCTTTTCTTTGATTAGATTCTTGGTCTTTTGATTTCATTTTATGAGTGAAAGAAAGGTAGTCAAGATGGGGGAGTTGATTGAATTCAATAGAAAGTAATTGAAATATAATGTTATTATTTGGGTAGATAAAACCTTGAGGAACCTTGACTGAAAATAGGCTGTTTTCATTCCATTTTTCTGGTTTCTTTCTTCTAAAGATCCTCTGCAAGAGTGAAGACGATGTTGTTGTGGTTGTGGTTGTTGATTTTGGTAGAGATCCATCGGTTGGTTGATCAATTGCACCAAAGTAATAATTTCCAAATATTTCAGATTGTTGTTCTTTATGAAGATCTGAAGTACTATTGATCTGAACACTATTTCTTGATCTTGTTGTGTTCAATGTAGTACTAGCCTTTTGTATTCATATTTTAACTGATTGAAGATCATTATTGTTAATTATTATCTTTCTGCTACCTTTAATCTGGCTAGTAATCGTGTGAAATCGTTTCGCCCAAGTGAGTCGTCTGTGGGTTGGTTGATATTACTATTCGGTTGGGATGTGGCTGTTTCGTAATCTTTTGCAGACAGAAACGAATCATATTTTCGGTTTCTGGAAAATGGATAGAGAAACACCGATCTGCGTCTTCCGCCTGTTGTCTTGGTTGTGTTGAATGGATCCTGAAATGTGTCTGTGGATCTCATGGTAGAATTGGGCAAGATCTTTCCAAGAGAAGCGATTGAATATTCACTTTGATGCTTACTGATTGGCATCTTTTTATTTTATTTTATTTTATTTTTATTTATTCTTTTAACAAAAAAAAAAAGATCAGGATCAAGACCAAGAGATAGACAGATAAAGAAGGGTAATTAATGAATACAAAAAGAAGAAGAAGAAGAAGAAGAAAAAGTGCAGAAAATAAAATAAAGGTAAATAGATATGTAAGCCTTGATTTATTTATTTATTTTCTGTATCTTTCCAACTCTTTTTTTTTTTAAGAAAAAAAACACTAGACACACTAATCATATAGCTCTTTATTGCCCTTTTTTTTTGGGTTTGTTTGTTTGACTCCTTTATCCAAAATAAGCAATAAAGAAAAAGGAAGATCAGTTCATTAGAATTAGAATGAGTATTAGTGTATGTAAGAGAAAGAAGGCACCAGGAGTTCTTTGTTTTATATATATATATATATATATATACACAAGAAAACAAAGGGGAGGCATATATATATATATATATAAAAAGACAATGATAAAGTCATTTCTATATTTCTATCGTGCTCTCAGGTCACTTGCAAGGAGTTGCTTTTGTATGCTAATAATTAGCATCATTATCATTATATAAAAATGCTAATTGTTGTTTAGTAAACCTATGGTTCTTTCAGGTCCAATAGTCTATCTACATGATATCTGCCTGTGTTTTGTACTTTTTTTTGTATTGATATCTGTAATGAATAAGTTTTCTATTCATCTCTAACAATAATAATAATAATAATAATCGTCATTTTATGCTTTGTTGTTTCAAAAATGATTAATAGACTACCAAACAGTAAATAACCAAAAAAAAAAAAAAAAGAGAAAAGCTCCTTAAACTGTAAATCATCATTAGCCTGTCGCCTCCTTTTTCTTAGGTTATTTTTTTACTTTTTATATATAATTCCCACAATCCACAATCATTGTCTCCTTGAATAAAGTTCCTTTAAAAGGTTAAAGAGATATACTTACATATTTAAAGAAGGCACACAATAGTATAACATATAGTTGTCTTTGTGTGTAACATCCAATGCTCCAATCCCGCTTAATTTTTTTTTAATACTTTTTATATTTTATATATAAATTATTGGTTCATTTTTTTTGTTTGTTTGTTCTGCTTACAAGTTATATAGTGTGTTTTTTTTGTATATTTATACATTATGTCATCACTGGGACAGTTACTTAAGAACCATCAACAAAAACAAGCAGATACAAAAAGACAGAATGGTAATTGAATAATTACAATTACATTACAACATTATAGAAATAATAAATAAGATGCTGCTGTTGATGATGACGACGATTATAATGACGAACAGTTTATATTTTTATAATAATAAATGAAATTGAAATACATTATTGCTGATTCACTTTTACTGATTCTGATAATGCTTATAATGCTTATAATGATAAAGATCAACTAAGAAAGGATTGTGCAAAGTCTATGAATGAGCTGACAGATAGACTGACAGATCAAGTTAACCAAGGGTTTGTAAATAATAAAGAATATACATACAAGCTATATATATATATATATATATATAAATAAAATATAATATATATATAATATATATAATATATATATAAAAAGAGTGTCAGATATATTTGGTAGACAAAAGGAATTGGAACAAGAATCCCGTAAACTTGGAGTGCAGACGAGCCGTTATGTGAAACAAACCAAGCAATGGGTTGCCTTGGTAGATGATTTTAATAGTTCACTTAAAGTAAGTACATATATAATAATATGTAATGTAATCTAAATTTTTGTTTAAAGGAATTGGGTGATGTTAAACACTGGGCAGAATTGATGGAGCATGACATGAGAACAGTGATGGCCACACTAGAGTTTGTACACCAAGGTAACTTATTAAATATATATATATATATATATATATATATATTTTTAACTATAAATTATCTTAGGTGCTGAAGGAAAGGATTCCATTCAAAAGTGATCAAAACAAGGTTCTCCACTTTCTTTCCATTTAACCAACCAACCAATCAATCAATCAATAAACAAATGTTTTATATATTTAATTTTATATCGGCCCGTCATTTTGTTATTTCTTGTTGAAATACCACAGGCTTGTGTATGAAAATGCTTAAATGATATCACTAACCAATAAAAGGCTCAAGAAGAGATATAGTCTGATATTACAAATGATGATACTTTTTTGATATATGATCTACATGTAGTGAATTGATCACTTTTAATTTCTACACATCTGCATTGTATTGCACTTTGAGATATTATACCGAGCCGATTGTATATATAGCATATCTACCATACAAATGAAGCATTTCTGTCTATAGAATAAGTTTTAAAAATAAAGATTTTTTATATACATTTTTGTAGCTCGTACAAAATAATAATAAAAAGGAAAAAGTACAAAGCAAAAATTAAAATAATATTCAACCCACTTTTTATTTATTTTTATTATTATTTCACCCACTTATTTTCCTTTTTTAAATATATTATTATAATTAGATATCTATCTATCTATCTATCTATCTATACGCGTGTGGGTGATCCACCGTCTCAGTCTCCATAACAACAACAGATAGATACACACACGTACACACGTACACACGTACACACGTACACACGTACACAAAGCAAGCAAGCAAGCAAGAAAGAAACCCCCCCCCCCCCCTTTTTTTTTATTTTTATTTTTGATAGGCGTATAATTTCTCCAACCTTTCAGCCTAAAATAGTCGTCTTACCTCAAACTTACCTTTATTTTCACTTTTATACACCCCCACAAAAACAATCAACCAGTCAACCAGTCAGTCACTTGTAGCTATACAGATAGGTAGAGCTGGTCTATTACTCTAGTAATATCATGACAAATATTGATAATTTATATATAAAAAAAAAAAGCTAATAACATAATAAAATAAAATATAAAATAAAAAGGTACCCCGGCTAGGTATCCAAAAAGGAGAATCTAAAAGGAGACAAAAAAAAATGGGCGCAAAAAAAAAAAAAAAAGTACAAATATATATATATATATATACATATATTTGTTTCGGACAACGGAACCAAAACAAGATTCTTTCTTTTTTTTCTCTTGCTAGTAATATATATATATATATATATATCTTTTTCTTTTTCTTTTGTATTTTTGATGACATGTTAATTTTTATATGCTGTGCAGGTAAGTTGCTAAGATACCAAAGTGTGTCTGGTATAGATGTCTATGTCTTGGTGTTGTTCTTGTTGTTGTGTTAATCAAGTGCTTCATCGTCCCACCCAAATGATCTCAGTAATATAATAAAAATTATAATATAATAAAGTGACCCAGTACAGAACTGATTTTCACACCTGACCTGACCTTTTATTTTTTGTGATCCCAAGCGGTTTATACCCCACACCCCCCTTTCCATACAAATACAAATACAAAATATATACATTTTAGTTTTGCTTTTATCCGTCTATATAATTTTTTGTTCTTTCTCTTTTATTCCTTTATATATATATATTATTATTATTATTCGGATGTCATTTCAATCTTTTATTTATTTATCTCAACCAGATAACCAACCAATGAACACTAACATTGGTACTAATCCTGCCATTAATCATATTGCTGACACTGATACTTGCACTGATACTTGTCCTGATATTTGTCCTGCTACTGCAAATACTAAGGGTACTAAATACTAATAGTACTAATCAAATATATATATATATATATTTTGATATTTGAACATACATTGCCATGTAACTATGTAACTATGTAACTATGTAACTATGTAGATAAAGTATTTGATATTTCCATCAAATATATATATATATATATATATATTTTAAATAAAAAGAAATTACGGGTTCATCGGCACACTTCTCCACTACAAAAAATACTAAAAAAGAAAAGAAACAGTGTAATACATCATGTCGTACCTACCTTTTTTTTTTTTCTTTCTTTCTTTCTTTCTTTTCTCTCAATAATAGTAATATATATAGTTGTCTATCGACTTTTTATCCAATTAAAAGGTATCTATCAAACACAAATAAATATATACATAAATGCATACATAAAAAAAAAATAACTAAATAGAAGTGGGGTAAATACCAAATAAAATAAACCAGTCATGCTTTTATATATATTTATATATTTTACCCCGCAATTTTTATTTTTTTTAATTCTTATTCTTATTCTTATTCTTTATATATATATTATATATATACAAAAATACAGAATATATATATAAAAGATATATAGAAATATAGAAATAAATATTTACAAAAAAAAATATCAATATATATATATATATATATATTTTAAGATTCTATTTTTTTACGCTTTGTAACACAATTAAAAAGAAATAATAATAATAATAATAATAATAATAGCAAAAAATAAAATAAATAAAATAAATAAAAAAATAATAATATATACTATTTCTTATTTTCTCTTCTTCTCTTTCTTTCTCTTTCTCTTCATCCTTTTTGTCTCATTTCAAAGCCTTCTTCTTAACCAACCTCTTTATTCTTTACAAAAAACAAAACAAAAAAAACAATTTCTTTGTAAAGCCAGCAATGGCCTATCCTCTTTCTTCCTCCATCTACCCTCATCAAGCTATTGACAATCGTCACTATGCTAACCAACAATCTATCCAGTCTTGTCAACCAAGTTGGTCTTTGGATAAAACAGAACCTGAACAATTCCAGTTTTCAAAATATCAACAAACAGCAACAGATATCCAAGCCTGTCATATTACAGTAAACAGTACTAGCACAAGCACCAGCACTAGCACAACCTTAAGCACAAGTACTAGCACAAGCACAAGTACTGTATCATCACAAAAGCAACTATTACAACAACAGGAACAACAACAAAATTCAAGTTCTTTTAATATTCTTCAGTATCCTCAATCTGATGTATACAAAGCAAGAGTTCATGACCGAAGAGACCTTACTATCACTACTAACAGTGGCACCAATACAAATAGCCCAAATCTTTCTGGTGACATGTTTTCAATGATGGATATCGGATTCACACAGGATGATCTGAACCACTATTATTCCCTGCCTGAACCTACTCGGATGGTCTACAGCACCCCTAACAATGCCGGTAATACCATCTCCGATCACTCCGACTACTCCGCTCCCTCCAGTCTCTCTGCTTCCCCACGCGAAGTTGGTGGTTGTGATAATCCAGAACCAATTCAGCACCATTATCATCAGCAAGAGAGTAATTATCTGGCAAGTCCGGTTGGCTCCACATCATTGCACACAGATGGAATCCAGCCAATGGATTTCCAGCCTACCATTACACACAATCACCAAGGCGCGTCATGGAACTCATCTAATACTTCGGCAGCCAATGTCATGGCAACACCCCCACCAACTTCATCGCTGGTGGCTGATCTGGTCGGACCCTTTATGGCCACCATGTCAGTTGATCAAACCCAAAACAACCAGATTTCTTCTTCATCTTCCTCTACATCCTCTAGCTCTTCCTCCACCGGAATCATAAACTCTTTTGATTTTCTGGATTCATTTGAGCAAGGTACCCTTTTGTCTGAACTTCATACTCCTCCAAGTTGCCAGAATTATATCGAGTCCCCGACCTCACAGGAACAGGAACAGGAACAGGAACAGGAACAGGAACAACACCACCACCGCCACCAACAACAACAATTTGACTATCCTGTCTTTGACACCCGTTCCCCCTTTGACAAGTCAAACATGGTAGGGAACACAAGACAATAAAATTGTATTCACTAGTAATACATTTCTAATTTACTTTATTTTATTTTATTTATTAATGTATTATAAAAAAAAACCAACAACAGATTGACAAGGTTCAAGGCACCTACTTTTATCCCAGCTCATTTTCTCCTCCTCCTGACAAGATCAACTATGTTCCTCCTTCCTTCCAATCTATGCCCTGTATATTCAACGATCTTCAGTCCTCATACAATCTACTCGAGCACTCGCTTGACAACATTTCTCCCCCTCTACCTCAATCACTCTTACCCACCGCTACTTCTCTCAACTCTCTTTCTCGCAATTTTTCTTCCACCCGTCAATCTTCCATTCTTTCGTGTGACAAATATCCACAACATCTCACCAAATCGGTCTTCTCCACATCTGATTCTCCCACAACCACAATGACAAAAAAATCTAAGCGTATCACTAACGACGGCACCAACAGCGGCAACGGCAACGGCAACAGCAATGATGAAGAAAACTATTACTATAATTATAACTATTATAGTACCAGTAACCGCGACTGTATACAACCAAAACACCAAACTCAATCATTATCACACTCATTATCTTCACAATCTTCTGCCGCTTACTCTATCCGACCAAAACATCTTTATAACCAAAAACAACAACAACAACAGACTACTAACAGTATTCTCGGTGTTAGTAACAGGCGCACCCATTCCATGTCAAAGTCAACAGTCGACAAGTCAAAGCTTCAGTCAATCCTTCAGGCATATCTTTTGTCTCCTGATCCTTTAAAGGCAGGCGAACAAAAGGCTGTCATTATGGTAAAATATCAATATCAATATCAATATCAATATAAATATAAATAATTTTGGTATTCATTTGTATTACTATTGTGTGCATAGACTTGCAAAGTAGCTCAAAAAAGCTATGGTACTGAAAAAAGGTAAAGTAAAGTAAAGTAAAGTAAAGTAAAATAAAATAAAATAAATTTATAAATATTATTATTACATTACACTTGTACTCATCCTTGTGACCTATGTATTTCTTTTTCTTTCTTTTTTTTTTTTAAAACAGATTTCTCTGTCCTCCTCCAACTGTACTCTTGATGGGTTCTAGATGGTGGTCCGACACAAAGAATAAATCTTGCGAACAAGATAACCAAGACGACGACCAAGACGACGACAATGAAGATGAAGCCGAAGCCGGCAATGATCTTTTGGTGTCCACAACCATGCGTGCAAACAGAATGAAACAGCCAAATCAAAAGTCACTTGCTCCACCCCAACTGTCTATTTCCATTTCTGGTGAACCTTGTCTGTACACTGGTCAAGTCGAGTGGTATTCTGGCTCGGGAATCCTGATGGGTCAGACCGGAAGCACGGCCGAACTGACCAACGCTAATAGTACGAGCAATTCGACCAATAATCCACAAAGTACAAAAAAATCAGATGAAAACGAACCTCGTCACAGGCGCCTGAGAATGGCCGAACCGAAGCATCAGGACAAACGCTGGTACCAACACGAACAAGAAGCCCCACTGATGGGAAGATGTGTGTCCAAGCAGCTGTTTATCACCGATGCCGACGAAAAGAGAAAGCGGGTCGAGTGTGTGTTTAAGATCAATCTTGGGAACGGTCTTCCTTTGGGAGCCATGTCCAGCCGCCCTATCAAAGTCATCAGCAAGCCCAGCAAGAAGAAGCAAAGTCCACGAAATGCAGAATGTATGTTCAATATCTAAAATTTTCTTTTTATTTCATCTATTAACTTTTTCTTTTTTTTAAAAAAAAAATAGTGTGTATTCATCATGGTGGTCTGGTTTCTCTATTCAACAGAGTAAGATCCCAAACAGTGTCTACCAAATACCTTGGTGTCTCACTTGACAATGGTCCTCTCAACGCCTTTCCTTCGCACTCCTCTCAACCGAAAATCTCAAAGATCCCCGAAAACACCTGCTTCGTTGCCCGCACCAGTAGCTGGGATGCCTTTGTCGTCTGGATTGTCGACACCAACTCTCCTCCTCCTCCTCCTCAACAACAACAACAACAAAATTCTTCAAATCCTGATAATTACACCGCAAAGGATTTCATTGGCCCTTCCATGTCTCCTCTCAGTGTCCCTTACCCTCCTCCACCCGCAGTTGCCCTAAGAAACACAACCGATCAACCTCTTGTGGTCCACTACAACCAGCCCATCGTTCTGCAGTGCCTGCGGACTGGTCTGGTCAGCCCTGTGATGGTGATCCGAAAGGTCGATCGTGCCTCGACTGTGCTTGGTGGTGCTCGCTGTCCGGATGGCTCAGAGCCCGGAGGTGGTGAACGCGGTGATGAAATCTTGGGCGATCCTGTTTCCCAACTCCATCGTATCGCTCTCCAGATCATCCAAGGCACTCCTTCACCCACAGCAGGAGCAGATCAGCAGCAATCTCATTCTCATTCTCATTCTCGCCATCTTCACTCTCTTACGACATCAAACTTGACAGAAGATGAATTTATGCCCAGAACATCTCGTCCAGCTGCTTACCTTGCATGCCTGAATGATAATGTTGGCATGCGCCAGACCACTCAAGCGCGCAAGAGAACTGCATTCGCACCTCAATTTTCATCCTTGTCCGCATCCCTGTCTTCATCCTCTACTTCTACTTCTACTTCTTCCTCTTCTAATCCTAACTCACTTGCTTACCTTTCTGCCCTGGTTGACTCCAAAGTTGGCACCAAGCGTTCTGCAGCCTGTGACTTTGCCGATATTCCTGATCCATCGTCGTTGACAATTCACAGCCGTGCAAATAAGAATACTTTTAATAATAATACTAATAGTAATATCAATAATAATCTCAACAACAACAACAAAAGTAATAGCGACATTAATAACAGCCCAATGAATCCTGGACCACGAAAGAGAATGCTCAGTCTCAATTCATCCGGTTATCCATGCTCAGTCGATCGTTCGCAACCTATGCCCAACTCATCTTCCATTCCTTCGTCGTCGTCGTCTTCTTTGACATCCTCTACTTCTCCATCGTCGACCTTTGCCATGACTCGTTCGATTTCTGCACCTAGTTCGGCAGTTTACAAATCCGGGCAACAGGATCAGTTATCCCAGCCACAACAACAGCAGCAGCAGCAAGACCCAATGGCTGGTATGGACTCTTACTGGTCTGAGGATGTATCTGATGCAGCAATCTGGACCATTGTTGGTACTGATTGCGCAGACTATACTTTCTGGATTCCTCCCAAGCATATGCTGGAAGAAGCCGGCATCAAGACTGAACCAACCGCACCTTTGGTGACCAACAATCTATCCGAGCTTGAAAATTCTTCTCTTTCTGCTCCTTCTGTTGTCCAACCTCCACAAAAAGATCCTGCTCAGGCCCAGTTTTTCCCTAGCCTTTTGTATTACACCACTTCGGAAACAAGTCCGTGCCATCTTTCAAATAACGCAAACACAAGCACCTTAACATCCTCATCTTTGTCCTTATCTTCCAATGGCCGACAATCTCTATTAGGCGAAGAAAAGTCTCACAAACAGCAACAGCAACAGCAGCAGAAGAGACCATTGACCATGTCACTTTGTGGCCAACATTTTACTCGGGATCTTCAGGTCTGGTTTGGTGACATTCCGGCTCCTTTTGTGGAATACCGTGGCCGGGATCACATCGTCTGTCGTATTCCTTCTCAGGAAGATCTGGTACACTGTGTGTGTCTTGAAAAAGATGAAAAGGAGTACAAAGTCCCTATTATGCTGGTCAGAGGGGACGGTGTTATTCACAAAACCAATGCTTTCTATCGATTCTAAAAAAAAAAAAAAAAAAAAAAAAAAAAAAAAAAAATTATTGAAAAATCGAAAAGCCAAAAAAAAAAAAAAAACACTCACTCACTCACTCACACATTCACTTTTCTTGTTTCAAAATTTTGTTTTTGATCTACTATTCCTTTCCTCATTCTTTCCTGTATGCTTTTCCTGTTACCTTTAAAACCTTCCTTCAAAACCTTCTTTCCCTTACTTACCTTGTTTCTACATATGACCTCTTTGTCTCTCTTTATATGTACATAAATACATACTATACATATTCTTTCACAATTCCTATATATTTATATCTTTATATCTTTACATACATTCTTCTTTTTATATCTTATATGTCAAATCTTTGTAAACTTTCCTTTCCTTTCTCTTTTACACCTTCTACAATATCCCTCCTTATTATTACTATTATATATTCTCTTGTTAATTTTTTAATATATATTTCTATCATTCACTTGACTTATTACTTCTTTTCTTTCTCTCTTCCTTTACTATAATGTAATGTATTGTATTGTATTTCCTGTCCTTATATTATTTTTTCTTTTATTTTCTTTGATATTATTATTATTATTATTATTAACAAAGATGTTATAATATTCTACATTTATTCAAACAAACAATAATAAATATACCGATTTTTTTTTACGATTTATAACTGTCTCTTTTATATATAGTAGACAATTTTAGAAAAAGAGATCATTTTGGATTCTAAACTCCGATAACACAAAATTATATTTAATTTTTATTTTATTAGGGGTACTCAGCCAGAATCCTAAAAGAATCTTTTCTTTTTTTATTTTTATTTTTTAAAAGATTTCTTTAAAGGTTCTGACTGAGTACCCCCCCCCCAAAAACTTTTTTTATTATTACAAAAAAATAAAAAATAGAAAAAGAAAACATAAGAAGAACTTTTCATTATCATCATTAGTATGATTAATTGAATAGGCCAAGTAGAATAAAGAATACAAAAATAAGTGCGATGACAATACATATAGATTCTGTATAACAAATAAATAAATAAATAAATAAATAAATTGATTAGTTGATTAAAATTACAAATCTTCATTTTTATATATATATATATATATTTACTTACTGTTGTCCTTGACCTTTCTACCCACATAATCCAACTTTTTCTTGGCCTTTCTCAGTCTGGCATCCGTCCGATCAACCATTATTTCGGTCTCATCAATCAATTGTGCATGAGATTCCAGTTCATCTCCAATCAATAGTCCTAGTTCTCGATGACGGCCAATAACAAGTGACAGTTGGTCCAAATCATCATCCTGATCTATTCTTTGTAATCAATCAATCAATCGATTAATTAACTAATTAATTAATTAATTAATTTAATTATTATTATTTTTATAAAAATTACCTTGGATTACTCGTTGCTGCAATTGGAGAATCTGACCATTCTCAAGATCACTTGGATCAACTTCCATATGAGGCGATGAAAACCGTACTGTCTTGCCGCGTTTATTTCCAAGCAAAATATCTCTAATATATATATATATATATATATATACACAAGCACACACGTATAGATATAGATATAGATATTTACAACACATGCATTATATATATAAAATAAAATAAGATAAAGTAAAATACAGAGAGATGTATAAATGTGAAATCTCTTTTTTTTTAAAGAAAATTTATTGTACATAGTATATTTTTTCTTATGTCTTAGTCTATTTGTAAATGCATATAGAAATAATGGTAATAATGGTAATAATAGAGGACGATCAAGGTAGAGACAGAGAAATCTCTCTCTCTCTCTCTCTAGCTCCACCTCTAGCTCTCTATCCTTTATACACACACCTATATATATATATTTATTATATATTAATTCTTTACCTTGCAGATGCTTCATCACCACCAAGCAGAACTTCTAATTTATTCAGCTTGACTTGAATTTGCACAAGTTTGTCTTCATCGTCATTTGTATTCCTAAGAAAAGAAAAGAAAAGATAAAGAAAGAAAGTGTGTGCATTACAAATGATCAACATCAACAAGCAACCAAACAAATGAACAAATGAACAAATGAACAAATGAACAAATGAACAAACAAACATAAAGACCATTTTCTTTCTTTATCGCTCATTGGTCTAACTTACGTAGCTCCGGTTTCTTCTTCTGCTGACAATTGTTGTTCGAGAGTCTTTATGCCTTCTTTCAATTTAGCCAAATTTTTGTTGATAGTCGCTTCATACTTTTCGTAATTGAGTCTAATGAAACAAATGAATAGATGAAATTAAGGATTTACAAGAGATAAGAAGAATGAATTTTGTATATATATATTTTTAGCGAGCAGATTTAATAAAATGTTGCCATAATCTTTATTTATATATTATTACTTTAGATCCTTTAGTTTGTTGCGTTCAAATATGATGGAGAGAGTATTGTCTGCAAGCAAATCTAGTCGGGATGTCAGTTTGCTGTCCATGTTCTTTCTTGTCTTTATTATTATTATTATTAAAGAAAGAATAGTAGGAAAGGTAAGGTAAGGTAAGGTAAGGTAAGGTAGGTAGGTCTGTTGGTTTTGGTTTTGGTGTACAAGGTGTATTATGTGTGGTGTAATTTATTTATATGTATATGTATATAAATTAGAAGCTCAGTTAAAAAGCGGATAATCAACAATACAACCAAAAGAGAATACCCAATAAAATAAAATAAAGAAAAGAAACTAATTAGATAACAAAAGAGAGACAGAGAGACAGAACTTCTTTTGTTGTAAACTGTGCTCAGCACATGTGACTGTCAATCAATATACCTCTTGATCTTTCTTGATAAAAGAATGAAAAAGTTGTTTCAAATACTTTCTTTTCTTTTCTATATACTTACTTATTCAGCTGTGGGATTTTTGATTTAATGAATTAATAGAGTGAATTATTCGGAACTTTTAACGTCTTGTCTTTTTATTTGATGTTATTGAAATCAATAAAGAAGAAGAAAAATAAACGACAATGAGGGACGTCTCGCTGGATTATTCATATTCATATTCTTATTGCTGTTGTCATTATTTCAGCTCACTTTATTTGATTTCTTCTTTACAAACAATTAGAATAGATAATAAAGAAAGACAGAACAGCAACCAAAAGAAGTAAAGAAATAAAATGCCGAGAAACAACCAACAACTAAAATCAATAATAAATCAATAATAAATCAACAACATTAAATCAACCATCTTTTATTAGTAACATCAATAATAATAATAGTAGCAGTAATGTCTACAACTCCTTGTCATCGGATACCAACTCTTTCTTGTCACTCACTTGGTAATACCAACAACAGCAACAGCAACAGCAACAGTGGCAGAAGCAGCATTATAAGTAGAAGCAGCCAAGAAGGATCTCATCGAGCAGCCCTACTCGGTTGTGAAAGAGATGATGGTAGTGTCATAAGTCTCCCTATGGCATCACCCAAATCCTCTACTTCCTTTCCGTCCTCTTTCCCTTCCCCTTCCCCTTCACCGTCCCCTTCACCATCTATGTCTCTCTATTCTTCGTCACCATTGTCATCATCGTCTTTGTGTGCAAAGCTATCAACAATGTCAGCCTCTGCTTCAGCTTCGGCTTCTATATCCACAACATCTCACCCGTCTCCCCGAAGATTCTACTCTTCTCACCTTGGAAGACCTCCTGGCAGTAACACTAATAATGGTAGTAGCCGTCAGACAAACTCCCCTATCAAAAAACCCTTGATTGTACAACAAACACACACCTCAGGATCAAACAAGACCACGCCAATGAAAGAGTTGGAAAAAGTAAATATAGATCTTTAGATATATATATATATATATACATATACATTAACAAAAATAATTGTATGCAAAATATTCTTCAATTCTGATCTATAATCTTATCAAGTCTTGGTATTGACTGTCAAAATATTTATCATTATTATGTAGATGATGGCAGACATTAAAAAGGAAAACTTTGATCTCAAATTAAGATTATATCACCTGGAAGAAATCCTGGTTAAAGATGTGGATCAACAGTTGATAGAAGAGGTTGGTGAAAAGAAAACTTATATATATACGTGTGTGTGTGTGTGTGTGTACATACTAAAATACTACACACTATTACTACTTTGGTTAGAATCACAGGTTAACCTTGGACCTCGAGGATAAGACTGATCAAGTAGATGCACTTGAACACGCCTTGTCTCCTTTTCTATCTGTCCAGGCACGTTCAATTGGAACCCAAACCAATCCGGTGACCCTCCGTACTACTTGTGATGACACTCATGATGATGACACCAACAGCACCAACAGCAACAGCAACATAAACGACACCGAGAATAAGGTTAATTTATCTCTTCAAAAACCCGAGGTCTATGGGTCTTCCTCGGAGTCATACCATGCAGTGTTGGATGCAATGCATGATCTACACATCACTCAGCAAAAAAGCAATCGGCTTGATCAGACCAGTGATCCGTCACCACCACTCCCACCAATACAAAAAGAAACAAGCAAAGAGAAAAGGGACAAGACAACAAATGCTCCAGCTATGGAAGGAAATGATGGTCGTATCAGAGGTTGGCTAAACCAGCTGGTTGAAAGCAAGATGAAGCAACATAAAAGTAGAAAATTTGTGATATGATTTCTGTGTTATACATACTCCACCATACTTACACACTCTCTCACTCACACACATATACATACGCTACACATTGTACATAGGCATAAAGACATATTTTATATTCACTAATATCAAAACAAACAACAATACTAATCCTAATCCTAATCCTAATCCTAATTTTAATAATACTTTTTTTTTAAAATAAAAATAATAGTAATTCATAAAGAGGATACCTTTTAATTCCTTTCTTTTACCTTTCTATTTTGCTTCAAGCCTTTTCTCTCTCTCTCTCTCTCTCTCTATATATATATATATATATATATAGATTATATTGAAACAAATTTAAGATTTATTTATTTATTTTGATTTGCTTTCAAAGATTAAATAAATGCCAAGGCGCAATTATATATATATAAAATAATTTAAAAACGGTGCAATAAAACAAGGCTCGGGATATTAATTAAAGCTTGAATACACTTGATTCGGCTGATATTCCCTTTACACATATTGAAACATCAACAAAAAAAATCAAAAGACTATGATTATGTAATAGTAGGGTGGTTACGAGAAGTATATATATTTTAAAACAAATTTTCAACCTAGGGATTTTTTTTTATATATCTGATTAGAGCTGATATATGCATACATTCTATATTATTTATCCACGGCAATCTTAGTTACCACATCAGAAAAACAAAATAAAATAAAATATAAACAGTGTCTAAAATGTACAATTTCCTAGCAGACAATACAGCATATTTACTTTTCACTCCTATCCACCAAATCTCAAAAAAAAAATTGGGGTGGACAGATCAAAACAAAAAAAAAATTCAAATACATACACTTGAGTGTAAGGTCATTAGTTGGTCACAAAATTTGTGATTTTTTTTTTATCCATAATCAAAACACTCTTTTTTCTTTCTTTCTGTAAAACCACCGAAAAACTTTTAAACAAAATAAAACAAAAACACAAAATGACTCCACCAACTTTTAGCATCACAAAACCCAAAAGACAAAAGCTAGATGCGTTCATTAGAGACCCGAACTATAGGTCAATTGGAAAAAATGACGCTGCATATGGAGAAATCTCTAAAGCCCTTGACACGTCTAGAAATGGAACCAAGGGTTACAAAGAGAAAAATAATTTGCCAAGGTGCGCTCATTTCGTAGTGAGCCATTAGTGTCAATTGCGGCTCGGCATTATATATTAGTCGATGTGGGGATCTCCATTTGCATGACCACATTTCATAAGAGCATAAACCTTATTTGCTTCAGTTCTCGCTCAGCAGCTCGCGATCCAGGGTTGATCGAAAAACAAAAGGAAATCAAGTTGAAATGGTGCCTTGACAAAGTGAAATTGGACTGTTGGGCAGCGGAAATCGGTTGCCTGGTCAGACGAGTCCAAATTCATGGTAGTCGATAATGATGGAAGAGTCAGAGTCATAAGAAAGACAAGCGAGAGGTTTGAAAAGAGCCACACTGTCCAAATATACAAGTTTTGTAAGAGTTCTGTCATAATTTGGGGGCTGTTTCTGGAGGGGGGGTCTTGACCCTTTGGTAACATTGAAAGGAAAAATCGATCAAGACAAGTACATCGACTGTTTGGCACAGTACTTTCTTCCCTGGTATGAAGAACTATCCAGAGATAATAACAAGCAGATTTTGTTTCAAGAGGGATGGTGCACCATGCCACACGGGCGCTTATGCCACATGGTATAAAAAAAAAAGAGGTGCCTCATAGATAGCTTTGATATTTGGGCTCATATTGAAAAGTTTATTCGAAAGAATAGAGCACAAGTAACGAATGTGGAAGAGCTTTAAGCAATAATCCACAAGACATGGTTGGAGATACCACTTTAAGTTCTGGAAACTTTGGTAGCCAGCATGCCAGATAGACTTAAGGAAGTAATCGAGAGAAGTGGTGACACAACTCATTACTAGAGCTTCATACTTCTCCTCTTATATATATAATGAACTATGTTTTCTCTAAGTTTTTCTTTATTCTGAGCACATTTTATTATCAACATTATTGAAGAGAAAATATTGTCCATAATATGCTTGAAAAATAATCTTGAAAATTGGAAAACCGACCTGTGGCCTACAGTAAAACAAATTATAAAAGTCGCATAATTGGAGAAAATAAGTCACATAATTCGACAATACAAGGCGCATTTTTAAGAGTTCCTGACCGTTATGAATGAACTTTTTTTTTTTATTTCAAATAAACTGTATAGAAAAGAATTCTTAGGTTATTAGCCCATTAAACATTCGGAAACTATTCTTTTTTTTTTTTTTATAATATATACTCAACTTTTTGTTAAAATATATATATAAAAAAAAACTGTGAAAAGATTTTATTCCAAAAATATACCTTATTTTCTCGAATTATGCGACTTACTTTTTCGAATTGTGCGACTTGCAAATGTGTTTTACTTTATTTCTACTTATTTTGTAAAAGCAAATTTATACACATTTTACAGTATACATTTTTACACACACACAAACACATATATATATATTTATATTTATATTTATATTTATATTACACACAACAATATCTTTAAAACTCACTTTACATTCACCACTTTAAATCTCGAGACTTTACCATCCTCATCCTCATTCTCACAACACAGATTCACTAAACTCATCTTCCCTTGTCTTTTTCCCTACTTTACCTATTCCTTTTTTTTTCTTTTTTTTTTTTTTAATTTTAATTTTAATTTTTCCTTCTTCTTTTTTTATATATTATATTATATTATATTATATTATATATTATATTATATTATATATTTTACCATCATTTAAATTCATTCATTATTCATTTTCATCCCATCTACTACAACTTTTTTTTTCCAATTCTCAAAAATCACCAATTTACCAACAAGGAAAAAGAAAGAACAACAATAACCTCAAGACGATCAACATTCACATTCGAGCCAAGAACGAAACCAAACCAAACCAAACCAAACCAAACCAAACCAAACCAAACAAAAAAAAAATAAAAAATAAAGAAAGACAACAAAGCAAACGAATAACGATTAGTGAAGACCGAGACCGAGAACGAGAACGGACGATAGAGCGAGCGTAACGAGTAACGAGAAGAAGAATAACCAAAAAAAAGAAAAAAAAGAAAAAAAAGAAAAGGAGAACCGAAACAGTGAACAAGCAAGCAAGCAAACGATCGATAGATAGATAGATAAATAGATAGATAGAACAAATCCCTCCTTCCTCTTCCTCTTCCTCTTCCTTTTCCTCTACCTCTTCTTCCTCTACCTCTTCTTCTTTATTCTTTTTATTAGTATTTTTCAGATACATACTACGTACATAAATATATATATAGACATATAGACAAATTGACAAAAAAAAATGGAATCATTTCGTTGCTCGGTTGTCTTATTACAACCCTCATTATCTGATCTACCGCCCAATACATTATTTTTACTCCAATCAGTATTCCGTACAGGTTAGTTAATTTATTTACAAATAAGATGAATAATATATATATATATATATATAGATATAAATCTCTGGGTGTGTAAAGTGTACATATTTAGAAATTTATTAAATAGTCAAGAGAATAATGAAAATAATACTATTTATCAATATAGTCCAAACCTATTCTGATGTTGGAGAAGCAATCGAATGGATCCAGTGCCAGTCAATACCAACTTTATTACTGGTCGATCTTGACACAATAGCCTCTCCTGTTGCTTGGATCAATCACACCCGCCATGAGCTCAAAGAGCTTGTTAATCGAGTTCCTATTATTGGTATGTGTTTGTGAGTTTATGATTAATGAGACATTAAATGGAGAACTAATAATACAAAACCTATTCTACTACTATTACTTGTGCTGTTATATATCAATATGTTAACAATCAAGTCTATTCTTCGACCGAATCCTCCGAATTTATGATTGACTGTATCAATGCCGGTGCTGCTGATTATCTATTAAAGCCGCTCCGTCCAGAAGTGATCAAGACTCTATTCTTAGTAAGCCACCTTTTATTTATTTATTTATTTATTTATTTTTACCTACCTACCTACATACACATACATACATATATACATATACATATATATATATATATTAATATTAATATACAATACAACAATAATAGCGACTATATTCATTCCATCCCGGAAAAAGCCGAGATGAAATCACCCCACCAATACCTGTCTGCGATCGTATCAAGCAAATGTTTGCAAAAGATGAAGAGTAAATAATCCCAAATAATTTCATGATCCTAAACACAAAACAAAGGGCAGCAAACAAAAATAATAATATTATTAACTAATAGAGAGAAAATCAAAGTTAATTTTTTTTTGACCTTTTGTAAATCCTATTATTATTATTACTGTTTTGTAGGTTGATCAAGGCTATTGTAGAAAGACATGCACCTCGGGTTACTCAAAGCAATTACCACAAACTGTCAAATGAACGCACGGTGTTTCTGAAACAACTTATTTCTAGCTGGGATTTCTGTCCTCTTGATCTTGAACAGAATGACTTGATTTATTGCGTGGTCTTGATATTTGAACAAGTGTTTTTATTACCAGAACTATCCCAAGCACCAGTTACTCAAGGTAAAACATATATCTTTATTTATTCATTTATTTATTTATTTAAATACATACAAAATCAAGGGATTAAAGAGTATTATTACTATTGGATATTTATTTATTAACTTGATTTAATAATATAATATAATATAATTTCATTTCATTTTATCAATTAATCAATTAATTATTTAATTATATTTAATAATAACAATAACAACAGTAACAAAAATAATCACACAATCATAATATTCTTTATCAGCTCAACTCTACCATTTTATTCTCGATCTCTCAAGGGCCTATCACGACCAGAACCCTTACCACAACTTTGCCCACGCAGTCGATGTCCTACAGTGTACCTATTACATGCTCTGTACACTAGGTGTTCTGTCCTTTGCAGACACTTGCTCACAGCCAAACGATCGCAAGAGTAGCAATAGTAGCAATACATGGCCTCAATCTTTACTTAGAACCAAAGATGTCTATGCGCTATTGATTGCAGCCATTGGTCACGATGCTGCTCATCCTGGTGTCAATAACCTATTCATGGTAAGATATATATATATCTCTTTTTTTCAATTTGACATGACTTTTTTTTTCTTCTTTTTTTCTTTCTTTCTTTCTGTTATCTATATAGATAAATTCTGATACACCATTAGCCTTGCTTTACAATGATTGCTCAGTTTTAGAGAGCTTTCATGCAATGACATTGTTTCAAGTTATCAAGAGACATGGGTTTGATAAATTTGCAGGAGGAGTAGGATCATCTGAATACCAAGGTAAAGAAAGAGGGGAAAAAAATAAAGAGAGAGAGAGAAAAAACACATACTTATATATATTTATATAGAATTCAGAAAGAGAGTAGTTACAAGTATTCTGGCTACTGACATGGCACATCATGGTGATTATGTGATCAAGATAAAAGAACAAGCGACTCGCCTACGTACGACCTTGTTCCATGAAATGTGCGAGGCAGAGTGTGAAAAAGAACGCTTGTTGTTGTGTAGTGCTATTATCAAATGTGCTGACATTAGTAACGTCGTAAGTATATATATATATATATATATATATATGTGTGCGTGTGTGTGTGGATACACAGATCTTAATATTCTCTGTACACAATATTTAATTCTTCTTTTTTTTTAAAAAAAAAATGTTAATATTATTATTGTTGTTGTTGTTGTTGTTGTAGGCACGTCCTTACACACAGGCTGCAAAGTGGGCAGAACTTTTGGTAGAAGAATTTGCTTGTCAAGGTGATCTGGAACGTGAACTGGGGATGCCTGTACTGCCTCTGAATGATCGAGACAAGATTGTACTAGAGGATTCCCAAATTGGGTTCATTCGCTATGTTACTCTGGATTTGTTTTCAAGTGTAGCAGATGTAATGCAAGGTAAATTAAACTTGTATACTTTTATCCTTGATCTCTCTTTCTTTGACACATTCTTTTTATATATGTGCGTGTATGTATGGCTTGTAGAAATATCCTTTGCAGTAGACCATATGCAACGCAATCTTAAAAGATGGGAGATCCGTAAGAATGCACTGCATGATTCTGGAGTGTCCAGTCTAGGAGACATATATGAATCAGGTAATGTACAATATACATATATATGTATGTATGCATTACGCCAAAAGAAAACGATTTATCTAATACTTTGCAATATTTTACAAAATAATAATAATGAAATAGAGGCTAAAGGAGTACTCCAGGAAATGGAGTATACAAGAGCACCGAATTCTGGGCAGCTCTTGCGCCTGTCAATGGAGAGTCAGACAAATGATGGATTGTTTAAACTACCTTCGATGCCTGCAATGGCAATGTCTGACTATGGAAACCATGGGATGGCCAATACGAAACCCTACCACATCAACCAATCCCAAGAAGATCCCATGTTGGACAACTGGACAAATACTACAGGAAGTAGAGGAGGTCCAGCACTCTGTCAATGTACCATACAGTAAAAGTCGAAAACAAAAAACAAAAACAAAAGAGTAGAGAGAGAGACAGCAACAACATTAACAGCAACAATCCATTGGTTCCCTCTTCTTACTTCTTCTTCTTCTTATTAGATGTAATTTTATTTTTTCTGTAATTTTCTTATTATATTTTCACTTACACTTACACTTACACTCTCACTCTCACTTTATCTCTTACCAACTAACCAACCAATCAACCAATCAATCAATCAACCTACCCACTCACCTATCTATCTCTCACTTTCTATTATTCATTATTCTTACTATTATGTTTTATTATTATTATTATTATTATTATTATTATTATTATTACTATTATGTTTATTACTACTACTATTATCATTATTATCATTATTCTCCTTATATATTATATTTCCTGTATAGACCCATAGATTGTGTACTCTATTTCGAATGAGCATTATATATTATACTTTTTTCTTTCTTTCTTTCCTTTCTTTGAAAATAAAATAAACAAAAATAAAAATTTATATATATGTATATATAATTACATTTACTGTAGATGAGATTATTCAATCAAAATAATCTACATCTGTTCATACCGTTTTTTTTTAAAAATAATAATAATAATAAAATAAATAAATTATAGGATTTAATAAAGGGGTTCTACCTGTTCTTGATACTTAACAGCTCGATATATCGGTACTTTAATTATTTGAAAATGATTGGTTGTAGAGAACCTAAAAAAAAGAACTCAGCATTTAGGTACCTAAACTTTTTTTTTGGGCTTTCTACAACCAATCATTTTCAAATAATTAAAGTACCGATATATCGAGCTGTTAAGTATCAAGAAGTTAGTTAAGTGATCCACCAGTATTATTGGAAGACATTCTTTAGAATTCACATACATACACCACTAGGCTTGACATACATAATAAGTAAATGTATAGAGAGACAGAGAGATTCCCTTTTTTATTCTTTCTGTAAATTCATGTATTGTGTTGATATAAGGATGAGCTCACACTGTCAATTAATGAAAATTACCTAGGTCTGGATTTAGTGTTTTATATGTATAAAAAATAAAGATGCGGCATGTGTTACTCCGGACCTGAGCTGAACTGAGCTGAGCTGGACAAAACTATATATACACACATGTTGGTCTGGCAACTGATCACATATAACAGAATAGGAACAAGTTGGAGACTTGATTTTTGTGACCAAATTTACAAGAATAAGATTTTGTATTTTGTATTTATTTTTTGTCTTTAATGCCGCGGTAAATAGCATAACATAACATAACATAACATAACATAAAATAACAAGAAAAAAGGAAAACGAAACTCAAACATAAATTGGACATCTACAAAAGTCTAATAAGCAAACAAAATAAACAAATACATGTATGAAAAGGACAAATGGTGTACAGAGAGTACAGAAGTTAGAAGAGCATGAAAACCCCACGATAAAAGAGAAATTTCCTAGCACAATCAAGTCAAAATAATAAGCTTATATTATTATATATAATTATATATGTATATTTTCTTGCTTTATTATCAAAGCAAAAAATTATAGATTATCGACTGTCAAGATTAAAGATATGAAACAAAAATTGCACAGTCCCCCCCCCCCCCCACTTCTCTCTTCTTCTTTTAACTTTTTTATTTTTATTTTTCTTTATCCTTTTATTTCATTCCCACGATTGAGTCATGAAAACTGTACGCCCGGGTTATTAGCTCTTATTTGTTCTTTGCTGCTACTCTTGACATTGGCATTGACATTAATGTTGTTGTTCTGACAAATTTATAAGGTTTCCACCCAATAATTAACATTATCCTACTTTAAAAAAAAACTCTATTTATTTTATATATACCCTTTATCTAGTGAGCAAATATAAAAATTCACATGCACTTGAAAATTTATTGAACCTTGCACATTATAATATTTAGAACCATTCATATCAAAGAAAGACACACATATATTAATTAATTAATTAAGAGATATATATATATATAGGTACTATCATACAATCCTTGTGATATGGCGGTTGTGGTTGGAATAGTATACAAATAATAATAAGAAAGAAATCAAGATATATATATAGAGGATCTAAGGCTACACGGTCTTGGAATGTTTCTATGTGATTTATCTACAACCATTGTATTACAATCTAATTTGTATCTACTATGCTGACCTGCTTCACTTTAGGCTTCTTCTGAATAGAAAGCAAGTCTAATACTTTAGGAGAGAATAATTCTAACCTTGTGTAAGCTCCAATATACTACACTATACGCTATATACGATACACCAAGTATACATACTAGGCACTCGAAAGGATTTGTTTTTTCACTAGTAGATATAGTTTTTCTTTCCGTCAAGGTACAAAACTAATTTGTGACAAAATTGAGTCCGTGTGTACATCCGTATGTACGTCCGTGTGTGTATTACCAACCCCCCCCCCCCTTTTTTTTTAACTTTGTGAACAAATTTATCATATTATTTATGGCGTTTTCTTTCTTTATTTTTTTCTCTCGGTGCCTATCCAGCTCTTTTCTCTAAATTGTAATAACTTTGACTCTTGGCCTTCTGTGTCATTAAAAGCCACAATACAAAACTCGGAATACTATAAGCCAGCCTTTGTGCCAAGTATATCTTTGTATATTAGAGATATAGACAGATATAATGTGTGTCTGTGTCTGTGTTTGTCAATCAATTGCGTTATTTTTTTTTCTTTTATCTCCATCTCTCTTCTATCATTATCATTATCATTATCATTACACATATACATGTGCACATATCCAGTACTAGATCATTATCGAGAATTCTTGAAGTTGTGTATGGACCAACTTGGAAACCATTACTGTTCTCAAATGTCACTTCAACATTTTTCTTCTTACTATTTGTCCTAATATGTACAAGTACTCTAAGTTTATTTTAACCAACTGATTGATTGATTGATGTCATGTTTAAACATTGTCATTCTTTTGTATACTCTCTGAAAGAATTACTTGATCCACAAGAACTTGCTATTAAGATTATGTAAATATCAATAGCCCACCAACCCATACACACACACACAATACATATATATTATAGCTATCAAAGTCAACCCAGTCTCAGTAACAACATGAACTATGTATTCATGGTGTTTGTTATACATTATTTACAGTATATATCATTTCAACAAATAATTTCTCTTTGTATATATACATACAATAAAACACATTTATAAGGAGCGCCTTTAAGAGCTACTAACTGCTATGAATAGATGTTCTTTTCTAACAAGCACTGCAAAAAAAAGGTATTCTTAGGCTATAAATTAACATATTAAACAGTTTGACATTATTAACTTATATAATAGCTACTCTACCTTTTGAATAAATATAAGCTACTATCGAAAAAAAAATCCGAAAATGCGCCTTGTATAGTGTGTTTTACTGCACCATTTTCAAATTAGGAATATTTTCTGTGATCGATATCGATTTTTCATTATGTAGTCTCATTTCGTGAGCACCTTATTTGGCTGAATTAACCTGATACTTTACCGGTTATACGCTGGTAAACAGCAATAAACAGTATCTGCTTTTCCCATTATTGAGATACTAACCTAATAACAATCCTGAATACCTCAACTTAATTTTAATTGTTTTATTCCATTACGTGATAAATCAGAGTTCACCAATACTCGTGCATAAATCATGACAATATTAATTATAGTGTGAAGTCTATTATTGTAATAGAGGAGATGTCTCTGGAACACAACAAGATTAAAGCTTTAGAATTTGAAAATAAAAAGTTTATTGTTTCGATCTTTGCCGAGGTTCATTTCTACAGTTGACATTTTTGGAGTAGCTGCGAGTTATTAAGCAACTCTCTTCTTTCGTAGATGTGAGCCTTGTTATTGAAAAGCAGGTTATCAATTATGCTCATTGCCAGATTTTTATTGTTTCTAGTGAATTACAAAAACCGTTATAATCAGGTTTTATATATATATATATGTATATATATCTTATTACTCAATGAAATCTCTGAGATCTTCACAATTGATCGTTAACCCGGGGTGGTCAATCGCCCACCAGACATACTTTCTTATCTGTGGAGATGAAACGGATCAAATCTAAAAAAAAAAAAAAAGTTATAATTTTTGGTTACTTTTTATATTAACAATTTTTACTTTTTGATGCTTATTACCATTTGTGTCTCCCGTCAACCTCCATTTCGTTGGGAACAGCTGTTTTCTCTCTAGATTATGCAGCAATATATATTGTACCCAAGTTGCTTTTTTCTTAAAATTTCATCTTCTTTGTCTAACATCGAACCCATTTTTTTTTTACTGTTGTAAGTGCTATATTTTAATGGGTACGCGTTGATTTTGAAAGTCGAGATAACAAAAGGCTCCATGGGATCTTCGTTGTAGCAAACATCCAAGCCTTCTAGTTTGTCAATAATTCTTTTACATATTTATTGCAATTATAGTTGCTATATGTAGTACCAAATGACATGTAAAATTGTCGCTCCCTAGTTATTGTGGGCTTTATAGACAAATAAGAATAAAAAAAAAGGTGAACACGGAGAAGATGGACGTGGAGGACTGCGATTAAATAAAACGTAGTCCATTTTTATTTAAAAGATGTCTAATTCAAAAGAAAGGAAATCGTTGAAAAACTTCATTTCTAAAAAATAAATAAATTATAATCTTTTCAAATGTAACCAAAAAAAAAATTAGAAAAAAAAAGGAATATTTGTCCCAAAATGCTTGATGAAAAAGTAGAGAGCAATTACTGTGGAATTGGGAGAGGTGTCTTACGATCAAGACATTGCTTGACATTTTGGATAGACTTGAAAGACATGCAAGAATTTGGGTTTCTTTGCACTCTGATTAGTTTTTTCTTGTACATCTATTATTATTTTACTTTGATCAGCAAGGTAGGAGGTACATATAAAATAATAGAGGAGTGGTCAATTGATCAAATGACTGGTTCCTATTGAGCCATGAAACTCTTGGATAAAAAAAAAGTAAATAAATAAATAAATAATGCTAGGGGAAAGAGTAATAGTGTATCAAGTCAGAAATGTCACCTAAATTGTACTTGCGAATTAAATTAAATCCAGGCTCTGGCTAGAATTTGCTAATGACCCTGGCAAGCTAAATAATAATAATAAATGTAGAAATCTCAGGAATAATTCACTAGATTTTATTTTATATTGAGAGCATGCACGCCTCACATTATTTACACTTACATAGTTTACAATACAACAGAAATACTATTGCACAACAGTGGGGAGGCTCCTAATTAGACTGTAATTATTAGAAGAGTGGTTTATATAATTATTCTTATTTTTGTTTTATCTTTAATAGACATCAATCCTAAAGAAGTTTAATAAGAAGGGTGTATACTACAGGTAAATATATGAAATGATCATCATACTTTCTTTTAGCTCTGTTGGTCTCTAAACAAACACGAATGGCATTACTGCATAAATTTTGATCAAGATTTGAAACAATGGCCATAGATTTAGTTTTTAGTTTTTGTTGGGGTTAGAAAAGTCCAGTTTGACCCTAGGGATCTACAAAATTTTGAATGCTGAAACGTTTAAATAAATCTTTTTTTTTTCCTTTATTATTCAGAGGACTCTTGTGTATATATACATATACAAGACTTGCTGGAAGCTTGACATCAAAACATATTAGAGACTTAATCTATACATTTTATGACTACTAGCAATGTACCCAACAATGTCTGTTAAAACCCTTTGCAATTTACATACCTTTTTCGAATTCTATCCTTGTATCTCTTTTAGAAATAAATGGTAAATGACATCAAATGATCTTTCTTTCTCTCTTTATTATTATTATTTTGGCCTCAGTTGGTTTCCAAATGAGTATATACTTTATAACAAAGGGACTTTTTAAGTCCTTTTATTTTATTTTATTATGAGGTGATTCTTAAATCATCATTTACATAACAGCATATTATATATATTTATATATAAAACAGCTGTAGTTTATATTAATTCTTCATAATAATGTCAGTATATATAAAGAACAAGTTAAAGGCTTTTAACTTTGCGATGAATATAGTCAAAAGTTAAAAGAAGTTCTAGATCTGTGGCTTGATGTCGTTATTATTTCATTTCATTTCATTTGTATTTTCTATAAAAAAAAGAAGCTAAATTTAAAACTATAATTACAGCTAGAGCTGGATCTATAGCTAGAGTTAGACCAAAAACTAAAGCAAAGGCTAGAGTCAAGTTCAGAGCCAATACTAAAATTGGATAGAATGTGATTTATTTAAATATACATACATACATACATATATATTATTTGGTTCTATTTGTTGTGTTGTGTTGTGTTGTGTTGTGTCGTATCGTTATCTTAATGGATCCCTGTACCCTGAACAAGATGTTCCCGTGAAAGACTCGATTTCATCGTGAGAAACAATTGCATGGCCCGTGTTTGAAACGACTTTCTTTAAAAAATAAAATAATTAATGGTTTGACAACCGAATATCTTGTAGTCTTTCTTTATGTATTTGATATTGAAACATTCTTGAGACACACACATGTACATACAAGTGAATTATAAATATACGATCACTAGAAGTATGATATGATTGTATGTATAGAATTTTAACTTGGAATCATCAAGAATCATACGTTCAAAATGATAAACCAAAAGAAACGAAAGGCAAAGATGTGGTGTAGATAGATAGAATAGTAAGAGGTAGGAGGATCTAGACCGACATCCAATCCGTTTCTGTATATAGGATATGCTTTTAAGTTTTGTACTTTTTCATATCTTGTCATTGCTGAGTTTTGATAAATGAGGGTGAAGATCAAATTGTTTGTCACCAACACACACACACACATGTATATAATCTTACTGATGACTTTATAAGGAACAATAAACAAGAGATGCAATGAATACATCAATAAATAGATTAAAAATTTGCTATCAACTGTTCACACGCCTCTGATAGGATAACTAACTATCAAGAACATATGAAAATGGTAGGCACAAGAATATTCAAGGCTGAATTGATAAAAGAATTAAAACGATATTATGATGATTTATGTATACATGCATACATACACTTACATACATCTATATGCTATGTACATATTATTCACTTGTATCACAGCACATTAAAAATACTCTTCTTATATTATCTTACATTACATTATCTTATATTTGCATTTGCATTTAAACAGGCTTTAATAGGTGAAAGTAGTGCATGGACCTGATTTATTTATTTATTATCTATGTACAAAGAAGTCTGTTTTTAACTTTTAATACTCTTCTCTTTGAAAGAACAATTACAAAAAGTAAGTATATATATATATATATATATATATATATATAAAAATGCTTATATCTTTTTATCAAATATATTGTTGCTTTCATTTGTTTGTTATTGATTTGCTCAATAAATGTATTTCTCTCTTTCATTAGTTCATTCATTCAGTCATTTTTTTTATCTTTCTGATTACTTTTTTGTTGTTGTTTGGTTTGGTTTGGTTTGGTTAAGAAGGTCTGTGTGCTGCATTAACAGCAGCACGGATATTCATCAACAATCGATTCTTCTCTTGAAAGAATGTGTCTACTGCCTGTAGCGTGTCAGCATCTCTCACGGCAAGATTTTTTGGCTGAGGAGATGACTGTCCATCAGCTGCATCAGTAGAAGATCCTGCAATGCTCAACAGACCAGAAGTGCGTGCGTGGGTCTCAAGGTTCTGAAGGGAGATCATAAGCTGTTCGAAATCAGCTAAGAACAGATTATGTTAAATGGTGATCAGGTGTTTCTTCTTTTCTTTACTCTATTTTATTTTATTTTATTTTATTTTATTTTAGTTAGTTAGTTAGTTAGTTAGTTAAGCTAAGGAGTCTCTGGAGCACGTACTTTGGGCTGATGTTGGCACATAAGGAGTCCATACTGAATTCTCGCTTGAATGGTAATAGAATCAATAAGATGAGTTGGGTTGCTTTGGTTGGTCTGGCAAACAAACATAACAGGACAGCTTACATTCTGTCAAAGAACTCCTGTCCCTTTTTTTCAATCACAGTAAGTTGTGAGATCAAGGTTATGAATGAGGCACGATATTCTTGGGTTGCCTTTGAGGTCATTGTCAGTCGGTCAATGGTGAAATCGTTTTCCTTCCTTCTCTCTTTTTTTTTGGGGAGGAGTCTTTGATAAGCAAGAGCACAAGGAATTAAAGGTATGTGACTCGCTTTGTCCAAATCATGTAGATTCCACAAAAGAGAAATTTTTGGCCATGAGTTTCTTACTTTGTTTTTTAAGATTAAGAAAAAGAAAAAGGTCTTTCATATATAAAAAGTATTTTCTTTGACTTTCTCGGGAAACTTTTATAGAGTCTTTGTAAAAATATTTAATAGTGGGATTTCCTTTATTGAATACAACCAAAAGAATATCTGCATTGTATTGTATTGTATTGTATTGTATTGTATTGTATTTATATTAGTAACAGTAATGATAAGAATAATAAAGAAAAGAAGTAAAAAAAAAAACTTACTAATGAATTTCAAATATATCATTATTCATGTAAAATTTAATGGAAATAAAAAACAGGGCGAAGAATAAGAATTAGAAAAAGTCTTCTTTTGTCTTTCAAACTTACTTGTTCTTGAGATGCCTTTTGATCTTTTATATATTTTATCTTTTTTTTTTTTTTTGGATGTCTGGTACGGGCCAGAACCCTTCTCCCTCCTCATGAAAATGTATGTAAAACACACACATACAAAAAGGGCACGTTCTACGAGCTCACGTGGACTGCCCACGCGCTTTGTGGGCTAACTATTTCAAGTGGTCCATCTGAAAAATAAAAAATAAAATAAAATAAAAAAAAAAGGCACTGCCAACCCGTTTGAATATTTCTTTTTCCAATTTGCAACAATCAACCAACCAGTCAGCCAACGTTACCTTACCTTACCTAACCTACCTGTCAACCAGTAAACCAACCAACCAGTCAACCAAGCTTAACAATAAAAGCCAATATATATATATATATATAAAATAAAAAAAAATCGCAAAAAAAAGAGGGTGATATTTTTCAACACTACAGAAAAATAAAGGAGGATCCCTCTTCTTCTTCTTCTTTCTCTTCTTCATCCTTTCCCTCTTTTATATATATTCTTTTTGTCTTTCTTCAATTCATTCTTTTCTTTATTATCATTCTTTCTTTTCTGACTTGGTCTTTGTCATGGCGACATACTATAGTCCGTCCCAAATCCCGAGTACTGTTACTCTAGATGACTCTGGAATCGGGGCAACAACAACCAGTACTGAAGATGAGCTCTTGTCTTCTTCACCTTCTAGATCCCGCACCTTACGACGAAAACCTAATATGGATGTCGCCACCCCACTTGCTCGAAACGTTTCCAGAACCCGCCCTAATTTCAGTGCCGTGCAGAGCTCAGACGCGTCTAGGTTTATGACCCTCGATTCATTGCCATTCAGAAGTCTAATGCCGTCGAAATCGAGAGACCTTCTTGCAAGCAAGCAAGATTATATTAGCGGTGGTTCATTGAGACAGCTTACTGTTGAAACTGCCGTATTTCCAGATCCGCCTATCTTTCACACAAATGAAGCCAGACGGGTGACTTCCCAAGTATGATTTCTTTTTTTGGGTAGATAATAATATTATAAAGAAAGTTCAAGTTTCTTTTGTAAGGATTATCTTTCTTATTGTTATTATTATATATATATATATATATATATTGTAGGGAGATGTAAAGAGCATAAAATCCGGAAATGAATCGATACGCTCACAAAAGAAGAAGCGACGGCCAATCGCCTCGAGCTATATTACGCCTACAGAGATCTTTGCACAGAACCTAAGTGATGCTGTACTTGATGTTGATGGTACAAAAGACATGAACTTTTTTTTTTTCAATTAAGTCTATGTATATATATAAATATGTGTGTGTGTAAATAGATATATGAATTTTGGAAAATATTAAATGTAGTTCTCTTGTCTCATTATATATATATATATATTAGATTCTGATGAACACGAAGGATATGTTTATCGTGACAAGACTTCACAAGCTTCATTCTATCCACCACCCTGGTCTAATGTTGACTCTGACCACCCACAATCCTTCCACGGACCTTCTTCATTCTACTCTACCTTGCCACCACACAATCGATACTCTACTCCTTCTACAGCAGCAGGATCAGTAGTAGGAGCAGCAACAGATCATATGAATCCCGGCGGTGGTGGTGGCGGTGGCGGTGGAACCGAGGGGTCGGATTATTATGCACGAGAAAAACCTTCATATTCATCCTTTTACAACTACAATTACAACAGCGACCAGCAACAGCCACAGCAACAACACAACCAACAATATCAAAAGCAATCGCGGCATTCTCCTCGCCGACCGGTTCTACGATCAGCCGTTTCCGAACTACCCACAACTGGCGGACATCCTTACACGCTCTCCTCTCTACAAAAGAAACCAAGGTACCAGCGACAGGATTACTGGTATCCAAGTGATGATGAAAACAGGCCCCTTGTGAATAGAGCCTATGGTAAAAAAAGACGAAAGCCGAGTGGCAAAAAGTAAGCAACATTTGATAAATAGATAGATAGCTTATATAGATATATAACACATTTTATTCATTTATTTTATTTATTTTTTTTTAAAAAAAAACAAATAAATTAAAATTGAATTATTAAACGATAAATAATAGTAACAATAATATTGAGTCCCCCCATCTTTATATATATATATTTTAATTCTTATCATTTTCTTCAATAATAATAATAATATCCACAAACACAAATAGTAAAGGAATGATTCTACTTTGGATTTTTCTGGGTTGCATGGCTGGTACTGGTGCTATATGGCTATTCTTGATCTTTGTCGCTTCCCCACTGACAGAGGTTGAGGTTGTTGGGATCAGTAATGTCCTTGGTACTCAAAAGGAGCTCATATTCAATTTACAAGTACGAGCCAGGTAAACAACATCTGATAATATTCATATTCATATTGACAAAAACTCATGCGTTTCTTTATATTATACAATATGCAACTTTATAATTTTATTCTTATTGTGAAAAAACAACATTATCAACAAATAGAAACTACAATTGGTGGACAGTTCAGATCAGCCATGCATCTTTTAGTGTTTTTGCATCCAGTCATTTTGTACCCACTATAGCCAGTATGAATCAAACCAATGACAGCCCTTTGGAATCAAGTGAATCGTCATTAGTAGGGATTGACCCTCAAGGTAAGTCTTGAAATACCCAATATAAACACACACACACACACACATATATATATACAATTCACAAAGAATAGAATGCTTGAAGAGGAGGTGGAGGGGAAGATAGACTTTGTGGTTTATTTATTATGATCATTTAAATCATATCAAATATATTTCTTGATCATGATGGTCTTTAGGTGCTGATCCAGCCGAATTTCTTGGGACTATTTATCAGTTAGAAGATCCACTTGTATTTGAACCTGGAAAGATATTTCACTCTACACAAAGCACGGCCATCAGTCAAATCCAAATCAAGAATCCCGGAGCCACCCATGGCGACAATCGTGGAAATGAGCGTTGGTAAAGACCCCTAAACCCTAACCAGACCAAACCTTGACCTAATTTAACCCATACACAGATCAACTGTTGTACTTGTTTAAATATAAACATAAGCTTATATTATCTTTGTGCTCATAACATAAACTCACTCATATTCGTATTGATAGGTCGCTCCTTATAAGATACCCGTATGAGCTTACAGTCAGAGGTGTGCTAAAATATAGCTTAATGTCGTTACCTGGTGTGACACAACTACACTCGGCTCGTGTTTGCAATGTTTCCAGTATCGATCCTGCCACAGGAAAGATATCTGACGTACCACTACCTGAACGAACCATTTGTGATGATCCTTCACCTGTAGAGGGTGTGTAATAATCATAATATATACCTATCATCACTACCATTACCATTACCATTACCATTACCATAATTATCATTATTATCATCATTACTGTCCTATCTATATCTATCTATCTCTATATATCATCTGTATATCCCCTTTTCCTCTTACTTCTCTTCCTCCCCTTTATATTTTCATTTTTTTTCTATTACTATTGCTATTGTAGTCTTATACCCATTCTCCTCACAAACCTATTCCCCTTTATCAAACTTACCTTGATATCAAATCTTATCCCCACCCTTCAATTCCCAATTCTCAATACCTCCTATCGCCCCCCTCCACCTTTTGCACTCTATCATTCTTTACCTTTACTTTCTTCTTTTTATTCTTTATATCCAATTGTGCATTTAAAACAAAAAACAAAACAAAAAATCCTCCTTTTTTTTCTCTTTCTTTCTCTCTTGTTGCTTCATATCATATTATATCATATTATATAATATTATTATTTTTTCTTGAAATTTGAAACAAATATATATAAAAGAAAAAAAAAAGTCAAAATTAACTGAGTCTAAAAAATAATAATAATTAATTGTTCAGCAAAATTAAGCTCACTTTATATAAAAAAAAATAAGAAAAATAAAAATAAAAAGAAGGTTTGATTGAGAGAATCATCTTGTTCATTTTCTTTATCAACTTGATTAGTATGGCACAATCTGTCAAACGAAAGCGACCGAGACAATCGACTATAAACTCTAATGACTCCAAGGTCATCAAGCTAGAAGACATTGGGAAATTTCTTACAAATGTCTTGATGGATCCTTCTTACATTTGGTACATTGCCACAATCTTGTTGTTGGGTGAACTTGTACTCAACATTGTCATTATTCAAAAAGTAGCATGTAAGTAATAGCAATTAATAATATTAATAACTAAATTTTAAACCAAAAAAATAATAATGAAAAATGAAAAATGAAAATGACGCTCTTTTAAGGGTTAAAATAGTAACCCATTTTTCTTTCTTTCTTTATTTCTTTAATATAAATATGTTTCTGGACCCTAAACTTGATCTAACCATTAGATACAGAAATTGACTGGACTGCTTATATGCAAGAAGTCAAAGGGTTTATCGAAGGTGAACGAGATTATCTAAACCTACGTGGCGATACTGGACCTTTGGTGTGAGTAAAAACAAGCGAATTACTGCTTCTATCATTTATTTTTTATTTTTTTAGCTATAAAATAAAGACAAGCTTTAATGGTACTAATATTTAAGCTTATACATACCTGTATATATTCAATTGAGCTATAAAGACCTTAATTAATCATTTATAATAAAATTTATCTATAAAGGTATCCTGCCGGGTTTGTGTATATTTACTCTGGGCTGTATTATTTGACCAACAAGGGTACCAATGTCCGTCTTGCTCAGTACATATTTGCTGGTCTTTACCTAGCCACACAGGCTGTGGTGTTTGCACTATACAGCAAATCCAAAAAGGTATATATATATATCTCTATTTATTTATTTGTACTTGTTGGCTGATAAATATTAATTTGTAATAGTTCCCTCCCTATGCACTTGCTTTACTTTGTCTTTCTAAAAGACTTCATTCTATCTATGCTCTCAGATGCTTCAATGACCCTGTAGCAATGTTTTTTATGTACAGTTGTATTCTGGCCATGATACACAAACGATGGGTATTTAGTGGTATTCTGTACAGGTAAGTCAGACAGACAGATATATATAGGAGTTTATTTTGGTGCTGTATTACTTTGCAGTAGTCATTAACAAATTTAATTTAATTTAATTTAATAAAATAAAATAAAAATGATTATAGTCTGGCTATTTCTGTAAAGATGAATGTTCTTTTGTTTTTTCCTGCTTTTGGTATTTTGCTGTGGCAGGCTATTGGTGCATGGAGAACCTTTGCTGTTCTATCACTTATGGGAAGCATTCAGGTAAGGCAAAATTTATTTTCTGGTGTGTGTGTGTCTGTGTATATATGTTTAATAAAAAGTGATACTATAGGTTAAATGGTTGTTACAGCTTAACATACACAAAGAGAGAGAGAGAGAGAGAATTAATAACTAAATGTCACAACTTAGATTGTTTTGGGTTACCCGTTTCTGTCAACCTATCCAGAATCATACCTGGGTCGTGCATTCGAATTCAGTAGATCATTTGACTATCAGTGGACAGTTAACTGGAGAATGGTTACTGAAAAGACCTTTGGATCTGGTGTGTTTGCAAAGTCTTTGTTGGCTGGTCATGCGATTGTTTTGTTTCTCTTCTTGTACTTTGTCTGGTGCAAAAGGTAAATGGTGTTGTCCGGTGACAGTATTACACCCGCAAATACACATACACGAAACAAGCGAGTTACTCTTTCTTATATATTTATACCATGTTATCTAGAGGAGGTGGACTTGTCAAAGTGTTTTTGGATGGGTTCAAGGGTAATTCCGTACGCCGTTCAGTCTCTCCTGATGGTAAAGTTTCTTTATAATCATGATTATATATATAAAGAGTCTTTCTTTAAAAGTCATTAATCGTTGTTGTGGATTTGATATATATATATATATTTGGCAAAGACATCCTTTCCATGATGTTCACTAGCAACCTTATTGGTATGGTGTTTGCAAGATCATTGCACTACCAATTCTACTCTTGGTATTACCATGCTCTTCCTTATCTGCTGTGGCAAAGTGTATGGATGACTACCGGGTCCCAGACTTTTCGCAACTATATTAGGTAAATACAAAAACAACCAAAAATTACATGACAATAGGTGTATATATACTTATATATATGTATTATAATTGTTATCTAGAATCTTTGTACTGGCTACTATTGAGGCGTGCTGGATGACATTCCCGTCAACCGAAAGGAGTTCATGGACTCTATTCGCTTGTCATGCTATACTTCTGACAGGACTGTTTAAAAGAGATCAAGAAGAAACCGAACAATCGAAAAATGAATAGCCTCTTAATATGAGCATATACATATATGCCTGTCAACTAAAATACTTCTCTTCATTTATTTATCTTGCTGTTGTCATTATCATATAGTATAATATAAAAGATAATAAAACTGAAACATGTGAACAGGTGAGCAGATGAAACCTCCCTTCGCCCCTCCTTTTTTCATACTTTCTTACTGTTACAGCCAGTACTCGATTTAGAGGTGTAGTTGGAAGAAGTAAAAATAACATCACTATCACTATCACTATCACTGTCACTGTCACTATATCGAGCACTGGCTATATTGTACTGGACTTGCTTTCTTTTGTATAAGCTGGTTCTTTATCAAGTTTTATAAAGCCATGTTATGCTCATATATATATTTATATAGTTCGGCGTCTTTTTAATGCTTTCTTTTCTTTTTTTTTTTTTTTTTTTTTTTTTTTTTTTTTTTTTACAAAAAGCTCAACTGACTGTAATTACTTTGTTAATCTTTCATCAGCTCTCAAAATCTTACCGTTATTTGTCCAATTACGTCGGTCCTTTTCCTTTATTCAATCTGATTACCAGACTATGTACACGTATTCCCTCTTTATTTTCACTTCCCCTTTTTAATTTTTTAATTTTTTTACTTTAATCAACTGCATAATATATCTTCAATGGCCGTACAGTAAGCGCGGCGGCCTTATCAATAAAAAAAAAATACCGACAAGAAGAAGAAAAATATCAAGTGTTTTTGAGAAATCATATATATATATATAAATTCTTCTAGTAAAGAATAAGTGGATTGAACTGTATGTGTATATATGGGTAAGTATGTACTTGTCTTGAAGCTGAGTAGATCTCTCCGAGAGGGTACTCAGGAAATTATTATTCTTTTTTTTTTTTTTTAACTTTTTGGAATTTTAGACGGCGTTTAGTAAGTAGACCACTGATATTCCGAGAGGGAAAGAAGCGATATTAGGAGATTGAGATGAGATGAAAGGAGAGAGAGAGATCTTACGCCGCAAAAAGCTCATTGAGGACAACCTTTTTGCGGTTTGTTCACTATTTTGCTCAGTGAATGGTAAGTAATTACTTGTTAATATTATGTTATTACTTTTATGTATATTAATCAATCAACCAATAAATATAGCAGCATTATATATTTCTTTCTTACATTAGAGAAGGTGTCAAGCTGTGAGGTCTTATAAGTTGATGAAAATATCAATACCGTGTCAGTTTAACCTTTGGTATTCCAGAAACTAAGGCTAATACACAAATAACACGTCTTTGAAATTTGATAGAACAAGTATAACAGCAAAAAAAGGGTATTATAGTAAGGGCTCCTATAAAACTAAGATGCCCTAAAGGGGTCATATAAGTTACCAAATAAATAAAAGACAGAAGAATATACATACATATATATATGTATATATGTATATCGGACTTTGCTCTTTTGCCCTGACCTGTATTGAATTGAATAAAACCATTCTAGACCACTGAAGAAATATGAAAGGATGACGATTCATGTTTATTTATATTTGTTCTGTATTATAGCTATTCCTCTCTTTCTCTCTTTTTCTTCCTTTCATTAATAAGCTTTGATTGCTTGATTCAAACAGCGTGCCACTTTCATACATATAATCTACATACACTGATATATACATAGTCCTAACTCCAGATGCATACATATCTTACTCAAGGGCAGAACTTAACACTTGCTTCCTCCATAATCACATTTTGCATCTTATTGACTTATTTAATTTATGCGATCCACCCATCTACCAATCTCATCCAACCCCCATTAGACACCGATATCAAATACAATTCTTCGCTAACAACACAGCTACCACGGCCAACAACAAAACCAATTCAAGAAGAACCCACTGTACCACTAGCTTGTCAAAATGTTGATTATCAATGGCTGTAAGTACTTGTGACTTTATATACTTTTTGTTGCATTCTTAGTAAGAGTACATATTGTTAGATTCATAGTTTTGTTATTGTTTTTGTTTTCTTATTGCTATTGTTGGAAATATTCAGGGCATCTGATCGATATTACTGGGATGGATGGGTATCCAAAACAATGTTTATGTCTCCTGATGGCAGCTACACAGAAGCTAATGTGAAAATATCCAGTGGCGAGTCAATATGCATTGTAGTTCTGGTAATATAAACGAATACAAAACAAGCTCATAATCAAGACATATACACATAATTAACCTATTTATTTAGCTTGGTCCTATCCCAGCCAGTTCCATGATAAGCCCTAGGAAACGCTTTGGGCCTTCGGATAGCATTGTTATGAAAGCTGTTGGAAAACAATCAAAAATCGAGATCAATCTTCACCAGAGCCCAGAACGATCCAATGTTTATTTCGCTTCAATCACCCTGTTCCATCCTGACACTTTTTATCTCCAGAGTGTGACAGAATATAGATCTTACTTTTGGGAGACTCCCATTTATCATGCCTATCGTCCCTTCAGTTTTCGTTCCATTAACCGGCTGGTAGTTATGCCAGCAGAATCCAAAAAGACCATCCTACTTCCATGCGATGCGAGCCGTTCTGAACATCTTCAAGGTAGCTGGCGGACCAACACTAGACTGAATCATATACATAATCCGGAGGCTGGTGTGGCGTCAGTCAATGAAGAATATACATTTGTGCCAGATCTGTGCTACAGACCATTTGGACGTCGTCCAACAGATGAGTGTCCAAGGTTTCAAGCAATACACGTTTGGGGAGATGACCATATCAAAAGGTATAAATGAGCTAGCTTTAAGGCTGTGAAAATCAAGCAATCAACCACTTTGTTTTTATTTTCTCTCTCCTTATTTATTTATTTATTTATTTATTTATTTGGATTAGAAATTTGAAAGCATTAGAAGACCCATTATGGTGTGAGGGAGGACCAAAAGTAAATTTGGATTGTGTTTGTAATAATGAAGACAATAATGCCAATGGGTCACATTGGGAAAACAATCCAAATGTTCCACTGGTCCTAAATTCTTCTACTGTCGGCATTACCAGCTTTTATTATAACAAGCTTGGAAGCATTACCTTAAAAGACTGGCGGGAAGAGATCACTCTGCAAGCCTCATTATTACCTCAGGCTAATGTAGTTATTCTTGGCCTTGGTAACATTGACATTGGACTTTCGCGAATGTTACCCTCTCAGTTTAATGCATCGTTCTATGATGTACTGACTCATATGGTAAAGCAAGTCTATCCACATCAAACAATCATCGTAAAGGCTCCTCAGTATTTTGGAAATGGTGTACTGCAAAACAGTGCGTGGAATGCAGGACGAAGTGTGGCATTTTCTATTGTTGTTGAACAAGCAGTCCATAGTATGGGGGATCGTGTATTGTTGTGGAACGTGCGTCAACTTGGAATGCAAGACATGACATGTTCATTTGCAGGTACCGCCTACACCAAGAGTAATCTCGTTCCTCTAGAAAACGAACTTTTATCGAGCCTCGTGTGTATGCATAAATAAATATGTTTTGTGTCATAAGAAAAAAAAAACAATTGTTGTACAATCCAGCTATCAAATAGATTGGATGTGCATAAATAATTGATCATTTTTTTTGTACTTTTTTTTTTGATACAAATAACCAAACTCTCAAATGCTTATAGGTTTTTGAGAGTAAAATATTGGGAATGTTTTGACAAGTATTTGAACAAATCAAAACACAAACAAAGTTACAAGATTGTATATATATATATTATCGAGTTAACAGTGGGAATTGTCCAAACTCATTGTAGTAATAAAGAAAATCAGACAGTCAGTCAATCGATCAATCGATCAAGAGATTGATATTTGACATGTCGAAATTTTTTATATATATTTGATACTAGGATAAGATTTTATAAAGATCGAGAGCAAGAAAGGGCAGAGAATAATGTGTCTCGTATACTAATTCAAAGCTGTCATATTCCTCTTTCTCTCTCACATACCTTTATACCCATTATTATTATTTATCTAGTATGGCTATTGACTTGTACTTTATACTTAATAATTTCTTTGTAAAGTGAAATAAAGTAATCTAGACCTGTGACATTTGGAGCGAAAAGGACATACAAATGAAGTTGGTCAGTTTGATCTCTTGCACAGATCAAGGTATATTTAATTGTACAAGAGAGAATAAAAGGTGTGTTTATAATACTAGACACAAAACTGGGGTGTAAACCGATCCCAGTCCGTAGATGGTGATTGTACCAATTGGATAAATAATAATAATAATCGATCAATCAATCAACTATAAATAAATAAATAAATAAATAAATAAAGAAGATAAACTCAAGTAAAGATGTCCTGTTACGTGCCTTGGATTTCGCGATTCAAAATTGTTGGTTGTTAACCCAGGTACCTGATGTGGCCCGGTGTTGCTCAAAGCGCAGATCGTATTTATCCTTGCGTATCACATTTGATATCAATTTAATACATTACCGTGAATCTTTCTTATCAAGGAATGCCCTTGATCTGTAACAGCAAAAACCACAGAATAATATATATATATAAAAAGACTTTTTACATGGTCACCTTTGTGTTTCTTTTTTATATAATTTTTCTTTGACAAAATTTACCCAATAATAATCATACACTGTAATACATAAACGTGCACTCTGGCTGGATTGAGTAGCTTAACCTTATCGAGACCCTTGTTTTTAATGCACTTCTATGATTAATAAATAGAGAGAGGATCGAGAGTTGAAGGTAAGAGTGAGGCCAATACATGCCTGTGCACAATTTAGTGTTATGTTTTTTTTTGTACATCAAACCAACAAAATCGAGGGCCCGATGACTACTATGAATTAGTGTGAGTGAACAACCAAGTAATCAAGTAAGTAAATGATGGGGTGTGAGTAAATGATGGAGTGTGGGTAAATGTACGATTTTGTACATTGTTTTTACCTGGTTTGTTTTAGAGATCGTCAATTGTATTAGTAGTAGATGGAAATGATCTTGAAATAATAATGTTGTGGGACAATTTTTTTTCTTTGGGATCAGAGGGGGCTAATTGGACATGGTGTACATTTTAAGGCCTGCCTGCCTGTATGTATGTATGTTTTCTTTTAATGATCAGATTCAAACAGAAGGCAGGGAAAGTAGCAAATAGTTTATCAGAAAGTCGTATAATTTGATGAGATTACCATATATAAATATCGTAAGGACTGTGCCTTGTTCAGCTATAGTTACACCGTTATTGGAGCACAGAATAATCTATCTGTTTGACCACCCTATTGGGTAAATAATCAATTGGGTTGTGGGTGGATCGGTACACTTTTTTTTTGTGGTGCCTCTAAAGGAATTCATCTCCAGTGATCCTATCGCGTGATACTTGTGGGATTACATTTTCCTTTTTATTTAAAGTTCCTTGTGCCATTTTTTTTTGTCTTTGAGATCCGCCACTGAGTGAGTTGAAACATCTCTTTCTCTCTTTATCAGTGTTTCCGTTTTGTAATAGTAATTCATTACACTAAAAACAGCAGAGAATTGGATTTTATTTTAGTTGCTTATTTAGAGGTGTCTTATTTGTAGATCAATAAATCGACTAAGAAAAGAAAAGGAGGGAGCATTTTATTGAATAGAATAGAATTGGACCCTTTTATCCACTCATTATCCCTCGCTAGTGCACACACACACACAGAGAGAGAGACACGTTTTGTAATAAGAAAACATCAGATTTGACAACCCACTCTTATTAGCTTGTACTCTCAATAGACATACACATGTATTTAATAATCATACAATGTCTCTATACTTTTATATATTAAAATCAAATAGCCAGAAGAGTTCTTTGTGAATTGAGTAGAAAATATGTATTTTTAGTAATAGAAGACCAAGAAGTAATATATATAGTTATTATTATTATAACATTTTTTTTTGGTGTACAACTTATAATCAAATAATACGAATATTGCGACAAGTTAATTATTCAAGTCAGTCAAGTCAGTGCACTGTTCAGGGACTCTTTCCATCTTTATCTCAATTTCTTTTCTTTTTTATCTATAGAAAGAAATCTTAATAAGATTTAAATATATACGCACTTGTAATATCTGTACATTTGGCTCCAACTCACTCACTCACTCACTGACTGACTTGCTCACTTGTATGTATACATCTTGTATTTGTGTAGATTTTAGTTTAATCTCCTCTTTGATATCAGTAAACCCAATCTGATCCAAGTTAACGGTTATCCTATCCGAGCTTTAATGACACAGTCGTGAGAAATAATATAAATAAAATACAAAAAATACAAAATAATAATAATAATAATAATCAGCCTATTAAAGTAACGTACCAAATAATAATAATATTTATTTATGTATTTAAAATATCTCTCTAATTCTGTTTTTAATGTTTGTGTGAGCCTTTTCTTCTTATTTTGCTCAATTTTGTGTACAAAAAGTAACCAAATCACGTGTCACAAGAAATAGTAATAATGAGATTCTTTTTATTTTATATATATCTACAGTTAATACGGTCAATTTTCTCTCATTAATAAAAAATAAAAATAAAAAACCGCAGTGCATTAATATAGTAGAATCGTATATTGTACCTTATATACATTTTTCTTATATAAAAAAATGATTCACTTTGTCCTAATTGTCAACAGACGATGTCAAACTCGCTTTTCACGTTATTACAATGACAATGAGATTACAAAACAAAAGTCAGGATTTGAATTGGAGATTGCAAGAAAGACAGTGATTCGCAAACCAGGACAAGTAATGAAATAAGCAAATAAGCAAATAAGCAAATAATTATATTATTTAACACACACACACATATATATACTTCTTTTAGTGCTTATTCTTTAAGCATGGAAAATATACCATTGGTAAATATATATATATATATATATAAATATATATATATACGTATATTAAATATTGCGTAGTGTATCGCATTTATGCTTCTTTGTACTTTGTGGTTGGCTGTGACGAACAAGAGGCAAGTTTTATATGAATTTTTAATTTCTCTTTTGAAAAACTATGAATTAATAATAGGTATCATGTTTATGCTTATGGTTATGTATATAAATGTACATTTAGAATGAATTTGGCATTTTAGAGTCTATCCAAGCTTGGGTTGGTGAGTGTCTTCTTATTTTTCTTTTTTAATAAAATACAATAAAATACAGTACAGTACAGTACAGTACAGTACAATACAATACAATTTACAAATGGCGCTTATCTATATATTATTTTTGGTCTTATCAGAAGCAATGGATTGTTACTTTGAAAAAGTGGTAAGACTTAATAAATAATAGTAACAATTAAATACAGTAAACTACAACGGAAAGAAAGCGTAAAATATATATATATATATATATATATAATTAGAGTGAAAAATGGCTGTGGTTGTGAGTGGATTTTGATAGGGTATTGAAGCACACAGTAATCTTACGGTAATCTTAACTTTCTATATATATAAAATAAAAATAAAAATCAGACCGAACTTGACCTTGTATTCAACCTCGAAAAAGTGCACATGATCATGGACGAGATTGTACTCAAGGGATCTCTGGCGGAAACCAATCAAGAACGTGTGCTTGCACCTATTTACGCTCTTACAGACGCTTGATGAGGTTCAATAACCGCCACCCTGTACACAACAGATTTCTACATATTCCCTTATCTCTTATATGTATATATATGCTTTTATAATATTCCTAATAAATAAAATAAAATAAATTATTATTAGTATTTATATTAACTAAAGATGGTGCTTGGCTGATCTTATATATTTATACACTTTTGTACGTTATTTGTACACATATTTAATACTCTTCTTTTCTTTTCTACCTTTATATTTTCTTCTTCTTCTTCTTCTTCTTCTCTTTGTATAATATTACAATAATGTTCGGAAGACAGAAAGACTTGTCCGAAGTCGATCAGGCAAAAGAAACCTATTCTGAATACGATTCTGAAAAGATCGAAGCCGGAAGACACCAAGAGAGTAGCTACAACCCACGCGAAGAAGAACATGATCTCCAGGAAGGAATCAGACGAGGACTTAGTGCCAGACACATCCAGATGATTTCACTTGGTGGTGCAATTGGGTAATTATTACCAATAACACACTATTAGCACTTTATATTTTCGATTGATCAAATCAAATCAAATTCAACCAAATTCAACCAAAATCAACCAAAATCAAATCAAATCAAATCAAATCAAATCAAATCAACCAATCAATTCATCAGACAGTAGTCAAGCAATCGAATCTATTATATGGAATAAACAAACTCATTTTATTTATTGTTTTCAAAACATAAAAGTACTGGTCTCTTTTTGAACTCTGGTGGAAACATTGCCACTGTAAGGACAAGACCATTAAGAAATTATATATATATATATTCTCTTTTAAAGATAATAGTAATACTAATATGTGTACATGTATGAATATAGGCTGGTCCAGCTGGTGCCTTGATTGCTTACTGTGTTAGTAAGTTGATAAAATAAATATTATGTTTATACGTATACTAATATTCTTACCTTTTACTCTTTCTTTCTTTTTTGTTATAATTTTATAGTCGGTCTAATGGTAATAGAGAACAGAAATATTATATATATAAAACAAGAAAATTCCTCTGACAAAAAAAGCACCAATAAACATAGGTTTACTGTATTATGACCTGTTTGGGTGAAATGGCTACCTATATGCCAGGCAAGTCTACATCAATAGTTGATAATCTAAAGCAATAAGAAACAATCAACTAAATCATATTCATATTCATATTTTTATAGTTTCTGGTTCATTCAATCACTACGGTACTCGATTTGTGGACCCTTCTTTTGGTTTTGCTCTCGGTTGGAACTACTGGTAAGATAGTAATGACCAGCTCATTTGAATATATCTTTACTTATTCAAATTTGATATTTTATAGGTTTTCGGTGAGGCTTATTATTCACACTTTTCAACTCTCATGATCTTTTTATACTAATCGTTTTTTACTATTATTTTCTGTAAAATCTTCACCTAATAATTTCTAGTGGGTAAGTTCGAATCTACATACAAATGCAAATAGAAACCCACAGCTATATATCGATCAATCAATTAATGGACTGATTAATATATTACCTAATTATCCTATTCGCTTATTAATTATATTTCATCTTTCTCTTCATATGTCTACAGTCTGTCACTATTGCTACAGGTAAATTCTTATATGTCTACCAATATAATTTGTATATACTAATCAAACAACAATAATAATATAGAACTTGCTGCCGCTGCTACAATTATTGAATACTGGAAAACCGTCATGCCTTCTGCTGTCTGGTCTACTATCTTTATGCTCCTGATCATGTCTCTCAACTTGATCGGTGTAAAATTCTATGGTGAAATGGAATACTGGTTTGCAATGATCAAGATTTTGATTGTAATTGTCTTTATCATTATTGGTAAGTTGCCTCTTTTATTATTTTGTGTATATATTATAGACCCTGAGAAATATTCACATTTCTTTATTCTTTCTTTCATTTTTAGGTATCTGTGTATCAACCGGTGGTCTCGGTGACCAAGTTATTGGTTTCAAGTAAGTCAAGCCAAATATATAAGAATCAATCTTGCCTATATTTCATTTGTGACCAGAAAAAAAAAGTGTCACTACAAAATAAATTGCATATATATTATGTGTGCGTGCGTTGATTGACTAACTCAAACTTTTGTCATTAATTACTATAATCAGATATTACCATGAACCCGGTGCGTTTGTGGGCGGTGCTGTCGGTACAATCAGTGTGCTTTTGTCTGCTGGTTTCTCTTTCCAGGGTACTGAAGTTGTTGGTATCACTGCTGGTGAGGCCAAGAACCCTACAAAGACTGTTCCTCGTGCTATCCGCAACACCTTCTGGCGTATCATCATCTTCTACATCTGCACCATCTTCCTTCTCGGTATCTGTATTCCCAATGACTACCCCGATCTTACCGGTGGTGATGGCAGTTCCGCCACTGCTTCTTTTACCATCGTTTTCAAACTTGCTGGCATTGAAGCCGGTGCCGATGTCATTAACGCCGTTATTCTGACCAGTGTCTTGTCTGCCGCCAACTCCTCTGTCTACACTGCCTCCCGTACCCTTCTTGGTCTGTCTCGCGACAACAACGCACCCGCATTCCTTTCCCGTGTCAACAGATTTGGTTCCCCATACCTGGCTGTCATCTTCTCTTGCGTCATTGGCTTTGCATGTGTATTTGTTTCTATCTACAGTGCCTCTGAGGCATTTGTCTGGTTCGTGAGCATCACTGCCGTCAGTGGTTTCATCAGTTGGGCTGGAATTGGCTTTGTTCATGTTCGTTTCAGACGTGCCTATGTCCGCCAGGGTCGTGACATCAAGGAACTTCCTTACCTTGCCCTCGCTTACCCTTACACCGGTATCTTTTCTTGTGCGCTCTGTATCTTGATTGTCCTTGGCCAGGGTTACGGTGCATTCACCCCAGAGTTTGATGCCGTCACATTTGTTACAAACTACATTGGTTTGGTTCCATTTTTCCTTTGCTACGTTATCCACAAGATCGTCAGACGTACCAAGGTTGTTCCTCTTGATGAAGTTGGTAAGTTTGTCCTCCCTCACCTAGACACACACACACACACGCACATTATATATATATATATATATATATATATATATCTTGTAATTAATATTCTTATTTCATTTCATTAGACTTTGAAACCAACCGTGTCAGCAGATTCGAGGTTGAGCAGGACGAAGCCGAAGAGAAGCGCAGAACTATCTGGCAGCGCATTATGGACATCTTCATTTAATTTTTTTTTAAAAAAAAAGAATAACTATACACACCTCTTCTTCTTCTTCTTCTTTACTATTACTACTATTCTTATTTATATTATTATAATTATTATTTATCATTATGTAATCTTCCTTATTAAAAAAAAGAAAACCACACCCATTCATCTTTCAATTGCTTTCTCTTTTTTCTATCCTCATTTTCATAATAGCTCTTGTAACAATACCAAAAACAAAAACAAGATATTTACAAACCAAACCAAACCAAAAAAGCACTGTCACCATTACCATTACTGTTGTAGTTGTTATTTACCTATATTTTTAACTTTCACAGAATCAAGATGTCTATTTTTTTTCTTTCTGTAAATATATACAGAGTGTATTCATAACTTTTTGTCCATATATCTATTTGTTATTCTTTTTATATTACATTCAACCAAAAAAGAATATTTTCCATTATGCATACAAATTAAAGCAATAAGACTTGGAAATATCACAAGAGACTTGACAGACATAGAGAAACAGAATTCCAAAAATTATGAATTGATAAAAGAATATACAAACTGGGTTTTAATCAGACAGAAAAGTTATGATAAGGCTACCGCGCTTACTGTACGGCTATTGAAGATATATTATGCAGTTGATTAAAATAAATTAAAAATTAAAAAAGGGGGGAGTGAAAGGATGGAGAGAGGGGGAAATATGCTTACATAGGGTAAGAATCAAATTGAATAAAGGAAGACAACCAACATGATTGTACAAATAGCAGTAACCTTTGAAAGTTGATCAAATGTGAACAGAATAATTAAAAATCAATTGAACTTTTTGTATAAAAAGAAAAGAAAAAGACAAGCATTTAAAAAAAGGTATATTAATTGATATTTTATTTAATAGAGTCTCAATGGTTTCAAGACAGTCATTGCTTTTTAGGTCAGTATATATAGATATAGGTATGCTTATAGACATTCTTTAGAGTTCATCATGAGTAATCTCTTCGGCCTCAACATCTGCAGACTTTGCAAATTCTTGATCCTTGATCTTTTCTTCTTCAGACTTTTCGGCTGCTACCTCGACATCAACCTCGGGTTCCTCAGTCAGTGAAGCACCGACGCCCTTACGAATGATGGTCTCGATACGCTTTGTAAAGCTGTTGAGGTCCTTGAGAGGGTATCCACTACGAATTGCGGTTGTCTCATAGAGCACGGTCACCATTTCCTCTGTATCTTGGTCAATGTCATCATTCTCAACACGATCAAGAAGAGTCTTGACAATAGGGTGAGCAGGATTGATTTCCAGAGTCTTCTTTTGTGAGAGCATGAACTGAAGCATGGCATCTTGTTCCTTTCCATTCACATTTTGAGCAGCCATCAGCTTCTCCATGTGTCCGGTCAGACCGACATCCGATGCAACAATAGCCATACAGGAGGTGGTCAGGCGCTTGGAGAGCACAACCTTGTCAACCTGGTCAGCAAGGATACCCTTGAGATACTTTCTCAGAGGCTCGTATCTCTGGTTCTCCTTTTCTTCTTCCTCCGCAGTTTCCTTTTCGTCGCCAAAGTTCAATGCACCCTTGGCCACATTAACAAAAACCTTTCCATTGTAACCTGGCATACGCTGCAGCAACATCTCATCAATAGGGTCAGTCATGTACAAGACCTCGTATCCACGGGCCAACAGGCGCTCCAAAAATGGTGACTGTTCAATCTCAGCCACGGTCTGGCCAGAGAGATAAAAGATCGACTTCTGGTTGTTCTTCATGCGTTCGATATAGCTGTCGAGGCTGACACCAGCCGAGGACGATACTGGGTCGTAAGAAGATGGATAGCGCAACAGGGTCGAGATCTTTTTACGGTGACTGTCGGATTGGATTGCGCCGTACTTGAGAGCCGATCCAAATTCCTTGATAAACACACCGTACTTTTCTTCGTCTTCCTTGGCTAACAGACTGAACATGTCCAGAGCCTTCTTGACAAGATGCTTCGAGATCACGCGCAGGGATCGGTGTTTCTGCAGAGTCTCGCGGGATACATTGAGAGGAAGATCGTCAGCGTCAACAACACCCTTGAGGAAAGACAGCCACTTTGGAAGCAGCTCAAATTCATCGGTTATAAACACTCGCTTCACAAACAGCTTGATGCTGTGGACCTTTTCGGCCAGGTTCTGGAAGAAGTTTGGATCGGCCTTGTGGGGAATGTAGATGATCGATCTGAACTCAACGTCGCCCTCTCCCTTTGAGTGGATCCAGCTTAATGGAGTAGTGGTGGGTTCCTTTGCCATGGCGCGGTAGAACTCAATGTACTCTTCATCCGTCACTTCCTTGGCGGGTTTCATCCACAATGGCTTCTGGGTGTTGACGCGATCCCACTTGTAGACAGTCTTGATTTCGTCTTCTTCTTTTTCTTCTCCAGGTGTCTCAATCTTCTCTTCCTCAATATCTTCATCGTTATCCTCATCTTCATTGCTCAAATCTTTCTTTACGGTCTCTTCATGCGAGCTCCAGACATAGATAGGAAAGTTGATAAACTCGGAGTACTTTGTCACCAGTTTCTTGAGAGTGTTCTGATCCAAGAACTCGAGTGCATCATCCTTGAGGTGAATTGTGATCTGAGTGCCACGTCCGAGGGTGTTTCCACGTGGATCCTTTGCGATGACAAAATCATCGACAGCCTCGCTCATCCAGACATGCTGATCGGGATCGTCGTTTGACTTTGAGGCCACGGTGACCTTGTCGGCAACCAAAAACACAGAGTAAAAGCCAACACCAAACTGGCCGATCTGTGTGACCTCTTCGTCGTTCTTGCTAGATTCCAGTTTCTGCAGAAACTCTGCTGTGCCGGACTTGGCAATAGTGCCCAGGTTTTGCTTGAGCTGCTCACGAGTCATGCCAACACCAGTGTCGGTGATTATGAGGGTCTTGGTTTCGGGATCTGCGGCAATCGAAACCCTGAGCCGCTGAGTCTCACCCAGGGCAGAAGGATCAGTGAGCGAAAGGAAGCGGATCTTGTCGAGGGCGTCGGAAGCATTGGAAATCAGTTCACGTAAAAAGATTTCGCGCGATTTGTAGAGCGAATTGATCAAGAGGCTCATCAAACGAGAGATTTCAGTCTATACATACATATATATTTTGTTAGATGTTACGGTTGGCGTTTGTGTTACTGTTGCTTTATATCTTTAAAACAATGATAATAAGACTTACTTGGAAAGTGTATTTTTCGGTGTCCAATTCTTCTACTTGCTGAGGAAGCAATCCATGGGTGTTTGGGTCCTGACTATCGAACACAGTCTGGACGTCTGCATTGGTGGTAGGAACAGATCCTAACAAGACCACAAGTAGTGCAAATACTACAAAGTGAACCCGAGAAAATCTCATGAATTCAAGATGTTTAAATAAAAAAAAATTGAATTAAATTAGATTAAATATTCAAAAAAAAGTAAAGTAAAGAAGAAAGAGGAAGAGGAAGAATTAAATAAATATATATGTGTTTTTCTATGGTAATTGGCTTGAAACTAATATAAACAAAAAGGCTCTCTATTGTCTTTCTCTCTGTAACCGACAGTTGGCACGCGTTTATTGGCGGGACCAAAAAATATCATATAAAATAGTATATTATATTATATTATATTATATATATTAAAGTGCAGGTCTTTCTGCAGTGTAAAATAGTAACTTTGTTTTCGTGTGAAATTGTGAAAGGTTCGCATAGACAGCTTAATGATAATGACTATTGGCTTGATAATTAATTATCAGGGCAATATAATAATTACTAATCAAATAGGCTTCTTTATCTTCTTTTTTGTACACTTCTTCCTGACTCTTTAAAAAGATATATCATTGGAATTCCGTATATTAAAACCCCAAATGTAAATATAAAGAATTATAGTGATAACAATACAAATATATATATATACATATTGGAATCCACCTTGCTTCACTCCATGTCACCCCATTGTTCCCTTCCCTTCCATTCTATTCCATTTCCTACACTTTACTTCACTCTATTTCCGCCTATATTTATTACATAATAACTATAATTATAATTATCAACCAATCAAATAAAGTCTCTTTCCAAAAACGTTTTTAAAAAAAATCAATCAATTTGTCATTACAAAAAATAAAGGGACGCCTTATCCATTTCTTTTTTGTTTGTAAAATATTATATATTTATATACATTTCTTTTTATTTATTTATTTACTCAATTCAGCAAAAGTGGTGTCCTTGAAACCAATGTTGGCAGCAGTGAAATCAGAGAAGAGGAAGTAACCACGGTCATGTCCAGTACCCAACTCCTTCTTCAAGACATCAGTGATAAGGGCAGTCAAGCTAGCGTTACGTTCATTATCTATTATATATATATATAAGTTTCATTTTGATTAGTAAGAATTTAACCCACCCAAAAAAAATTAAACTTGATGCCAATCTTTGTAGTAATCTATATATTTCTTTTATCATTATTCTTAAAAAATACAAACTTACCAATGTGGCCAATAGAGCCAACCTTTGCGAGGAAACCAGCAGCACCGTTACCAGCAAAGTAAAGAGAGTCAACACGAGTAAAGGTTACAAGACAGTACTGGATATATTCAAGATAATCAAAAAAGAAAGGTTAACAAGATCCATAGAATACATAAAAAGTTTATCTATCGATTAATTCTTTTGGTTTTTGGTTCGATACTTACCGATTCTGGCTTTCCAATGGCTTCAGCAAATCTGGCAGACAAGGTCTTGACAAAGGATTCGACGTCTCTGGGAGCGCGGTTGGAAGTAATCTCAAGAATAGGCATATTTTAAGTTAAGAGAAGAAGTAAGGTAAAGAAGATAAAAAAAAACACGGTTACTTTATATTCGTTATTTCTATTATTTCTATTATATTTTTTTTTGATCAATGTATCTTGTCGGACATCGGATGTTGGGTTCTTTTAAATATTTTTTTTTATATATAAAATATACTTTATTTTCTTTTTCAGAAACACAACCGAGTCATCGGAGAATAGACATATTGTCTTTTGTATATATTTATATATATTTTATAAGCCTATTTTATCTACTCTATATATAAATATTATGCAATTGTTGAATTCTTGTACTCTAGTACTCTGGTACTCTAGTACTCTGGTACTCTAGTACTCTAGTACTCTAGTCACCTTTGGTCAAGGTTCTAGCAGTAGTCGGTACTCCGTGACGTAGAGAATAATTGAATAATCAAGTGTGTATTTAGCAAACCTTTTCTTTTTTCGTTTAGTATATTTTCTGATTTTGGATAAGGAACATACATAATGGTTTGGCAATAGTGAAGTAAAAATTTAGATATAGAAATATTAAAGATGTACGTGGGTATTTATATTCCAGTATGCAAAACCACCAAAGTAAATTACATTATGTTTGCTTGTAAAGAATAAGGACTATAGACGCAGGCACAGGTATTCCTTTGAGATACTTCTTCTAAAGTACCTTGATAATTTAAAGAATTAGCCAAATTTTTTTTTAAAAAACTAATTGTGTCTGAAATTAAATTAAAAAAAAATAAAAAGCATAGACAACCATCATGCCATTAATGCAGTCACACCTATTGGACTTTTTCATTTTTTTTTACAAGTCCACACACAAAAAAAAAGCGAAAGCTATTGAAAAGCGATCCTGTCAAGCAGATCGTTTCTTATATATACATATTTTTTTTAATAATTAATATTAAACGGCGAGAATGGCGATGATTGACTTGGACACACCCGAAATTACAGAATCCCCGTCAATACCTCTCTACAATCCTCTCGCAATCGATCTCACGACCGCTGTTCAGAAACTACAGTCATGTCTCAGAGCGAGTCCTCCTTTCTGCGTCGACACACGTCTTGTTGATCAATTCCTCGCTGATCCAGAAAACGTTTCGAAATCAGACCTACTAGACACGATCGCTCGGTTAATGATCAATCCAAGCTGGACGCTCGACATCGTTCAGATCTTCCGCCCAATCGCAATCGATTTGATCGCACGTTGGGCTACTCCTGGATTTACTTTTTTTTTAGAAGCCGTCTCTACCAATGTGAGCGGTACTGTACATAGAATAGAAATGGTAGCAAAGGCATTTAGTCTTGTACTTCCAGTGGTACCCCAGGTTAAAAGGTAAATAATAAGAAGAAAACCAATCGATCAATTGATCCAATCGAATGGTTATCATATTGAATATCATATTTTAATCTTATTTTACTTCATTGTGTGTATATATAAACTAATATATGTTTATATGCATATCTATATTTTCTTTTTATTTAGCTTGGCTGTTACATATTTTACCCACTCACCTTCGTTGTTTGAGCGTCTTAATCAACTACCACACTACGAGAACGCCGAAACCAAAGATGTAATTATAACCTTGTAGATTGTTTAGAAATATATATATATGTGCATATACATATATACACATTTACTAGTGTGCTTATGTAAGGGTCCCGCTGAAATATTAAACTTGGATCATATATATATATATATATATATGTATATATGTACATATCTTGCTTTTAATTAGATCACACCAGCAATGACAGAGGGACTTCAAAGCTTATTGCAGACAACATATCGATTGCTTTGCTTCTCAACATCAACCTTTGGATCCTTGTGGAATTGGGGACCCGTAGTTCAATTATTGAGCTATCCAGACACATACAGTCGTTACTTTGCCGTATTGTGTTTGAGCAAAGTGTATGGACTTGGAGATATCCAAACAAAAAAATTGCTTGGATCCCTGGTTGGAGGTGAAGAGCATCTTGACAGCGCAGATGAGCCTCTTGTCACAACTATCGATAATACACGTGTAGACATGCGTATGATCCGGTAAATGTTGCTTTATTACTTTTAGCCTTGGTTTTTATTCAATTGACAACAAGTATTTACAAATATTTTTTCTTTTGGTGTATAGGCTATGGGAACAACAACAACTAGCAATATCACAATTCGCCCTTGTAAAAAATGATTATGCAACTAATTCTGGGCATGCCCTTACAGACAGTGACCTTTGTTCATTAACATGTAATCTGTGCGGTGTATTACTCCCAAAAACTCTCCACACCACCAATCGAGATAACAAGATTTCATCAAATCTCGTACTCACAGAAACAACCTCCCGTAATTTGCACGCCATTAGTTTGGCTCTCTCTATCGGTGCACCAACCTTATTGGAAGGTGTTACCGGAGCAGGAAAAACAGCATTGGTAGAAGAGCTTGCAAGCCGAACCGGTCGTAATGACCGTAAGTTTTTCTTTTGCTAGCTATATATATATATAAAAGCAAAAAAAAAACAAGGAATACGCCTGCTAACAATATATATATATATTTGTAGAACTTGTAAAAATTCATTTGGGTGATCAAACAGACCCAAAGGTATTGTTGGGCACATATGTCTCTACATCTACCCCAGGATCCTTCCGCTGGCAAGAAGGTGTCCTGACTACAGCTGTACAAGAAGGCCGATGGGTACTTATCGAAGATATCGATCTCGCTCCTGCAGAAGTTCTCTCAGTCCTCTTACCCTTACTCGAAACCCGCCACCTCTTTATCCCTTCCAGAGGTGAAAAGATCAAGGCCAAAGAAGGCTTCCAGTTATTTGGTACACGTTCATTTGTACCCTCCCGCTCAGGTCGTGTCAGCTCCAGAGGCGGCGATCTTGTCACGGGTGCAAACTTGTGGACCAGAGTGCATGTTGATCCTCTATCAATGGAAGAATTAGAGGCCGTAGTTCGCCAAAAGTTCCCTGTTATAGGAAATTTTTCCGTACATGTGTTGACCTTGTTCAAGACCGTAGTTGGGATATACCAAGACCCCCACTTTGCGGCTCTGGCTTCATCTACAATGGGCAGATTTATCTCAACTCGTGATCTGATGAAGTGGTGTTGCCGTATCGAGACACTGATGGGAAATCGTCTTCATAACACAACCATCGCAGATGCCGGTTTGGATGAACAGGTCCGCCAGGATCTATTCAGTGAAGCTATCGATTGCTTCTGCGGTATGATTCCTGACTACAACACTTGGATCTTGGTCTTGGAGAAGGTCGGTGTTCCTCTCCAGATTTCTGAACCAATGGTACGTCACTACGTCGACCAATACAAGCCTGCATTTGAGGTTACCGAATCAACAGTACGTGTCGGTCGTGTCAACCTTTCATCAATTGCTGCCTCTGGAAAACAGAAGCAGAAGCAAGGAATGGTCAAGCGAGAGCGCCAGAGACCCTTTGCCGTCACTGGACACGCACTGCGCCTCTTAGAACGTCTTGCGGTCTGTGTTCACTTGACAGAACCTGTTCTGCTGGTCGGTGAAACCGGTACCGGAAAAACAACCGTCGTCCAACATTTGGCAGACATGATGCACCAAAACCTGATTGTGGTTAACTTGTCACAACAATCAGATAGTTCAGATCTTCTTGGTGGATTCAAACCAGTAGACGGAAAAGTATTGGCCATTCCTTTACGCGAAGAGTTTGAGAGACTTTTCGAAAAGACCTTTTCGGTTAAAAAGAATGCAAAGTTTATGGAGATGGTTCGCAAGACATTCGTACACCAAAAGTGGACAAACTTTGTTACCCTTCTTCAACAGGCTGTGAAGATGTCTCAGCAGAAATTCGAAAAAGAACAGGATGAGAATGCAAAGAGAACAAGCCCAGAACTTCGTAGCGCATGGAAGACATTTGAAAACCATTTGGTAGAGTTCCAGGTACAGCAAGTCCAGTCAGCCAACAAATTTGTCTTTCATTTCTTGGAGGGTTCGCTTGTCAAGGCTGTTCGACAGGGAGATTGGATCCTGCTTGATGAAATCAATTTGGCCACTACAGAAACTCTCGAGTGTCTTTCTGGTCTTCTTCAGGATGCACACGGATCCCTGTTGCTTACCGAAAAGGGTGATGTTGAGCCTATCCGTCGCCACCCTAACTTTAGACTTTTCGCTTGCATGAATCCTGCAACCGATGTCGGCAAGCGCGATCTTCCTCCCGGTCTGCGCAATCGATTCACCGAGTTCTATGTTCACCCCCCGGATTCACGTTACGAGGATCTTCTCCAGATCGTCCGCCGTTACTTGGTCGGAATCTCGACCGGAAACGAGAGCGCCTGCGACGACGTGGCCGAGTTTTACATGGAAGCCAAGAAACTGTCCAGTGAACACAAACTGACTGATGGTGCAAATCAGCGCCCTCACTTTAGTATGCGTACCCTGGCCCGTGCTCTTACCTATGTTGTCCAGATTTTCCCCACCTATGGCTTGCGTCGCTCTCTTTATGAAGGTTTTTCCATGACATTCCTGACACAACTGAGCAAAGAAAGTGAAGTCCTGATGCGTGATCTGATCCACAAGACCATCTTGCGTTCTGTCAAGAACCCTGCTCATCTTATTTCCCAAATTCCTCGCCAGCCCGATGGACAATTTATCCAATTTGGATACTTTTGGCTGGAGCAAGGCCAGTTTGAGCCTCAAACCGATGACCAGTATATCATGACACCATCAGTCGAAACCAAACTCCATAACCTGGCCCGTGTCATTATGTCCCGAAAATTCCCTGTCCTTATCCAGGGTCCCACGTCGGCTGGTAAGACCAGTATGATTGAATTCATGGCCAAGAAAACAGGCCACAGATTTGTGCGTATCAACAACCACGAACACACCGATCTTCAAGAATATCTTGGTACATATGTGTCCAACTCTGATGGTCAGCTTGTCTTCCAAGAAGGTGTCTTGGTAGAAGCCTTGAGAAACGGTTATTGGATTGTACTGGATGAACTTAACTTGGCTCCATCCGATGTACTTGAAGCGCTTAACAGACTATTGGATGACAACAGAGAATTGCTGATTCCCGAGACACAGGAAGTGGTCAAGCCTCATCCTCACTTTATGTTATTTGCTACCCAGAATCCGGCTGGTCTCTATGGTGGCAGAAAAGCCTTGTCCAGAGCATTCCGTAACAGATTCTTGGAATTGCATTTCGACGATATCCCAGAAGAAGAACTAGAGACCATTCTGTCCAGAAGATGCCGCATTGCACCATCTTACTGTAAAAAGTTGGTACAGGTTTACAAGGCATTGATGGAAAGACGTCAGAGCACCCGTATCTTTGAACAGAAGCACGGCTTCATCACCCTTCGTGATCTTTTCCGTTGGGCTGGACGTGATCCTACCGGTTACCAAGAATTGGCCGAGCATGGATACATGCTGTTGGCCGAAAGATGCCGCAAAGATGAAGAAAAGAGAGTAGTAAAACAAGTACTCGAATCTGTCATGCGTGTTAAAATTGAAGAAGAAGCCATGTATGGATTCGAAACCCTCGAAGAATTTGCAATCTTTGACAAGATCCTAAAAGAGAAAGGTGGTAAGGGCGATGAAGGAAAGTTAGTGTGGACCAAGGCCATGCGTCGTCTTTTTAGTCTGGTTGCCAGATGTCTTCGTTTCAAGGAACCCGTTTTGCTGGTCGGTGAGACCGGTTGTGGAAAAACAACTGTTTGTCAAATGCTAGCAGAAACATTCAACCGTGAGCTCCACATTGTCAACTGTCACCAGAACACAGAAACCGGTGATTTATTGGGTGGTCAGCGTCCAGTACGCCACCACACTGAGTCGGATACCCAACAGAAGCCACTCTTTGAGTGGCACGATGGTCCTCTTGTGCAATCCATGAAATCTGGACATTTGTTCTTGCTCGACGAAATCTCTTTGGCCGACGATTCTGTATTGGAGAGACTCAATTCGGTTCTTGAACCTAGTCGCTTGCTAGTACTTGCAGAAAAGGGAGGAAAACATGTAGAGGAACTTTACGGCAGCGAAGGTTTCCAATTCTTGGCAACCATGAACCCTGGAGGAGATTACGGTAAAAAGGAACTGTCACCTGCTCTACGAAACAGATTCACTGAAATCTGGGTGCCTGCCGTGAGCGACAGAGACGACCTTGTCAGTATCATCGAAGAACAGATGACTCGCCCTGGATTAGAAGGCTACAGCCACCGTATGCTTGACTTTGTTGACTGGTTTGCCCTTGCATTGGGACAAAGCCGCGTTGTCGTGAGTTTGAGAGACATTCTGTCGTGGGTCAAATTTATCAATACTGCAGTTGACCAAGGGATTGCCCCAGATTTGAGCTACATCCATGGTGGGTGCCTTGTTCTCTTGGATGGTCTCGGATCCCATGGTTCTTCAGGCTCCTTCCTTTCGGGTGCACCACTCAAGGAGTTCAGACTAAAGTGTCTCCGCCAACTATCGAATGAGCCCGAGGCATCTGAAAAGGAGATTCTCGGAGAAGCAAAGAGTAGCGTAAAGATGTCCGATGAACAGTTTGCAATTGGTGCTTTCCATATTCCTCGCGGTCAATTAGCCAAGGCAGACATAAAGTTTACCTTGTTGGCACCAACCACAGCTGACAATGCCATGCGCGTTGTTCGTGCCATGCAAGTCAACAAACCAATATTGCTCGAAGGTAGTCCTGGTGTAGGAAAGACCAGCTTGGTCTCTGCTTTGGCAGCTGCCTCTGGTCATCGTCTGGTCCGTATCAACTTGTCCGAACAAACCGATCTTATGGACCTGTTTGGTTCTGATTTGCCTGTAGAGGGTGGATCCAGTGGTGAATTTGCCTGGAGAGATGCTCCTTTCTTGCAAGCCATGAAAGACGGCGACTGGGTCTTATTGGACGAGTTGAATTTGGCTTCTCAGTCGGTTCTCGAAGGTCTCAACTCATGCCTAGATCATCGTGGTGCTGTTTATATTCCTGAACTTGATCGAGAGTTCTTCTGCGCCAAAGAGTTCCGCGTGTTTGGTGCCCAAAACCCACTTCAGCAAGGCGGTGGTCGCAAGGGTCTTCCAAAGTCTTTTATCAACCGTTTCACTCAGGTCTATGTTGAACATTTGAGTGCCGATGATCTCTTGTTCATTTGCGCCCATTTGTTCCCTCAATTCAAGCTGGAGATCATGAAACTTATGATCAAATTTAACGCTCGAATGTACGAAGAGACCATGGTACGTTGCAGCTTTGGACGCAAGGGAAGTCCATGGGAGTTCAACTTGCGTGATGTATTCCGTTGGTTGGAGTTGATGCAAAAGGACAATGTTCATAACCCCGCAGAGTTCCTCGACATTATCTATATGCAACGTATGCGCACTCACGAGGATCGTGTAAAGATCGCAAAACTGTTTGAAGAAGTCTTTGGTGTGCCTTACAACCGTCCTCAGTACCCTGAATACCATGTTACACCTCACCAGTTGGTCGTTGGTCACTCACGTCTGCTCAGAAAGAATGGTGATCACGAAAGTGATATGCTCGAGCGTGAAGATCATCTCCTCCAGTCATTCTTACCATCCCTTGAGTCTTTAATCAAGTGTGTTGAATCCAACTGGATGGCAATCCTCACAGGTCCGTCTGCATCCGGAAAGACTTCTCTTGTTCGTCTGTTGAGTAAAATGACAGGAAACCGTCTCGAAGAATTCGCAATGAACAACAGTGTGGACACTATGGAACTTCTTGGTGGTTTCGAGCAGGTTGATTTGAACCGTCATCGCCAGGTCGTTATGGATACATTACGCCAGTTGACTAGTCGCGCATCAAAGGCTTTGCTGATGTACCTTGCCCAACAAGAAAACCACCCCAAACAGTGTGCTATAATCTTGGAACAAATCCGCCAACTGAACGATGCCTGGTTTGCATTGGAGAGCAGACAACAATTCAAGCGCTTGTCCGATCAACCCGATTCTCATGGCCTTGATTATACATTGATTTCCCGTGTACTCGCATGCCTTGATGGAACTGCCGGTCTTGATGAAGAAGCCCACACAATGATGACCACTGCCGTTATGTCAATTAAGAATCTCCAGCGTCTCGAGAAGGAATCTGTTGCTGGAAAGTTTGAGTGGATCGATGGTCTGCTGATTCATGCTCTTGAACAAGGTCACTGGCTTTTGATTGACAATGCCAACTTGTGTAACCCATCGGTTCTTGATCGTCTCAACCCTCTGTTTGAAAACGATGGTGTGTTGATGGTGAACGAGCGCGGTCTTGTGGACGGCACGGTAAAGATCATAAAACCCCATCCAAACTTCCGCATGTTTATGACAGTTGACCCTCAAAATGGCGAACTTTCGCGTGCAATGCGTAACCGTGGTATCGAGATTTCTCTGGTTGACTCGGACTGGAACAAAAACACTCAGGATGTAACAAAGGTAGCCAACGCCCTTGGGCTTCGTGGTCCAAACCTTCCCTTGATCCTATATGACCTCCAGGAGGAAGTTGCAGCGAAGCGCAAACATTTTGGAAAGCGTAAGAACGTACGTGAATACTTGCTCTTTACGACTTATGCAGTTGAGCGTCTCCAGCGCGGTCAATCGGTGGTTTCTGCTATTCACGAAGCCTTTAGACAGGTGTTTGTGGATGTCACTGAACTCCCTGAGTCGCTTGTAAAGTTGTTGGCCGATGGAACCCCAGAAGCCGTTTTGGAGAACATGGTATCACCCACCAACTCCCCTTATTTCATCGGTGGGACAATGTTCCAAGAGGATTCCGTATTGGCAACAGTCAGTATCCAGGGCGCATACCTTTTGTCATTACTTCAACAACCTCCAAGTGAAGATGAAGCAGCCGATATGCGCCGCATTGAAGTCGCCATCGACTACTTTGTCGAATCATTAACACCCGAGGACTATGGTCTTCGCTTGAGATGGCTCGCATTTATGGTCCAGCATGGATCTGTTATCAGACCAGCTGTATTGGAACGTCTTGGTTATTTAATCAAAACATCATACTCTCACCCCGTATTTGGCGAGTACAGAAAACTTCAGTTGGTATATGAAAAAGAAAGAGAAGTCTCTCTGGATACCCAGCCATCATTGGTATGTATTAAAACAACAAAGTTAGTAAAAATAATAATCCTAACTTAAAAAATTGCTTTATTTTCTTTAGACATTGGTGCACACCCACAAGGCATTCTTGCTGTTTGTCCGCTTGTGTAAGAACGAATATGAAAATATTGTCATGCAGAATGCGACCAAGCGACTCAAGACAGGAGGAATGACACCTCTCCAGCAGTCATTCTGTTTCCGAGAAGGCCGTCTGAGTGAGACTCAATTGGCACATCCTGTGGTTGCCATGCTGTTCCCATTATTTGAGGCTATCAAGGATAGCTATCTGTCCTGGATTAACGAATCTTTCTACCGCACTTGCCCTACAACTGTATGTTTACTGTTTATCAAATAGGTACAATATAGTAAAACTAATAATTTCTTTTATCATTTTTCGTTTCCGCCCTTTGTAGGCATTCGATGTCCTCAACCGCCTTCTGGATGCCCGTGATTATGCTTGGTCGCTCGCTCAATCACCTACTCTCAGTCTCGACAACTTCTTGATTATCTTGCGTATAATGAAGTCTCTCATGACAATCGAAGACCCTGCTCCCGTATTCTTTGCATCCCCATGTGATTTGATCAATGAGATTATGTCCAATTTTGATTTTGAGACTTGTCGCTCTATGAAGTCTCTTTGGAACTACTTCTCACCTGCTACACTGTCTTCTGTAACCTTGTTTGATTTGGAAACCGAATTACGCGAGATCAATAATACTATGGACTCTTACCTACCTTCAAATGGTACGCCAGTGAATACTCGAGTTTTTTTTTTTTAAAAAAAAATAACAACTAATTTTCTGAATTTCCCTTTTGTTAATGCTATTTAGAAAATGGTCTTGAGGCTAACGATTTGGTTCTCAGAGCCAAGCCTGATGTCAAGGCTGCTTTAGTCGAAGGAATTGCTACCTTGTACGCAGTCAATGAAAATGATGACAAGGATGCCATTAAACTGGCAAAGTCTCTTCAACATTTACCAGAGGTAAAATAATAATAATAAACATAAGCATTGTGTTATACTTATGCCTTTATATTATTTATAGTATATTCGTCGCCAAATGGAAGCTGAAGGTTCAGTTGAACCCATTGCTGAGAACATCACTGCTTGGGACACCGCTCTCCTTCCTCTCTTTGATTATGCTAGTTTGTCAACCGAGATGGAACTGGTGTCAAGTCTTTACGCTGGATCATGCGATTTATCCAATAAGGTGAGTTTTATAAAGCACCGAATAGACAACTACGGAAAAATACTAATAATCTCATTTAACTGTTAAGGCCGCTTTCGAAGCCCTAGTTGAAAAGATCAAGGCATTTAAGGCTGATTGCTTTAGCAAGACATCACGCCCTCCATTGGATATGGTCCCTTACCAACGATTGATGTGGTTCCTTGACTCAGATTGTAAACTTTTATAATGGTAGTGTAGAGTGGGACATGCATTAACTTATCCTTTGATAGATGAGAACAAGATCGCAAAGAACTTCCCTAGTATGGTCCAGGATGCTTCTCATATCTGGCATCGTCGTTTGTGGCGTTCTAGTGTATTCCAAAAGGATCTTTATTCTCTTATTCCATCTGTAAAGGGAGAAATTGTAAGTTACCACACGCACATATATATGTTTACAAAATTAATTCTTAAAATTATAACATGCATTATAGGATCTTGGTATCTCCTCAGGCTCTCTTAGTTTATTCGAGAGTGTAGAAACCATGGCCTGCTTGAATATTCTGTAAGTTAGAAAACAGACACATTTTTTGGTACTATATAAACTGACAATATTATTAGGTGCTCTGTCGAGAAAATGTCTGCCGATGCTTACGATAATGCTTTGGGCAAGCTCAAGTCTTTAAAACAACTCTTGGCTACCAACACTCAACTCAAAGATAAGAGAGCACTTGAAATCGTCATACTATCTTCTTTGTCTAGACAGGTACATACCAACAGAAACATTGGATACGAATAATATTAAATGATAAAAACTAACGGGATTTTTTTATAGCTTCTTGATGCTTCATCAGATGTTCTTGTTCCCAGTCTGTATGAAAAACTGTGCGCACACTTTGACAAGCTTATTCCATTTGTAAATGATCTTTTGAATTCAACTATCTACACAGTTGACAATGTGCGTGAACATTATGACGTTATCCTGTCGGCTATTGCACAGATTCGAATTATCTTGGAAGATGCAAATATGAATACGTTCTACGTCTCATCAGTAGAGGCTCTCTCGGAGACAATTAGACACTTTAGAAGCAAAGATCTTGTTGCATACTTTAAGTCAGCAGGAAAAACCAGAGTTCTTTTGGGACTTGCATTTGTCTCAGCCTATGTACCCGACTACCCTGTCGATCCCACCTCAGAACCCCGCCTTCGAGTTGATCTTTTGACAAAGAAGAAGCAAGAGTGTGTGGACATCATTGAAGTCAGATCTTCAATCGAGACCTTGTACACCGGAAACACAACCAACCCTGTGGTTGAAAATCAAAAGTTAATTCTTTCCCAGGTCAACGAATCCCTCGCAAAGTCATCGACCACCTTCTCTCTTCGTCCCGCAAAGTCTCAATTGGATGACATCTTCGTTGATCTTCGATATCTTCAAAAGAGTATGCTGGATCGCAATGTAGAGAACCTTATGCAGGACTTGGAAGATACAGGAATGGACTCAGTTTTGCAGCGCGAGGCCCTTTTGCAAGGCAACGCATTGCAGTTCCTCGACCGTGTTCAGGCAAAATACCCAATGTACAGAGATATTTTGCAGCCTCTGCTTGTCGCTGTAGATGATATTAAATATGGTTTGAGAATCATGACCTCCCACCACCGCAACGATACTACCAACGATTTCTTGGCTGAGGTTGTTGAAATGCTTATTCGCGGTCAGGATGGCTCAGAGCTTCCCACCGATTTGGATTGTCATAAACTTGCATCACCTGACACCTTGGCCCAGCTGAAGGAGATCATCTTTGAACGCGCTTCCGCAAGTAACAAATGGTCTTTCTATCTCCGTATCTTAATTATTGTCTTGCAGCGTTTGGTTATGTCTATCAGTGGACACGGTTATATCCGCCTAGAGGATATGACATGCCTGAACGTCGTATTCAACGAAATTGTTCAGATCTGGAAGGCCGCTCAAGTTTACAAGCGTCAACAAGAGATCGAGAGGGATCAGATGTATAAAACACGCGCCAAGAAATACGAACCTCTTACTGATGAAGAACAAGAGGAGCTTGATATGCGTAAAACATTTGCCGATTTTAATGAAGTATATGAAGATCTTGTGGAAGATAATGGACCTCCTAGTAACTCTGGAGCCAAGATGAACACACCAAATGAAGTCGAAGAAGAGTCTGTTCTCGATGATATTGATACTCAGCGCATTGGACATCTCCACAAGATGATTTTTGACACATTCCGCCATGATATTTGCTCCCACTTCAACAAATCATGGGATCGCGAGGTTCTTCAAGCCTACACTATGGCCGGCCAATTGGCAAAAATGGCGTCATCTGCATTTAGTAGCAAGACAGATCGTGTCTGCAATGCTGGTAACCTTCGGGTTGCTTCGATGGCCATTCGTCGCTTAGAATCTGAGGATTCATTCAGTATGACTAGCGATGATATATACGACTTTTACAAGAGTGAGAATGTTGGCGAAGCTAAGCGCGTTGAGCCAGTTATTAGACGATTCAAGAACCGTGTTATAGAAATTCTCGCAGAATGGCCTGAACACGCTGTCCTCCAACAGATTATTGCCGTGTGTGATCGTATCCTTGGATTCTCTATCCTTTCCCCTGTTGCCCAGTTCCTTACTGGTATTGAACTTCTCTTGCAAAAATCTGAGGACTGGGAAGCCTATGCAGCAAAGCATGTTTCGATCCAGGCACAACGCGACGAATTGGTTAGCTTGATCGTCCGCTGGAGACAACTCGAATTAAACTGCTGGCCTAAACTTCTGGCTGCCCAAGAACAATACAGCCAAGATGCCGCATTCACTTGGTGGTTCCATCTTTATGATGCACTCAACAACACCTCTTTTGAGCTCGGTACTGAAGAAGAGAAGGGCAAGAAGACCCGCGAACTTTTGACCGCCCTTGATCAGTTTGTCCAGGTGTCTACTCTTGTAGAGTTTGAGCCTCGCCTCAAGATGGTTGATAGCTTCTATCGCCAGGCTCGTATGCAAGCCGAGTTGGCCAAAACAGAAGGCGAACGTCTGAGCCACGAAACCGTTGCTACCGTGCTTCGTAACGTGTATCTCTATTATGATCAATTCCGTGATCATGCTCGTACTTACCTTGCTCAACTACGCAAGCCAATCGAGAAGGATTTGAAGGACTTCGTCAAAATTGCAAGCTGGAAGGATATTAACATTTACGCCCTGCGTCAGAGTGCCCAAAAGACTCACAGACAGCTTCACAAGTGTATCCGCAAATACCGCGAAATTTTGGGTCACACTATGTTGACCATCATTGCTACATACAACCAGGAGCAAGCCATGTTCCAATACGGCGATGATAAACGATATGACGACACCAAGAAGGGTTTTGTCGATCAGCTTGATCAACCTAAGCTTTGGCTCACAAAGACCAACATCCCATCCACTGTTCCGATCGAGTGGCCTACTACAGCCCAGCCTGTCAAACGTCACTTGGAAAACCTCCAGTCTACCTTAAACAGAATGAGATTGTACTGTCGTGAAGATGTATTTGTTGCAAACAACTATACTAAAGAACTTCCTCTGGAGACATTTATGACCGATATCATTAACCAGATTAAGCACTTCCAGAAGGAGACACCTGCTGTTATGACTGACGAAAATAAGTCGATGGTAAAGCTTCAGAAGCTTCAAAAGAAAAAGGCACTTGTTGATTTCTTGAAAGAACTCAAACGCCTTGGTCTCAAATGGCGTGCAACCACCCTTGCCGAACAGAATGCTGACACATCTCAACTTTTCCGTCTCAAGTCAGCTGAACTCGATTATGTGTTGATGAACAGAGATCTTCAGAAGCAAGACCTGTCTACTCATGGATGCACTAACCAAGACACAATTGACCTGTGGAACAAGGCAAACAACTACTATTACCGCAGTATTGCTAGATTGACTCACTTGCGCAACTTGAGCACAACTCAAGTTCACAAAGATCTTTCTATGCTTGAGGTTGAGCGTTGTATGAGCACCACAGAATATACTTTCTCACTTGTTACAAAGGAGCGTGCCATTCTAACCCACTTTGAGGAACGCATGTCGGTTCTCCAAGGTGTTTGTGTTCAACTGGCTTCGTTCTACGACGCATATTCCCGTGACAGACCTATTAGCCACGATGCTACGCTTGGCCGTCGCTTGACTGACCAAAAACTGGCCGTTGACACACTTGCAGCTCAGTTGAATCAAGCCACTGTAACCATGAAACTCCAGACTGAATACACAACTAGCAATTCTTACCAGCAAGCTTTGGCAGAAATGGAGAGTCTGTGCGCTACAGTGAAAAAGATCCAAAAGACTATTGATTACACCTTCTCCCAACGTTATCTCTATCCCGAAACTAGCACCAGACTCGGTTTCTCCATCTTGTCTGAAGATGTTGAAGAGATGGTTGAATCTCACTACGACTCAATTGATGCTATGCAACCCGCCTTGATGGCCATTATCGACCGCGTACCCCAAGCCAGCCACAGTATCTACCCTATTCTAAACCACATCAACAATACACGCACTGTCCAAACCATCACCAACGATGATCATGTTACAACAGTCATAGATGTTCGCGATAAGCTGTATTCCTTGATTGATGCTATTCTAGTGTCCATCCAAGACCTTAAGAAGGCCAAGACTCCTCCCCCTGTCCCTGTAGCTGCAGCAGGCGAAGAAGAAGAAGTTGTTGCGGAAGATATGGAAGAGAACTACATTCGTTCCCAGCACAACAAACAATTTGCATTGTCGAGTGCTCTTCATTTTGAGGTCATTACTAAGCGTTGCTTGGATGCCCTAAAGATGTGTCATCAGTTGAGTGTTAGTCAGTCACCCGAGATAACCAAAGATGTTTCCCGACTTTTGCAAGATACATATCCTTTCATTCAGCAATACATGCTTGTGGTTCAACACACACTCAGCGAGATTGTCTTGCATCACAAATCGACTGCCAAGCTGTCTTATGCTCTGGTAAATTCGTTTACAATTATCATCAGCAAGGGCTTCTGTATGCCCGAAGGTGCCTCTGACGAAGAAGAGGGTGAAGGTGAAGGCGTTGGAACAGGTACCGGTATCGGAGAAGGTGAAGGTAATAAAGACGTAAGTGAGGAGATTGAAGACGAAGAACAAGTCCTTGGAACCCAGAACGAAGAACAACAAAAGAACGATAAGCAAGATACCAAGGAGGAGAAAAATGGTATGGAGATGGAAAACGACTTTGACGGCGAACTTGAAGATGTCGAGCAAGATGACCAAGACAAAGATGAAGACGATACATCTGACGAAGACGAAGAAATGGATGATGAGATTGGTGATGTCGACGACATGGACCCTGATGCTGTAGATGATAAGATGTGGGGTGATGAAGGAGACGATAAATTGAACGAAAGTGACAAGACAGTGGATCAAGACCAGGGTCAAAGCGAACAGAAGGAATCCGACATTGTTGCCAAAGAAGAAGAAGATGGAAAACAACCGGAAAAGAAGGGCGAGAAGCCAGACTCTTCAGAAGATCCCCAGAAGCAGCAAGAACAAGAAGCTGGCGAAGAAAGTGAGGGCGAAGGTGAAGGCGAAGGCGATGATCAGATGGACGACGAAGGTGAAGACGCAGATGATGGTGAAGATGGCACGGAAAACAACCCAGGTGATAAGTTTAATGCCGAAATTCCTGAAGCTGAAACTCTCGAACTTCCTGATGATCTTAATATGGATGGCGACGGTGACGAAGATGATCAAGGTGAAAACCAAGAAGAATTCCATGATGCTTTAGATACCGAGGCACCTCCTGAAGAAGGCGAACAAATTCCTGAAGAAGAGGAAGATGGCGAAGCTTTCCATGATCCCCTCAACGACGCAACTGAAGCTGAAAATAAGGGAGACGAAGACGAAGAAATGGCGGATGCTACAGCGCACATGGACAATGAAGAAGAAGAAGAAGCTGGAGGAGAAAATGGTGAAGAAGAAGGCGAAGAAGAAAAGGATGAAGCATCAAAGGAAGTCGGAGACTCTGAAAAGAGAAGTGGACAGATTGATGAAGAAGAACCCGAGGAAAACACCAAGGGTCAGAACCACGAACAGCCTAACAGTGACGATAGTGCCGACAACCAATTTGGTGTTCAAGGCGAGGCGGGCAAGACCAGCATGAGCTCCGTAGGAAAGAAAGAGGGCGAGAATGAGAGTGCCGAATCTGCTGAGGCCGATGTTGAACAAGAGAAAAACAAGGAGAAAACCGGCACAGCTGAACGTGGTGCAAACGAAACCAACAACGATGAACCCGAAGATGGTGCAGATGAAGATGCTAAACAGCCAAAGACTAACCCTCAGAGAAGTCTTGGGGATGCTTTGGAGAGCTGGCGTCGTCGCCTTGCAGATGTAGCAGATGCTGAAGAAGACGAAGAAGAGGGTGATAACGAAGACGAAACTAAGAAGACTGATCAAGAAGACTCGGAGAATGTCCAGGTCAACGAGGATAATGCATTCGAATATGTTAAGAACGACGATGAGGCTCACGATATGCAGACACTGGGCAATGCTGCTGCTGATCAATTGCAAGACATGCAACTTGGTGCCATGGATGAAGACACAGAAGACATGGAGAAGCATGCCGGTGAGATGGATATCGACGAAGATTTTGATAACGCTGTAGACACTATGCCGTTGCCTCGAGATACAACCGAGATGGCCGGTGATAACGATACAGAAGGTGTTATTCTTAGCAAGCGAGCTCCCGAGTCTCAAAACAGAGAGGATGTTGATATCTTGACTACCGATGAATCCCTGGTTGCACACGAGCCTCTTGAACAGGAGGACATTGAACGTATGCGTGAGGAGCTCGAAAACCAGGTATCTGAATGGCGCGAAGAAGGCCGTGGTATTGACAAGGCACGCGAATTGTGGCAAAGCTACGAAAACCTGACTCATGATCTAGCCATGGGATTGTGCGAGCAACTTCGCTTGATTCTCGAGCCTACTCTGGCAACCAAGCTTAAGGGTGATTACAGAACCGGAAAGCGCCTTAACATGAAGAAGATTATTCCCTACATTGCCAGTCAGTTTAAGAAGGACAAGATTTGGCTGAGACGTACCAAGCCCAGTAAGCGCCAGTACCAGGTCATGATTTCTGTGGATGACTCCAAATCTATGTCAGAGTCTCACTGTGTACAGCTTGCCTACGAGACTCTTTCATTAATCTCCAAGGCCATGTCCCAGCTTGAAGTCGGTGATATCTCCATCACATCATTTGGTGAACGTATTCGTCTCTTGCATCCCTTTGACCAACCATTCACTTCTGAGTCTGGTGCTTCAGTATTACAACAATTCACATTCTCCCAACAAAAGACTTATGTTAAGAACCTTGTCGAGACTTCTCTTTCTCTTTTCGAAAGTGCCAAACACTCTTCTGGCCCAGGAAATGCCGAACTTTGGCAATTACAACTTATCATCTCTGACGGTATTTGCGAAGACCATGAAACACTCAAGGCTTTAGTTCGTAAAGCTATGGAACAACAGGTCATGATTATCTTTATCGTTGTTGATAACAAACCCGAAAAGGACTCTATTATGAACATGACCAATGTAAAGTATGCGACTGTCAATGGCAAGCTTTCGCTTCAAATGTCACCATATCTTGAAACCTTCCCCTTCCAGTACTTTATGATTCTACGTGATATCAATGCTCTCCCTGAAGCGTTATCTGATGCTCTCCGACAATACTTTAGCTTTGTAGCTGCTTAGATTAGTTGAAATATAGAAATTACTTTTAAATTGGTTTTATTTTTATTTTGATTTAATATTATATATAATGAATAAACAAACAAATAAATAATGAAGACATTGATAAATATTCAACTTTATAAATAAATGAGAAATTATGTAATTATGTGTGAGATACAAGGTGTTGGCAAGGAGTATGGTGTATGTACGAATGAAGGGATGATTAAATGTAGATAATATTAGGATGAGTATAGTAAAGTAAAATGAAAAATATATAGTTAAATAAATAAATAGTAATTAAAATTATTTTTGGGCGTAATTCATGGCGGTGGCAAGTCCGGTAACAATCTTGTGGGCAAGGATAATGTATTCATAGTCTGGATTGTTCGAATCTGTGTGCTTTGCTAGATCTATTGATAGATGTTAATACTTGTAGACCACTTGGGGTACTGGTGTTCTCAATTTACCTGCTAGGAGTAAGCCATAGCGTGCCACACGTTGAATAGGAATGATCAAGTAGTCGCTCATTGTAAAATTTCTGGTTTCCTTTCGTGTGTGCAATTTCTATTACATGTATTTATTTAGCTATCTGTCTTGACGATGATTTGAAAATATATACCTTTCGATACTGCTGGTATATCTTGTTAGTTTGGCAGCTCTCTAGTAGTTTTCTATTGGCTTTATAATCCAACGCATGTCTCAAAAAAGCAACCATGCCTTCTGAAAGCTCGACCAAGTGTTTTCCAATACACATATTGACCTGGCATCTGTAATACTCTAAAGAACCAGCTGAATTTAACTTTGAGTAACTGGATGCCGTCTGATCTGCCTGTTTGTAACGGAATCTTTCGATGATATTTGCTGACAGCTGCATCAAGTCAAAAATGTTTGCGAATGGCTCGATGCTTTTGGGTTTAATGAAAGGAAGCCCTCTGTCAAAGTGATCGCATATAGGATCGTAAAACATCTAATTCAATTAAGTTAGTTTATCTGACATATGGAGCTACTTATATATTATTTTCTTACCACTTTAGCAAAATACAGTTGATTCCAAAACGTAACTTCTGTAGTATAAAACTCTTGAAGAATGAACTTTCTTGTAAGCGCATGCTTTTCTTTCTTTTCTGGTGACTAGATAAGGTAAAAGTCAAGGTGAATTAAGTAAAGCACGTTTCTATTTTATTTTCTTCCAAGTAGATATTTATATTTACCCATTCTTGTGTATTTTTGGGAGCCTCTGGTTTTTTCTGTAACAATGCTTCTACAGACTTACGCCACACATATAACGCCTTTGTTTCGCGTTTAACACTCGTTTTGCGCTTAAGGTGTGCTGCACGTGGCTGCATTGACTGGAATCGAAGGATGGTTTTTTTTGTTTCTGGGTCAATTAGGTCAGGAATGCCTTTTGCAGGGGTTTTCTTTTCTTCAATTTGAGCTATGTTATAGCTAGATCCTGTAGATGATCGGTGGGAAGAGCTAGAAGAGTTACTGATGATTGAGAATGAACTTGCTCTACTTTGAGATTTTGGTGAATCTGGAACCGGAATCTTGTACATAATCCTACAATCTGTTCCTCTTTCGCTCTGAGGGACTGGGACCATTATGTAATTAGGCTTACTCCGTTCCTTAATGTCACTGAGACTCAGTGTTTTGCCGGTGTCTTCTTTTTGATGATCTATAAAGTATTCCGCAGGGCAGCTACACCGACGAGGGAGTGGGCTAGGATTGCTGATAGAGTTTACAGCCACCGCAGAGGATCCAGTGCTGATTCTTCGTGATCCATCTAGTCTTGTTTCCAGTTGGAACCTTTCATTTATAAGTTTAGTCCTCTCTGTATCTTGGATAGATGCTGGAGAAGGAGGCACTTCGCTATCATTGGCCCAGTACATGGAATAAACTTTCAATTGTGGCGGTGGTTCTGGCGGATCATATTTACTGTAGGCTGCTAATTGTTCGTCGGTGGGATTTTGGGACATATGTCGTTTTATTGCCATGTGCGGCCATCTTTTGCGAAAGTTGGTCTGTTTGCATGTACTTTTGTTGATAGGTCCAATATGTTTATCGCACTCTGATTTAAATTGACAATTTAGGCATGGGTTTTCTATTTCTTTGGGCTCTGGAGAAGTTGGGGATGCCCGGGGGGTTTCGAGTCCGATTTCCTCGTAAGAATGTATGGATTCTTTGGATTTATGTTCCTGTGTAGTTACAGACAAGGTGCTTGACTGAGATAAAGTTCTTTTGTGTTTTTTTGTATCATCCCGTCTTCCTAAATGGGGGATTACTGTTGACCATTTTTTTAGCGGTTTTTTGATATGAATGTCTTTTTCCTTTTTGGGTTCCTTAATGATTGTGCGTTCCTCCGAAGAGGAAGACATTGAGGGTGTGAGTTGGAAGGGATACGTATGAATAGATAGCGAGGGAATGTTTGTGTTTTTGGTGAGATCTTCGTTGCTAATTTGTTTATTTTGGTGAGGTTCGATTGCTGGGTTTCTTCTTCTTCTCAACATTATCCAAAGAGTGGTTTGAGGATCAAAGGAGCAAACAAAGTGACAAGCGGCCATTTATTCAGGAAGTGCAAAAAACCAAGCAGTCACGCCGGTTTCTCTCTGTCTTGGTACTACGCTCACGGATTTTAAAATTGCATTGTGTCAAAGCTTCTACACGTGAAAGCATGAAACAGACTAGGAGCTTAGCTAGAAGTTTGTCTACACGTGTAGTGAGGCATGGTATAAAGATGGTGTATTCTCTATATAAAACCTTTGCAGGTTTGCACTGAAAAGTTTGCGCAAAAAGAAAAGTCTGTTTAAATGGTTGGTAAGCAAACCAAGTCCCGGTCACATTATAGTACTAAAAAAAACTTAGTTAATGCTTTGAATATTCGAGATGTGTCCCTTTTTTCAATTATATAACAAATTCACCTATTGAAACAAGATTTACACCAAGAACAATTGCCGCCATCTCCATAATTGGATTTTTTTCTTTTAGTTCCAAAGTCGTAAATACGGTTCTAACGCTTACATCGTATGATAACCACAAAACAATACTCGACCGATAATACGGTAAATAGTATATAACTGTTTAAATACACATAAAAACTATACAGCTATTCATTGTTGTACAACAGGAGAGCCAAGATTGGTAACATAAAATAAAATAAAATAAAATAAAATAAAATAAAATAAAACAAAACATAGGATTCCGTGTTTTCTTGTCGGCGATTTGGCGTTGACAAAGGTGATTCGCAATGAATCACCTTGGAAAAAGGATGCCACGTAATCTAATATATATATATATATACATACTTCTATTGGGTTGGTTGGATAAATCAATAGGTGTATGTTTAGCATATAAAACAAAGCAAAACAAAAACAAAAGGTTGACCTTAACATCTGATGTAGAAATACTCTTTTGAATTTGCCTCTTCATGTTTATAGAGATAAGACTTTCCAGAGTGGCTGACAAAGAAATACAGCGAAACTGTGGTTTTAGTTATCCAGATATGTTACTTCGACAGAATCCCGTTCTTTCCCGAAGGGAGCATATTTGCCAGACTTCTGGACCTTTGGATTAGTGCTTTTTTCTTTTATAATAAAAAAGTGCGTTTTAATCATTTAGATAATTCAAATTTACAGCTGTATCGTTGGATTTTTTCCCCAAATACATTTGTTTTGTTGCATATACCATTTTGTGCCACAGTTCTTTACTTTTGTGGTCAAAGCGTGTTTGAACAAATTGTATATATATATACAACATCCTGAGTGAGATCTGTTGACTAAGGATTGTTAATTTAATTACAATAATAATAATTGTATAATATAAAGACTTTGACTTGATTTTCATCCAGTTATATTCAAACAATCCCGGAGTTAGATCCTTTCTATACCTCTTTACATAATAAAAATTAATTGTAGAATTTGCTTTCATTAGATTACAAAGTCCCAATAGGATGATCAATTATCACTAAAGTAACATACGGCTGTATATTCGCGATATTTTGTGGGGTAGAATATGTAGTTTACCCGTATATTATCACAAAAATCCATATATTTAGTATCGCTACCCCTGTCGTGCTAGTACCTGTCTTTATTCAAAATCTTAACCCCTACTTAGTACTTGAAATACCAGTAAAGGTACGATAACCAAGGCAAACTTTCGAGCAGAGAATAACACACACACGCACACAAATAATAATAATAATAATAATTGAGCTCCCATTTTTTTTTCAAAGAACTGAAATGAAGTTCATGTACTCAAATCCGGTTATTTCTGGTAGATATCAAAGCTTTTCCGATAATAAAGAAACTTGAATGCATGTAACATTTATCGACCCAGGGATGGAGGTCTTTGGTACTCTCAATTGTTAATTAAACAAAGCGGACAAATAAATTAATAATAATAAATATAAACCCAACCATCATTTTTTTAGTGGACTTTGATACACTTCTTTAAAGTCAAGATTAACCATGATTGGTTTTGTCTTACAATATACAGGTTTCTAAAGTCACTCCTTTGGTTTGCTGAGAATTCAATTTAAACCCTAGCGTATTCTATATAATAATCAATCTACTAGATCTACTAGATCTTTTATACGATTCGTATAACATTCTAGCCAACAAGAATTACATATTTGTAGATCGATCATAATATGATTATATAATAGAAAATCAATGTTGACAAAAAGGCACACAGATAAAAATAGAGTTATAAATATATAAAAGGATCAATTATCCGTAAAAGGACTTGGGATTGGGATTGGTGGCCGCATGTCGATTCAAGAAGTATCTTTTACTAAGAGTATCTTGATCATCGTGTTATTTTACATTATATATATATATATTAGACTTTCTATATTGATTAAACTAATCATCAAATAGTTCTCGAAGTTTCTTTTCTCTGATTTCTTCAGGCGTTTCTACTCGAGTTTGTTGTTTTGGTTGTTGTTTCTTGAGTGCCTGCATAAGCTCTGGTGATGGTGCATTATCCTTCATAGCCGCTAATTTGGCCTTGCTGTATATCTCATTTCTGAGTTCACTCTTCTCAACAGCATCCTTCCATTCTTGCTTGTTGTTCACCCACACCGCTAAACGACGGCCATTCTTGTCATCCAAGGCAGGAGGCATAACTGCGATATTGTTGTAATGGTTCAATAATGTTTTTAGTGTACCCTCTCCCAAATTGTATTTGGCAGAAAGGGCCTTAAGTGTTTCTGGCTTGTCAAACTCGCCAGGCGCTGATCTTTTTCGTGCTTCCATAATAGAGTAAAGATCATCAATATGAATTCGATCAGGCAATTGAGACGGATCGGCAACTCTTTCTTCTGCCTCTTCAATAAGTTGACGCTGGTGAAGGATACCAAGCATCGCATCAGACTAAAACAACAGAATTAAATTCAATTTATTAATTCACTTGCTCTTTTCTATTTCGACTCTTTTTTCTTTCTTTTCTTTGGTAATCTTACAGGGCGCATCTTGGTAAGAGTTGGTTCAATCTTCACAGGACCCAACTTTGTTAAATTCTTATGGAGTAAAGGATCGCGTACTTCTTCTTCAAAGAAATCCTCTTTTAGATCTATGTTAATCTCCAACAATGTTAGTTCCGCGTATGTACAAATTAACAAGTCATCGGTCATCTCATCACCTGTGGTAGCAAGTGGATCCCTGGCTGATGCAAGTGTTGAAGGTGATTCACGTGGTACACTAGTTAATGTTTCTGCTCTAGCATTCTTAGGCAAGCGTCTGCCTACTTCTTTGGATGCCTGGGCTCCCATAATTTTAAAATATTAGTGTTCAAAGTGAATAATAACAATGCAATTAACTCCTGTCACCCCAGATAAAAAAGTCACTTAAAATATTGAGTTATAATGAGAAATGAAAGATTCTGGGTTGAAGTTCTCTAATTATTTAAAAAGGTTATCATTTTTGCTGTATTCAATACAAACCAGCTTGATTTCGTCTTGAATTTATAGCTGTGTCCGTAAAACAAAAGCCAATAAAATCTAGACATGTATATGTGTTTAATACATATACATATATATATATTGCAACTTGAGAAGCTTAGCAATAGGACTCCTTTCATTTCCCACAAGCAAGCTTTCTACGTCCATTGCTTACTATTTCATTCTTTTTTTTTTCTTGAAAAAAACTTGGCGCAAGTAGACCTCTTTATGATACAGAAATTATAAAGTATTGTGCTTTATGGCTGCCTATTAACATACACGACGGGTAATAATACACCAAGTAATGTCTTGAAATTTTTTGATTAATTCCTGTAACTTTAGTAAGACATCAACCAAGTATAAACCGATTGATACAATATATATATATATGTATTAGGAAATGTAATAGATAAATTCTCAGATAGTGTACTTGTTAGTTAATTCAACTATGTAGCCAAGTTATGGCCTCAATTCTTGATTCTGACTTGGCCAGGGTGTGTTGAAGTTTCGTGTACTCCTTTTGTATAGTCTTCGCACCTGGCTTCCCTACAATACCACTTTGACTGATAAAATCGTAGTTGTTTCAACACATTGCCAAACGCAACCCAAGGACCAAGTTTAAGACTATGAGTTATCGTAAACCTTATACATATGTTCCATTAAAGTAAGATTATAAATAAATAGATAAATAGATCGACGGATAGATAAATAGGTAAATAGAGATATAGATATATGTATATAGATAAATAAATAAATAGATAGATGAACAGAGCTTATAATAATAATAATAGTAAAAGAAACAAAAGGAAAAATTCTGGTGAAACTGTTCTTTGGCTGAATACAGACAAGATAAAATAAAAAGGAGAAAACACAGAGAGTTAATAATTTTGATTGTATCAGCATCAAGACTTGGTTCCGAGTGAGAGATAGAGAATGTCTGGCTTTGTAGGACTAATAAGGAGAGACACAAGTCTCTAATGGAATACCCTGTTCTGGCTCTGTTGTGTGGCTCTTGGGTAAATCTTCAGCAATATGGATGCTTTCGGATGAGCTGCTGAGACTATCTCTCCGACTAAGACTGATCGTATCCTCAATTTCAAGACCAAGTTTTGAGTTCCAAATAGTGTGCGCCGGTTCTGAACCACTATGAAACTGTTCTTCTTCCTGCTGTTTTGAAAATGCAACCGCCGGGTGCGAATTTTCAGATATTTTCTCTTCTCTCCTAAAGAATCGAGACTCATGGCGAGTTGAGCTATTAATTGGCAATGCCGTATATTTAAATGGTATCAAGGCAGCTAGTTCATAGCTCAAGCTTGAAGGATCGATGTCGTGAATGTAGGTACAACGAGTACCATACGGACAAGCACCTTCTTCATGATAAGCACGACACAACTGAGTCTTGTAGCGATTGTGTCTTGGAATATCACGAATTTCCTTGTTACCGTGTGCATACTGACATTTTTTGCCGTATCTTGTACGATTGACATTGATGGTTAAGATACGAGCATAAATATGTATTTGTTGTAGATATACCTGCAATATCCAATTTCTGACCAGTTTCTACACACTTCTGTCTTGTAAAGCATTATTTGTTTCCCTTGGCTTGTCACTGGAGATTTTGAGCTATTTGTCTCATTTGTTGCTCGTCTTGTAGATGCTGAGCATGGCTTCTTGTGGCTTTTTTTCGTATTGATTTTTGTGGTTGAAGGCTTTGTGGTTTCTATTTCTTTAGTTTGATTATTTTGTATTTTTAAAGATTCTTTGGTATCAGACGCATGCTGATATGATTGAGTGGTAATCAATAACTTTGAATTCTTATTGCTGTTTTGCATTAGATTGTAAGTTAGAAGAGGAAAGAAAAAGAGAAATCAAAGTAAATTGGTTATAGGTGGATGACGGTGTGATATATCAGACTGTAGACGTGTTCCATTAAATGAATAATAATAGTAGTAATATATATATATATATATATATATACATGAGTGCGATTAAACTATATTGATTCAAGTTCGTCAAGTATATATCAACTAATAAACAGGTCTATCTTTGATAAATATAAATAAATTTTAAAGAATTCAATGACAACAACCAAAAAGTACGTCTAATCTAAATACTCGATCATACTGCAGGTCTGATCTCCTCGTATACAAGTATACCAATCACCTATGCGACACTTGATATCTGTCTTGAGTTTACAAGGACAATTCGACGGCTCACGTACACACTTTAGGGTAGATTCACACAAATATCCATTACAATTTACTAAAAAAAAATACCAGGTTAATAAGAGAAAGAAAAGCCTTGAATTTAAATCTCTTTGCAAAATACTTTAGAATGAGCATTATGTAGCTTACCTAAATCTGACTTTCGCGATGCCGGTGTCTCGGGAAAACCAAATTGTGGGGGAGCTCCTAATGGTACTTCTTGTTGCCCAAACAACATGCTCTTAAAATCAAATGCTTCACATTCCCAGTGAATAAATGTCATCAAAATCAGACACACAAAAAAATAGTGATGATGTTGCATAGTAGAAGGATTGTTGGACTTCTCTGTACGACCAAAGGCTTTAAAAACTGAATGGTCTGTGACTGTGGTAGAAACGAGGATTTGCGGAAAGGGAGGTTTTTTTTTATCCACGGGCCAAATCACAGATAAGCTTAAAAGCCTGATTAATCCAGAATAAGACGATTGTTTGCTAAGAGCTACTCAAACAGTCTTTAACAGCACGATACCCACCTTTCTTTAGCTGTTTCATGTATACTTAATGTCTTGGCAATGGATTCATTATATTTTCTGCAAGATTGGCTACCAAGCTGGAAATAGTTTTTTTCGTATATGTTACATTCTATCGTCAAATTTTACCGTAATACTTGCTCTCTAAAACATTTAGCTGTCATCTTTTTACTTTTTTCATTTCCCGTGTTTTCCTTGATGGTTTTTCGTTCCTGTTAGTTTATAAGAAGGTTTTGATCTTGCTTGTTCAGCTACTGGCCGAAACTTAGTGGGGGAATTTCTTTTATTAAACTTCTTGGTGAACATCTATACAATCCACCATTGAATTCATCTTGCATCATATATCTTCGTTTTTAAATGGTCTCAGTTGTTCTCTCTGTCACTATGAGCTGAACTCTCTTCAACACTTTATCTCTTACTGTCCATGAAAGTTTCAGTTGTGGAGAAAGATCATGGCGACCTCCACCATAGCCTATTCCATTCCGTGTGCTCATTGGGCTACTGTCTTTGACAATACCCCTTCCTTTCTGATATTATCGTAACCAAAGCCGCGACTTCCATCAGTCAAACGCATGTCTTTACTCTTTGCTAAGGTTTTATATTTCATTTCACTTTTTTATACTTGACGTGGACACATTAAAAGTTCAAAAATGTAAGCCGTATTATTGCATGAAAGTTTTAGAATGTTCGGAAATTTTGTACTTCTAAAACGAAATTTGAAAAAAAAAAAAGTTCAAGCGACTTTGACCGGATAGTCTTCTTCCATTGGCACTTGGATTAAGAAGAATATCATTCTTTTGATGGAAGAGATAGTATTATGAGCACTAATTTTATCTAATATGTATTTGAACTTTTTTTTAAAAAAAAAAATGTGGACAATCATAAATTCATCTTATTGGTTAAGCGTATTTTTAAGCTTTTTAGTCTGTCTATACCTTATATTTTTAAGGCTGTGCACTGTATGCACCAGCAGTATCAGTAAAATACAAAAAAAATCTTTATATAAATCCCAAGATTTCTTTATCAAATAGAGAGGGTATTGACTTATGGCAAATTACCTACTACTATATTAGACGAGTCTGTTGCTCTTGGTTTAAATAATTTAAATTTTAGAATATATACTTTTAAATTAACCATAATTTTATGGCACTTTTTCCCAAATTTTCCACAGCAGCCCTCTATTTTTCTAGTGTTTAGTATTTCAGAGAAGACTTGAAAATAATTCTTAAAAAAATCCTTAGCTGAAAGAAAAAGTCGATTAGGTTCATTATTTTCTATAACAAGAATATTCTGTATACAGGATGAGTGCCGAGACTATCTGAATCTAATCCAAAGAAAATAAAATGTACAACAATAAGACTAAATCAAATTCACAATTCCCATGTACCAAAAAAAAATTCTAAAATAAAAGAACCGTGGTTATTATTATTATTAGGGTAAGAAACTATATATGATTTCTATACACTGAAACCCATTATAATTGGTACTCTTTCTTTTTCTTTTCCATTGATTGGTAACACATACATATATTTTGTTTTAACCTTTTTATTATATCAGATAAGGTCTATAATAAACGCACGTACCTATCCAATATAAGTGCTTATGTGTGTACGTGCGTATTTTTCTTTTGGTTTCGCAAATACGCATACAATACATATGATTGTGGATCTTTGGCAAATGGGTTGGGTATTTGGGGGAAAGAATATTATGAATTACATGGTCAATCAATTATTTGCTTCATTAGCTTCAACTTTAGTCAGACTCTCTTTTTCTTCATTTTGCTGCTTTTGCCACATCTCAAAATAGACACCTAATAAATCCAAAGTAATTCCAGGTATTTAGTTTCTCTAGTAAACCTTTCTTTTTTTTTCATTTATAGAACTCCACCCACAGTTAATTTTTTTTTGTGTTTTTTTTTTTACCTTTATTGATCTTTGAGGCTGTCTGCTTGATGAGTTCTTCATGACTTCCTGACTCCACAATCTGACCATCTTTTATGCTATATTATAATAACTTGGACATCAGTAACCAGCAAAAAAGCACCCATATATATATATATATATATATATATATATATGATAATACACTTTTCTTTAAAGGCAAAAAAAAAACTTACACTAGAATTAGATTTGCGTTTACAATTGTCGATAAACGATGAGCAATCACAAGTGTAGTACGATCTTCTGTCATTTTATCCAATGCAATTTGGATCTGCCGTTCTGTAGTACTATGAAATAAGAATTAACGCAATTAACCTTGATAGTTTGTATTCCGTTACATAAATATATATATATATACAAGTATTTTAGCTTAATTCTATTTACTTGTCCAATGCGCTTGTAGCCTCATCCAAAAGGATTACAGATGTATTCTTGAGAATAGTACGTGCAATGGCTACCCTTTGCTGTCCACACAGAAGAAGAAAAAAATAAGCTTTTTTTGTACTTTTTTTTTCACGGCCACACTATATGCGCGCACACACACAATATACATATATACATATATATATATATATTTGTACCTTTTCACCCCCACTCAGCCGAAGACCCCGTTCTCCAACCTTTGTGTTGTATCCTAAAAAAGTAAAATGATAATAAAGTAAAAATATTAGTTACCGATAAAAAACAAAAACACAAACAAACAAACTAACTGACTGACTGACTAACCATCAGGGAAAGACATAATTCTGTCGTGAATTTGAGCAGCTTTAGCCGCATTGATCACCTGTTCTTCCGTTGCTTCCACATCTCCATAACGAATGTTGTACAGGATCGTGTCGTTGAATAGGACGGTGTCTTGAGGAACAACGCCGATTTTATCTCGCAGTGAGTTTTGTTTTACTTTTGAAATGTCTTGTCCGTCGATTAGAATACGTCCAGATGTTGGATCGTAAAATCTGAACAAGAGTCGAAGAAGTGTTGATTTTCTATTTTATTTTTTATTTTTATTTTTTTTAAAAAAAGAAGACCATATTTAAAAGAGGTTATTGCTTTTAATATATATATATGAGAACTTACCCTCCTCCAGATGGTCCTACCAAGGCAGCTGTTGTACCCTTTGGAATCGAAAAAGATATATTTTTCAAGTTAGCTTGGCTAGAATTGTATGAGAAAGAGACGTTATCTAAATATCCAAAAAAAAAAGAACAAACAGTCAATTATAAGAAGAAAAAGACATCAGTTGTGAACCAATTATCATTATTATCATTAGCCAAAATTTACCAAAAATAACATCGCCTTGCTTTATAACAAGCTCTTTTGCATCAGGTACATCTTGAATCGTATTCTTTTCTTCAAAGAGCTCAAGCATCTTTTCCATATCGATAAAGCTCTGTTGAATCATTCTATAATACATTCCAAAAAAGTGTAGCTATTTGTTTGTGATTTAATACACGTCATTATTAGCTTAATGTTTTACTGGATTATGCATGTTAACAAACAAAACAAAAGTCCTTGGCTTACCGGGGTGTATAGCTGCATCATGTATATATTAAAGGCAACAAAGTCTCCTGCTGTCAGCTGTCCACGGGAAACTTCCCATGCAAAAAGCAAGCTACCTGCCAAAAGGCCTGTGGTAATTATTGTATTCTGAGTGAGATTGAGAATATTGAGTGAGATGGAGCACTTCCAATCTGCCTTTTGGTACTCCACAATTGCATTCTTGTATCTCTCAATTTCGTACTCTTCGTTTCCGTAGTATTTCACAGTCTCGAAATTTAACAAGGAGTCAACGGCCTTGGCGCGGGCATCGTTATCAATCATGTTCATCTGGCGCCTAAAGTTGTTGCGCCATTCGGTTAATTTTATGGTAGCATAGAGGTAGAGAACCATGGTGGCTAGTACGATCAGACCAAAAGGAGGTGAGAATCGAGAATAGAACACAAAAACGGCAATGAGAATGTTTGCCAAGGCAGGGAAGACTTGAAAAACTATCTGGTTCAGTAACTGGACAATGCTGCTTGTTCCACGATCCATTACTCGAAGTACTTCGCCTGTCTTGCGGTCGATATGAAATTGAATGGATAGGCTGTGGAGATGACTAAACATTTTGACAGATATATTGCGGGTCGTGTGTTGTGCAATAGGGATCCACAGCCAGTTCTGAATTACTTGGATAAGGCCAGACTATTTTCAAAAGCATTGATTAGAATAATAATATATTGTTATTATTTTGGTGTGTGTATATTTTGTTTCCTCTTTTTATTACCCCTCCTTGCAAGAACTTTAATGCAATAAAGGACAGAACGGTTGCCCATGCAAATTTCCCTTTACATATGAATTGTATTGTAGTGAGTTATTAAACATTAATAGTATTCTTTTTTTTTGTTATTAAGTGTATGTATGTATGTAGAAGTGTAAAAATAAATAGTAGTAATAACAATCAGAAATTTGATATCAGCTATTTATTTATTTATTTATTTATTTATTTTTTTTACCTGGATTGTCCTTCATTCCATCCACTAATTTACCAATCTGAAGAGGTGTAAAGACATTTATGACCAAGCCAATGACCATTAATGCAAAGCACAGCAATACGGTCAACTGCAACTTCAGATTATTCTGCGGCCAGATAAATGGCAAGACTTTTTTCAGTTTGCTAAAGAAATTCGAGACACTACTAATCTTATCAGGTTCTATGGGGTGTCCTTCTAAGTGTGAGCTTGACGTGGATCCATATCCATAGTTTGGATTACGGTCTAAACTTGACAAAAGAGGCTGGGTTTTGCTTTGAGGAAGAGAGCGAGATAAGAAGTGTATGACGGAGAGGATGGCAATGAAGATGATGACTATGTAGCGTACAACAAATACAGCCAATAATGCGCTGTCGAATACGGAGAATATTGTACCTAAATCAAAAATTTGATATATACAACAAGAAAAACACGCACACATTTTTTTTGCATACACACACAGTTGTGTTTGAAAAATAAAGGAAGGGGTAGAATAAACTATCAATGCCTCGATGAAGAAGAAGAAGAAGAAAAGTCTTGATGACATCCACCTCTTGTACTATATCTCATTGTTCTATAGATGTATGTATATATCTATCTTTTTACCTGGTCTAGGATTATGAATGGCTTTGATCCACAATCGGGCAATGTCAGATTCCCAAATCAGAGCAATCATCCAAAACACATAAGGGAGCCAATGCCATTTTGAGAATAGATTAGTCTCATGAATTAAAAGGCCCAGGTTGATTACCCAAGCAAGCCAAGAGCAAGCAATGTAATATGCCAAGATGTTAGACATCCAATAATGATCAACAAATACTCGAATGATCATAATTGCAGTGTCGCCAACAAAACTAATGAGGACAGCAATGCATAATATGATGATCAATTTCGAGAGAGGTGATAATCTACTACTGAGTTCTGATGATGATGTTTGGACTCGATTTATTCCTGGATTGTGGCGAGTCTGTAGATATCGCCCGAGGCCAAACGCAGTAACAAGCGTCAGGAGCACAGTAGGAGAAAGAAAGAAAGGGGAAGACCAGATGAAAATCCCAGAAGAGTAGTATGGTGGAAGTGGATAGAATGTGTCTGGTACACTAAAAAGCTTAGTTGACATGGTCAACGGAAGTTACTAATAGTAGTTACTGAAAGAAAAAATTGTAAAGGAATATTAATGTGAAGCTGCGAATAAATAAAGAGGTAGGTAGATAAGTAAGCTTTTTTTTTTTTTTTTTTACAAAAGAAAAAAAAAACGTAAATATAAAATTTATAAAGAATAGGTGTGTAGTTTTTGCACACATATACACAATCTCTACCTTTAATTAAAGTACAGCGAGGCTACACTCATTAAATATATATACTTGTGTAAAGGAAATGTACACACATAGATAAAGAAGCATAATTTATAATAAATATTGATAAAGAATTGTCTTTTTTTTTATTAATAATAATAAAAGAATGGAGGAAGGATAATATACATTTGATCATGGATTTTTTTTTCTTATTTTTAGCTTTTTGAATTTATACATAATGACAGAAAAATACAGTAATGGCAATGGCTTTGGAGCTGTGAAGGAAGGGAAATATAGATACATACATATGAAAATCAAGGAATGGACAAGAGAAGGTAATTAAATAATGAACAAAGGAACGTTTACTTTGAAAGCAGAAATCAAAATACTAATAAGAATAAGAATAAATAACAGAAGAAAGAAAAGAAAAATAAGGTGTTAGTAATAATCTTCGGCAACAACTGCAGCAGCTGAAGTCATGTCGGCAGGAGGTCTCAGGAATGCATCAAAGTAATTGTTGAGTTTATTAATGTCATTGTGTTCATTAATTTTTACTCGAGTGCCAATGTAACCATCCGGTCGAACAACGACAATTGTCGGCTTTGGAATAGAATAAGCAGTGTGACACTGTTGATCATGGTCAAGATAAACATTTGAAAGACCACAGGGAAATGTGTTGTGCAGCACAGAAGGTGGTGTTTCGGTAAGGAATTTTGAGACTTGGTTTTTTGTGGAGGTTGTTATGTAAATGAAATTGAAAAGCTGGTGGGGTTTGTCTGCTGAGCTATCGTTGTTGATAGTTGAAGTTAGTGATGTCCGAGGTTGTTCAAAAGAAGTAGACCAGGGACCGATCTGTAAAGAAGAGACGGGCGAGAGAAGAGACGAGGTTGGGCTGGTTGGTGGTATTGTTGCTGGCGGCAATGAGTTTGTGACAATACTGGTGATTTTGGAAAGTGATCTTGCGGAACGAGAAGATGTTGATGATCGTTGAGATGATATAGAAGAAAACGATGACCGGCTGTTCTCATTAGAATGTCCAGATTCTACGTCGGATACAGAAGGCGGCGACTGAGGGCTTACGGGTTGCACAGTTGTATTTTCTTCGACTAGAGTTTGGTATACGTGAGGCGAGTTTTCGTAACAGTTAAAGAACGAATTGGGATCATCGATACGGCGTTTCAAGGAACGTAGCATCGAGACATTTTCTTGGTCCGCAAGCGAGCCACAGAAGACAAGGACAGTGAAAGTTACAGGTATTCCTTTGGTAACTATCCGCTCTCGTAACTGATAATTGTTGGTTTTGATACTCTTCCATCTTTCTACTCCACTGCTTGTTGTCATTGGACAGGCTGTCAGGACATCATTTTCATCTGATGGTCGGGATGAACATTTGACGAGCGAGTGGGTACCCATAGCTTTTTTTAGCATGGGACCAACACGATTAAATGACCAAGTAGTAGCTGTTGAAGCGTTAGACTGTGATCTGGAACGTCTCGGTTGCGCTCCAGCAGCAACTGAGACGTCAGCAACTCCTGTTCCTGCAGATGTTGATGCGGATGCGATTAAGCCAGTTGCTGAATTTTTGGTGCTTTCCATCATCTTTGTAGCTTCTGAGGTTTGGGTCTGAGTCTGTGAGAAAAGCTGAAGCAGAGTGTATGGTTTTAGTTTTGCATCTGGAGCGAGTGAGCCAACCGCGCCAGTCTTGGGTTCATTTGAGCCCATTTTTGAGGTAGCCATTGCGAGCATAATGTCCATGATGTCCATGGTGTCTATCGAGGCTGCCCCTAGTGACAGCGTACTTTCAGAACCATGATTAATTAGGTTATGTTCATAAGACGACTCTCCCATTAATTGATTCTCGTTGCGCTGCATTTGGTACGACGCTTCCTGTCTACGTGTCGAATTGAGACCCGAAATGAGACCTGGCATTATGCGGCTGGCAATCAGACTCATGGAGGCATAGCTTGCTTCGACGGTATCGTTGTGTTTTGACTTGAATTCAGAATTAAATGTTTCCAATAGTTCTGGAGAAGCGCGTTTTCGGAGATGTAAGAATAGTTTCCACGATAAATTGGTGGCATGTTCCAACCCAGGGTTTGCAGAGAACAAACAGGGTGGACTGACTTGTTGGGCAGCGCCTCCGAGCAAAAAGTAACGTTGATCAATGCTGACTTCTTCAGATGCCTTGTCACCAGCTGTACATATATAATTATATTTAAATGTTATTACTGTTATAAGATCATATATATATATATGTGTGTGTGTGTGTATTGTATTGTATGGGTATACAAAATAGTTGTGGGAAAATAGACTGACCTCTCCATGAAGAATAAGAATATACATGTCCAAAATCTATCTGATATGGCTCCATGATGGATCGAATGTGTTGTTGTGCCGAGGTAAGTAATGCGTTTTCGTCTATGGGCAGGTGACTCCAACTCTCAAGATGCTCAACTATAAAATACATTCTATCACGGTGGCCTGGGAAATATATAAGTATAATAATCATACATATCGAGTCATAACAGAAGTAGAAGTAGTAGAAGAAGAAGAAATAGGGGGCTAGGTTAGTACTAAAATACGGATGAAACTGGTTGGGTTTCCTTAATAAGCATAAAAGTAGAGACTGAAACCGGAAACAAAGAAATGTATTTGTGTGATTTTTTTTACCTACAACCATGATCATGTATTCGCCCTTGTTTACGGTAGACATTGTTCGTGTCCCAGGGTAGTTTGTTGTTACAGATGCCTCAAGTGTGTAAAATTTCATGTGCAGGTCCTTTCCCCGTTGAGCGAGGCCTGTGAATATCAAAAGATTACAAGAAATCCCATATGTTAATAAATATAAAATCTTAAAAATATTAAAACTTAAAAAAAAAAAAATCCCAGAGAATATTTCTATTTTTGGGAGTCTTTTGTGAAATGGCGCGAATTCTGTGCATAAGAAATGTGGTCCCCAACAGAACAAAAATAAAGAAATAAAAGTGCATCACAGCTGTTTTTGGTAACATTTGGGGGATGATCTCATACCTAGTTTCTGTCTGACAAATCCCTTTGTACCATCTGCACCTATGATTATACGCGATCTCCAGTCGTGGACCTTTCCGGTCTGAACGTCTCTAATTGTCGACATGACTTTTACCACCTCTTCCTCCCTAGAACTTCCAAATGACTGTCTAGACTCATTGGCAAACCCAAAGGATTGTCTTGAAGGATCGATAAATGAGCTATTGAGCGGAGAAGCACTTGTGGTAGTATTGTCGGAGTTCTCGTCTTCAAAATCTACAAGTTCATGGCCGTATTCCACTCGGATACCTTGATCAAGAAGTGTGTTTTGGAGGATTGCACATATCTGAGAGCATTCACACGAGAGACACCAGTCGTATTCGGTTGACGAGTTATCCCAGACGCGATAATTGTAAGGCTCAAATGAAACGGCTGTGCTACCGTGTCCTTTGTTTTTAAAGGCATAAAAGCGCCAATGTTTTACGCCTTGATTTATGATCTGGTTGGCTATACCAAGTGACTGGAATAGCTGAACTGATCGTGGAGACCAGAGAATGGCAGGATTTGTTGTATTGAGGTTGTCTGCTTTGTCTATCATTTTGATGCATAATAAGGTTATTAAATTGGCAAACTTGTGTGTGCGTATGTTTTTTTTTATGTAGCGTTACCGATTATACGAACAGATATACCCATGCGAGATAGGAGGAGAGCGGTGTAGAGACCAACGGGTCCTTATTAACAAAACCAAAGAAAAAGAAAAAGAGAAAGAAAACATGGATCAGTATGGGAGTTGTTTTGTTGGTTGAAAAGGATATCCTACCAGCACCAATGATTAGTACTTCTGATTCTTCCATAGTGAGTGGATGCGAGTGATTCTGTGTGTGTGTTTGTGTTTTTTCTGACACTTGGTGTAAAGTAGAATATGATAAAGAGAAAGAGAGCAAAAAGTGAAAATGCACTCAAAAAAGCTATTTTTTTTTTAAAAAATAAATAAGCGGATAACCAAAAAGAAGTATGGATATGAATAAATGTGGAGTAAGATATATAATATTGGTTCAGGCACACAAAAGTAAAATCATCCCCAAACTAAGCGTAGTAAATTAACGATCTGTAACACACGGATTTAACTAAATACCTTATTTCATTTTTACTGTATACAGACTACACACATTATACACGCTGTATAATTTTGCATGTAGAAAAATATATAAATACCTATATTTATATGCCTTTACATACATATATATATATACATGTGTGCATATGTTCTTTCAATATTTTGGCCTTATAAAATAATAAGTGCATTTCATATAAAAGTAACGGTAGTTCTTTCACACTCCGGGCTAGCAAAGTATCTGTAATATGTTCGTATCCCGTTGTAAACCAATGGAATCTTAAATAATGTTATTTAGTCTTAATTTTATTTATTATTATGTAATAATTGGTGTAGACAGATCAAAAGGTACAAAAACAAAGTTCAAAATGAGCTTAGCCAATCGGACTATCTTGCTACTGTCCGCACATAATGCATAACATTGGCTTCACCAAAATGTTCGTCTCTCTTTACTATAAAATGTCTATGAAAATGTATATATCATTTATGTGCTATCATAAGCTTATATTCGAAACCTATACTTCTCTACATATTTTCACTGTTTGAATAGCGTCAGTCTAGAAGAAAAGATAGGATAAAATAATTGACTACCACTATAATTAAGGTTTGACAAAAAAACTGACAATTTTTAGTCAAATTCGTAGACTAATGGTGTTAGTGTTATGTTGCTTTTCTTTTCCAAGGCACTGGGTTTGTTCTTTAGACCAAAAATTGGAGTACCCAAAGGTCTCTGATAAGATGCGTGTATTAAGGTCAAAGCAGAGTAATGCCTGCTAATAAATACAGACAAAGTAGATTAATAATGATAGCGGCGATAAGCATTCTCTTTTCTCTTTTCTATTATAATAAGAATGATTTTATTATTTCAATTTTCGAATTCACCAAGCAAACGTACCATTTCACAGTCATTTCTCCTGCGAGGAAAGATGGATGTCCAAATTTGGTGATTGTTTTGAGCATAGCCACAAGCATTATACTCCAAAAACAAATATACTGATTCTCTCAATATGCCATTAAAGTTTATCTCTTTGTGTAAAATATCATTATTCTGCCTGTCTCAATCTGTGCGTACTTTTATTTAGAAAACAAAACAAAACAAAACAAAAAGATTCATCATGGAAGAGTGAAATGCCAATAAGATCAATGTTAATGAGTAACTTTTTTTTTCCCAGTCATCAAAGTCTCGAGTTCATTTTATTATCTTTTCTCTCTTTCTTGTAAACCGTGCCCTATGAATAGTGAGTTCATCAGTTCAAACATGTTTATGTAGTCTCATTGTTTTGCTATTTTATCTATTTTAAAGTACACTCTAGAGCTGTGATAGTGCCTCTAGAGAATCCTGCCCAGGCAGCACTTTCTGTTGATCGTTATATAAGCCCAAAAGGACTTCAGGTCTTGGAAGAAGTGAGTGTTTTTATTTGATTGTTATGATGATTGCTTATTGTATTACTATTAGGAATTGAACAGTTTGAACCAATTAAGAGCCAAACGTCGTATTCTCACAACCCAGATTTCTTGTCCCATTATTCCAACCTCGACATATGTACCGTCACAAACTGTACAGAGAGAAAGCCAATGTGATGGAAAGACACCTCAGTTATCTACCCAACCCCAATATGGGAAGAACGCCCAAGCTGTGGCTACAATAGTTGACGATTTCAAGCCATTAGCAAAGAAGGATTCCTTCCCAAAAACTGCGCCTCTAACAATACCTGCGAATATGGCTTGTATAAGTACAGAGGTAAAGGGCAAGAGCAATATTCAGGGCGTAATTTATCAAATTTTATTATTAGTATTTTTTGGCTTACTTACGGTTAATATTATAGACTGAAAATGTCACCGTTGAATCTGTTGTAACAGAAAACGATACGCATCTCAACAAACCTCAAGATGATGCCCCACGATTAATAAAAGATTATAAAACTGAATGCCAGACAGACTACTTTTCTGTAAAGTCAAAAACAGACAAATTAAATGCCCAAGCCAGCATGAGCAGTGGAAAGGTAAGGGATACTTTGCTAATATATTATATTATTTGTAAGAAAAGAAAAACAAAAGGACATCTTTTTTCTCTCTCAGTATAAATATTTTAATGCATAAATTTCTTATTATCATAATTAGAAAGGTACCCCTTTTATTCAGTTGCATCAGCGCTATTCCAGGTCATACCAAGAAAATTGCACCAGTCTATCTCCAAAAACTGGGCGTACTCTTATGGCCAAGGTCAAGTCTTTTGAGAAATCAAATAATATTTCCAAATGTGTTGATGAACAAAAAGAAAAGCCTTCTCCTCCTGTACGCCGTTTTTCAGAAAATGTTATCCAAAGCCAATACAGCCTATTAGCTAGCAAGCTAGAAAATGTTGATAGTGGTTTAAAAGCACCTTGCTCTCCTAGACTAAATAGTAGTGTGAAAGATAAAATATATACCCGATTTGATTACGAGCCAAAGGCAAAGGAGCTGGCCAACAATTTAAACATCCGTACCAAAGGAAAAGTGGTAAGAAAGCAGTAAAAGTAGTGCAATAACTAAATATAATTTTATATTTGTACTGATTTTTATCAATATAGCTGTCTGCTATATCAGTCATCGAGAATTCTCAGAAAATATCCCCTGTATCGAGTTTAGATGGTAAGAGAATTAAAACCATTATTACTTTTTAGTATACAAAATATTCACAAGATGAAAATATTTAGAGTCAATTAAAACGAATGAACGATTCTCGAACTTGAAAGGTAAAAACAGTGCACCATATATTGCACAATACTATGTTTTTATTATTTAAGATTACATTGAATTAACAAAAAATATTATGTTTCTTTTATTTCTCAATTAATATGGAACATTTACAAAGAAGTAAGTTCAAAAGTTTTTCTTTTATTTAATATTCCATCCTCATTCAATTCATAAAAACTAAATTGCAGTTTTTTTGTATGCAGGAAGTTGAATTGAACCAAGATGTTATACCAAGACACGATGTTCCAGTATCGGTCGTAAATAGCTCTGAAAGCACCGCTGAAAAACTAGAGACGCAAGCAGAAAAACCTCATTTACTCGCCAAAGACATTGCCACAAGTGACTGTATCCCGGTATCTTTTGCCATCAACTGTTCTGAAGATAAGACATCTGAAAAATCAGAGGCACAATCAGAACACTTATATTCACCCTACCACACTTCACCTCCGATCTCTCCTCCAAGAACTCCCAGTTTAACGAGTGAAAAGAGCCATGGATCTCTTGAGCGTAAATCAACTTATCTACCCTTACTCTCTCCTCGATTATCTCAAGACAACCCACCCCTTGACACATTCATGTTAGATACCCTTTTTCCTAGTGCTGGTTGCGGAAAGGGTCAACGAAGAGTCTCATTTTCTCCTATTGTTACTACCATCCCTCAATTGACTTCGGGGACAGACTCTGCTTTCAGTAGTGTGAGTAGCGGAAAGAGTATAGAAAATGTAGTTGCTTGCACAACCACTGGAAAGAATAATGAAGATCGACACTCTGTTGAAACTACACGCTCATTCTGGAAAGCATTTTCTACTGAAATGACTTTGGAAAAGGAAACTACTTCCAAGACACAAAAAGTAAGTAAAAAGTAAATTGTAATGTATAGTTTGGCTTTTTTAGTAATAAAACTAAAAACTGTATTTTTTTTATAGTTTATTCCCGGGATTCAAAAGCCTGTAACATTTCAACAGGTTTTTCAACAGCTTGCTCAAATCCCTTCTAAAGCAGCTGCTAAAGAAATAACAACTAAAGAACACAAAAGCAAAATGAACCTCTGGAAGCGTTATCGAAGTGGGGCTGACAAAGGCAGCACACAAAATGAACCACAGCAGGTCAATTTAATGCCCCAACCTCAAGTCAAAATGCCTTCATTGGTACATGTAAGTTTCTTGACACTTTTCTTTCAATTAAGTTGCTTTTCGCTCCTTTTGTACTACAGGTGGATGTCTATATTCTAATCTTACTTGTTAGCGTACCAAAACAAGACCAAAGAAACCCTCTAGCTTCCGCAAGAACCATCGCTTCCATGTGTCCGGCGTGGCAATGCCAGTAGCCGCAGCTCGGCCAGATTGGAGAGAGAAAATAAAGGAAAGCTAATGCCTAGTTTCATTATATGTACATTTCTTATAGGACATACATATATACGTTTTACTTTTTATTTTATTTTTCTTATAAACAAAAGGGATAGAAGGATGTGATTTCTGGATGTTTCTTCTTTCTTTATGTGTTACTTCTCGGTATTCTTATGCTCATTGGTAACATCCTTGACTCCGGGAAGAGTAGAAGGAAGTGGAACATCGCTAAAATCATCTTGCTTTACGGCCATCATAGAGTAGGCGTCTAATAAATACAAGAATAAAGTTAAAATGAAAATAATGGTATCATACCAAGGTCAAAGAGACTTACAGACACTCCCGGTAAAAGTCAAGAGACCAACAAGAGTAAGGACATTGCGCACCTGGAATGGTTTGCGAGTACGCTCGAGGGCAGGCGAGAAACCATAACCTTTGGACTGGGTGTAGAGTTTCTCTCGATTAGGGGTTGTCATTACTTAATGTGTCTTTGATGTCGACTTTCTGATGCGGCAGGAACTCAATACCCCGTCCCTAGTAAGATTGATATCCTAGCTTTGGTGGCTTAGCCAAGTCCATTTTGCTTTACATAGCAATCCGTTTAAGTACGCGCGTAAAACTTGCGCAACTGAATTTAAAGGAAAAAGACGAAGTCAAAGAAGATACAAGCGAATCCTAATGGCATTCACTTTCGGCGCATCAACAGCAACCCCTGCTAATCTTGGGGGTCAACCTGCCACATCTCAGCCAGTCGGTGGAGGTGGATTTACCTTTGGAGCTTCTGCACCTGCGCCTGCTGCTACATCTAGTGCATTTAACTTTGGTGCACCCACTGCATCAGCAGCACCCGCTGCTGGAGGATTTTCATTTGGTGCACCTGCTGCCAGTACCGCACCAATATCCGGAGGATTTTCATTTGGTGCTCCCGCAGCATCAAATGCACCTTCTACTGGAGGATTTACGTTTGGTGCACCTGCTGCTAGTGCTGCACCTGCAACTGGAGGATTCTCATTCAGTGCACCAGCTACATCATCAGCACCAAATGCCGGAGTATTCTCATTTGGCGCACCAGCAACATCAACGGCTCCAACCACTGGATTTGGAATGGGAACAGGAGGCTTGTTCGGCCAAACAAAACCAGCTACTGGCTTTGGATTCAGCAATACAACAGGAGGTTTGTTTGGAGCCACGACAGCTGCAAACGCTCAAGCAAATCGAGATCAACAAATATGGCAACTTTTGGTTCAAGCTGATGAGGCATCACGAAAAGAGCAGTCTGAGAGTTTGCTGTCAACCGAAGGACTTTATCGACCTGAAAACATCTGGCAGAGTCTTGCCTTGCTTCGGTCATGGTGGGATCCACAGTCTCCATTCTGTCGCTTTAAATATTATTTTTACAACAAAGTATCTCCACAAGAAGTTCATCTTTATCAAAGGCCTGCCAATCAAGATCCTCGGGCATGGGCTGCCGCTCAAAAAGCCAATCCAGATCCCACATGGTAAACATTTGTTGGCTCACATCGAGAAGAGAGAGAGAGAGGGAGAGGGAGAGAAATTTGAGAAAGACAGAGAGATCTGATATGTAGTATGATACAGTATGGTCCCAACTCTTGCCGTTGGTTTAGAGGATTTGAAAAAGCGCATTGAAGAACAAGACAAGACAAATGAAGCACATTATCAAAGGCTATCGGTAGGTTTTAGTGTGTGCTTATATATTTAAGCATAAAAAGGTTGGCATGGAAACTCAAAGCTTTGAGCAAACAGGAAGTCGATGAAAAGATTAAGAAGATGGAGCAAAAGATTCTGATGGATATTGCGACCAAGTTAGCCGATAGTAAAAAACGACACAAGGAAATTACACAACGTGTAATAAAGGTAAAAAGAAAAAGAGCAATGTTATAAATTATCTTCGAATTGTATTAACTTGGATTTTTGTCATTCTTTTACTTTATTGAAACAAATAGTTCCTCAAATTTGCCCAAGTACTTCGCCACAAGGGTCTCTCTCTTACTCCTGATGAAGATGCAATGCGTACACATTATGAACATATCCAATATGAGTTGCAAAACTCTGAACAATTCCATGGCAAGCTGAGCCAGTTGTGGGCTCAATTGCAGTTGATTAAAGAGTCTGGTCGCAAGTACGGTAAAGTTGACGGTGTGGATGCATGGGATACAGTGAAAGAAAGTGACATGCAGGCTATTACAAAGGTAAGCAGGCAAGATATTTTATGTAGGTAGGTATTTATTGTGATTTATCTTCTTTTTTTTGCTTTATTATATTATATATATATTTAATGCATATAGTTCTTGGAAGAACAACATCATGGAATTGAGTATACCATTGAGACCCTTCAAAAGGACATTAAAGAGGTCTCCAAACTCGAACATCCAACCCGCCGACTTTAATTATATATATATTTTTTAAGCAGAAATCCATACAGAAACCCCCCTCCAACGTTCTCTAGCTTCTACACATAAACACACTCACACACACATGCAAATACAAACACATAATTTGGATAAATTGAGGATTTACCTTTCTATATATTAAACAGCTAAAGAGTATATATATATATATATATATTTCTCTTTCATTCTCTATTTCTCTCCTTTTCCTTTTCTTTTCCAAATGTCTACAAGTTTTAATATGAAAAAATAAATAGAAGATACAACCAACGTACATATATATATACACAAAAAATATATGCAAATTGCCATATATGCACGCTTATTTGCCCAATCGCTTTCTCAGTGCTCTAGTTCTCTTGAGCAACTTCTTGTGCTTATGCTTGTTCATCTTCAAGCGTCTCTTTCTCAGAACACTGGTGAGTTCAAAAGTCTCCACTACGGGTGCAGGGGGAGGTGAAAAGGGGCGAAGGCGGGAGAGTTGTTCGGACAAAAGAGACATTTTTGGTACAGCTATAAATACATATGTATATATATATATATATGTGCGCATGTATATGTATATATATTGTTGTTGTTGTTTTATGTTTTGGGACGCGTTGAGTAATTAAATATGCAAAACAAGTAAAATAAAATAATAATAAAAAGTGATATTCAAACTTACAGGTACCCAAAGGTAAAAAGCCAAAAGAGGCGGTGTTAACGGTGCTTGAGGTAGAGGCCAGGCGGGTGGCAATGACATTGCCAATGGGTCTTTGGAAAGGAGTGGTCAGCCCACCCATGGCGAGAGATGCCGCTCTGGATGCAAAACGGGCAAGCATGACAGGTATCGTAGAAGTCAGTCTAGACAGGGAGGGGGGGTAGTAGTAAGAAATGGCTAAACAAGTTGGAGTGACTTGTCAAGCCACTGGAAAGTCCGAGTGTGACTTTTGCCAGTCCGGCGGTCGGCCACACACCCCGCAGAGGGCTCCTTTTGCAGACAGTAGCGCCTTCCCAGACCTGACTTCTCTCCCTTTTCCATTGTGATCATCATGGTGAGTGAAGGAGAGAGAGAGAGAAATGAAAACATGATGCTTGCTGGTGGATACATAGATTGATGATGGATCATAAGGATGGATGGATTCACAAACGTCCATAGATTCGATATGAAGACTATTCATATACAATAGATTCTTACAATTGCATTTTTCTTTATTAATATTTTAGTCGCTCGTCGTCCCCGAGAGGAACCAAGTAAGTTTCTTTTTTTTTGAAATTTGCAGAAGCTTTAGATATATAAAAAAAAACCCTCGACTTCGCGCTAAACTGTAGCTCTACTTTTTTTTGTACTCTTTAGTTCCAGCACATCATCCGTCTCCTCAACACTAACGTTGATGGTAAGAACAAGATCGTCACCGCTTTGACCTCCGTCCGTGGTGTAGGTCGTCGTTTTGCCAACATCGCCTGCAAGAAGGCCGATGTGGATCTCAACAAGAGAGCCGGTGAGCTTTCCAACGAAGAGTTGGAGCGCATCGTCACCATTCTCCAGAACCCTGCTCAGTACAAGATCCCCAACTGGTTCCTCAACAGACAGAAGGATATTGTCGATGGCAAGAACTCCCAGGTCATCTCTAACGTCTTGGATACCAAGCTCCGTGATGATCTCGAGCGTCTGAAGAAGATCCGCGCCCATCGTGGTCTCCGTCACTACTGGGGTCTCCGCGTCCGCGGTCAGCACACCAAGACCACTGGTCGTCGTGGCAGAACCGTCGGTGTCTCCAAGAAGAAGTAGTAAGTATAATATGTATTCCTCGTGTTAAGATTTTGCTTTTGTATTTGGTGATGATCTATAGCAAAAACAACCTTATCTACATTGTCTGAAGATAATGAAGTCAACTTTTGTTTCTGAAAATACAAGCAATATCTACTATTTGCTTTGGTTATATATATATCATGTGAATTAACACTTTCGTTTTTTTGCAGAATTTATTTTTCGACGTCGACTTGTTCGTTTATCCAATGGTATTGCTTTTGCTGCCTGGACAACTTGTATCATTGTAGCCTCCCCTTTTTTCATAATAAAAAATACATGGCAGCTCATTCACATTGGCTTTTTTTTCGCATATATACATGTGTGTGTGTGTATTAATATACGTAATTGTATACTTATTTGGTCGAATGCATTGACCTGAATATATTATAATGAGCTATTAAAAACAATTAAGGTGTCCTTTTTCTTTAAATTTTTCCTGGAGTGATTGAAAACTCGTTAGTCGGGTGTGACTGTATTTTGAGAATAGGGTTTCCTCGAAGACTTGCAGAATCTTTAAATTCTTAAATATAAAGATACTTTATGTGACTGTACAAGATACTTGCACTTGTTTACGATGGATGGACCTACGATCCGAGACTACATTGGTAAAATCCTATAGTTGCTAAAAAAAATTAAATGCAAAGAGAAGAAGAAAAAGAAAAAGAAAAACGTTTTACTTAAACTGTGGGTTCTGTTTAGAGGCACGAAAGAAGAATGGAATGACATGGTAAGCATAATAAATTAGCTGGTTTGTGTAGATCTTTTTTTTTCTTGACCTTGTCCACCCCTTGCCCAGGGAAGACTTTCGTAAATTAAAAGAAGAGAAAGAAGGACCGGGAGTTTCAGATGCTGCGATGGCAAAGTATCGGCAACAACTTGATGATGAACGTGAATCAAAGCTTTCAGCTGGAAGAAAACGTGCACGTCAATCGGATAAAAAGAAGAAGAAGTCTTCATCAAAACACAAAAAGAAGCATCATCGCAGTAAAAGTGATGAAGAAGAAGTGTTGAGTGAAGAAGAGAGAGAATCCAAGGTAAATAACTATATGCGATATTAAGCGTGTAAAGAATAATATTATTATTATTATCAAAATAACTGACAATATACTATTAATATTAACCAAATTTTAGCATCATCACCACCATCACCATCGATCTTCCAGAAGACGTAGTCGCTCACCTAGACGTAGTCGTTCACCAAGACGCAATCGCTCACCAAGACGCAGTCGCTCACCAAGACGCAGTCTCTCACCAAGACACAGCCGCTCACCAAGACGTGCTCGTTCTCCTAGACGCAGCCCTTCGCCAAGACGTAGTCCTTCACCAAGACGCAGTGTTTCACCTAGACACAGTCGTTCGCCTAGACGCAGTCTCTCGCCTAGACGCAGTCCCTCGCCAGAACACCATGAAAGGACACGAGAGAATCGTCGATTTTCATCACCTCACGTAAATATTTAATTATTTGAAATTTAAAGCATTGCTATACTAGATATCAAACTCACTCTTAAACCATTTATACTACAGAGTTCGGTAGAGAGAGACACCGAACAGACTTCTATTTAATTGCAATAGGAAAGAATAGATTCATATACACACAAAGAAAGAAAATGGCAACAATGATTCAAAGAAGATGTTTATTTTTAGTCAATTAAAATAAGTAAGAGAAATAAAACAAAACAAAAACAAAACCCAATATATTTATATATAGTATATAAATCTCTTCTTTAACAACAGCTTATATCTTAAGACCATTGTGTAAATTGAAAGCATGAACTTGATGCCTTTATTAAGTCTATCGGGGGTAGTTGGATAAACTAGACTCCCTTTTCCTCCATTTTTTTATGTGCACATTTTACCGGATCATCTCGGTAGCCATTTTACCGCTTCTCTGCACGCGCAGTGGATTACGTGTGTTATTAAATAAATAAATAAAAAAGAGATATTGTAATGAACTTGTAATGAGCATCCGGATCACTTTTTTTTTAATTTGCTTTACTATTTATCAATCCTCCTCAAATGGCAAACTCAAAGTAAGCGTCATTATCGACCTCAGATTAAATAAAAAGTCTAAACTTTTTACATTCCAAAACATGCTAATCTACAATCATTTTCCAAGACATCTTGTACAATGCGTGACTCGGGTTTTGAGCTTAAAGAAACCCATGTTGGGATGTACTTGTGTCCGCAATATGTTTGCTGGACTGAGTACATTATTAAGAGCAGCCGGTAGTTGCGTGGAATGGGACGACCCAACAGTCCAAAACCTCTGTCGTGGACTTGCCGGGTACTATGTAGTGATTCTATCGATTATATTACTAGCAGATGGCTACCTTTTCCTGGTCTTTCTGGGAATCGGCTTTATATGGGGTACAATCTCCAAGAACAATAGCAACCCACCAACATCTCACATAACCGATGCATCGGAGTATCATGTAGAACATCTTGCTGTGGATGAAGTAAGCATAATTAGAATGGAATTTATTTCACAAAAGTAATTAACCTTCCTTTTTTTTCTTCCTTTTTTTGCCATGCTATTCTTCTTTGGTTAGCCATTGTCTGAGGCTGCATTCGTTAACGAGTACAAAACTCTGGAACTTTTCTACCCTCCTCTTACGAATGCATGCACGCAGTTAATTGAATATTTCCTGGAGGAGTTCGTAGTAAGCTGGTGGAAACCCCTCAATGAACATGGCAGCCCAGATTTTCTGGATAGTATACGGGCACGTCTCAATGGATCTGTATCCCGCCTGGAAAAGATGTTAATAAAACAGAAGCGCAATGATTTAGTCATGGCAACGGTATTTGGAGTAGCCAATACACTTATTATCCACATGGTAAGTGAATAAAGATGTGTATGTGTATGTGTTTTTTCTCTCTTTCTCTCTTACACTGGTAATGCTTGGTTTTTATATATAAAACTTCCACTCTCTGGAAACTATAGAGAGAGTGTAAAGCTTACGAAGTTGCAGATGTACCTTTGGATATCTATGTTGAAGAACACCCCCAGTCTCCTTTTGCTCAGCTATTATCAAGGGCTGAGCAGCAAAATCAGATGCGAGCACTCAGCTCCACTATTCTTCGCCGCATGTTACCCAAGACAGATACCGATTCGGGTGTGGTTATGCGCCTCTTGAGAGAGTTGCTTGCGACGCACCTCTTTGGGAATATTTTACATGCGTGTAGCGATCCTGATTTTATAAACAGTTGGATAGTACACTACCTTGCCAAAGACCAGCCCATGGTTGCTACTGAAGACAATACTGATACAGAAGGAGATATATTCAGAGATGTAGTTGAAAAGGCGACTGAGCATGTAATTGCCTCGCAGGCTGCAGATATTGAACCTTCGATTTCTTCCAACATTTCAATTAACACCAATGTGGAAAAGATGATACCAAGACAACTCGTGTATGCTCATGGAACGATCAATTTCAGTGTGATGGACAACTCGCCCGATCAGGGTGACCGGATTGATAAAGAAACCCTGAGTTTTATTATCCAGATTGAACGGCCAGCGATGGAAGAGACGTCTGTATCCGAGGGTGGAGGGTATGTTATTACCCGTACTTATCCAGACTTCGAGGTGTTTCATGCGATCCTTCTGGCAAATAATCCCAAGCGTGTGGCTCGGCTTGGACTGCGTCTCCCATTGGACCGTGCACGTTCCTGGCTAAAGCGAGGGAACCAAGCCTCTGCAGCGGGACCAGTTGATTCGCAGTCCATTGGAGATTCGCTTGAACGGTACCTTCAGCTGGTTGTGGCAGATGATGAGCTTGGGTGTGAGCCTGCTATTGTTGGCTTTTTGGCCAAAGAGAGAGGTGATTCAGAAAGCTCTTTTGCGGATTCGTACGGTGGCAGCAGTAACAATAGCGGTGAAGATTCGGTGGTCAATTCCCCCACAATATCTGTTTCATCGCCCAGCCAACTCAGTGTCAGTCGGGCGATTTCTCGGTTCACTTCCACAAGGTCCAAGCGCAAGATGGGACAGGAAAGCCCGACGCAAGGACCATTAATTCCGAGTGCGACTGTGGAAGAAGAAGTAGTGGCTCCGGTTGTATCGATAGTTCCGACGGGAATAGAAAAAAAGGCCGAGGGGGAGACGCTGTCTCCTGATGATGTTGAGTTATTGATTGAGACGACATTTGCGTTAGTGGTAGAGATGTTTGATTTGACGACGACGAACAACAAGGCTTGGATGCGACGGTCTCTACTGAATCTGATACGTGAAATTGTCCGCCGACTATACACCGAGTTAGTGGCCGAGCAATACAACGACTATATTCAAACCCTGCTGTCGCCGGATGCACTAACACAACAGGTGACAGACCTTGTTCAACGTTTCTGGCCAGATGGACGATGGAGCCCTGGTGGTGCAAGCCGGACAGATGGAGAGATAGAGGCTACAAGACGCCAGGCGCGTACTTTACTTATACAGGATGCTATTCCTAATGCTCTCCGTCAGTTGATTGGTGACCAGAATTGTAGTTTGTCGATGGAACGCGTGTGGCAAAGATTACAAGATCCAGCTCTTAATCGTGTTGTTATTCTTCAGTTGCTCGAGCGTACGCTTAAGCCGATCTTTGGTTAGACAAGAAAAGAAGAGGAAAGACTTTGTGTTGTACATATAATCTAACCATAAAAGTGACATTCGTGTGATGAACGGACGATCGGGAGGGTTCACCACACAAGACTCAACCCAACCAAACCATACCGCACCGCACCGCACCCCAATATACAGGATTTTAACTTCGTTTTCGGACTTTTTTTTAAAAAAAAATTGACTTTCTCTATTATTTATTGGATGAATTCATTTTTAATTTCAGATTTATTCCACTTCCAATTTTGGACCAATTTGTAACATTTTTGGACATACGCATTTCTGATATCAAACGATTCAATTCTTGATCTGGAAATTTTATTGGGCACACTACATCCAAAGCACCCCTTTCATAGAAGATGTTGTTCTGCAACATTCTATATCTCTCAACCACTTAATCATATATTAAGTATTACATCACAGTATATCCTATCTTCCCGCACCCTTTATATAACATGAATTGGTCCCACCATTCCGCGATGTGTGACCGTATGTAAAACATTTTTATGATAAATAAATAATAAAAAAAAAACACAATCCTATGTTACCTGATGTAAAAAACGAGTAATTACTACTTTTAACTGGGAAAAAAACCAAACAGAATGGAATCCGTGCAAAAGAATTATACAACATAGAGGATGTTTACTATGGTAATCCTGAAGGGCATACTTGAGAGAGAAAATCGTGGTTAAAGTGTTTCTTGGTAGATGGTTTAACTGATTCTGCCTTGGATTACTTACCCAACTGTCAAAAACCTTTGAAAAGTTTAAATCACAATAGATGCTCGTAAGTCTCCCACCACCAGAGCGAAGCTTTTACAGAGTATGGTAACCCAACTTGAATTAACGGTCACTTACAAGCAGAGTGCACGCTCCCCCTCTAGTCACTTGTATTTTCCATTACTCGAACGAGATTCAAAAAGCACTGACAACACTCAAGGTAAAGTAAAAAAGGAACACCACATTTTAACTAGACTAAAAATAATGTAATTATTCTTATTTTTTTAGAAGCTCCATCTTTGTATGTTATGGACCACTTCCTCTTTCTTATTATGGATTACCACAATGCTAAGCTTGAACGTTGGCTGATGTTTTTTTTTTCCGCAGGTTTGCTGCTGATTTCAGTTTGTGATTATTTGCCAAAATACCAACAAACCTTGAAAACCTTACAAAACAAAAAAGCCTAAATCATAGAGTACGCAAGGAAGTCTCCTTCTTCTGAAGATCAAAGAACAAGAGTAAGACTGCTCAAACTTATAATCAATAATTTGCGTTGGGATTTTATTGATAAATTCCAAATTCTTGCCTTTCGAAATACCATAAGTCAAATCAAATAGACCTATCGGTTTTGCCTAACAATAGATGATTCTACAACTAATGAAAAGGAATCAAGTGATCATCGCTTTTTCAATCGTCTTCAGCACTATAACTAAATCAGCTGTATCTAATCCGTAGAACAAAAAAACTTGTGGCATCGTTTTTGTGGGAAGGCAATAACATGTTGGAAATCTTTTCTCGGGGTTACTCTTTTTTCTCCTCCAAACTTTCCGGCTTGGCTATTCTGCAACGAAACAAAAATAAGGTTATTCTTTATAGTGATTTATGAAATGGAAATATCAAAAGGCTTGGAAATTTGTATGTTTTTTTATGTTGATTACAACGTAGAAAACGTCAAGAAGTATGAAGAAGTTATTAATAACTTAGGTAATGTTGAGATTTGTTACAACATCGATCCAAAACAACATGTTATAGTCACATTATCAAGTATTCATGAAAGCCGTTATCTATACTATTTGTATCCAACCAACATCCAGCTTACTGGATAATTGACATAAATTTTGAAACTATTATACCAACATTTACAATAAAAACACGTTATTTATTTCAATCGTTGCACTGGTTTGGGTCTACAATCAAATTTTTCAAGTAGTTTTACATCATACAGCAGCGTATTTGAATCATAAATGATTACTTCATTAGAAACAGTAAAATGTTTCTATAGCTACTTTTTTTGATTTAGGGGTTTTGGTCAAGTAACTCTTTTACTTGATGTGATCTGGATGATAACCCAGCAAAATCAAGAGACACCAAGCAGACATTGTGTTTTACGGATTGCAAATACTTGAACATTTATGTATTAAGCTGACGGAATATTGTAAGTAAATCTGCAAGACTATTCTGTACTATCAATATTTGCCTTGCGTATTCCCATCAATATTATCTAATTCATCATAAATTTTGTGGCTTTTACGATCTCGTTCTTGGAATGGTGTTGATGAACGTGAGCAAGTAGAGACATAAACGTGTGTTTCCAGGGAACGAAAACGCAAATTGTTGATCGTGGAGTTAAGAAGTCTCACTCTTGTTTCTTGATCTTCTGGGGAAGGAGACTTTCTTGCGTAACCAATTATTTCAATTTCTTCATTTTGTAATTTTTTAAAGTTTGTTGATAATTGGGCAAATATTCGCATATTGAGGTCAACATGGAATCTACAAAAAAATATTAGCCAACGTTCAAGCTTAGCAGTAGTGTTATATTACCACAATATACGTCTTCCATAACATAAAACTCTCTTCTGCGATTTGGGCTATTCTTTTCTTCTTTAGTCTTTAAAAATGAGGCCTTATTCGTAGAACACCAACGAGCAAATGAAAGCAATGTTTTGTTCTCAAACAATCTGGAAAATTCTTTTACTGTTTGAAGTATTTCTTGAGTTGAAACAAGTTTTTTTTTTTTGAAAAACCTCCCTATTTCCTTGATCTTCGATGCAGTAAACATTATTGACGAATTGAACTACTTGTGCCTCGGTTTCTTAAAAGATTGGTTAGTGTTGATATCACAATTACTTTCTTTTTTTTAAAAAAAAAAACTTACGAAGCTCAAGTATTTTCCTCTTTTGTCCTGCTTCTTCGACTGGAACGACGTCCAGGTATTTACGATATGTTAACTGATCACCCAGTATTCGTTGTTGAGTAACAAGTACAGGTTGATTGGGTGTTACATTGTAACAAATTTCACATCTTGCTTCTTTAGGTCTTTTTTTTTTTGCAAATTTCTATGTTTTCTGGAGTAAATTCCATATAGTAGAACATACAGAGAGCCATGTCTCTAGTAATAGTATTCATATTGTTAAAGAATAATTAAAGACGGTTGAAAGACGGTTCACTGTAAAACTTTACTTAAATAATTAAGATTTTAGTAGTATAATATTGAGATATTAGGGAGGTTTGTGCAATTTTGTTTTACCAATCTCTTTTCCAATGTACTGATATGGACAGAAATGTCTTGCCAATTTTCTGGAGTTTCATTTTGGGAAGCCTTACGGACAGCCTGGCAGGACAGCCTGGACAGTGTGTACCCTAAGTTTAGGGGGGGGGGGGGGGGTATTTCTTGGTGAGGGGCGACATTTTTATTCTACCGGACTACAAATCGTGACCTTTTTGCTGGTATGGAATAAGTCTATCTGGTTCCTAAGAATACATAATATTCCTATAAAGACTTTTTTGTGCTTTTCAAAAAAAAAGAGGCGGGTGGGGGTTACTTACCAGCTGGTGCTGTCGAACTCTGGGAATATGTAGATAAAAGAAAGACAAAGACATGATACGCGTAAACAGGTCAATAAATAGTAAGATATCAAACAAGATTGCGTCAAAATCTAATGACAACAACTCCTTATAGTCCTTTGCATAACTGGCTACCGATATAGTGTATTTGCGATTAATTATTATTTCTTTGTTGTCAAGTCTATATTTAAGACTGTTAATTCAATATACAGAATTTGTTTTTCGTATGAGACAGCATTTTATTATTAAATTGTTCAAATACAGGCTGTGGCTCTTAAAATAATGAAAGTTAGGTGCCTGGCGAGAGATTAATGAATACAAAGTGTAGGGGCAAAGTAGTAAGAGCATCTGCGGCAGTAGCATTTCCATTAGCATTAATTTAAGTGCTCATAAGCCACATCTGAGGTTTAAATCAGTAAAAATATTGAGGGTAAAATATCAGTAGCATAATAAAAAGAAGCATTTAGATAATTATACTATCTGGTATAGTCTTCTTCACTAGTAAAATTCATTATTATTAGATATTTTTCTTTTATATTTAATATAAAAAATACAAGTTAAATGTTCTCGAGACTATCAGCTTTGTAGTGAGCATAATTTTTGCGAGATTTTGTAAGTGCTGCTATATACTATTATTCGATTTAAAGAAAAAAATAACAAAGAAAAACGATTTAAATGCTCGGCAAGTTTTTAAAATGAGCATCTATTTCCATGCTCAAGGTCATAAAAATCACGGAGCATGTAAATACATGCTGTCGGAAATGCTACTGCTGCGGACGATTTTTTTGAAAAGCATTTACAAAAAGCACTTAAATCGGGAAAAACTAAATTTAAATGCTACTGCTGCAGATGCTATAAAACTAATGCGTACAATGAATATATTGTATTTTTTGAGGACACATCATTTTGCCCTGAAGGATTAGATAAAGACGCCGGTCTCCGGACATGTAGTCAGAATTGATTAGTCCGGTTAGATAGAAATATCGTAGCCCACCAGGAAACGTGGTTACCGCAAGATTGCTGCAAAGTCTAACCCTGAACCAAAAAATAATAATACGTATAGCCATTAAACTCCTTATTATGAGTGGTGCCGCATACTTTTAGGCTGGACAGGCTGTCCGTAATGTTTCCCTAAAATAAAAATTAGGGGCTTCTCAAGTACCCGCCAAGGTCCTAAAAGTTGGCGAGTGCTTGAGAAGGCCCTTACAAATTAGTCTGAAATTAAGAATGAATTCGTCCAATAAAAAATAGAGAAAGCCCAATTTTTTTTTTTGAAAAAGTCCGAAAACAAAGTTAAAATCCTGTAATATAATACAATCAGAGCCAGACCAAAAAGAAAACACACCACTCCAGCACAACATCATTACAGTATCAGACTATCAGATTATCAGACAAGAGAGTCTAGGAGGCTAAAATAAAAAATAAAAAAATAAAGTGAACAAGAAATATTATTTGAAGTCTCTTCTTCTTCTTCTTCTTCTCTTAGCTGTGTGTGTGTGTGTATCTAAAAGAAGAAAGGCAGTACCTTTGCTTTGTTCCAATAGAGTCCATTAACTGACTCTAATCAAGTAGAACCAAGAAGAATAAATGTATTATTATTATTGTTATTTTTATTTTTTGGAAAAGAAGATGTGTGACTGTTTGGCTTTTAAGTAAAATGTATGTAACACATGTGTTCTTTAAGGTCTTCTTTGGGAACAGACAAGGTTCTAGAGTGTAAAGATGTTGAAGATTATTGGAGTAAACTTAATTTTGGATTGTTAAACTGATAAAAATATCCAGATTTATTCTTTAATAATGTATAGACGGAACGAATGCGCTTAATACATAGTTGCTTTAAGCTGATGAGGTTGTACTTTGGACAAGACTTTAATAGAAAAGAAAAAAATAGAATATCCGTATTTCTATATTATCATTATTAAAACGAATTTTAGATGCTTAGTTCAATAATAAGCTTGGCTTGATTTAGGAAACCCAAAATGGAGTAAGAGGAATACAAGAAAATTATATGAGCTGAAATCACGCAATGATTTATTTATTTATTGTTGTTGTTGTTGTTGTTGTTGTTGCTATGATATATATATTATGAAAATGCTTAAATAACTATCTTGCATATCCTTCGGCTGTTTCACTAAAATAATCATCTATACATGATCTTTTGACTGATGTTTTATAGATGAATCTTCATAAGCATAAACCCATTTTTTTACATGGATATCTTATTAATGTACATGTGTGTGTTTGTGTGTAATGGCACTAGTTTTTGTCAGTGTTATTTATCGGATTTTCTTCAAAGCAACCCTAATTATTCTTGTGTCCTTGTGTTTTTGTGCTTCTGTTCAGAGCACCAATGCTTTCTGGCTGTGGGCTTTAAGGTCTATAATTTACATCGTGCAGATCGATATTTTCTTATTAGAAAAATGAGCTTGTTTCTGATGTCCGGATAAAGTACTATTTTTATTTTTATTTTTTATTTCTTTTGGTAGCGGCAATAATTCCGGTGTCCGGCTAGGTATACATCTTGCTATGGTCCCTGAATACAGAATAAATTGTGTTATATAAATATATTAATGCAGCACCAGGCCCTCTTATTTTAATTCTTAATGAAGAACACCATGTAGACACCATACTTACTTCGTCCTACTCCAAGACGGGACATCTTCCGATCTTAAAATTTATCCTTCTCTTATAAATATATTCCTTGCTTAGTTCAATAGTCATTTATACTCTTTTAAATACAATTAATTGTTTAATTAATTATTTTATTATTTAATTAATTACCACAATACACGCATATATCTTATAATTTTACTTGATATTATTTTTATAAAATATTTACATTTAATTTATATATATTTATTTAGCTAGCAATTTTTTTTTTGAGAATTAGGGTGGCCGGATCTTCCTTCCGGACGGGTGCAAGGCTGTATAGTATGACAGATTATGTGGGTCTAGGTGATTGTGACAGGTCTGATGGGTAGGACAAACCTGATGTTTTTTTTTTTTTTTTTTTTTTGGTCCGGCTGGATCTGTAACAATGGGACGAGTCTTTAATTTTATATATAGAATATATATTAAAAAAAAAAGTGCTATATGTGTGCGTGTGTGTCTGTGGGCAGGCTAGATAGTGGTCCTTACACCCTTAGGCTTATACATTGGCTTCATGAGGAAGCCGTGCGTCATATATCTTTGCTCAGGTCTCCTGAAACGCTTCACTCGGCTATTCCGTTCATCTTCTTTTAAACGGCGATCATTACCCACGCACACAAGCTTTCTCTTATCCAACCCCCCCTTTCTCCTTTTCTATTTTATATACAAGGTTTATAGACGTCAGTTATTTAATAGTCTCTTGCCTATAAATCAACTTGCTCCCTCTCTTTCGCTTCCATTTCCTCTTTTGTTTCTTCTTGTTTTATATATAATCTGTACATAAGCTTTTTTTTTCTAATAAAGAAATACTAAAAATCATAAAAATCATAATCACTAATGTCCTCTACTGCCGTGAGGTAAATATTTTACCTAATAGTTACTTTGAGTATCAGTATCTAAATATCATTCGTTATGTTTTGTTTTGTTTTGTTTCAATTTTATAGAGTGGCCCTGCGTATCAGGCCTTTGACCCAAAAAGAACACCTCTCGAATTGCACCGAATGTATTGTAGTATCGCCGGACCAACCAGAGATCCGGATCGGAAATGATCACATGTTCACCTACGATTATGTGTTCGATAATCACTCTGAACAAGCAAATGTTTATTTGAAAAGCGTCCAGCCTCTAGTAGAGAAATATGTAGACGGGTAAGGGATAAAGAAGAGGCCAAGAAGTAAAAGGAAACTTGTTAATAACCAATATTCTTTCTTTCTTTCTTTATCTATTTTACTATCGTCTGCTATCCTTTTAGATTCAATGCAACTATTCTCGCCTATGGGTAAATATAACAAAGCTTTATTTTATATTTTATATTTTATATTTTTTTTTGCTATCCTCACCAAAAGAAGAAAACAACCAAGGGCAATATCTTATCTAACAGCAAATACAGTCAAACAGGCTCAGGGAAAACCTTTAGTATGGGCACTGCTCTTGACGAACATACGACACCACAAAACCTCGGTAATATATTATTTATTTATTTATTTATTAATATTTTATTTTATTTTATTTTATTTTATTTTATTTACAGAAATCTATTTTCAGAATTTTTAATATCTACCTTCACCATATTCTCCCTCATCTAACACACTCCACTCTTCTTCCAGGAATCGTTCCACGTTTCATTGACGATCTGTTCAGTCGTTTGGCCGATAAGCAGCAGCAGTCGCCAGATTTCAGCTCTACTGTCCTTGTTTCTTTTCTAGAACTCTACAACGAAGATTTTGTTGACCTACTCAACGCCCAGACATTTCACCAGTCTCGGAAACGCACACCTTCTGCTGTAAGCGAAGTATCGATCCGAGAAGATGTTCATGGCAATCTCTATTGGAGTGGTGTCCGGGAAGAAGTCTGCACCAATCCTGACCAATTACTCGAACATCTCACCAAAGGGTCTTTGTGTCGCACTACTGGTTCAACAGACATGAACTCTGTGTCATCTAGATCACACGCCATATTCTCGGTTATCCTTAAACAGCAAATTCCAGAAGAAGAACCAACCGGTGCTTCTGGGCAACGTTCAACACGTACTATTGTCAGCAAATTCCATTTTGTCGATCTGGCTGGTTCAGAAAGGGTAAAGCCGACCCGATCCTATTTCTTTTCTTTTTACTCTTTCTTTCCCCCACACTATATCATTATCTCACGCTTGTCATTTTTTTTTTTTTTTTTGGTGTAGCTCAAGCGAACAAATGCACAAGGTGATCGTGCTCGAGAAGGAATTGCCATCAATGCAGGTCTTCTTGCTTTAGGAAATGTCATTAGTGCCCTTGGCGACGAGTCACGGAAATCAACTCACATCCCTTATCGCGATTCTAAACTCACTCGACTTCTTCAAGACAGTCTGGGCGGTAACTCACAAACCCTAATGATGGCTTGTGTGTCTCCATCGGATTCCAATTTCATGGAAACACTGAGTACACTCAAGTATGCAAACCGTGCGAGGAACATTAAGAACCGGGTCAGTCAGAACCAGGAGTTCGCCGGTGCTTCTGTCGAGGTCAGCAAACTGCGGGCGCAGATTGCTAAACTTAAACAAGAGGTCACCGCCCTCAGAGCATCTAATCCCTTACACTCCACTCTCCTGACCGCCATAAGCACCGAAGGCGACGTGCGTGGTTTGCGCGATGAAGTCAATCGGCTACGGAGCCGTGTCCAAGAAGTCTCCGATGAACTGTGCCAAACAACAACCGAACGAGACACCCTGCTGCTCGAGCGGGAGCTAACTACCATGCCACCCAATGAGATGCAGGCTCTTTTGGACAAACTTAATGAGCCGTCCAACGATATCTTATCACCAGACTACACCCACAAGTCCAACGACCCGTCCCAGACAGCAGCACCCTCAAGGTCTCCTCCCACTATACCTCTTATCGGACAGTATCAAAAGACCATTCAGGATCTACGTAATGAACTTGCCGATACTCGAGAACGTCTTGCATTTGTGGAATCGGCCAGGGCACCAATGATGCAAGCTCTGGCATTGGCAGGCCGAATGACACCTGTAATTCAACTCAGCCAGAGTGTCCGCCGTACACCTGCTCCTACTCCGACACCCCAAATGTCACAACGTCGTCGTACAGTCGTTAGCAGCCGCAGACGGCGCAACGGAGGAAGCACAACAACCCGTAACATTGCGTTCAGACCAGTGCCCGTGCGCCACTCAGACGTACCTATGCCCCCTCAACAGGCATCAAAGCTGATGAAAGAAAGCGAGAGTGAAGACATTGAAGAATGGCTCAATAAGATCATTGGCACCTTTCATTTCTCAGCATCATCCGATCCACGAACTGACGCTCGATCGACAATCGATAAGGCCAGACTCGACATTCAAAAGGGTCAGAAAATGTTGGAACAAGTCATTGTAAGTAAAGAATATACATTTTTCTATATAGAGAGAATATAATATGTTGCTCAAATTCGTTTATTATTTCTTATATATATTTTTTATATACTATAAAAAAAATAGACTCCTAAAGATATCAAGCCAGTTCAGCCAATACAAGTAGCACCATTGGCGGCCACTCAACCATTAACTACACAATTGGCCGCACCTATGCCACCAAGTGCTTTGGCAGATGTTAGGAACAACCCGTCACCCATGTGCGATCTGATGGCCGATAATGAGCTGTTCGAAAGACTAGAGAACGAAGATAGCATGATCGGCTTTGAACTCGAAAATGGAATGAGTCCACTTGAGAAAATGGTGAGATATCACTTATGTTATTTTACTATCATGTGTTGATTTGGTTCAAGTTTACTAAATATCTCAAAGCAAGAAACATTGGAATGGCAGGCTAATCTGGCGGACTCACAGGACCAACAGCTCAAGGAGAGGCAAGAGATTCAGCAACAACAACAATATCAACTGCACATGCAGCAGCACCAGCAGGCCATGACCCGTGCTCAGGGTTACATGCATTCACGCATGTCTTCATGGGACACCAGCTTCAGTGTCGATTCAGATATGGTCAACTATGGAAATGCTGAGGGCAATGGCAACAATGAAAGTCAAAGTGGTCTTAACAATCAACTTTACCGCATGGTGAATCAGATCCAATCCGATATCCGAATCAAAGAAGACCTGGTGGCTCAGCTCGAGAAAAGTGAGGCTGAATACGAGTATTTGCGTCGAAAGTTCGAGCAGAAATTTTACTCCCTGCGGGAAGAATTGATTCAAATCAAGCGTGAGCGGGATCAAGCCTTGCGCCAGCCAATCAACACAAACAATAACGGACAGACAAAAGAGTCCCCGGTATTGAGCCTTGAGAGACAACAACAGCTAGAGGATGTACGAGCTGCATATGAAAAGAAGACCCAAAAGCTCAAGGTCGAATATGAAAACCTGAAAAGAAAGTTTGCCCAGACAACAACAACAATTCAAGAAGTTCGCAACAAAAACGAAAGTGCATTACGGACGCTAAAGGCTCATGTTGAAGCTCTCAAGGTTGAAAAGAAGAGGATGATTCAACGCATGAAGGAAGATGCCGAGCGCAACAAAGAGCAGACCGGTGCCCACGACCGTGAGGTACAACAGTTGCGTCGTAAGCAGGCTAGAGATGCAGATGCCAAACGTCAGCTAGAGCGAGAGAACCAGAAGATGCAAAGTGTTCTCAAGAAACGTGCGGACGAGGCATTGATGACCAACGACAAACTCAGCCAGCTTGTACAGATCCTCAAAAAAGCTGTACGTGAAGGTGGTGTTTTGGACGAGAGGCTGCTCACAAAGTGTGCCAAGCTCCTGAACATAAGCAGTGCCATGATTGCCTCTTCCACCGGTCGCTTGTCGCAACATCGCCGTACTCGCAAATCTGCTCCTCGTCTTCCATTGGAAGTCCGATCGGCTAAGAAAAAAGATCTTCTGGACCGTGCCTTGTTCCAGTTTATCCAAAGTAAACAGTCTGTAATGGAGATGCACCAGCTTATGTCTAAGCGCAACGAGTTAGCAGAAGAGCGCGCTAAGATTATGGCTGACCAGAACCAGCCTGGGTCTACTTCAATGGAGGGAATGCAACAATTCATGGAAGAACGCCTTGAGACGATTATGGCCGAAATTTCATATTTGAATGCCCGCATACACACCCTTCAAAATGATGCAGCATACGAAATCATGCAAGCGGAAGCCGATGAAGAAGATATGGTCCATGTAGATGAGAACGAGATAGATGCCTGTGAAGAGGACCAGAGCAATACTGCAACCCGCCAGGAGAAACGAGTCACATTTGCTGACGAAGTTATGGGATTAGTAACAGCAAAAACCAACAACAACGGGGTGCGTTTCATAGAAGAACCCGCGGATGATGGGTGGCTTGACGTTGATGCTCTAGAAGAGCGCTACAGTCTACCTGTTAGTGCAGATCCGGAAGCCGCACACGATATGGCAGTACGCCTACTACATTCCCTTGATGCTGAGGAATCTGAGCGAATGATGGAATGTCTGATTGACGATGTTGTGGCCCTTCGTATGGGTGAGTACAGTCGCCAGATGACAGTTCAGCAATTGGAAAAGACAGTCCAAGACCTGAGACGTGCCTTGGTTGTGATGAAAAAGACAGCCAACAAGACGACAAAGGAGTGCGAGAAAAAGATCAAGAAGCTTCAGAACACTGCTACAGGCAGTCGCCAATCTTCATTTAGCTTTGCCTCTTCCCGTGTGAGTGCGTATGCCAGTGATGACCTTAATGATGATGACTCTGGAATTGATCTTGGAGTTGAAGACGCATACCCTCCACCTGATACCATCTTTGATCGGATCTACAACCAAGGTATTCGAGGTAACCTTATGTCGCCTACTGCTTGGGGAGAATACAACACAAGAGCAGAATCACCTAGTGCGACTACATTTGATGCGATGATGATGAAGCCGACTCACAGCACGCAACATCCAACAGACCAAAGACCATCTCCTCCTGCCTCCAACGTGTCTGGCAGTCAGTCACTCGGCGTAATGGCCCCTATTAAGCCCTCCCACTCTCCTCTGGCTAGACGCCGGGATTCAATGAATTCTCCTGAGCGCTTTTTGCAGCTTATGCAAACAACTCTTGTAGCAACTACAGAGCAGCAGTCCCAAGCCAGTCAGCGTGTAGAGTCCCGCCCGGGGCCTTGCATAATGCGCCAAACAGATTTCGTCCGTTATCAAGTCGATCGAGACTCATCGACATCTTCCATTAAGAGTCGACACGTTCGTCGATCATCTGTTCAATCTGACACCATTTCATGGTCATCATTTGGTTCGAGCGGTAATGGTGGAGGGGGGGCTGTCGGTGGCATAGGTCAAGCACCGATTATGACGACAGCTACTGTTTCAAGTCCAAAGGCACCCTTCCCCCCAGCACCTCTAGCGCGTTCAAGTCTTATCAACCGCCGGAGGGCTAATTCTTGCCAACAGTTGCCATCGCTTCAGCGACAGCTATCGTTGAGGGAACTTAGCTTAGGTAATGCAGCAGGGGTCAATGGGACTGTGGTGGGACGTACAATGGCCGCGAATAACGGTGGAGGAAGCTTGGACTATCTGACCAATAGTGGAGGGTGTCATCAGCCGTCACCTCTTCAGCAACAGTTTGGAGTTGGTAGGGACTCACCAGTCTACCCTCCTCTAGATTCGCCAGTGTACACGGCACCTAGCACACCACGACCTGGTTCCTCATTATTCTCTGGGCCAGCAGTAACTGGAGGCAACATGGGTCATGCACGCCGCTCTAGTGCCGGTGTTCCTTTCCATCAGCAACCGATACAGGAAGCAATGGCAGATCGGTCATTTGAACTCAGGCGAGCAGAGACGCCTTCAGTTTTCGACCGCCTTGCGTCTGGGCATACTCGCGCATCTCGAGCGAAGAGATCCCCATCCTCTGCGTCTTTCCATAGACACTCTGCCGGTAGCTATGAAGAGCTTCATCGACGTTCGGAACTAGACCAACTTGCAGACATGTCATGATTGACCGGAATTTTGTAGTATATCATTTTTATTTATTATTTTTTGTGTTAATTTTTTGTACCCTTGGCTAACATTTCACACTTGACAAAAGCTTTAAAAAAAAATCAAAAGCTCAAACTTTGTACCTGCTATTATTCATTTTTTTTAATTAAAAAGTTATTATTTAAACGACAACATTTGTATTTGATATCTTCGATTTTAACGTGGCAAAGGATTGTTTATTTGATTTGATTTAATTTTTGACAAGGGCTGTAAAGCTTCTAGGACTTGGGGTGTTAACGGAAGACGTTTAGAAAAAAAAATGTAAACGAGATCGAGAATTACGGTTAAGGACATTGAAATGCAGATGTCAAAATTTATGATGACAGCTCTTTTACCTGGTTTTGGTATATGACGCTATTTCAAAAAAAAACACAATGCATAAAAGCAACATATATATATATAATTTTTTTTTATTTTATTTGATGTATTCTGGCCAATGGTATATATGAAAATTGAATCTACGAATTTGCTGTATACACGACGACAAATCAAGAAAATGTCTGTTTGAATGATTATTTGTATGTGAGTGTATTTGCTGTATTCTTTTTTGATTGTTTATGAAAAAGAAAGCAAGTGAGTGAATAGAGAGGAACAGAGGTTTAGATCACCAATGCCCTGTTCAGGTCCAAGTTTACCTAATATTCTACCTATCTATTTTTATTTAAAAGCGCCTACAACAGAATACTAGCAAAAAGAACCAGGGAATAGAAGACGATTTGCAGAGTGTGTGATCTTTGGCTGAGGATGAGTATGTATGGTTATGTTTATCGGTGATCGCCTTTTGAACTGGTTACTTCATTATGCTTTAACATGCTTTACACGTCTATGTTCAACATCTCCCGCCCTGAAACCAGGCGTCATCATCAATTGGTTTTTTTCTTTGCTCCTCATTCTGGGATGATCCCACAAGAAGACCCTTGCAATAGAGGGTGGAATGATCGAGCGACCTCAGGTGGCCAATAGAATTCTTGAGACGAGATAAACCTTTGCACAGTATAACGAAAAGATGATGTAAATTCAATGGATCAGAAAGAAGATAGGCTCAGAAAGAAAGTCATTTTGACAGTTAATTTCCGCCAAGTGATGTCGAGCCATTTTCCAAGGGTATCCTATCGATCAAGGCAGTCTTTTTTTTTATTATTTGGGGTGTTTTTTTTTCTGGGATTTCGTCTATAAAAGAGAATCTTTCCGAGCGCTTCATTTTTTCCCTTCATCTTTCTATCTTTTTTCTTGCTTATTGCATCTATTACTCTTTTTTATATACTTATTACTCTCAAGTTCACCAACATGCCCGCCAAGAAGAAGACTGCCCGTTCCCCTCCCAAGACTTTCCGCTGTGAAACCATCGAGGGCTGTGACATGGTCTTTACTCGCTCAGAACATCTTGCTCGTCATATTAGGTATGTAATTCAAACTAGTTATTTTTTGTTTCTATTTGAATTAGTTCAGGCACTTACATACTGCATACATTTTTGTCCCAACAGAAAACATACTGGTGATGTAAGTTCAAAGTGTCACTGAAAGTGACAGACCAGATCAGACCAGATCAGATCAGATTTACTCACTCGATTTTTTTTAAACAATAGAAACCTTATTCCTGCCCTTTCCCTACTTGTGGACGCAATTTCAGTCGTTATGACAACATGATGCAGCATCAACAAACCCACTTCCGTACCAAGAAGCCTGCTGCCCCAAGGAAGCCTACTGCTGCTGCCAGAAAGCGTGCCGCTGCCGCTGCCAAGAAAGCCCAGGCTGCTCTTGAGGCCCAACAGAAGAAAGAGGCTGATGCTGCCGCTGCCGCTGATGCTGATGCTGATGCTGATGCTACTTGTTCTTGCACTGATGAGGCTTCTCCTCCTCCTCCTTCTGCTCTTCCTGCTGGTCCTGATCCCTATTACATGGGTCCCAATGAGCATTGCCACCCTCTCTACCATCCTATGAGTGGTCCTAATCGCATTCTCCCTCCCATCCACCATATCCTCGGGTATCACGAGTATATCTACCCCAGCCGCCAGATTCCGGTCTTCCATCCCTCTGGAGACCCTTATTATCTCCACGGTGGTTTGCCTTCTCTGGCCAGCTTGTTCCCCAGACCAATCACCCACCAGCGTCCTTACTGGGTCGAGAGCTCTGCCCCTCCCCATGAGCATTTGCTCGGCTATGACCGCCGCTACTCCCAACCCGAGTTGTACAGCCGCAGAATGAGCTGGCAGTACACTCCCGACCGTCGGTCATCAGCCTACTCTTTCCAATCCTCTGCCTTGGGCCAGCTTCCCTTGGGTCGCCGTCTTTCCTCTAATGATCTCTCAAAGCCCATTGTCTCTCTCTCTGTCGCCTTGATGGGAGATGCCTGCCTCTCCGAGGAGGAGGAAGAACCCGCCACCAATGGCGAGGTCGTTGTCTCTACTGACGAGTACCAGGCTCTTGAAGGAATGAGCAGACTTTCTGTATCCCAACCCGTTCATTCCTAAGACACAAGTCTTTAAATATTATTATTTCTTTATTTATTTATTTTTAAAGACAAAAACCAAAATGTACTTTTCTAAGATCTACTTTGTATACAATTTTAATTAATATATTAATACTTTATCTACTTTTACTTTTACTATTACTATTACTATTAATTCTAATAATGATAATAAAAATTCAAGTCACCAACGTATCACCTTTGACCCTTAATAAAGTATTTATTTATTTATTTATTTATTTATTTATTTATTTTTACTTTATATTTTTATGCATATACATTTATGCATATATATATATACTTCTCTAAACCATTTTACGTTTATATTTATTTATTGTTCATATTATTAAAGAAGTCCATACTACCTTTAAAACCCCTCTCCCCCGTATACAATTGGCAAAGTCATTTCAATTCAATTCAATTCTTACACAAAAAAAACAAGTACACTTGTAAGTATAATTTATTCAAACATTTTGTTCACTTTCTCCAGAACCTCCTCGTCTGACAACCCCAGACTCTTCCACATCTGAGCATTAATTTCTTTGTACACAGTTTCCTGAATTTTCAGTCTTTTCTTTTCAGCAGCCAGTCTTTCCTCTTCACTCTCCAACTGGGCCTGTCTTGTCGTCTTCTCTGCCCGAAGCTTATCCTGTCTACGCGCTTCCTCAGCCTTGGCCTGTTCTTCTCTACGTGCCCTATCAGTTCTATTCTTTTCCTGTTTACGCGCTTCATCAAACGCGGCCCTTTCCCTCGTGCGTGCCTCTTCAGCTCTGTTCTTTTCTCTCGCACGTTCTTCCTCAGCCCGGATCTTTTCTTTCCGGTGTGCCTCGTCAGCCTCAATTCGCTGCTGAATCTGGAGCGCCATGGCTCTTTGCATTTCTTCTGTACGTTTTATCATATCAGTCACGTCATTTGCGGCATTAGTACGAGCTATTTTGTTGGGATGACCGGGTTCAATAATAGGGGCAGCAGGAGTAGCAGCAGAAATAGGAATAGCCGGAAGGATCCGTCTCAGAGGAAGGCCTTTTAACCCCCTCTTTTTCGGAATCATCAGAGTGCTTTTAGAGACAGGCTCTTTCTTTTCTGAGATTGGTGCAGGTTTACGAGGAAGTAAGGCGCGTGCTGGTTTGGGTGGTTCAACAGAAGGCAAAGGGAGTGCATACATAAGTGATCGTCTATCGGACATGACTGCCTCGAGGTCATAGTAATAAGGAAACTTTGCCTTCATTTTTGCTGTTGGGTGAAGACATTAGGGTAGGGTACGATTATGATCTGTTAGTAGGTTCACCTTCTTTCTTTTTTGGTTTTGTTTTGTTTTAATCATTTATATATATATACATGTATGTGTATAGTCAGCAAGCCTTTATATACCTTTTATGGTGGTTACGGGTCCCCCTCTCTTGGTCAAGCCATCATACTTTGGATCGCCCATTATTCCCTGCCCTGGTTCGTTAAGGAATCGTTTGGCCTCTCGGAATTTTTTCTGCAAATCCTTTATGTTTGCTCGGATGTCCTTGGACTTGTGCTCTGGTAATCCGTGTTTTGCCATCTCCTGTCTGATTTCCGAGCAAAGGGACTCTTTTGAGATACCCTGTTGTTCGCCTACTGCCCATCGACTATAGTTGGTTTCGTCAGAGAGCCAGTCTACAAGAATATGTATAGAACCCGGGCCACCGTTTACACCATCCTTTTCCCAGTCTTTCACGGGCGTGGCTTTTGATGCTGAGGTGGATGTGGACGTGGATGTAGTTTTGGGTAATGTAGATGTGGATGCAGATGTGGATGCGTGTGTGGATGTAGATGCGGCAGTGGTAGTTCGTGCGGTGGTTGAAGTTGAGGTGAATGTGGAGGTGGTAGTGGTAGTGGTAATAGGTGTGGATTTGGATTTGGATATGGGTATGGACTTGGGTTTGGCTTTGGATTTGGTTTTGGTTTTGGTTTTATCTGCGTATTGTTGTATTAGCTTGTATTATGATGATTGTTTTACAAGAAGAAGAAGAAGAAGAAGATAGATATTATTGTATTGTTGTTTTTATTTTTATTTTTTGTTTTTTTTTATGTAGCGAAAGACACATACTTTTTTGAGAGACCATTATTTTATTTTATATTTTATTTTATATTTTTGAAAGAAAAAGAAAGGTAACGTTTTACAACCTTGGCCCTGTTAATTGTTTTTTTTTTCTTTATTATTATTGGTTATTTTAACGAATAAAGAAGTCCCATATATAGGCTGTGATTATCCATTTGACTTTTAAAACTAATTGAGCAAATGGCCCAATCCTTTTTTGTTACTGAATTACAATTACAATTTTTTATATATATATACAGGTTATAAATGAATTAAGATATGTAACTGAAAAATGCAAAATTATGAAAATAATAATAAAAGCCACTTTTGTATATCTTTATAATATACAGATTTCAACCTTTCGTGTTTACGATATTTTCAAAAGCCTTGTTTGTTATTATCCTTTAATTTAGGATCCAAATACAAACAAAAATCGAGTCAAGGATTATTAATAAAAGAGAGGTACAGTCTGTATTGGTATCATTGTTCATAATTTCACTAGATAAAACATATGAAATCTGCTTGTTTGGATATCTAACAATACAATTGCTGGAGATAAAGAAGAGAGACACTTCTTTGTTACTGTTGTTTGGAATAGAAGGTCTAATAGACTTCTGGTTTATTTAAGAATCATCAGAATATAAAGAAGAAAAGATTGTGCGTTGTATGTGTGCTTCGTATAAATAAGAAAGACAGCACTAAAATTCCCTTGCTTTATTTTATTGTCCTTTGAATATTCCTCATGTTTTCTTTAATGAATGCTTTTCAAAAGATCAGCCAATTTCTCTCCTTAACTGTGTCTTATTTGTGTTTTCTTTGTTCTTTATCAAAATAATAATAAAGTGGTCTGCAGCAATCATTGGGACATTTGGTTCTTAAAGTTGATACCAAAGAGCATTTTATATTATATTGTATTGTTTGAAATTCCCTTAAAATATATATATCACATTCTTTAAATCAAATCAATTTAATTTGCTAGTAGCTTGTCCAAGTATTACAGTATCTTCCTCCATATTCTCCTGAACTGAATCTAATCGAGCAGTTCTGGTCAGTCGTCAAGAGTAAAGTGAAACGAAATAAATTTTTGGAAAAAGAATTACTCATGACAAGAATTAGCGAAGCATGTGATAGTTTATATTTAAGTGATTTCAAAGGTTTTGTTTCTCATTCTGTTAAATGCTTTGACAAGTGTCTCAACAAAGAGAGGCTCTAAAATATCCAATGCAAAAAAAAAAAAAAAAAAAAAAAAAAAAGAATGAAAAAAGGGGAAATTTGTTATGCACTTTTTGTTAAGCACTTTTTGTCAAGCACTTTGTCAAGCACTTTGTCAAGCACTTTGTTAAGCACTTTGTTAAGCACTCGGGGGGGGGGGGGGGGGGGGGGGGGCCCAAAACCCCCTTTTGGGGAATTAAAAAAAAAAATTTTGGGAAAAAAAAAAACCCCCGGGAATCTTCCGGCAAAGGGGGGGGGGGGTTTTGGTTTTGGGCAAAAATTTTGGGGGGGGCAAAAAAATTGACCAAAAAAAGGACCCCTTTTTTTTTACCCCTTTTTTTTTTTGGAAACCCCCCCCCCTTTTTTGGGCCCCCCCCCTTTTAATTTAATCCTTTTTAAGGGGGGCAAGGGGGAAAAAAAAAAAAATTTTTAATTTT